AGTTTTTTTATCTTTTAAATCATTATGCATTTTCTAAGATTGCATAATGTAATGATAGAAACATATAAAGTCATTAAACATTCCTTTTGTTTTTTATTTAAGAATTTATGGGTTGTTACTATTTTTGATGTTATATTTGTTAGAGGAATTTAATATTTGATTTGGTCGAAGATTTTATGATATTTGTAGAAACTAATTGATAAAAATGATTTTTAATTGAGGTATATTTTATCCTACAATTTACTTCCATACCTAAATCTACTTTTGCTAAGTTAATTTTCTACTGTTTTTCTTAATTAGTATTTTTGGGTTTTCTAGGTCTTCATTTTCATTGATTAGTATAATCTAATAATTGTTATTTTTCATAAAATTGTAGGTATAATTTCTATTGTTTGGTATAATCATTATAACCCATTTATTTTTCGTTTAATTGTGTTAATTTTTTATTTGGAATTTGAAATATTTTCATACTTATTTGGTTTTCCCTAATTGGTTAAATTTTATTAGTTGACCTTAGACAAAGGCGATCTCGATCTCGTGAACAATTATTCTAAATATTCTTTTCTTATTGCTTTACTAAAGTTTTCCCTTCTCGAGAATGTAGTAATCAAATTTTAACTGGTTAAATTTGAATTCTTCATTATTTTAGAATAAAAAATTTTATTACATCATTTTGTAGCTCAATTCATTTTATATATTTAAATAACCATCTTTAAATTATTTATGTGTTTTTATTTTTGGCTTAACCTACGATTTTATGACCTTATTTCTTTAAATATTCTCCTACATCTTAGTTAATGAATGCACTTAGGAATTAATATGGTAATCCAAACATTCCTATCCACAAGAATGATGTTTCAACAAAATTTTTTAGCAAACTAAATAGATTGAAATTCGAAAAGATTTAAAGAAACAGAAATAAATAATTGAAAAGAAAAAGTAGATTGAATTATTAAATGTTCAAATTGAATAATTGATAAATCACTAATCCCAAGAAGAAAAGTGAAATTATATATGTAGTTATAAAACATACGAATCACATTTAATTAAAATTTCAATCAAGAATGTGAAAAAGAACAGAAGATTATGTGGGTATATATAATACGTATTTTCCTCCCAAAAATCCATGTCAAAATAATTATTGAATTTAAACATTACAGTTATTACACATTTAACAAATAATTTTAAGTTGAGAATTAAAAACCTACCTACAAGAATATTTATTTTCAAACTCAATCAGTTTGGTCTACAAATTATTTTTATGATAAAATGAACCTCCAACATCATTTATAAGCTAATAAATCAAATTTGATCATCAGTAATTTATTTTTGTTACCTTATAACATAAAATAATTGTTTTTTAATTATATTGCAAGTTAAGCTAAGAGTTTTGCTTAGAAAAATGTTATTCAAAATATGCAATTAGAATAATTTAGGTAAATAAGGAGGGAGATCTAATGTAGAAATACTCATTCCTATATATTGTTTTGTAAAGAATAGATAGATCAACGTAAGATGTTTATATATAACTTAAAAATAATATGTCAAGTACTAGTATAATACAAAATATGTATAAAATAGTTTCAATGTTTAGAATATTTTGTTGGAATATTAGATGTTTTAACTATTAATTTGATTTCAGAAAAATTGAATTGAGGGTTAATTTTATAAATAATAAGACTAATAAAGAGAATATATTCAAATAACTTAAGAAAATGAAATCAAATCCATGAGTAGGTATCATAATCATGAAAAAGAGCGAAACTGAAGTGAACCCAAAAATATAGAATTAATTCTAGAGTTAACTAATATCGGCTGAATTATTACTTGACCAAAGAATGAGTAGATCGATCCTGTTCGAAATAATATATTTTCGAATGGGTTAAAGAACAATACAATTGTGCTAATTGCATGAGACTTTATTTAAAACTTGTATGGGATTATATAAGATTATCATTTGATTTTTTAGAAGTGGACTACAGAAGTTGAAAGTGTAACAAGGTTTATAGAAATTAAGAAGAGAAAAAAAAGTAAATGAATTTGGAAGAACTACCAAATAATGACATAACTATGTTGGAAGATTTGATGAAAGGACTCCAATCTGTTTGCGATTTCCTCTATGAAGATTCAGATAACAAAGTATTTATTTAAAAAATAAGGTTTACCATCAGTGATCATCCTAAGAATGTTAATAGAAAATAGAGATGATCATATTTTTTTTGAATTCCAAATTTATTTTCTTAAATTAAATATATTTTTCCAAAATCCATGTAAATTTATGCTTCTTTATTTAAACTAACCTTTACCATCAAATTACCTATATTTTATGTATTTTTGTAATTCGAATTAAAGCATTAATTGTTGGAGGTGGATGCAACTGAATAACATTCAGGATTGCAATAAAAGTTTATTTTTAAATAACAAATATTCTAAATCCATTATAGATGCAAGCCAAATAGTTATCTTCTGAAACAACTTAAATAAATTAGAAATAACACGATAAAGAATGTAAAATGTCCACCATCAAATAATTTAAATTTTATAGAAGTTAATACTGTCTATAATCAAGCAGCATTATTAACTATTTAAAATATTAAAAGAAGGATTTCTAAAAAAGTATACCTGTTTGATAAGCTTGGATTATTAAACAAAATTGTCATATTATTATTAGGGAACTAAAATGAGATTGGTTGCACTCGAACTTACATTTCAGCACTGACTAGACTATCAGAAAATTAACTATATTATAGTATAGAAATAAATCCCAGTCAGCAGTTCACTTTAATTATAATTTCATTTTACTCAAAATCACCTAGATTGGTTAAGGTAATATGCGAATCAATCAAATTTAAAAGGTTTGTGGAATTCATAACCATACTTTAATCTTTTCTGAAGGAATTTGAATAAGGAAATGATGTTGTCTCTCTTAAAACATTCCAAAAATATCAAAGATTTATAACTTTTCTGCAAACAAAACTCAAAAATTAAGGCTATTTTACATAAAATAGAAAACATATCAGGCTACTTTATACTTTACATTTATTATACTTTGTTAATGAAAGCTATTAGCTTATATACTTAGATTAGACTACTTTTTCTTACAAGACCTGTCATCCAAAATGTTGGTTACTGTTAGAGAAGAAAAAATGCAAAAGAATTATTCAAACATAAAATCCCCCCAAATATTATTGAAAACAGTTGGATAAAAATGGTTTTGCATGCTTTCAAATTTGTATTGGTAACAGTCCAAATTCATAACAGTAAATTTATATAAGAAATGTTTTTTAATAAAATAAACTCTAGCCGTGGAAGTATTTCCCACCGAGTTTTTCTAACTAACTAACTATAAGTACTGCATTTAAGAAAAGACATTCAAAATATATTCTCTTTTAAGAATTCTTTTTTCTTCCTTTCATATCAACATTATGCATTTATCCTTAAACTGTATTAGTCAGGGAAAATTTCTTGCCTAGCTACTTAAATAGGGAAATAACTATTTGAATATTTAAGTATTTAGAAGAACTTGGGTTATTCCTTTAAACACAAAGTTACAAATTAACTGTATTATAGTCTCTACTGCATAGAAAGGAATCAAGATAGGAGGAAAGCTTTTAATAGTCGCATAAATGTTAAAGAAGACCTAGAATGTGATTTGTTAGTCAACTAAAAAAGCAAAAATGCATTTAGAAATTAGTTTAGATTTTAATAACACAGTATTTAAAAGAAGTTTATTCATTTAAAACCTAACATTATTTATATGGAGGTTAGGAAATATAAGAATTGAATATGATTTAGTATGTAAAATAATCTATTATTATAAATTGATTAAGAAAGTATCAATTTTGAACGAACTAAATTTGGCAAGTTAGTTTAAATAAATTTTGACATGATTAAATATAACAATATTAGCAACTATTAATTTTCTTAATTAAAAAATTCATAAGTGAAAAGCTTACAATAGTTGAATTTTCAATTTAAGGATTATCATTAAAGGGCTTAATACCTAATTCGACAGTTGCTCTATATATGCAAAATTTAAATCATTTTCAAGTTAATTTTATAAGGCAGGCGCTTCTGTAAGTAATCAAGTCAATGAAAATCAAGATATTTAATTAAAAAAATATATTAATAATTTCATTTTGGATTTGAATTTATTACTATAATCAAAAAGTTTAAAGTATCAACTGTTTTATTAATTATAAAAAAATTTATTTGATCCAATACTTTAAAACCAATATATAATTAATATAAATGAATAAAATATAAGTTTTTATTTTGCTGGTTATACAATTGAAAACTCAATCAAGGAGATTCAGTTGTATGTTAGTTCAAAAATTATAGATTAATAAGACCTTCATGTGATGTTGATATGTGTAAACTTATTTATTAAATAATAATATTTAAAATAATAAAATAAATAAGTAAACAACCTTATGAGATATATCTCTGCTGAGATAAAGACTTGTACCTTGTGTCATTTAATGTTACCAATACATCTTACTTAAAGAATATAAAAAGGAACTTTTATATATTACACCTCAAAATGCATAGATTGAACACTCCTAATTCAAAAATATTGCAATGTAATCAAGAATTTAAGGTTGAAATTTTTGATTAGGGCAAAAAGAAATATATATAAGTTAAGTCTAAATCGGAAACAAAATACATTTTTAAATTATTTTACTCATCTAAAGGAGGATACGCGCATTATAAAATTTAAAATAATAAAACCTAAAATTTTTGATATACTAATTCATAAATTTGAACATTTTCAGGTAATAAATTATATAATTTTATAAATATACTAATGTTTTTTTACTTATGGTTTAACACAAAATAAAAATTTATACTGTGTCTTTTCTAATATCAATTATGCTTATCTTATAGATAATGTTTACAAGGTTTTGATATTTTTTTTCATTAATTAACAGAATAATCAATTATTTAATAAAGAAAGCATCTTTGTTTTAAAAATACTGATTTATAATTTATTTATTTGATCAATCTTCATCGTTATCCTTAATGTACTTTTCGCTTTGAGCAGGAGTAACTCTAGAGGATTTTTATCTCTTAACTTCAAAGATTTCTGCCATCTAATCAACTCGTCTCTATTTCCTATAGTTATTAGAACATTATATTTACATTTTTTCTAATACAAACGCAGTGATAGTATTTCTTGATTATTGTATTGAGTTATCTCGAATTGATTTTCTTATAAATTACTATCTTTCTTTTGCTTGAGCTGGGCTTCTTAGACTCAAAGGAATGGTATCTACATTTTGTTCCATGTTTCTCTCCAGAGCAATTTACCACTAGTAGTTTTTAAAGGCTATAATTTCTTTTGCTTGAGGAATTAGAAATTATTTTAATTTAAAGTATAATTTGGCGACTCGAATACGTTAGTCACTGCGATCTGCTAATATTCTTCTCATAAATGGGATTTTATTTAACCAAGGTAGCGTATTTCTGATACTATTCCTAACTTTGTCCACCTTTTCATCTAAATTACTGCTCTTCTCCCTCAAATATTCAACTAAAATCTTTGATATTAATGTATATGTGATATGTAGATTCAAAATAGAAATCACTATAGCATAAGGAATTTGTATTTCTTTTGAATTTGATTATTCTGAAATATAGATACCAATAGCTAAAGCAATTGACGCTAAACAGACATTTGTTGAATAGTAATCTAATTTATTTAGATTATTCAGATTATAAGGTTTGTACTTCAGACTTAATTCTAAATACACTCCTATAATTAATGAAATGATGGTCGCTTTAATAATGACACTGTCATCATAATATGTCAAAAAAATGATCATTAGTTCTTTCTGTAATATTTTGATCACTTCCCAAAAATAAGCTGTTTTAGTGTATTCATTATAAAGGTAACCCCATTATAACCTAACCTTCTTGTCATCTAATTAGTGTGAATTACTGTAAAGGCCATAAAAGAAATAGATTGGGATAAGAATCGCTAGAAGCAAAAGCATAGGCAAACAAAGTTCAATCATCCATCTTACGTGATAAGGTGTATCAAATCTCTAAGAAACATTTGATTGTACCCATTTTTAACCTGAAATTTCTCTGTAGGATATCAGTTGAACAAACCCTCCGATTAAACTTGGCTATAAATAGATGTACATATAGATGAGTGTAGTTGTAATGACACTTCTATTAAAGGGTATATTTTTAAATTTGACAACAAGTAAATAACAAAATAAAAAGAATGTAATATAAAGAAATGGCATAATTATTTACCAAACCATTCTAGCATATTGAATTTCAAATGTAAAAACATGAGATAGAAAGCAATCCAATGAATACGTCATAGTCTGAATTGGAGATCCAACTGAATTAATTGTACTTTGTAGTCCATTTGGTAATTTTAATTAAAATGTAGCTATTGAGGAAATGATCTACAAATAATTCGTCAACATTTTTATTAATATCGCAGACTAATTTGTATTTTAAGTAACTGCTAATCCTAGCAACATAATACTAATTATTCTAACGAATTCTTCTATAGCTTTTAAAGTACTTTGCACTGAAACTAATATGGAAACTAAGGTCCTATCATTTTATATATAATATATACCATATACTCACGAAAGTTATAATCACCGCATTCTTCTCTTTTTCTAAGCATGATCCACAAGAATATTTCTAACTAATCGAATATTCACCATCTCCCCTTGTGTTATACAAATCGCATTATTCACATAGTGCTCCAATATGTCCTAGAAAACAAGAACTGTCACCTTCTTCCCAACCGCCTAAACAATTATCTTCTAAATTCAGACAATAACTGACAATATTGCTCTAAAAATAAGGTCTCCAAAATCCAAATTTTAAATTTAATAAAGCTGGTTAGACACTTATAGTTGAAATATCATCCTTCAACTCACATTTTTCAGAATTTATGTTTAACGAAAAAAGGCCTTAGTCATTATTACATGGAATACAAGAAAAATCAGTGCTATTTTTTATCTCTCCATATTAACAACTCAAAGTCTTAATATTCATCCTTAATTTGTAATTCTTGTGAGAATTTATCAAATTATATGGATATTATTCATTATAAATAGGAATTACAATTGAATTGCATCTAAATTGTAATTATAAAACAATCTCAGAAGGTAATGCATTGTCAAAATAGATTATCAAATCATCTAAATTATAATCTTTAGTGAAATCATTAAAATTTATCTGATTTATACTTGTAAAATTATTACTAAATATTTCGTCATCCACCAAATTTGATGTATTCAAACTCCTACTATCAATTTCACAATATGAATTCTTCAGGTTTTTCATCACACTATTATCTTTGCTCAAAGCTATTACTCTAAATTTATAATCTAAATCAGTATAAGATCTTTTTTCTTTAGAAAATTCCTAATAAGAAGAAATCTTTTGACCACTTGGCAACAAAATATACGAAGTTTGAAGTAGTTCGCTATGTTGTAATTAAACTTATTCAACTAATAAATCTTATGTTTCTGTAGTAATTATTGTTGATAATAGAGAATTTTCATCATTAAAAGTAACAGTTAATTTTTAAGGTATTGACACCCTATCGTTTCCAAATTATTCAGCACTATTATTATCAAAAACAGTTCCAAGCTTAAAATAATCCATATCCTATTAATTAACCAAATATATCCCTCCTGCTATTTATGCTTAATTGTGCTAAATTAAGCTACTTTTTATTAAGACGTCCTAATTCATTTTAATTACAATTGCCCCTCCTGTTCCAGATGCATTGTTGTATTGAAAAACAGAATTTTCAATTAAGACTTTAACATTTTCTGCAAATAAACAAGTTCCATTCTAAGCTCTGTTGAATTAACAAATATAATTTTCAACATAAATTTCAAAATTCATGGATTATAAGTACATTTCTTGATTTGTAAGTAATCGACGGACATTTGAATTTTCTTTAGATATAAACAAACAACCATTAAATCCACATGAAGAATTTGATACTTTCAGTTTAGAAATGTGTTATTTCATTAAGAGACCTTCAACTTTCAAAAAAGATAAGTAAATCAACCCATTTTAACAAAAAGTACAATTTATTTATGTAAATAATATATTATCCAACTTAAATTAAGATAATGCTGTGAGTTCTTAAAAGACTAGTATTCCAGACTATATATTTTCGATTATCAAATTATTTGCGTGCTAATTCTATTTAAGCGTTTAATTATATATGCAATCTCCATAAGAAAGGTCTGAGTAAACATAATGTTATAGCAAGTTGAGTGGTGCTTTATTATTTTGAGCATTTTAGAGACATTTAAAAAATTAAGTATAATCTTGATCAGATTATTACTAGCAATTATAGCTCTTTAATTGTAATGCAATACTTATGTTTGAAATTATCAAACCATTCATCTGAATGGTATTTGAGATATCTAAAATACATTATTATATTTACATTGGTTAGGTTGCAATCTAATAAGTACATTGCTAATGATACTATTTGATATTTTAAAATTCTGAATTGATACGACCAAAGCATTATTAATTTGTAGTGCAGACTCTAAGAAGATATTATCAATTTCGATATTTTAGAAAACAACATTGCTTGCTGAATTAATATAAAATAAGGCTCTATTATTTAAAATAGTTATTTCTTCTGTTTTTGAAGGTTGGGTATATTTATTTAAGTAGCTTTTAAATCCTTCCTCAGTGTTTTAGACAAAAAGTGAATTAATTTTTACAATTTGTTAAATTTAAGAAGTAGAAGAGAATATTGCATATAAAATTGAGCCTTGCTTAGAAAAAACATTATGAATATTTATGTGCTAAAATTCGATATTTACTTAGGGACAATCTGATTGAATGTAAATGAAACCTCCTTATTCTTTAACTAATATGTTTTCAACAGATATTTCATTTATAAAGACTTGAAGAGATTAAGCTGAAGTACTGTCTAAATATATAGCTCCTCCAAACCCTAAATCTTAGGAGAATGGAGTAGAGATATTCTTAAATGTTGTTTGTGAAATAGAAATAATGCTATTTTTTTAAGCTTCAATTTGCATAGCTCCTCCGAAGAAGCCTACCGATTACTCAAAATTACAAAATAGTACTTCCAAACTTTCGACCAATAATTAGGCTACTCCAGATGTTGATTTAACTTGAAATATTTAGTTTATTTCTTCAGAATATACTATTTCTGATTTTGAAAATCCCCATAATAAATAAGGTTAGATTAATTAATAATTAAAATAACTATTCTAATAGAATGTGCAATTTTCAAAAACTATTTTCTGACTTTTAATATAAATTATGGTGTCAGTTGCATTATAAACAGTATTCTTGAGGAAATTTGAATTTTTGATAGTAATGGCTCCTAAAATACAATTTAAATTTAAAAGCAAAGAAGAAATTTAAAGATTATTCTAAACGTATTCATGCAAAATGTTTCCAAAAAATGTAATATTTGATAATTCTATAGTAGTTTATTAAACTGAGTCAACAAAGATGATAGCAGTTTAATATTTTGAGTTTGATAATAATAATAAATTTGATTCTACTACTAGATTAGAAAAGCGAATTATTTCAAATTGTTATTATTTCACTTTGTCAGATGACTTATAATATAAAATTGGAGAGTTGTATGATTAAGCAAACTTAATTTGCAAATCATCTATCTCAAAATTAACAACAGAAGTGACAAAAAGAGATTGCAAATAATATTCACCCATCACCTATTGTAACTAGCAATCAAGATATTGATGAAGCCCCAGAAATTTATAATCGTCATTTTAAGTAATTCTGCTAGAGGTTATTCTTAATGAACTAGCCTCAACAATACTGATATCTATTAATCCAATTCCTCGTATTATATCCATCTCTGAGATTTATATATCATGAAAAGAGATATAGATAAAACAGGAGCTATAGGTGTTTAATGTAAAATCCTCGCTAATGGAATGCACATAATTTTTTGATATCATGATCGTCTTAATTTAAATTCTTGAATTTTCATAGTTGTATTTATTAAATGATAGCAATTTAGTTGTTTGATCATATTCATTATGTTCTATGACAATATTTGATAACTAGATTTCTAAATTACTTAATTGAAGCATCTCAGAATTTACAACTCCGAAACTATGTTCTTTAAAGTTACAATCTTTAATGACAAGATTATCTATTCTATTATTATTATTTAGAATTATCAGAGTAGACTACTAAATCAAGGAATTTTTTAACTAGATTCCTTCTAGTGTGACTTCTTTTAGTAGATAAAAATTTAAAAAAGCATTACAATCATGTATATCTATTTATAGGTTGAAATTTTGTATTACAAGAGATCCAGATTATATTTATAAGCTTGTATCTATTAATGTTGAATTTGTGAATTTTGCATTCACTTACAAATCTTCGATTTCAATAATATCATTTTTGTTAAGATTAAAAAAGAAAGTGATTTAATTTAGAAGGATAGAATTAAGAATCTAAAAAGATTGTAGCTTTATTGATTTGACAAAAGGAGTTTCTGCAATGTAGATGAATTGGGCATTTTTTGTTTGCATAAGATCCAATACTTTGAAATTGATTAGGGTTAACTTCTTGATATCATGAAATAGAATTCTAGATTAATCATTTTCTTAATTTAATTGTTGATATTCAATGGTGTCAAGGAGTATCGTTTACGGTATTTTACTTTAAAATATTATTGATTTTAATTTGTTATTATAAATTGGTTAGAAGTGGCCACCTTTGATTGTAATTTTATTAAAATTATAGAATGTGATTGATCTTTCATACTCAATGATAGTGTTATAATTTAATTAGATATTCAGTTCAACGTTTCTAAAATACGTTTAATATTTACATTGCTGAAAATATATTAGTACTAAAAACTTGTTAAACTATGGCGTTTCCTGGAATTCTACATGTTTATGGTTTGACACTAACGATATTTATAATAATTGTCTTAATTAACATTGAATTGGCTGATAAGTAAAAATCGTCAGTTTCAAACTAAAATAAATATGAATAGTAATTACTTGTTTAAAACTATTTCCAGATATTAGATCTTCTAAAAATACATTCTCTTATTGAAATTTCGTTTTTTAATATGATGTCAACATTGAATCCAAGGCTGATGTGTAATCTTACTAAGAACAATACAAATTAATCGGTATTTTAATCTGCTTTTAACAATTATTACTATTTGTGCACTAGATAAAACTTCCCAATTCTTAATCATAATAGTATTATTAATCTTCAAAGCTCTTTAGACACTGATAAGTATATGTATAGTAGTTATTATTATTAAACAGAGGGTTAATTGCTGAGATTTCATCGGATGATCGAACTCTACATAATGCACAATTTTATGGACAAGCTATGCATTAGTTATTAGATAAACTTAGTCTCCTACCTTTTTATTCCAATTCACATCTAACACATTAGTTCTCACCATTAATGTATTTACACTCCAAACATGAGTCAGGACATGCATTGATACACTTTTAATTCACCAGTTAATAACCATTAATGCACATAGTACAAATTACTTCATAATCATTCTTGTCTTCACTTTGAGAATTGAGTTTAAAGGGATGATTATTGTCATAATTAATAAACTTTTAATAGAAAGCTCTGATTTTGATCTTCCAGTAATCTTTTGAAAATCTTTACTATTGAGCACAATTATAACAATTTAATTCAGGTGGACACGAATAACATTTACCTGATATTCTTTCAGCATAGTATCCACTCTTACATTCTAAACAAATGTGAACAATAGCCCACCATTATACCTTCTCCTTTAAACAAGTAGCACAATTTTCGATATATTAAGGACATTGCTGACTAAATTAAATTATATCTGCTGTCGGATAATCGTATTAAACTTGATTAATCAAACAATATTGTATTGTTGTACAGATAATGTTGTAACTATCATCAAAACCCATAGTTATCTATTCACCACTGGGAGTTGTATAGTACTCAGCATAGTACAAAGCTTCTTAGATTGCATCATCTATGACAACGTCGCAAATATGATCAACGTACGAAAAATTACATGTCACTTCTCTCATACTAAGACATATCTGAGAATTTATTATAATTCCATAACCATTTTCGCATCTTCCGCAAGTAGTAATAATATTATCCCAATCATCTCTAGGTGTAAAATAGAGGTCAAGTGTATTAACCTGATAGTTAGATTATAATGCCTAGAATGCATAGTCACAGTGATGTATAGTATTCACTTAGCAACTTATTCCATCAAATGTTAGATAATATTTTGAATCATCTAAACACCTATAACATTTTAAATAATAGCTATTAATATTGACATCATAGTATTTCTAGCAAAATCCGCAAAAATTACCACAAGGAAGACAACTACCATCATCTAATGTGTATTGATCAATGCAAGATAGACATTATGAAGTGTTATCTCCACCATTATAACTACATGTCAAACAATTTTAAGGACACTAATAGTAATATCCATTATGTAGATACATCCCATCTTTGACTTGAAGACAACTTCCATTGAGAGATACTTGTAAACAATTAACATTACTGAATGTACAGTCTCCATTAGTTTAATAGTAATTAGGCTTACATTTAACATCAATAGTTTATCCTAAGTGTTAACTTTTTGCTTAAAAACAATTGATAGGGTCCTATTCTAATTCACAAAAGTCCAAGTAACCTGGATAAAGAGATAACTCTTTATTTTGATTAATCAAATAAAAATCCTGATCCAATTAATCTCTTTTTTGATATTTGAAAGCATCATCTCCAGTGACTTTATCAGAGATTAAGTCAAATTTACAAATAGGTTTTAAATACCAAGTCAAAGGGTAATACACACAATCAACACATAAAACGTCCTAGTAATTAGATTGTGGGCTACATACTTATTTAAATATATGTACCATTTTATGCAATCATTCGAACCATTTTCATTAGGATAGATAAAATATCCAAATTAACATTATGAAACTCCAAGATTTAACACTTCTTATTAGACAACTGATGAAAATTGATATTCAAATGATTAACACACTTTTTAATTTGGAATATCAATGTAACCATGTAGACATTAACACTTTTTCTATTCATTCAAATAGAATCTCTTAGAATCAGCCTCACAACTTATACAATTATTTTCGAGTGGTCCATCACATATTGAGCAAGAATAATGACAGGCTAGAATAGAATAATTATTTTACCATTGAAAAGTAGCTGTTTATCATCAACATAATTGTATTCGAATTTAAAATCGAAGAGCGATGCTTATAATAATTCATTGATAAATTCATCTGATCCTATATAAACATAATAAGGAGAATTTGTTGGCACAGAAATGTCATGAGAAGTCTCCTGTAAACCAAGCTCATTATAGAATTGAATCTAAAACACACTCCTTCTTCCAGGTATTTTAGAACCATATTCATATTTCATAAAATGCCACTATTGTAATCCTGCAAAATAATATTCTGACCAGACATCAAACAAAAGGTCTTACACTACAGCTAAAATATTATAATCAATTAGCCCCATTATTGGTATTTGATGATTGTCTACATTGACGACAACCTATGTAAATCTAGGTAGTAACTTCTAAAACCACACTTACAATAAGAATATCTCATCTCCGATGCTTTATCTGTCAAAATAATTTTTAAAAAGACTTATTCTAATCAATGGGTATTTAGATAAATCAACAACCTTTGATGCATCATATTTCACCCATCCAGATAAACAGAACTTACTTCCAAACTAATTTATCGTAAACTAGAGAGAGGTATCCCCTTCAAAGATTTACAAGCCTTTTACAAAGTAGGTTACTTGCTCCTCTTACATAGGAAGAGGAACTTAACAATTATCATTCATATATTAAAATAAATCCTAACCAACATATTCTTCCTTGCTAACAAAAACTTTTGACAATCTCCCTTTGAAAATGCTAAGATTAAGACCCATGATCTAATTAGTATATATATATATATTACATTTCCACTTCCTCCTTAAAATATTGAAATAAAGTCAGATCCTACATTCATTGTCCCAATTTATGTGACTTGATCAGTCATTTGAATAATGATGTTTCCAGAACTGAATTCAAAGGTTATGAAGCTCAGAATCCATCTGCCTTCATAATTCATTGTTTAATACTCAAATTATATAACTTAAAAGTCACTTCCTAAAATCATTATAGTATTGTAAACTCGCAAAGTATTCTAATCTATTCTTAGGAATCCTATCACTGAATTCTCAGAACTTCCCTATACTAAAAATAATAATTGTCCAAATTCAGCATTGGCTGCTATGTATTCTTATTCCACTTAAGGAATATTCTTAAAAGTTTATTAGGGAACACAAAGGCTCCAATAACCAAAACCAAATGTTTAACCGGCATCCAAAGTAACAAAAGAATCAAAGTAGTTAAAATCAATAGGTGACTCAATAGGAATTAAAGCTTCCTCATATTCGCTATAGGGGCAACATTAATATTATGGAAGGCTAGCAAGAATGAAAATACAAGATATCAAAACAAGAAGTTTATCAGAGGTTTTCATTTTTAATATGAAATATCGATTTTTAAATATTATATCAAGATATGCTAATACCAAATGTATATATTTTATTATATTGTATTAAATAAGAATAAGAACTAAGACAATTTAAATAAATGTATTGGAAGTATGTTATATCCAAACCAAAAATACCAAATCAATATTGTTACCACTGAAATCGAAGAACTTGAGTATATTCAAATTTTGTCTTTAGAAATACAAAATAAATAAATTGACAATTTCATCACATATAAAGTATTTTAAGATAGGACAACTAAATTACTTATGTGCTTATTAAGACATCTTACTTTATTATATTTTTCTATATAGTAATTTTTTAATAATAAATGTCAAATATGATATTCTGGACTAGCTTCTGCTAATAAATTAATTACTTTTTATTGATATCCAACACAGTCATTCACAGAATTTAATTCTTTTATTAAATTTTCTATTCTCCCAAATTGTTTATTCTTCAAAGTAAATTATTTTAATGGTTGTTCACTTAAACACTACAATTCTAAATATTACAAAGAATGAAAAAATCCATTAATTAATTAATTATTATACTGAAACTTCCCGATTGAATTTAATTCTTATAAATTACAATAATAATTAATTTCGAATATTAAACAATAATATATACATTGATTTGAAAATTCTAATTTTTTGAGAATATACAATTTTACTTTCACTCTTCTTTTCTGTAAATCCTATTGATATTATGAATAATCATTGTTGATTTAATCTTAATTCTACCTCAAAATAATTTAAATTTATTGTATAACTTTGTTATGAAATGATAGAATTTACATACAAAAAAACAATTTAAGATGATCATCACTGATCAAATCAAAAAAATAGTTAATTATTTCTTTTAATTTCAAGCCTGTCCTACTATTTTAAATCCTTAATTAGATTTAAATCTGCAATATCAACGCTTAATTAGGTTTAATTAAGGAGGCAAATCTACGTGATTTCCATTTTTCAACACTTTTCTACTAAATCATCTAATTACAATTTTATGCATTAAAGATTTGGATTGCTTTTTAAACATTAATACGGCCAAAAATCCTTGATTTAGGCACTAATAATATTTATTCTTGTTCATGTTTCTTTTCATCAAAACTTGATTTCTGAGCATCCTCATATTTAATCCTACTTTTTAACTTGGACTATCAACATATGAGATCTTTTTGCATAATATTAGGCTCAAAGTTGATAGAATTGCATAAAAAAACCTTAATATAAGACTGGAAAATAACATCTAATTGAAAATCTATAAAATTTAGAATAGTCTTGTTTAAAAGTAACCTAATGAAGAATAATTAAATTATCTCATTTATTTCCAATAAATTTAAAGCAATAATATAATTTTGATGGTATTTATCTAAGTAATTATTTAATAACACTCAATTTTTCTTATTGAGGTTGAATTTTAGATTATAAAGATATTTGCTTTCAAAATATTAATCTAAAATTTTTCAATAATTTTTGAATATATCTTGTTAGGCAATGTTAAAATCTTAATTCTTTAATTATAAATTAATTTTCAAAAACATTGCTTAATTTTAAATTTAAATTCACTTCAACATTGGATATTTTGAAAAGAATATACCCCTTAAATCAAACATAAATCTTTATTCTTTGAAGTTGTGCTGAACTATCGATTACACAAAAGCTCATATCATTATTTTAATAAATTGATTCTTGAATGAGAAATTAATAGCATTAGAATTATATTAAAAAACAGAAAAGAATATAAATTAATATTTGGGGAACAATTAGTTATAATTTTTATTATAAAATAATTATTTACTCAATGAGAATTTATTATTAATGAAAAATAATATATTAATTAGTTTTTCATTTTCAAAATAATGAAGCAAAAAAAACATAAAGCATATAGAGAGAGTTAAGAAGGTAAGGTGAGTGATTTGATAAAGAAACTTGAGAGTAATTTGAAAGTGAATGAAAAGATAAACAGTATGATTCTGAAATTAGATAAACTAAAGCAGTAACTCACTACTCAACCATAGCCTTAACAAAATCTAAAGGAAACAATTGCATAATACGAGATTGCTATATGTAATTACGAAGAAGAGAGAAGAATATAAAATCTTACATAAGAAGAAAGACAGAGGATATTAGATAACATTAGAGTTGTGATTAATTCGATTGAAGTATTATATTATGATTACTATTTAGCCTTTACCTGCCCACAATCAGAATGAAAAGCAAATTCATAAAGATTTAAAGAATCTAAATAGAATAGAAGAACATTTTTTGATATTAAGAACAAAGTCAACTGATGAATCATTCATAGTTGAATCCTCAAAGATCATATGTTAAGTTGTTGAAAAGAAAAATAAAATAATTATGATGATCGATAAGACAGAAGAGGACAACTAAGGAGTGACTAATAAATTGCAATAATTGAAGATTCAGCATGATGATTCATAAGCTGAGACACCCACAATGCTACCTGATGAAATGCAGAATTTTGGTTTAATAAAAGATGAATAGTCTTAAAGAAAGTCAAAATAATCATTATAATTTATTGGAGAAATATAACAGTAATCGGAGAAGAATTTGAATTAGTTTGAAACTCCCACAGCTGGTGGAGATTCTGAGTTAAGTGATGTTAAGTTAACTGATAATAGCATTGAGGGTAAATAAACTGCCGAATAATCAACAAATGAAAATTAATTTAAATAAGAATATATCTGCGAAGGAGAAAAATGTTAAATATGCTTCGCAAAGAAAAGAAGATATGTGGCTATTCCTTGTGGACATTATATTTATTGCGAGGTCTGTAAATTATTGGTTGAATAAAAAATGAAATGCTTACTTTGCCGACAAACTGTGTGTCAAATGTTTGAAGTTTATGCATGATGATCTAATATATTTAATTATTATTTTCTAACTTATTATTTTAATGCTGATAATGATTATTGATGAAAATAATAAATACTTTTCATTTATTATCAACATTAACATTTCTATTAATCTGATTATGGGGTTTGCTTGTCTTATGGTTTTATTTATATGTTATTATTATTATTGGTTGATTATTCAACTATATTGAGAGTATAATTTACTTTCTGTAGTTGGTTATTCAACATCTTGAATGGGACCTAAGAGTTTCAAGGCAAGATTTTTAAAGGTTTATTAGACATTGGTTCCCTCCTTGGCTGAGACTTCGTAGTAAAGTAAATCTTATTCTTATGCAAGCTTCTCTCCTTCTTGTGTTGTTACAACTCTTAAATTAAATTATTCTTAACCTATCTTTGATGTCTATTTTATTAGCAATAAGCACTCCCACTACGTCAGAACCTCTTTCTTCTCTTACATAATCAAGCCATGCTTTAATGTCTGCAAATGACTAGGCATCTTAAACTTATTTTAAAATAATACTTGAAACATCATAGCATAGGACAGCTGCATGCGAATCTCTTATATAAGATGGAATTAATGATCTAAATCGTTCCTATCCCGCAGTATCCCATAATTATAATCTCACTGTTTTATTGTCAACTTAAATGCATTTAGAAAGAAAGTCGATTCCAATCGTAGGCTATTATCATAATTTGATGGATACTTGATGCTATTCAGGAATTTGTTCATATACAAATCGGGCGATGATAGATGTCTTACCAACGGCTTGATTGCCAATAAATACAATTTTGAATTTGGCAAATGCTTTTGATTTGTTTGCAGAAGTGGACATTTATAATTAATTTATATTGTTAAATTCAAAATATGCTAAAATCTTTATTATTAGTACTCCTTTTGGCTTTGGTCACGTTATCGAAGCATATTGGAAATCAAATAATCGAATTAGACGAAGTCAATTACTAAGTAATAATTAAAGTAATTGATTCCTCTGGGTATGCTTTATCTGGAGTGATTGTTAATGCTAAGTACTTCTATTTATCAATTTAGGAATCTTAATACAATTATTGGAGAGAAAGATCAAATGACTGATGGTGCAGGTATTGTGACTTTTACTGGAAAAATCACAAAACAAACTTCTTATCAAATCACAGCAATTGCATCAACTACTTTTAACGACATTACAACTTCAGGTAAAATAGACGGGGTTGTGGATTCAAAAGGCACAATTGTTTTTAATGGCAAATTACAATTCACATAATCAAATGTTTAAGTTCAAGATGTGTTTTAACGAGGATTAATAATAGTAAATATCAAACTTAATTTCAGTTAAAAACCCAATCAAACTCCAAACCTCTCCCTGGTGTAGTTGTAAAGTTCACAGCCATTTACTCAGAAGATAAATAAACTAAGGAAATAAATTTCAAAGCCACAACGGATGAAAAAGGTGAAGAATACGTCAGATTTTTGTTGCCTTCCCAAAAGCCTGCTTTTATTATTCTCTACACCGCCTCAAAAAATGAATATTGGAATTCTTTATAAATGAACCATAATGCTCAAGAATTTGCATTATCTCCGTAATTATTTTAGCTATATTTAATCTAGTGTGAAGAAATATGAACTACCGATAACAATAAATTTGGATCCTGGTTAATTCAAGTTTATACTAACAGCATTAATTTAAGATCAAACAAATAAGCCATTGACAGGAGCTAAATTATAAATAGGAGGAATGAACTTGGGTTCTAATGCAGAACTAGAATCACTCAATGCAGCAAGTGGAGCAGATGGAAAGATCAGTCTCACTTTACCACTAAAAGCAACTGATAAGATTCATGTGAAGGAGTAAATCACAAAGGATGAATATATTGGACAGAGTAAAGAATTTGATGAATTGTTTGATTTAAATGTCAAAAAGGATTAATTCACTCATGATTTAGGAATAATAATATTATAAGAAGCATCCGGAGATCTATAAGTACTATAGATATATATATTTAGATTTCTGGAATAATTACTGATTCATCAAAGTAGGTTCAGTTTGTACAAGGAGCAACAATAGTGTTTACAATTTTAGACAGCATATAACCAGTATCAGCCACTACGGATGCTCAGGGTAAATTTAAGGCTGAAATCTATGTACCTGCAAATAAAGATTTGCAATTAAAAGCAACAGTCACAGCCAAAGGATTTATGAATAAGGTAGCTGCTCCAAGATAAATTAATGTGTCTTCTAAATAACCTCTATAGATATCCTTTGATGTAGTTTTGGATAGAACAATTAAAAATATCAAAATAAAAGATAAACTCATCGATCCAAGTGGTAAACCTGTTCAAAATGCAATTGTTAAAATTGTTGAGAGTAATCCAACAATGCCTGATAAAACTCTATATAATAAGGAGATAATCGATAATGCAGAGTAAATAAATTGAATTTATAAATAGTGGTTCATTCGAATATCCGTTTAGTTGTTACGAAGATGTAAAGTTTTAAGCAACCTTTGTATTTCAAGTACCTTAATTTGTGCCTGTCACATATAAAACAGGAGATTTAGAGTGCAAAGACTAAGATTTATTGAAATATTCAATGACATTGTCAAAATAGACATCAATTCTCTTAATCAAAGGGTAAGTAATAGATGTGGATTAAAAACCAATGAAAGGAGTAGCTCTTAAATTCAAGTCTGACCCTGTATTAGATGTGCCAAATGCTAATTTAGTTACCGATGCAAATGGTAATTGGTAAGTTGAAAAATTAACTGTCATTCCAACAACAACTTATAAATTTACCATTGAATATACTAATGATGTCAAATAAGTAGTAGAAGTACTATAGACATTTACTCCTACAATGGATAAGGAGTAGACATTCAACTTTCCAATTATTGGATTTTAAAGATATGTTAAAGCTAAAATTGCAGGTAAGATAGCCCCTGTAGACGGTAAAGGAGCTATCCCATTACCTTTAGTCATAACATGTGATGGCAAAGGAAAAGATGGGAAACCAATTGTTTTAGAAACTACAACAAAGGAAGATGGATCATATTCAGTAGATGTTGAAGTATTAGTAGGAGCAGATAAACCATTATCATGTGTTGTGACTAATGGGGGTGCTGGTAGTGGTAGTAATGCTGCTTCACCTGTGTAACCCATAAAAGTAGAGACAAAGGTATCTGCTCCAACTTGGATTAGCAATACAAATATTCCAGTTACTTATAATACAGTGGACATAGTATTAAAAGGAACTGTCAGTGATAAAACTAAAACAATTACAACTGTTGAAGGTGTAGATATTACTTTAATTATCACTCCCCAAGATGTTTACATTTAAAATCCAGGTAAGCATTTACTTGAATAGTACATTTTAATGAAAAGACATTTCTAAAGTACATCTCAATCCATATTGTAAACAAAATCTGCAAAAGATGGGTCCTATGAATTTAAATTTAAAGCTGTTTAAGCATATCCATTAAAATTTGAGATTTAAGCAAAAAAAGATCCAATATTTACTCCTTATGAAAAGAAAGGAATTGAAGAGAAATGTTTGAAATCGGAAACTCTAACTGAAGACATTGAAATAGACAGAGTTAGGATGTTGACAAAATTACACTCAATTTTAAGCGGCACTGATAAAAAGCCAATAATTAATGCATCTGTCAAAATGACTTCATCGGACCCAATTATGAAAGATTCTAAATATTACAATTTACCAGTTAAAGATGACGATAAAGGATCCTTCTTTTTGGATTTCGAATGCTATAAAGATTTTGACTATGTAGTTGATTTATAGATAGATGTACCTCAGTATGTTCAATAAAACATCAAGAGTTCCAAATTCAAATGTTCTTAAGCTCTAACAGAACTAAGTCCTATTACTTTAACTTTGGAGAAAATACAAATTAAAGCCATTCTTTCAGGTAAAGTGATTGATCCTTCTGGAAATGGAGTACCTAATTTAGCTATGAGTCTCACAACAGATCCAGAAAGTGCAACTGTAGAAACTAAGACTTTAACAGATGGAACATGGACTGTAACTGATTCTAAGATCTATCCAAATACAGATTACAAAGCCATAATCACTTATTTAGACATCAATAAATAACAGTAAAAAATAGAATAAAAGTTCACAATTTAAAGTGACAACTAAAAAGTTCAAATTCCAGATATAAATTATTAAGCTATTGTGAATGCCAAAATATAAGGAAAGATTGATTTAGAAAAAGGAACTTTAAGTTCACCAGTCAAAATCAATTTAACATGTCCCAAATTTAAAGATGCTAAAGGAGTTGAAATTAATCAAGATTTCTCAACTGATAACAATGGAAATTTCGATATTCCTTTACAAATATTGGCTAAACATGATGATAAAATAGAATGCACACTAAAAACAAAAGATTCTCTATAAGAAACTACATAAAAAGTTGAATTAGTGGCTCCAAAGTTTTAAGTTTAAGGAATTTCGATAAAAGCTAAATTAATTACTACGATATTTACTATATCAGGGAAATTAATAGATAATTCAAAAGTGGAAGATAAATTACCCGGATTAAAAATAACATTAACATTGAAACCATCAGACCCTATTTCTAGTTAACCTATTATTAGTAAAAGTATTAACGATGGAACATATTCTTTAATTGTTGAAGTTGTAAGAGGTATAACTTATGAGGCTGCAATCAATATAGATGCATAACCTTAATTTAATGTTGTTAATGAAAAATTGCAATTACTTGGTAAAGAAGATAAATAAAGTATTTCAAAAGATATTACTCTAATAAGATCTATTGTAGATTGTACTATCAGTGGATAATTGGTGGATATGAATTAAAAACCAATCCCTAATTCAAAAATTGAAATTTTAAGTTCAGATCCCCAAATGACTAATGCTTAGCTATATAATAAATTTGCTATTGCTCCAAAAGGAGATTTCTAATTGCCATTTTAATGTTACAATTCTGTTTCAACAACTCTTAAGATGGATATGGAATCAGATGTATATCCTAAAACAGCCTTATCGCCATAAGTATTTACCTGTGGAGAGAAAGACCTTAAACTAAAGCCTATTGTAGTATCTACAAAATCTGTTCAGATTACTGTTTCTGGTGTTTTAACAGATAGTAGTGGAGTGACCAAAAATGTATAAAATGCTCAAATAGAAATAATTCTTAATCCTGCTGATCCTTTAGCATCAAACTTGTAAACAAAGTCAGATTTAAATGGCAAGTATTCTTTAAGTTTTGGTGCAGTCTAAGATTAGATATACACAGCTGTTATATAAATAACTAATTCTGACTTTAATCCATATAAATCCTCAAATATTCAGATTAAAGCTGATAAAGTATAAACTCTAACACATGATGCAACAATGGATAGAATCATACTGTAAGCAACCATTACTTCGACAATTACCGATCCATCAGGTAAAGCACCTCCAACATCTACTTTGACAGTTGAATCCTTATAACCTACAGTTAAAGGAACCGAAAAAACTTAAATAACTGGAAAAACTGATGCTGCTGGAAAATTCAGTTTATAGGCCCCTTGTTATAAGAACGTAGATGAATCTTTTGTATTAGATGTTAAAGCTGATAAATACAAAGATGTAAAATCAGATAAGATTCAATTTTCATGTTCTGGTCCAGCTATATCTATACCCCCAGTTAAAATTAAATATGAATTAGCGCCTACTAACACAAAGTTAACAGTTGGAGGAGAAATAATTGGACCAAAGGGTAAAGGTCAATCAGGTGTGAATGTCAAACTAACATCAGATCCTGCTACTAAAGATTTTGAAGCAAAAACTGGATCAGATGGTAAATGGTCTATTTTAGATGATCAATTACAATTTGGTGCCAAATATCAATTGACAGAATCATTTAATGATGCTATCGGCCAAAATCATAAAGTTACATAACCCTTTTAAACAAATGATGAGAAATCTGAAATGACATTTGCAAAATAGTATTATGATGATTTTGTACCTTGCGAAATAGATGGTAAAATAACAACAGAGGGAGGAATTTTCCCATCCAATGTTCTGGTTAGTTTGTAATGTGATGCTTTTGGTGAAAATAAAGTACCTATTGATCTTAAAACAAATACAGATTCTACTGGAGCATATTAATTCAAATGGAAGATGCTCATGAATGCTAATTCTAATGTTGATTGTTTACTTATTTCACATGAAACTGCCAAATTCTAATAAACAAATAGTAGATTCAAAATAAATCCTAATAGTGATGTTATGAAGATCACCACTTAAGCTCAGGTGACAGAACAATTCAAAGCACAACTTACTAAATATTACCAATTTACTATAATAAATGGTGCTGTTATTGCTGAATTCGATTGCAACTCAAAATTAGAATGGAAAGGATTAGAAGGAGTCAATATTAGACTTAAGTAATGGAATGGAGTTGACTATGTAGATCTAAAAATTGAAACAAAGAGTGACAAAGATGGTCTCTTTGTTATTAAGCATTAAATTCTGAAAAGGTATTCATTTATTTATATTGAATAGTTAAATTTAAAATGAGATGAGATTAGAATTTACAAAATAAAATTACATTCCAACTACGGCCGAGTTTAATCTTTATTCATTTGATCCTTAATCAGATGGATCATATCTTGTCTAATTATCCAATATTAGGATGGTCAAAATTGGTTTGCCAGACAAATGCCCATCAATTAAGAAAAATAAACATCATCAATGATATACTATAATATACAAATTGTTAATTGTTGTTCATCTTCTTAATATATTATTATCATATGCATTAAAATAAATATAATTGATCCTGAAATCAAAATTATATTTAAAAATTGAAAAATACCTCCTTTTTATTTTCAAAGTAAATACTAAAAGATGAAATTATTAAGTATCAATGTAAACGTATTCCTTCTTGATTGAGCTAGTTTATTACTTGTCAGATTTGCTTCTCATATTTTAATTAGATATTTAATGATCTCCTTTTTAAATATTTTATTTTTTAAATCAATTGCAAAAAAAATTTAAAATTCATTATTGAATAGTCTGGTTATTTTAAGTAGATCGAACTTAACCTATCTCTGATTAATGTAATTGTGTTTAAGTTACATAAATTTTGATTTTGAATTATTAAAGAAATATCAAATGCGCACAAAATTTCTGAATATTTGATTAATAATTAATTGATTTAAAATTTGCAATTTTTCATTAAGAAATATTCGCCAATTAATTTAATAATTCTTTAATTAAATAATAAAATGAATTTCGAAGACGATTTTGTAAAACACAAGATGTAGAATATGAAAGGTGCAATTAAGGTATTGGTATCTCTAATTATTAGAAAAAAGATAGACATCTAGTAGAAGAAAGTTTAAGAAAGGAATATTGTGAATAAAACAATATCCAGTATATTCCTAAGGAATAATATAAGTAAGGGAAGGCAAATGAAAAATACACATATTAAGTAAAAGATAAAAACGAAGCTCATGGATAATTACGATAAGATGTTTAAAAATAATAAGATAATTAATAAGAAAATTAATAACAAAGTAAATAATAAAGGCAATAAAAATAAAATGACTAAAGGGAATAAAAAGAATAAGGAGATTAAAGAGATAAAAATTAAAAAAGTAACAATTTTTAAGATGGGAAAAATAATAAATAATAACACCAAAAAGGTTAAGGTTAATAAGATAAATAATAACACACTGAAAAGTCATAAAATGAAAAATAAGGGAATAATAATTCATAAAGACACCAGTCTCATAATAATAATTAACCATTTGTATATCCTTATATCGAAGGATAATAAAATAATGATAATAGAGAAGTGAATGATAATCATAATGAAAAAGAAAAGAGAAATGACAAGAATAAATAATAAAATAGATAAAATACTAATAATAATAACAATGGAAATAGAAATAGGAATAATAATAACAATAGAAATAGGAATAATAATAACTCAGAAAATTATCATAATAACTAAGAAAATCAAAATCAATAAAAAAATAACAATAATAAAAGTAATACTCATCAAACTGAATATATTCATTATAAATAAGTGAGAAGAGACAGAAGAGCGGAAAAACACATTAGGTCAGTCTAATCAGATTAGAATAAATAAACTAATAAAAAAAGATTCAATCATTATAAAAATAATAATTTTGATGATGATTACAATAGATTAGATGAGGAAAATTCATTTGATGATGATTATTATTATAAAAAACAAGAGAAAAATAAAAAATAAAATTATTAAAGAAGAGAGTATGATGAACATGGATTTGATAGAAAGGATAATAATGATAAAAGAAACAAATAAAACAATAGAAATTAGAAAGGAGGAAGAAACAATAAAAAGTATTAGAAGAATTAAGATTTTGAAGAATATTGGACTGAAAAATAAATTGAAAAAGGAAAAGCTGAAAATGATATATTTGAAGGAATCTTCATAGCTAATGAATTTACCAGGGAAAAGGCTACTATTAAATGTCCTATATTTAAGAAGAAAGTCCATGTTAATTGTAAGTTAATTATTCTAAATAATAGTTTTCGTCGATACGAATAGAGCATTTCATGGAGCTCTTGTTGCATTCAAAATTACAAAAATATAAAAGACAGACAAAGAATCGGAGGATGATTATGAAGAAGAAGAGATAACCTAACAAATTCCTTTAAAGAATAAAAAGAATGAATAAAAAAAGGAAATATAATAGGAGATATCTGAAAAAGAAGAAAATAACGATGATTGGGAGGATGTTGATAGCTAATAAGAAGAAGAGGATGACATTTCAGAAGTATCAGATCTCTATGTTGTTAAAAAGAAGGTTCCATTAACAAAACTTTAATAATTGCAAAAAGCTCAACTTGTAGGTAAGGTTGTCGGAGTGATAAAAAATCCAATAGAAAGCAGATAGATGATTGGTAAGTTAGAATTTAATAAAAAAACAAATTCAATCGATAAGGAAATAAAAACTAAAGAGGAACTAATAAAATATATAGAATAGAATTATTATGTCTCATTCAAGTGTGTTAATAAAAGAATTCCATTTTTCAATGTGAAGAATTTACTTACTTTTAATTATGAACTAGATAATTAAGAACCTGTTTAAAAATTCATGGATTATGTTTCATAGAGATACTTTTCAGCAAAATATATATCATGGGCCAAGAATAGTCGATATCCATATGTTGAATTGATTAAAGAAGTAGGAGTACAAGGAAATATTGATGTGGAATGCGAGGCTATATTAACAGAGAATTCAGTTTATGACAATGAATTTTCTGAATAGTGCAAAGAAGAAATGAAGGCATTTACTCATAATTCCATAGCTAAGGAAAGAGAGAACAGAATGGATTTAAGAAAGGAATATATTTGTAGTATAGATCCTGTTACTGCCAGAGATTTGGATGATGCGTTAAGTATTAATGATTTAGGAAATGGTATTTATGAAATTGGAGTACATATTGCTGATGTTTCTCACTTCGTCCTTCCAAACAGTGAAGTAGATAAGGAAGCAATATTAAGAACTACTTCTGTTTATTTAGTTCATAAGGTAATTCCTATGTTACCCAGAATTCTGTGTGAAGAGCTTTGTTCATTGAATAGAGATGTTGAGAGATTAGCATTTTCTGTATTCTTTAAGATGACAAGTGAAGGAGAAGTGTTATGGGATAGTTTCAGAGCTGCAAAATCGGTTATTAAAAGTTGCGCATAATTAAGTTATGACATTGTAAATTAACTGATTGATGGTGAAATTCAATAGTTTAGTTAAGGTGAAGCAAGATATAAAGTTGCTGAAGGATTCGATGAAATTGTATTGAAAGATAAAGTTCTGTTGTTAAATACAATTGCATAAAAGAGAAGGGAGAAGAGATTGGAAGGATCGTTAACTTTTGAAAAAAGCAAATTAAGATTTCTTCTTAATTCTGATTTATTCCCAACTGGCTATACAGAGGAAAAGAGAGGGCTTGCTCAATTTATGGTAGAGGAATGGATGTTATTGGCTAATTAATTTGTTGGCAAGAAGTTGATTGAATATGATACCAAAACAGCTGTCCTTAGATAACACATTTCACCTAAGAGTGAAAAACTAGATTATTATCGAAAATTATTAGAAGCTTGTGGATTAGAGGAGATGGCTCAAAATTTGGATGTTTCAACATCTAGAAATTTGAAATTAACTATGAATAAGGTTAATGAAATTGAATCTGAGGAAATTAAATTGATTTTAGGGTTCCGTCTATTAAAATTGATGGAAGCAGCTCAATATTTTGTTGTTGATGAGACTCCAGAAACAGAATGGAGACATTATGCCTTGGATTTTGATGTATATACACATTTTACATCCCCAATAAGAAGATATCCTGATATTTTGGTACATCGAAGATTATAAATTGCTCTTGAATAATAAGAAATTGATAAAACTGGAGAAACTAGGGATAAATTAAAGGCTATAATGTAACATTGCAATGACTGCAGATTAAATGCTAGAAGAGTTAGTGATTAATGCGATTAAGTATGTCTAATAAATATATTTTTAGTTATTCTTGGCTTTGCTCTTAAAGGCGAATCCAGTTGAAGTAGATGGATATATTCTCTCACTTAATAGACAATAAATTGAAGTTATCATTCCAAAATACAATTTAGAAAGAGTAAATTTTAAGTTATATATATTATAGAAAGTTGAATTGAAGAATTTGAAGAATACCTATAAATTCACAGTTGAGGAGATTGGAGAGAACAAATTTGAGTTGATTATTTCTTATAATGATCCTGAGGATGAAAAGGGAGTTAGATTATATTTTATCAAAGTAAATTATTTTAATATTTAATAGTAATTTTAATAAGTAAAAATAAAATTATCAGGCACGGATACATTCCCAATAGAATATTAAATACAAATAATAATTAATAATAAAGTTTTAATTTGATTTGTATTTATATAAGTCACACCAGTATTTAATTATAAAAGAATAATAATATTTTATAATAAAAAATGTAGCTTTAAGTTAAATGTAACGAGTAATCATGGACATTCAGAAGACCTTTGGCTGAACTCTCCATTTAGAAAATAGTGAGAAGACTTCCAATCAGACTTACTAACCTCCCTAATTAGTTCACACTTCAATATGAGGATTTTGATGGAGATATGATTGATGTCACATGCGATGCTGATTTACAAACCATTAGGGAATGTTAATTTGATACAAAATTAGTCACATTGTACTTATATATTTACTAATTAAAGGTATGTACAACAAGTTCAAGAGGGAGGATTTAAGAAAGAAATAACATGTAATAGAAGAGAATACAGAAAAGAACATATTAAATAATTAGTCAGCTAACAGGTCATGGAACTAATCCCTGAAATTACTAAGTAGGTTAAACAATCAATTGCTGTTAATGATGTTTAAAATAAAATTGAAACATAATCAATTAACAGCACAGCCTTGGTGGATGTCAAAGAATCTAAAAAAGTAGTCCACTAGGGTGTGATGTGTGATGGATGTAAAATATTCCCCATTGAAGGTATCAGATACAAAGTAATTTTTTCAAATTATAAATTATAGTGTGCCGTTTGCATTGACTTCGACTTGTGTGAAAAATGTGAAGATCTTGGAAACCATCAACATGCTATGTTGAAAATTAGAAAACCAGAATAGACTCCTTCAATTATAGTGACCGCTATTGTATCTAATAATTTAAATATAAAGGGTGACAAACCAGATTTACCATAAGGAAATACCTTAAGAGCATAAATAGCTGAGATGGTCTAGAAGGAACTTGACACTTCTTTCCCATAATCCTTAGAAATTTCATCAATTTAATAAGAATAATAACACTTAAACACATCCACCAATCCAGTAGTTGTAGAATTATGTGAATTGTTGAGAATTAGACCAGAAGTAGCATAGACTTTGATAGAATTGTTCCCCTCTCAAAGTGCATAAGAAATCATGGAAATTGTAGGAGATGACTTAGAATACTTGAATTCCCTTCAAAGATCAACCGCCTGATATATTAATAATAATCATCCATTATAAGACTATTTAAGACCTCTTTATAGTAATAAATCCCTATCAGCTCGTTTTGCTGCTAATTTCTCTTGTTTTTCTCCTTCCTCTTTGTTCTTTTTCTCCTTAGATTATTTAAAGTATAAATAAGATCTTAGCAATAATAGATTCGTTTATTTAGTAGCAATTCCAATTTCTGTTTTCCTTTAGGCAAAGTTGTCTTGGAGCATTCTTCTAAATCTATTTATCTCTAATGTATATTGGGCATAAGTATATTCTTGAGCCTTCTCTTATTCTTGTCTATTTTATTTTCTTCGATCTAATCAAAGATCCATTATTTTTGTTGTTCTTTGTTGTATTTACTGCGAGAATCATATTCTTACGATATGAATTTAATCATTACGTAAATCCTCACCATCAAATTCCTTTAGACCACTTACTTCCTATCTTTTTTATCAATCTGGATGTTCTCTAAAAAATGTTCATTTAGTTTGTCATAAATGATATTAATAAATATCAATTCTTATTGATGAATTGATCCTTTTAATATTCTCAGAGAATAATAAAGAAGAATAAATGTCTTCTTTACTAATTTCTCAGTTTGGTTGCTATCCTTATAAGTTCAAAGTCCTTTTTTTCATTATTGTAAGTTGCCACTATTAATAAACCTTTAATATTTTGAAAGTTCTCTAGATGATCCACAGCAAGATTCAATAAATTCACATTTGCAGAATATTTTGAAACATTCTATTAATTGACTTACTCAAAAATAGACTACTCATTATACAACTTAGTTACTACTTTATAAATGAAGTATTACTATCACTAAGATTAGATACACTCTATTATACACTCAAGGACCGAATTGGTCTTTGATTGATATTTTTAATATATATTATGGATTTTAACGATTTAATATTTCCCTCTCCTAAGCCTAGTTACGATTATACTCTTTCTGGTCTCTATTACATTGAAGAAGAAATTCAGTATCATCGTAGTCGTTCCCTTATTCAATAAAATGAACTCAAAACATATGATGGCACTATCAAAGTCACACTCAATCAATCTGAGTCAACAAGACAAATGAGTCAGAACAGATAAACCAAAAGGATAGTTACTCTCTTATAGCTTGAAGAGAATCTTAGAAATGGTATAATAGTCTATTTTCATGCCAATGCAGAAGACATCGGAATGTGCAAATCTCTTGCGTATTTACTTGCTGCTGAATTGGAAGTATAAACAATAATACTATTAAGATGGCCTCCATCTGTATGGAATATCCAGGATATGGAATTTATCATGGACAATCATCTAGTGATACTATAATCAAAAATGCTTATCAATTGATTGAGCATCTCATTAATAATCTTAAAGTCCATGAATCTAAAATCATTATTATGGGTAGATCCATAGGAACCAGCATTGCTGTTGAAATGAGTATTAGATACAAAAGAATAAGAGCGCTTGTATTATTGAGTCCATTTACATCTCTCTGTGATGTTATAAAAGAAAATAGTTTTAATTGGGTATCTAAACTAGTCAAAGAACGCTTTAGAAATCTTGAAAAAATGCATAAGGTACATTGTCCTACACTTTTTATTCATGGTATCAACGACAAATTGATATCTTATTAACATTCTATTTAATTGATGAGTAAGTGTAGTGGATTTGCTCATTTACAATTATTCGAAGGAATGACACACAACTAATTTTTGATTGATTTACATATTATATCTCCAATCAGATAGTTTTTAATGAAAATTTAATCATGATTAGTAAATATATATAAATATCATTAATCATTTTCACTTAATGCTCCTTCCTCTTCATCTATCTTTGTTAATAATCCACTTATTTAGTAATCCAACAATTCCTTTAATTTTTCTTACATAAATTCATCCAAATCTAATAAATTAATTATTATTTTACTATGTTCATGAGCAAATCTAGCTGCTAAATCGCATGATTAATCTCCTTCATAGACAACTATTCTTTCAGTCTTACTTGGTCCCAAATTCACATCAACAAATAACAATGGTATTCTCTCATCTTATTCTATTAATCATATTTATATATTACAGCTACCAGTTCTAACAATGCTTTATTCTTCTTTTGGCTAAGTCTCGTCCATATGGAAATTCTAAGATTGAAAAGTATTCATTTATTAAGAGTCCTATGATTACATACTTTTCTATCTAGATGATTGAGATGTCTATTTTAGTTGATTTTAAGATTCACTTCTACTATCCTTTTTTTATGAAATTGATTAAACTTATTATTATTAATTTTAGGGACCCTTATTACTTTTATATCCTCTCTCTAACATCCCTTATACTTCCTCTCTTCTTTATCTTGCTTATTTCATTCTTTGAACAGTCTTATCAACATCCTTATTAACATAATGATTATCCTATTTTTATTATTAGCTATTTTTGGATTATAAGCCAGGTTAAAATGTACATTCTTCTAATTGTTTCTCGTATTCAATCTCTTCGGTTGTTCTATCTCTTTTCTAAGTAGCTGGTTTGGCTAATGAATATAGTTATAGATATTTTTCTTATTTCTTTGATGAACTTTTTCTCTCCTCATTATTTTAATTATTCAATAATTGTGGCTTGAATGGACATTTATCTAATTGTTATTACAATATTTCTTGTTTCTTTTGTTCCTTATGATATTCCACAGCTTTCTTCTATAAAACTAAAAGATCAGCATGAGTAATCTAACCATTTTCAGGAATATTGACTTTAATCAATTAATTGTCAATTAGATTAGCAGTTTCCTCTAACAATTTCTCTCTAAACTAATTAGCTAGTTGTTTAGATTAAGGCAATATCTATGGTTTATAAGGATTTTCATCTTTCCAATTGGATTTTTTGAGTTCTTCACAACCTAATCTATTTCTATATAATATATCAAATTGTTTTTATATCTTTTTTGTCTCTTCAAATGTGAATATGATATTTCCATCTTTGTCAATAGTTCCCAATTTAGGTCTATCATTAGGTTGATGGGCGGTAACAATCTTATGTTATTGAGGTTAAATTGATTTCTAATAATTTGGTAATTCTTCATTCTAAGCTGATGGCAATTCTTTGATTTTGAAATCTGTAATTCCAATCAAAGTCAATAAAAACAAGCAAAGATTTCTTTTGCTAATTCCTCCTAATTCATCACCTCTCAATACCGTCCATATTTCACATAACAAAGCTCTTTCCTCTGACAACCTTAAATTCTCATATTCAACTGCTTTTTCATTATTTTCTTTAGCTTACAACTAATTAAGGAAATCTAATCTCTGAAGGATTTCCCCTAATTTCAAATAATCAATTGAAAAAGAGACATTCGAAGGTCTTTCTTGTCCTGTTTAATCAAAGATCCAATCTATAACTGTCTCAAATTCTCGAATGAACTTTTAAGCTACTATTTTCTCACTATTATTTGAAGTATATTTAACATTTACTGTTACTACCTTAGGTGCATTCTATTTATCTTAGGTTTCCTTTTATTTTTATTATCTTCTTTGTGCATCTTAATAAAGGATATCTTCAACCTTCTAATTTCGAACTATATTTGAGGATTTCTATTGAATAACAGGTTTGAAATCGACTGTTGATTCTGATTATTGCATTTTTGGTTCAGAAGGTTTCTTTTAGTTTAAATTATACAATCTTTCATAAGTAGGGATAGACTCATCTCTAGATTAAAAATTAAAATCATTAGTTTTTGGATGATAAGGATGCTATAAATCTCGATCCATATCATTTTATTTGATTTACTCTAATTTTTATTCTATTTTAAGAACATGATTCTGTTAATCAAATAAAAATTAATAAAGTGACCTTTTTTCCTAACCGTCATTTAATGTTTAAGGAGCAAATGAACAAGGCCTCAATTCCTCTTATTCGTAGTAATCTTTTAACATTTAATTATTCTATTTAAAAATTTCCGCCTCCTAATTCAATCTCTCATATAATATTTCATTATTTGGTTAAGCCATAATCTTTTTCTAAATCACCATTTTGGGCACATTACTATTTTAAGCTTTAAGGGGGAAATCATCTGGCTAATCGTCTCCCTTTAGTAGAGCTGGACATACTGTCATATGCTATTGTTTTGAGTTCATTTAATTTATCAGTTAAATAATAAAATATATATTGATTCTCATTGAAATATTTGATCATTTATCAAACTTTATTTTGGTAGTCATTGCTTTGCCGTCTAAAAAGGAAATCATAATAATATTGAACAATATTATTAGTGTGCTGTCAAAAGAATGGAAGTAATAGATATATATAGATATAATGACAAAATATTTTCATAGTTTATTTTATTTGAAACCATAATTAAGTTTATTACGATTATAATAGAGTATTAATGATCTTTTAAGTTTTTCTAAATTAAATTCAGATTCTAAATATCATGTAATTATTTACATTATATTTTTCTATGTTATGATTGAGGATGATTAATCTTATCAAATTATTATTCACAAATCTTAATCATTCCCTTTTTCAACCATTAACCAAAGTGTTTAGTATTTATTTCGTGAACCTTCATTAATATCCAGTACTTTCAATCCGTAGAAGTAAAAAATTGATTTAAGAAAATATAATTGGAAATCTTAATTATCATTTCAGATTCTAATTGATTTAATACCTTTGATATTGATGAATATTCACCCTATAAAGAGTTGTAAATTATTGTAACCAAAGATTGAATTAGTTGTGTTTTATTCTATAAAATATTTAAAGTATTCAAATAATATGATTTAAAACAATTATTTATTTTAAATGTATTTTTCTATCTTTTATACATGAGTTTCATCATTTCCAACATAATCTTGCAAAAATGGTTTAAGTATTATAAATTTGATTGATAGTTGTTAATCAGTCAATTATAATACTAAATAAGAATTTACTGATTCCTTCATATTACTTTAGTTGATAAATTAAGGGAATGTTTAATTTAAACATTAGAATTTATTCATATATTTATGCTAAAATTATATTAATTTAGCTCAACTCCTTATTGGTTATATTATAATAACATATTATTATGAATAAACCAACTTAAAATATTCTTGAATACTTATAAAATAATTAAAATTTGATTATAAAATATCTCAGAAAATCTCACAACTTTTGCAACATGCGGTATTGGTAACAGGATCAACTTAATTTATTTCAATATTTTATCCTTAAACTTCTTCTGGTTATATGATTTTTGTAGCTGATGCATTACTTACAATTTAAAGTTCTTCTTCATGTTAATTTTTATTATTATTAACATCAGATTCAACTTTTTGAGTTTATTCTTAATTCTATTATTATTTTTATTAATTATCTTGTTATTCAGGTGGTTTCTAAACTTCTTATTCAGGTTCCTGTTTAGAAATAATTCCTTCATTTTATAATTTTTTTTAATCTTAATCTTAATCTTCCCTTTCCTTACTCTCCTCAACAACATGTTAATTTGAATTCTATTAGAGATTTTAGTGATTTTGATTTTGCTCAATTTCTTACTGTTGTTAGCCTTCCTAAATTAAAGGTTAATGATGTTAATCGTTTTCTTTTTGTTGATCTTAATCATTCAATTCCTATTTTTAAGGTTATTCCTCTTCCTAATAATTCTGTAAAGGAGCTTATCCAAATTCTGCTGATTTCTTTTGTTCAAAGTTATACAATTATTTTTAGGTTTCAAAAAAGTCGTTGACATTATTTTCAACATTATCATAAGGATCTTCATTTCTTTGAATCTATTTCTCCTCATTTTTAATAGGAATAAACTGATCAATTTGCTATTTTTATTTAGGAACAGTTCTTCCATCAATTAAATCTAGATTGTAAGGGGGCCTATTTAAATGAGATATAGATACCAGAATGTAGTTTAGTTGGGTTAAGTTCCACCATATTTTTATTCTAATTGATTTGGATCAATAATTTACTGTAATTTCATAAACTCTTTCTTTTATAAAAAATTGATTTTTTCTGCAGTTTCAGGATCCAAAAAGCTTGATATTGTTTTCCACAAAAAGTTCAAGCCTGAAGATGGGTTTAAAATAAACATCTTTTCCAAACAACCACCGAAGTTTGTGCTCATAGTATCTATGACCACTTATAATGCTTTAGTTGGCAAACCAAAAACTCCCAAACCATTACTTTCTAATAAGAATATCCAATTTTCAACTTTGCCAGGAATGAACATGTGTTTTTTAATTATTCCCATCTGAAATGACAATGCCTAAATTATCGTTTCTTTATCATACTATATAAAAATAGTTGGAGTTATACTTTCTTTAAATCAATGAGATGAGCATTCAAAATAACAATGGGACGATATTGTTTATCTCTTCCAAATATATAACAGATACCATCCTTGAGAAATTTTTCAGTTGCTGGATTAATTTAATGATATATTGGATTGGCTCTCCAAGATAAATGCAATTGCAATTTCTAGAGTAATAATGATTTCATTATTTACTTTAATAACTTCCTTCATTTTGAAACGACCTGAGTAGCCAATTTTTAAATAATCACTTTCTTTCCAACTGATTTATAAAACAAAATACTTACTCTGATGGAAGCTACATATTTAATTTTTAGATTTCTAGTTTGAGTTCTTTAATCTTCTCTTATTCAAAAGAATCGTAAGGAACACAATCGTAAATTTTACGAGCTCCTTTTTCTCTTTCGTGATGTTTAATATAATAATCTAAGTATTGTATAATGGTTCTGGGTACCTGTGTGTTAAACTGAATGAGCCCCCAAAGGAGGAGCTAAATATGAATAGTCGATGCTCATATAATATAAATATAAACTTATAATTAAAATCTGATAAAATTTGAAATGAGATAATGATAAAATAATAATAAACTTAAATTATATATATATACTCTATTTCATAAATCTACTTTTTTCTCTTTTTCTCTTTAAGATTCGTATCCAAAAATGGTTCTGACATTGATGAGGTACTCTCTGTGATCAATTCTAGTATGATGGACTTCTGGGAGTTTGGCTAAGAGAGCATCTGCATCAAAGTGACCAGCCCTTAAGTCAGAGAGTAAACGATAAAGTCTTTCGTGATTGCTCTAGAGTAATGATAATTGAATATACTCTGATTGTCTAAACGATAACATTTCTAATAGGCAATTCAGCTGTTTTGATAGCATTCTTCACCATGTCGAGGGACAATAACATTTTACTAAAGTATTGGACAACCAAATTCACATCCAAGGACACATTATCATAATCAAATTCAACTCCTTAACATCTGAATCGAGTTGGATCAATGTCAAAGATAATTGAAGCAGTTAAGCTATAAATAATCATAACTCAATTTACTTCTCTATTTTTACAGGGATGGTATAGGAATCTTCAACAATGATGTCTAGATTAACTGTAGGCAGAGTGATTTCAAGGATGTCGTGATCTACATCAAAATTTATCTATTCTAATAGAAGTAAGGAATTACACTCATCTTGTCGAAACCATGGATTTTAAACTTGGTTATCCAATAATCGAATGCCAGTTTCATGTTTCCTATGTGATCCAGACCTTCTGCGGAGAGGGCATCAAATTATTATGTGAATCCGAAAACAAATTTGTTTATCAATTCTTGAGCTTGTTGACGATGTGCCTTATCAATGAAGTAAGCCTAAGTCGAGTTCAACAATAAGAGAATTGTACATAAGGCAACTAGACGTGTCATTTTAATAAAATTATTAATTCTGGAAGTTTCCTTATGTACATTCCATATGAGAATACTAACTTAATTATCAAATAATATATTATGACTAATAAATTTGTTTCTCATTCTATTTTGACATCCAAAGATGGACTCGAATTTTAGGAAGTAAAGAGGGATCAACCAATTCAAGTTTAGGAAAAGAAGCTATCCTTCTTGACTCTCTCAGAATAAATGGTCGAATAAGAAAAGATAGATTAATTGCTTAGACCAGAAGTAACCAAGATGCAAAGGAAAAAACAAACTAAACCCAACATTTATGAAAAGACCAAGCCTTTAACAGATGAAGGTACTTCGAATCAATATTTTCTATTATAGACAACCTCGAGTATGTTGAAGAGAGCGGATTTAAATAGGAAATATTTAATGAAGAAGATTTCGACTTTTTTTAGTATTATGGTTAATTGAGGGAAATAGAAAATCGAAAAATAAAAATTGAAAGAGAACATATTAAGCAATTCAAATAAAGACGATCTGAATTAACCATTGATAGTACACCTTAGATTGTTGTTTAAAAGGAGACTCAAACATCTGATAAAGTCTACTCTGTGGGGTCAATCAAAGTGGTCAAGTTAAGGATCAAGCCTCCTTAGTTTTTAGAGGATTTGAATCATAAGAATAATAAGGAAGAAACTTAAAAGGTTGACAAAGAAGAAAACAACTCATAAATAAAAAATCCAAATCTAAAGAGTTTCAAACCACTTGTGAGTGATGATGATGATAATATACCAGAACCGCCTGTATAAAAGAAGACAAAACTTATAGAGTATGATTCTGCATGAACCAATATTTATATTATAATAATAAAAACAACCATTTAAATAGTAAACCATATAGTAAATATCGTTGTCGGCCATACTAAGCCTAAAGCACCGGATCCCATTCGAACTCCGAAGTTAAGCGGCTTAAGGCGAGGTTAGTACTAAGGTGGGGGACCGCTTGGGAAGTCCTCGTGTTGACAACCCTTTTTTATATTTTTAATTAAATTAATTTTAATTATTGATAATAATTTAAGCTTAATTCTTTATTAAAACATGAACAATAATGACTTGTTTATACTTCATTTTAATGATGTTTACGATATCCAAGAATAAGTAAAAGATCCTGTTGCAGGTGCTTCTAGATTCGTGCATGTCCTCAATTAATTTTAGTAGCATTTTAATACACTCACTCTTTTTAGTGGTGACATTTTTGCACCATCTGCCTTATCAAATATATATAGGGGTATTGTAAGTTCTATTTTTTAGGTGATCAAATGTTGTTTCCAATCCAAAAATTCAAAATTGATGTGGCATGTCCAGGAAATCATGATTTTGATTACACACTAGAACATGTTGAATCATTATTTTAAAGATCCAATATCCCTTGGGTTTTATCCAATGTTTTTAATGCAGAAACCAATCAAAACTTTGCTCATACATTGCCTCATTTTACTAAGCAATGCACTATTGGTAATCAACCTATTAAAATTGGATTTGTGGGTTTGGCTGAAGAAGAATGGCTTGGATAGATAGTTGAAATCCCTCAGAATCTTATTGCCTATGAAGATTACCTGCATTGTGCAGAGAGAACAGTCAAATATTTAAGAGAAGAAGAAAAGTGTGGATTCATAATAGCATTGACTCATATGCGAGTTCCTAATGATCATAATCTGATTCATCATCTTGTTGGTTAGAAAATTGATTTGGTGTTGGGTGGACATGATCATATGATATATTGTGAGAAAATTAAATAGAGTCTATTTATGAAGAGTGGAACTAATTTTAAGAATTTAGGTATCATAAGAATAAGTTTAAATGAAATTACAAATAAAGATTTAATCAACAATTTCATTTATGATAGTTTTTCTAATGATAAATAAATACTAGAATTACAACATGATTTGACTTTGAGTTAAGACTTTCATGTCTAGGTTTCCATTATTAATATCATCAATTCAATTCCACAAAACTAGGAGATGAGACTCTATGTAGATTCAAAAATTGAAGAATATAACAATTGTATTTGTTATTAATATTATTAAATAGAAAAAGCTAAAATTGTATGCTATGCTAATTGTGATCTTGAGTGTACTTTCCACGAAGTCAGAAACAAAGAAACCAATTTAGCCAATCTCTATGCAGATATCCTAAGATATGAGTTAGATGCTGAAATCTCGTTCTTTAACAGCGGCACTCTTAGGGCTGATGATGTTATTCATAAGGGAATTATTACTTACAAAGAATTAGATAAGATATTCCCTATGGCAGACTAAATAGTTAAGATTAATATTAAAGGATCGGACTTGCTTAAAATCCTGGAGAATGGGTAAAAGTATATAAATATATCAAAGAGTTGGAAAGTGGCCCAATTTCGATGGAAGGTTCTTAGGGGTTTCTGGTATCTCTTTCGCATTTAACCCAACTCAACCTTAAGGATCAAGGATTGTTAATGTCAAAATAAATGGCTAAGATCTAGAAATGGATAGAGTATACAAGGCTGCCAGTCAGTGTTATATTACCATGGGTTTTGATGGATTCATCAAGATACAAGATGACCAATACATTATTGATAAAAATGCAGAGATCTAAATTCTATCCACTGTTTTAAGGGTCTTAGACATTTGTAGATTTCATGAGGAACTGCAATTGTTGAATATATAAGAAAATGAAATAAAGACACTTGAACAATTGGATTTATAAAATCATCAAATTCATCATTATAATAAGATTATTAAAGGATTAACAAAAATAGGTGGAGAAGTCTGTTCAGTCATAGATCCTTAAATTGAAGGTAGGATTATTAAAATATGATATGATTTCGTGTTGATTTAAATATAATATATTAATATTTTTTGCAAATACACACTAGTAACTTCATCAATCCACTCCCCAAAAGTTTCTGAATATAGTTAGGTAAGTGGATTTGATTGCTGCTTCCTAATATACGATATAAATTTTACGTCGTAATGGTAGAAATAATTGATGATACCCATAGCAAGACCAAATAAGAACAATTCCCAACCTTTAATATTTGATACGTATCCTCTCTTCTTTAACAATCTCCAAGCAGTTTCTAATGATTTTGGGAATATAAATAATGCTATTTCCTGTCTTCTGCCTTCAGATTCTAAGAAAAGTGCTGAACAAGCAGCTGATGCTGCAAGGGCAGGACTCCAACCTAAAGATCTCAATTATTTTTACCATCTACTTTTTATCGAATGTTTTTCAGCTTACATAGGACATATTTGCAAATGGCAACGTAAAGAGATACAAATAAAACTGATTTGGCATAATTATAAAATGCAACTGAAATAGTCTTCACAGGTCTTAATAAATTGACTGATTTTCTACCTTTACATCACTCTCTTCCTTTTGAAGATGAGAAATGGAATTAGATGTATCGGAATATAGTATTTGTATGATTTTGGGATTAATTAAAGTAGTCTTAATAAAGAAGCATACAAGCATGTTCCATCGTGATAATCAATGCATTCCACTATGCCCAAGTCATTAATAATACGCTCTTAGAATTCTTTCGATAAACCTCTATTATTAATGGACATAGATATTAATATAATTTCTAATTTAATTAACTCATTAATTAAGGCTGAATCACTACCGAAACACATAATTCTCTCCTAATTTAACAGCAAATCAAAACCAAGAAATCTTAATATGTATATAATTTAAATGTTTTATTAATTTGAATACTTTTATTCTAATTTATTTCATGATTCATAAAGAATTCCCTGTTAAAGAAACTCTGAAAAGTTCATTACCCAATCTAAAACCAAAATTCAGTTCAATTCATAGAACGCAAAATGATGAAGAAACTAATGAAAATATTGAAAATTCAGAACATCATTTAGAACTTTTCAGATCATTAACTACTAAAAATGTTATCAATGTAATCAGAGTTTAAACTGTCAATGATCGATGGATTGGTATTTAGCTTAAAGATCCTTATGTCACTTGTGGATGGTTACTATCAGAAGTCATAAGGAAATTTAGTTAATTAGATTTAAACTATGATCCATTTAATATTGTTGGATTCAAAACTAACAACATTCACCTAGATTATCAACTAAGTTGTTTACACCTATTATTACCTAACTTAAATGGAGTTCTCCTAATTCCACAATTACGTAAAGGCTTGAAAGAACCTATTAATATAGACTGGTTTGAAATAATAAAGAAATTAGGTGCTGGCAGCTTTTCTGTTGTTTATTTAGTTAGAAATAAAGAAAATGGATAGTTTTATGCTATGAAGGTTACTGACAAATAATTAATGGCAGAAAATGAGAAGGAAGACTTAGTTATTAAGGAAAGATAGATTCTTACTCAATTAAATCACAAAAGGATAATTAGTTTACATGCTGCTTTCTAATCAGTATGATATTTAATTAACCTTGTAGAAATCGAAGCTATACTTTATTTTTGATTATTGTCCAGGTGGAGAATTGTATTATCATTTGAGAAATCAGAAAAGATTTAGTGAAGATCAAGCCAAATGGATATTTGTATAAATATTAGATGCCATTCAATATCTTCATTCTAAGAATATCATTTATAGAGATCTAAAACCAGAGAATATTTTAATTGATTTGGATGGCTATCCTAAATTAATCGATTTTGGATTAAGTAAAATTGTTGAAAGTCAAGAGGATCTGAATTTTTCATTTTGTGGATCTTTGGAATACATGGCTCCTGAAATGATATCATTGAAAGGACATAACTACACAATAGATTATTATTAATTAGGTATATTATTGTATGAGATGGTTGCTGGAATTCCTCCATTTTATGCCAAAACTAGATAAGAGATGATTAAAAATATTTTGTCTAAACAAGTCAGTTTTCCTAAGTTCTTTTCAAAAAATTTAGTTGATCTCATATCTAATTTGTGCAATAAAAATGTAGACGAGCGATTATGCGGCAAAAGTATGAAATCAAATTTAAAATAGAAATCTTATAGCATCCTTGGCTCTAGGGTTTCATAAGAAAAATGCCAATTAAATACAAAATAGATTCTTTTCATATTGATAAATTGTTTATGAATTAAATGACTTAGGACATAGAGAATGGGCCCAGATGTATAGTTGAAGAAATTAATCTATAGACAATGGCATAATCAATAAAAGAAGAGGATTGGTGCGCATTTGAAAAATTTTAAACTTTTTACTACAAAAAATAATGATTGAATATAAAAAATGATTGTTATAATTTAAAATTAATATGTAAGATAGTTAAAACCTGAAGGATTTACAGATTTAACTCAACAGATTTATCAGCAGGCTGGAAGAATTAGAAAGAGAAAATAAATACTTAAAGGAATAGGTATTGAATTAATAATGCTAATTGATGTAAAATGTAAAAATAATTGATGCAAAATATTAAAAAATTCATCGTAAGTAAAATAAATAAATTATACAAAGATATTTGAAGTGTCTATATAAATATGGGATGTCTTAAAGTTGTCTAACCAATATGATTACACAATATAATAAATTAATCGATAAATTTGGAATTGATGACTCGATAAAAATGGATCTAAAAGGTTGTACTCAAAAATACGGGGTTATTTATGAAAAGAATAAGATAATTGATGAAGAAGAGATGAACAATATCATAAACGAGAGAATTTCAAAAGAAAGCGAAGAAATATACACACTCTTCTTTCCAACAAAAGCATTTCAATACTTAACAGATAATGATTCATTGTATTATTGCATTGTATTATATGTAGATAAAATACTAGTACTTTTCAATCATTACAATCCCAAAGATATAGAATGCAAAATTCTTTGTAAAATAATTCAGAAATGATCACAGACAATTCTGATGATACTATAATCAACAACTTAACTACTTAAAGGTACTTAGAAAAACTGTAATTTGATTACCAGAATGATCAAACTTTACATTATCCTAAAACTTTCAAAGTAGAGAAACTGTTATAATAAACAAATAGAGATCTAAGTTTGTAAAATATTACAGACAGATCACAAAAATCGAAATTTGAAAAAAGAGGAGACAACAAATAGGAGCAAATTAAAATATCACCACTAAAATCGTTGAATTAATCAGGTATTGAAGACAGAGTGAAAAGATTTGATAATTAAGAGAATGAGGGAGGGTATCCGAGAAGGAGATCAAGGGCGGATAGAATTAAATAGCAATAATGATATATGAAATTAATTTTACTTAATTTGTAAGAAGTAATATGTTAATTTTTATATAAATGAATTAAGTTCAACATAAAGATAAACACTTTAGGTGTTGATTCTGAAATAAAAAGAACTGAATTTAATCTGATACTATTGATCCATTATATATATAATTTAATTGATTGAGTTAACGCAAATTAATAGAATCAAAAGGAGAAGAATCAACATTTTTGAAATTCTCCTTTCGAAATCAGATGATATTTATGCTTAATATGTAATAAAATAAATATTGATTTGAGAAGGTTCTTAAGTAAATGTTTATTTGGTATTTTTTGAATCGCAAGGAAGAATAGAACATTCTATGATTTTCTAAGACATTCTAAATATGTGTTTGCATAAGAGATTGTTAATTAAATAAATATTATAAATTAATGTCGAAATCTCGTAGTCAATCGTCTGTACCTGCCTTTTTATAGAAAACGTATGATATTTTGGAAGTATGATGCTCAATTTTATTATAAGAATCCTTAATTGTAAGATATTGTTGGTTGGAATGAAGATGGTTCAGGTTTCCTTGTGAAAAACGTGATAGCCTTCTAAGATTAGGTTCTTCCAATGTACTTTAAACATAGAAACTTTGCATCCTTTGTTCGCCAAGTAAATATCAAGAGTCAAATTTAATAGATGAACATGTACGGGTTCCACAAATCAAGAAGTGATTTGAAAGAAAATGAATTCATTCATCCACATTTTAGGAAGGACTAAAGGTATTTTTGAATGTTATTCAAGAAATCTATTGAAAAAAATAAAAAGAAAGGCTGGTGAACATAATGATGAGTAATTTGCAATAATGGAACTTAAACCACATAGAAATACCAATTTATAAGATGTTTATTATTAAATTTTATTATTAATTAGAAATAAATTCAAGAAATAATAGCAAAATAGCAGGAGTTAGAGAAAGTTTGTAAAATATTGATTGATTAGAATAATAAAATATTATAATGCAATCAATAACTTAGAAATCAATTGGTTCAAGAGAGGTATATTTCTGAATTTAATTAGATTCAATGGTAATAAAAAGATTCAGAAGCTAAAGGATTACTTTATAGGATAATAATAGATTCAAACTTTGGAAGATGATCCTCTACAAGTAATCATATTTAATTAGGAATTAGAAAAGATAATCTGCATCATTATATTAGGCCTTAGAATCAGATAATGAAGATCTGATTGTTGTGAATAAAAAAAAAGTGAAAGAAGACGATTCTGATAGCACTATTGAAAGAATGGATAATCAATACTCGAATCCACCTTTGATGCTGACAAATGCTGAACACTAAGATATATAAGACTTAAATGATGATGGAATAATTCAATTGTTGAGAGATCAACAATTGGATGATTTATACTTTGATTGATCTATAAAATAATTATGAATAAAAATATAAAATAATTGAATGATTAATATTTGTGATTTTATTTTAAATTCTTTATACACTATTATTCTAACTATCTGAATTTCAGAATTACTTTTATGAACATTTAAATCTACATTTTAAAAAGAATATTAACCAAATAATAGAATCATTTCATTTTACTGGGTTTATTAGTTAATTTAATATTAAGAATGGTTAATCCATATAATCATGAATAAGATTTCATTGCCAATTTTAAGTTATCTAAGTGCAACATTTGGATAATCAAATTTACTAGAATAAAGTAGGAAATACTGAATTTAAAATTAGTCAATTCAGTTTTGATTTATTAAAATGAGTAAATTGTATTATTATGTCTCTGTAATAGATGTTAATACCAAAAGTCAAATCAAAATAATGTTGGATTTTATAGTCAAACATTTTCTTCAATATTATTGTTTAACAAACAAAGAAAATTTATATTGTTAGTCCTTGCTCAAATCCTTATATCTGATTATTTTTTTAATGAATTTAAGTAAAAATTAAAACTACAATCATAGATAATTTATATTAATATATTTGGACATGGTTTTGTAAATTTACTAAAACTAATGCTATCTAAATCAATAGTTTAAGTGATTTAACCTTTTGTAAACTGTCCAAATCTAGATAAATCTAGATAGAAAGTTGAAATACTAAAATAGGTCGAATCATCAAATAATAAAGATAGTCAAAAATGTTATTAATGATTATAATAATTAAGTAATTTATATGTTAAGTATGTTTAATTTACAGAATTCCCTCATTTAATTAAAGTAGAAAATTAAATAATCAATGTTCTTCAATATAAATATCTAATTAAATTTTATATAAGAAAAGGCAAATTTATAATGAGTCAAATTAATTTCAAAAGAAATTATTATACATACTTTAAAATTTCTTGATTTTTAGTGGATTTCAAAATGAATTTTATTTGAGCCACTATTGATCCAAAAAATCGAATGCAAATGAATTTATAATAGTTTGTATCAAAAATTTTGAATTGATGGTATCATGTAAATTTAAAAAATATTGCTAATTATTATTCAATTCTAAATTTAGTTATTTTGAAAATCTAATGCTAATACATCATCTGACCTAAAATTCTGCTAATTCAATTATGATGGAATGAGGTTTTTATTAATTATATAATATATTTATAACAAATGTATAATTTCTTTTAATTACTAATTAATGGATCATTCGAATATCTGTTCAGCTGATTTGGACTAATTGCACATGGTAATTCAATAGAAAATATTTGGTAAAGAAGATGCCTTAAAAAGTGTGACTATGAAATTCATTGAAAAATACAAAAAAACAAATATTTTAGAACAAGATAAAAAGTAATATGTCGATATATTTAGACTTTTAGACAGATTTTCATCGAGACTCTAAGAATTGATGGAGAAATGCAAATCTCAAGATCAAATAGAGTAAATATAGAGCATTCAAAGGAAATTAGCAACAATGAGTTTCATTCGATTTCTTGAAGTTCTGCATTCAACAATTGATTAGAAAGCAAATGAAATAGTAAATTAACAAAATAAATAATCCTAAGGATGGCAAATCAATAACAAATAAAATAAGAATCTTTTTTAATTTTACGATGATCAATTTTGGAAATTGTACGGTCTTCTTTCATTGAATTAGTATTAAAATATTGATATCAAAGAGATCACATAGACAACATGATATAATATTACTAATCAAAATAAGAGAATGTCGAGAGGCTCTTAAAACTTAATATGGAACGGAATAAGTAATTCAATTACTTATAACAATAAAAACCACCTCCATAAGTGGATGTATTCCATAGACATCATAAGACTCCAGTTTCCTTTTTGAATAGGACAATAGATCCATCTCGACATAATAGAAATCAACGAATTCGTGAAGCCATGACTTCGAATATCAAACTTAGCAATTATACAGTATTAACCAGAAGTCCAAAAAAGCAATCTAAACCTACATCCAAAGAAGTTCATTCTGAAAATGAATAGTTTTTCTCATAATTATTGGATAGAAGATCAAAACTAAATTCACAAGAGAAATCAAATAGTTTCTATTTGTTATGCGAAACCAATGCTAAGGAGAAAGTATTGAATTAAGTGCATTTACAATTAAATTCTTTTCCGTAACAAAGCTCTTTAGATCTTAAGGCTTCTGCATAAAGGAAGATAAGCTCAATAGATTTAAATTGTAAATAATTACAAATAAACATAGAATCATTCAATTAGTAAATTATATAATCTGAGTCTGCTACTCCAAAGAAATAATTGAAAAAACAAAGATTCATTTAAAAAATAAACCAAACATTTTACTAACAATTGTTCCCTACTTGTAAAATAAGAAATAGAGGATTTGCAGCTGTGAGAAATTAGCTATTTAATGAATCGAGAGCATTGAATTGTTTGAACATTACTATTAGTAATTATAAAGTATGAACTCTTCATTAACTCCAAAATTGTGACACATAATGATTCTAATTGTATAATTGTTTAATAGTAAATAAGAATAATTTTAATTTCTGTAAACATGATTATAGAGTGCATAGCATTTTTTATCAGAATCACTCAAAAAGTATTTGAATTTCTAGGTCTAACTCCTTTAATAGTATTCCTAGTCAAGAAAAGCATGTGGTATGGATTCTTTACATTTTTGGCATTGGCAACAATTTTAAGAGCCTATTTCTCTTATATTCCTTAGATGAATTAAAGAGTTCAAATTCAGTATCACTTGATAAATGGGAAATATTATGGATTTGTATTCGATCGTTCATTTAAAAATATATGCTAAGTTTCGAATTCAGACATCATACTAGAATTTTAATCTTCTACGTTAAAATTTTAAAAGAATTTTCTATGTGAATCTGTTATTTTCGAGGGTGATAATGAGATTGAATTTTAAGATGAATACTACGAAATTCAATTCAATATTGATGCAAATTATTTAATGCCAAATTAGAAAACCATTGTGGAATTAACCTCATATCTAATAACTGATGACAACAATAAGAATTTTAAATAGCAAAACCTTATAAAATTGGGAGAATAATATCACTTAGTAAAATTCATATTTCATATAGTCCATATTTAAATTTCTTCCTTTCCGAATTATCATTAAAGTGTTTAAGAAAATGTCTGAAGTACTAGATCTACATGATAGCTATGCTAAGACGGGGGACATCAAACTATTTAATCATATTCCAAATCAGAATATAAAGATTAAAGCAATCATTTTGGAGATGATTGCTTATGAGTAAACACATATTTTTAATAAGAGCCGCATAGTTTAGTTCAGAAATTAATTTTGTACCACATCTGTCTGGTATAAGATATTACCTCTATTATTATTTCTTTTCAACTCTGACTTTAGGAACGTTCATACTCACATTGATTTTCATAATATTTTGGGAAGTAATTTTAGAAGTATTACAAATAGATTGTCTTTAATGTCAATCTTTGGGTTTTTATCCTGGGAATTATCAGATCCATACTTATAGCTTTAAGGGAATGAAGTATTTGTTGTTTATATTATAAATGGATAATTTTTATAATAAAATCTATATTAACGATTTAAGTGGTGATCCCTATTTGACGCATTAACACAATTGTTAATATTTTATTAATTATATCACTAATAATAAAGATGGATTGCTGCTTCATTATATGTCCTTGTTGTTAGATCCAGGTAGGGTTTCTCAATTGCTGTACTTGTCATAAGCAATATGAATGGTTACAATGCAATGGCTTACCTGTGGCTTGTCCCATTTGTGTGAATGTAAGTGTTTATGGTTATTTCAAATAGATTAAATTGGATACCTATTATCAAAGTGATGAGGATGTGGCATTACATAGAAATTGTTATAAGAACTATAAAAGAATGTACTATCACTGTCAGTGTTGCGATGGATATTTCTGTACTTGCGTGTAAGATATTTCTACTAAAACTATAAGCGAAAAGCAACTGAAGAAAAAGATTGTTTTACATCCCTGCCCATTGTTCAAAAGAAAGGTTTGAAAATTTGAAATTAATCGTTAAACTAATGATCTCGAGTTTTTATGTATCCATGTATCGTATATTAATATGAAATTTTGATATTACTATATAAACCTGTCACCAATTTTGGATATTGCTACTTAAGCAACTAATCAACTAGGAAATAAAGCTCAGTTAATTTTATTCGATTAATAAACATCAATTCATAACATATTAAGCCGAATCTTCTGAGACTCAAGTTTAAGCTCGATAGAAAGTGCTTTGCAATTCTCAATATTTGCTTTCTTACTTAATGGGAAAATTTATAATAAATTAGCACGTGTTAAGAACCATTGATGTGTAGAAATTAATATATTTGATGAATTAATAGTAATTTTTAAGGGGAAATAACAGGAATATTATTCTTAGATTCTATTAAATTTTAATTTATTTGTATCAAACTTTAGGTTTCACACTTACGTTTTCTTTATATAGATCTGCTTGTATTTATCTTACTTTCTTGATAGGTCCCTTAGGATTCACTGTTTGAACTATTAATCATTATAATTGACAAATTACTTCTAGTCCTGGGAGATAATTATCTATCTGTCAATATTTAGGTTGGAGTAACTGAATCTTCATTTGTTTAGGTCTTAAATTTAAATTAAACAATACAATTTTGGCTGCATAATTGAATTATTCAATATTGTAAGTGATATCATCCTTAGATTATCTACAAGACAAACTTTGTTAATCAGTTGAATTAAGCATATCTGTTAGATTAAAATGTATAGAGTCTGCTTCACTTTTTTGAATTGAAGTTGGCAATAATTTAATTATAGCCATGTGTCCTTGACTTAAAGTATTCTTAGATAGAGAAACGATTTACTTTTTGATGTCCAGGTTAACGAGAAGTATTGTAATCATTAGAAAGATTATTTTTCTTGTGTTTAATTTATTTAGGAGTTAGATTCTTGATTTCTTGGAGATTAACTTAACAAAGAGCATTTTCATAGAATTTATTCTTGCTCTTCTATCTTGTAAGTTGAGTCTAAATAGTTTTTAATTGTTGTTCCTTTTTGAGAGACTCATCAAAAAGGAGAGCCTATTTTCTTTGAAAATCATTTTTCAATTTGAGAGCAACAACTTAGCATTATTCTGCAATTTTTTTTTCATTATGCAACTTCTTAGTTAATTCAGTCTTTTATTCAACTAATTGAGTTTCTTTATCATGCAATTGTTGACTCACTAATTTAAGTTAAGAATCCAATTTATAATTAATCTCCCTAAATTAGAAATAATTAAACTAATTACTTATATTCTAAGAGTTGTTTCTCCAAGATTATTTTCTCTTGTTCATTTTATGTAAGCTTTGATGCTTGTAATTGTTCTCTTTGTTAAGTATTCATCTGATATTGATTATTCTAATAGATGGTCTCATTGTGTGCTTTGTTTAAATCAGCGATTTATTACATTAAGCTTCTTTACTAATTTAATTGTTATATTTACTGCTTATTCATGAGTCTTATTTAATTCTTCAACGGCTTTTTCCATTCTCTCCTTTTCCTTACATTCGCAATCCAATTAATAGGTAAGTTCCTTCAATTTCAATTTGAGACAATTCAAATCCTTATAGATAGTAAGAAATTAGTATACATATTCAAAAATAGATTTCTGATTAGTTAGGGCTTCAGTAAATTCACGAGCTAGTCCTTCTTTTTCGATCTCATTTTATTTTATGATTTAATCCAATTATTATTGCAATTCAAGACATTTTAAACATTTTCTAAATAGTGATGATTTGTACTTACTTTGCTTCTAATTCTTAATAGTCTAATTATAATTGGTTGTAATCATTTTATAATTATATAAACTCCTGAGATTTCTTACGATGCTTAAAATAGTATTTTTATGTTACTTCATATTCAATGATGATGATTTTTTCTTGAAGAGTGGTTTTCAGATTGGATAATTCTTATTAATGCAGTTAATTTAACAAATGAATTTCCTTGCCCTTATCTTAATTTGCCATATCACGCATGGCTTACATTAAGGATTCATTAAGCTTTTTGAGATTAGTCTCTCTATCTAGAGCCTCCTTGAGTTGCATTTCTAATAAAACAGATTTATTCATTAACTGTTTATTATATATATATATAAAATACAATTATAAATAATATATTGTTTAGATCAATTGGATATTTTGTATGAAATAGACGAAATGTACTGTTCAATGGAAAGAGGTTGAATGATTTAATATGTGCTTTACTTTAATTAAAAATTATATTAAAATGTAATTTAATGAAGACACAAAGAAGTTCTTGACTCCTGAAATGATGAAATAGATGTCATAAATGTGTGCGGGCATGAGTGATGATCAATTGAGACAGTATGCCTAGATGGCAGGAATGGGGAACGTGGATCCTTCATTCGTGAGACAACAAATGGGTCAAGTCAAAAATATGAGAGATGAGGATCTTGAAAGATAGGTCAATCAAGTATGGTATTTATCTCTATTTTAGACTCGTCCAGAGGACATAGAAAGAGCAAAATAAAGAATTTAGGGACAACAACCATAACCATAATAATAGTAGCAAAAACCATAGAGTGACTAATTTCCAATAATTAACAAATTAAAAAATTAAGGAAATGATGCATTCAAATTACAGGATTATGAGAAGGCAGCATCCAAATATTATGAAGCCATATCTGAAATTGAAGAATTATGGGAGAATAATGCTTATTTGAAAAGTGACACAATTAAAAAATAAGAATTGAAACTCTTGGAACATTCTTGCAGATTAAATTACTGTAATGTGAAAGCTAAACAATCCTAATATGATGTCGTGTTACGTTAAGCCAAGAAAGTCTTAGAAGATGATGATTAGAATGGAAAAGCCAATTTCAGAATGGGTCAAGCTCTCTTTGAAACAAAAAGGTATCACGAGGCTCTTAAGTATCTGGAGATTGCATCTCAGAAATTATCAAATGACGAAACAGTTCAAATTATGTATAAACAAGCCAAAGAACAAATAAGTAATTTAAATGCAAATCCTGCTGCATAATAGGAAGAGAAGGGAAATTAAAATGAATAACCTTAGTAAACCTAAAAACAGCAAAAAGAAAACTAAGACATCTAGGAGTAACAATAAAAAAAACCAAAAATCAAATTGTCCTCTGTTGACACCAACTCTGAGGAATTCTAAAATTTAAAGTAGAAGGTACAAACTTCTAAAGAAGATGGTTTAATTGTTGAGGAGGAGGTTTAAACTACAAAAAGTACAAGTAATAAACCGAGTACTCAATAAACTGAATCTCAAAATGTAAATAAAATACCAGAAGATCCACAATTTCAATAGTAATTCGACTAATTTAAAAATATGGTAATATCCATAGCTATTATAGTCTCCTGAATAATTAAATTACATGACCAATACTTTGAAATCTATGGATAAAGGATTTTTGAAATAAATGATGAAATAGTAGAGTGGAGTAGAAATGTCAGATTAATAAATAGAGATGATGTAAACTATGATGACACCTGAAATGTTATCATAAATGAAAAATATAGATCCAGCAGTTTTAAAATAGTAAAAATTATAATAATAATAATAACCATAATTCTCATAATCCTCATAATAATAACAACCTATTTAATCAACTTAATAATCAAATTATCAAAATGTTCCTTAAGCTCAATCTGCTACTTAATAAATGCCATAAAATCTGTAAGGATTAGCCTAGAATCCTTAAATGCTTGGAATGGTCATCGATCAATTAAAGGCTAATCCCTAAATGCTAAAAATGATGGCTCCTGCATTTGGTGGCAACAATGCTATTACATAATATATAGATTCTGCAAGGTGAGATGTTTATCCCATTCGTTTTAGTCCAGAGTAGTTATCAAAGGTCGTGGGTAGATTGGCCATATTCTTAAAGTTTTTATTAATGTTGTATCGAGCATGGTTGATGGTGAAAAATCAATGGAAATTTATATTGGGGTTCCTCTTGGCATACTTATATTTTAAATTATTTTGAATTCTAAAAAAAGAATAAGTTATTAAATTCATAATTATTAATGGACACCCCTATAGGTAAAGACCTCACGAATTCTGTCATCGGCAAAGTTTACAAGTTGATCAAGAGAATAGGAAGTGGAGCTTTTGGGGAAATCTACCAAGTAGCCAAGGGAAAGGAGGAATATGCAATGAAATTGGAAAGAAGTGATAATAAGCATCCTCAATTGTTTTTTGAAGCTAAATTGTATTCATATTTACAAGGCTCTGATCATAGTGATAAGGGTATTTGAAGTGTTAATTAAAAGTTAGGAATCCCTAGAATATATGCTTAAGGAACAGACGGCGATTATAATTACATCGTCATTGATTTGCTGGGTTAAAGTCTTGAAGACCTGTTCAACAAGCATAATAAAAGACTATCTCTAAAGACTGTAAGCCACTCTAATTAATACTTAGGTCTTGATGTTAGGAGATTAGATGATTTAACGAATTGAATTCATCCATCTGAATAAATTCCTTCATCGCGATATTAAGCCTGATAATTTCCTCATTGGATTGGGCTAGAAGGCAGTTAGAATCTACCTTTTGGATTTCGGATTAGCCAAACGATATTAAACAAAGGAAGGACATATCCCATATAGAGAGGGAAAGAGTCTAACTGGAACTGCCAGATATGCATCCATCAATACTCACTTGGGGATTGAGTAATCAAGGAGGGATGACCTAGAGTCTCTTGGTTATGTCTTAATGTATTTATTAAGAGGACAGCTTCCTTGGCAAAACATGAAAGGAAATAATCAAAAGGAAAAATATCAAAGAATCATGGAGAAGAAGCTTGAAACATCTTCTGATGTATTGTGTAAAGGGTTTCCTATTGAATTAAGTCAATATTTGAATTACTGTAAACATTTAAAATTTGAAGAAAAACCAGATTATCTTTATTTGAGAGGATTGTTTAAGGTATGTTGATGAGAGTACATTTTAGGATGCGTTTAAAAAGATCGGTTTTGAACTTGATTAAAAGTATGATTGGATAAAGGATGACAATATGATAAGGACTCAGTAGGATTTGATGAGTGCTGAAAAACAATAGTTACAAAAACAGTTGATTATGACATAACCATTACAACAATAACCTCCAATACTACCAAAAGCAGCATTGAACGGGATAGATTCTGAGAAGAAAATATCAAACACAAATAATTAATAATTAAGCACTTAATAATTGACAGCACAGAGAAAAACGTTGTAATAACAATAAATGAATAAGATGTCATCAGTTGAAAAGAAAAGAACTACTTCTTAAAACAGGTAGCACATTCCCTCGAAGGAAATAGTGAAGCCAGTAGCTTAAGTGTTGGCACCAAAAATAGTCACTACTAAGGAACCTCACAGAAAATATTGATATTCTTAAATCATACATATTTTAATAATTGATTCTCAGTAAATCTCATTCTTGATTAAGCTAATTCTATGATTCATTAAGCTAAGAGTGCTCTTTTTAAAAATCAATGGAAGATTATTCAACTAAGAATTGATATATATCAATATAGTTTTAACATATTTCAAAGTGAAAAATGTATTATTGAAGGTCAACAGTAGACTTCTAAATCTTTAATTTAATGTCTCAAAGTTAGAGTTTTTAAAATGAAATATATTAGCCTCTTATTATATGTAGATATCTAATTAATAATAGTTAGTCTGATTAAATTGTAACATTTATACTGAATCTAATTTATATTGAATTACTTCTAATATAAAATCTATCTTTATGTCCCAGTAATTTCAACCTAAATTAGGAATCTAAAAAGAATGAATATAATGATATAAATAAGGTTGAATATATTGTTGTTATTAAGATATCAAATTTCATCAAATGATTAGTTTTAACTTGATTAATTTTGAGTCTGTTTTGACTGTTTTTACTTCGTTGGCATAAAACTTGATGTGACTGTTAGGAATCTTCCATCCTTAAAGTTATTGACTTCCAACATTTTTTAATTTAAATGTGTAATACCCATTCTAGTATTAGTAAATTTCTTATTATATTTTAATAATTACTTGCATGAAACTAGGCAAAAGGGATTTTTGATCACATTCTCTGTCTAACATGGTTTTAAAATTAGGTGCTGTTGGAGAAGTGAACAATTGACTTTTAGGTTGTTTTGAATATTAATCATATTCAAAGTAACTTTCAAAATTATAGGGAGGTATCTTAGTCAAAATGTCCTTTCTTTATTCCAATTTGTAGAAGGGTGCTCCACAACTGCCCAACTACCTAGTTTGAATAAGTGAGTGTACTTTTTGCCGAACTCAAAATTAGGTTTATAATCGGGTGCAAACTCTTTCTTTTTATAAATCAACATCTGATCTCTGGATAATTACTTTTCCAATTTAATTTACGGTTATCTCGGTATCTTACTCCACTGGTTGGTTACATTTAAGAACTGAAATCGATCCGGGTGAGGATTGGGTCTTCCTGAGAAGATATCAGCTCTATTTTAGAGAGATGAACAAACCTTGGTATTTGTCTTTGCAGATCTACAAAACTCTCGTATTTGAATTTAGGTTTCTCGACAATGGAGGGAGTACTACGGTAGTAATAAGGGAACTTACTCTTGAGGTAAATCTTATTGATGTTTATGAGGAACTTCGACAGGAATGGTGTGTTTCAAAGTCTTATCGTAATGTGGAACTGAATGCACGGCTCTGTCAAAAGTATAGGATATTGTATTACTTGTCGAGTTCACTATATTTGATATGATATTGTCCACAGGATGCTTTGCAATTGTTTCCTATTTAGGTGTAATGACCGACTTTTCTGGAGATCTATTTGGTGAAAGGTTAGGACATTCTGAGGAGATGCTTTAAATGGTTTTGTTCGGCTTCGTTAAGTGATTCCTATTGAGAAAGGGCATTCTTATTATTCAAGTCAGGAGATTTGCTTGGTTGTGGAGTGCTGAATTTTTTAACAGGATGATCGTCTCTGTGTTGGAATACAATATATTTTTCAGAAGTTATTTTGCCTGCCTTACTAAACATATTTTATAAGTCATTTTAATTATGTATTAGAGCCATTTTTATAAATAATAATATTACAAAAAGAGGATATTTAGTAAGAGGGCATTATTTTATTAAATAATATAATTAAAATGGAAAAAATGGAAATGGTTTCATCTCATCTACCTCTTGTGAAGGACAGGGGAGAGTGGAATCAACAGACATTTATCATTCGGCCTAAATTCGAAAAGAAAGAGCGACAAAGCATCGATAATCAATTAGAGATACAGTTTCCTTTGCATAGGGACTTCGACTTTGTGGCCAATCATGCCATGGGTTTCAAAGGGAAAGGCAATGTAGACTTATTCAAGTTCTACTATCGATTGTATTTGAAGAATAAATTTGCAATTCAGAAAATCAGAAAGGAGAAGAAAGTCAAAGATGGATTAAAAAAGAATGAGAACACCAAAAAGTAGTAACTGAATCAGACTGAAGAACCAAATACGGAGGAGATACGCAATGCATACAAAACAATAGAGATTAAACCACCCTCTTAACAGAAGTAACTGAAATTTGTTAGAGAATGCATCAAGAATTTATAATAATAGGCAGCTATCGTGAATAAACACATAGAATTGCCAAAATTGGTATCGCCATAAACTCAAGTCAAAATAGTTAATATCAATACAACTAAAATTCCTTAAGCGAAAACAAGGGATCAACAATTGGAGTTAGAAGAACTAATGCTGAGTAGAGTGGTATAGGCAATTCAAGAATCTCAGGTGGTTTCTCATGAAGATGTAAGAAAAGTAAGGGAAATCATTGTGTAACGACACAGTCAATTGAGTGAGATTGAGAGAGAATTATAATTGAATCAAATACTAGGAATCAAGAAACAAATTTATGAGAGAGAAATGGCAATGAAGAATGAACTCAATAGACCTCCAGGCATTGATAATCCTGATAATTTCAATGAGTTGAGTTCGATCTAAGAAGTATCCATTATTAGATCCATGCAATTCAGATCATAGCCTAATGTAAGTGTTACTGAGTACAAATTTAACAATTATGAAGACGAATCAGAATACATGACTAACAAAACTAAAGTAGGGTTAAAATAAAAATAAGTAGAAGAAACAATGATCTAAGAACAATCAACTGAAATGCAATCTATTTTACAATAGGTCAGATCGACATCTCTTGTTACAAAAGGAAATGAGACTGAACACAGTAAGGAGAAGATCTTAGATAAAAATAAATTATTACCAACCTTAAAATTCTTAGAGTAAGCAAAATAGTAGATTGCCCAAAGATCTGACAATGATAGTCAATAACTCTAATAACCATACTTTCAACCTGAAATTTAAGACTCCAGCAAGTCTAAGGTTTAATAGAGTCTATCTATGGTATCATAACTACAAAATAAAACAAGTAAAACCATTAAATCTAGTGCTAATAGATCAAATAAATTGGCATCTTCTTCATCCAATCACCATTCAAATTAGGTAAGTCTTGAAAAGAAATAATCTGAAACTATGAGAAGGACTGCTTAGAAATAAAATGAAGAACAGAAGGCAAAACCATCAGACAAAGAACTAGATGTAAGTGACGATATGAAATTTGAGAGATAGAATTATTATGAGATGAAATTCAGTCAAATATTATAAAGAGTAATGGATTAAAAGAAAATTCAAGGAGGAGAAGAATCTTAACATTCTCAGACTCTCTCCTAAGTGGAATCTGAAACTGTCTAAAAAATAACTTAGAATCTAGTAACTAATATCATTAATATGCACAAAAATCCAACTCCGATTATGGATTAACCATCCACTTTCAATTTCTTAGATGTTGATTCTGATGATTAAGAAAAGGCAACATAAAGTATATCTGTTATGAAAAGCGAAGAGGTTCCTGAGGAAGCTCGCAGACATCTCTCTTACAATCGAGACATCTCTCATTTAGATCATGCATTCAAAATTGAGAGTCAAGTGTCACTCTCTGACAAAAGATTGAATGAAGAATAAATTGCTAATATTATCTAATAGATTTCACAACAATTACAATAAGCTCAAATACCTCCCGAACAAATTGAAAAATAATTAGATGAAGTCACTAATATTTTACTTAAACATCCTATTAATAAGTTGTCATCCAAATTACTGAAGAAATCAACGACCATTATGTAAAATGAACCTAATAAGAAGATCTATTTAGAGGAAACTAAGTTTCCAAGTAAACAACCCAAAGTCACACATAAATAAGAATAAATTGATTACTTGAAATTTTATGAAGAGAATGCTCCTTCTAAATAAGAGAAATCAAAGAAAAGTTATAAAATACAAGACACTTCCAAAAGATCTAAATAGTCTGCTATGCTCAAAAGTATGTCTGAGGATGAACGAAAACAACTTCTAGATTCCCATAAGATGAATCTTTAGGAGCGAGCTAATTCTTAAGAAATGGATGAAGAATTGCAATTTCTGTAATCTGTAATTGATGATCAAAAGAAGTAAAGGGAGCAGATATTCACTAAGAAATAATCTTAACCAATTTAATCAGGTAAGAATACATCCAGAGAATAGATTGATTTCGATGAATCCAGTGAAAAATAGTAAAATACATTTCGATCTCATAATCCTCCAACTAATATCAATTATGAAACTGATCAAATTAAATAAGGATCAACAGATATCAATTTCAATCTCAGAAGACCCTAAATTAAATAAAAAACTGATTAGACCTTCGGTAAATCTGAAAATACTTAGCAAATTTAAATCTCCAGTTAATAAGGTACCTAAAGATCAGATCCTTATAGAAGTAAAACTAAAAGAACTAATCATGATGAATAATATCAACCAGATGGATCCTTAAAATCTAATGGTACCTATAAAAGCAACAGGTTTGGGAATAGAGAGAGCAGTGATAAAGACCATGAAAAATTAGAAGTGTACTCTCCAAATATATCAGTTGAAGAAGTACCTCATTAAGATGAATAAGACTCATTAACAGACAAAGAGGAAGAGTTATTTTTGGAGGAAATCTAGCAATAAATTGATGAAAATGGAAATACTGTCAATGTAGTCACAAAGAGAACTATGAAAGCAGTGAGTGAAAGGTCAAAGAAGTCAGATCCTAAATAAAGTGAAAGGTCAAAAAAATCAAAATAATCAGATTAGTAATAACAATAACAATAACATTAGCTATAGGCCAATAGATAAAATCCAAGAGAAAAAACACAATAATCGTAGTATAAGGAATAGGAGTAACATTAGGATTAATAGTAAAATTAAGAATAACACTTAGTACAATAACATAAGTAAATAACAAATTAATAATAATAATAAAATTATCAAGAATCAGCTAATAACAATAACAATGAAGATAGATAAATTAAATTAAATTTTCAAAGATAGGATAGTAATTAAAATATTGCTGAGCACTCTTAAAATTAATAGATTTATTCTTAGCAATTGAGAAATAGAACTAATTTGTAAGATATTCAATTGAAAAACTATTCGCCCTCACAAAATTAATCATTAGTTAATAGTAGTGGAACACCTTAATAAAATAATACTCCTCTTTAACAGCCTGGCAGAAAGCAAGGGAGTAAGAAGACAAAGTTTGAAGATTAAAGTAGTAATAATAACAATGGTAACACTCCGTAGGCAAAATTATAGAGAGTGAAGACCAAATTGTCAAGATTTTAGGAGGCTGCCAATAATAATGATGATGAAGACTACGATTATGATTGGGATGAGGAGGATCCAAGCAATAAGAAGAAGAAAAACACATCAAAATCTAGTAAATCCACTTTGAGAAATGACATTCAATCTCCATCTGTTTCTCCAATGGCCAAGTAGGCTACAATAGCAAAGAAGAAGGTTTATGATCTAAAATAGGAATACGAACTAATTGCTAGACAGAATTTGAGTTTGGCAGATCTCAAGAAGGATATTGAAAAGAAGATCACTTAATTATAGAATCCCGATGATGAAGCCAAGTATAATATTTATCTTTGTAAATATATTTGATTCTACATTTAGATGAGTAACGTTAAAAGCAATTGAAGAATATACCTTAAACAATTGAAGGATAAATAAATGAAAAGAGGGAGAATGAAGATGGCTGTGGCGATACCATACGTAAATTTCATGAGAATCGAATGAGATATAAGGATGTAATAGAGAAGGATCAGGCACTTAAATTTACTAATCAAATTCAATTGGATGATGAATAGCAAACTCAGATCAATACACAATCTCACCTTGATGAATATATGAGAGAAGTGTAGATGAATATTTAAAGAATGATTCAATAAGTGCAATTAGGTAAACATTTTGATTGATTGTTATTAGAGCAAATGAGGGATCATCCTGAGGTTAGAAAGGAGTGTTTCGAATACGATACAAGCATCATTTAATAAAGGAAAATGGAATCATTGGCAAGTGAAATAGTGTAGACTCAAGCACAAATGCAAATCTATGAGGAACCTACTTAAGAGACTCAGAGAAAGACTGAGCGTTTGGAATAGGATTCGGTAATGACAAATTAGATTGACAAAAAATTTGACATTTTGGCACAGAAATTACGAGCATTGAAATACAAGAATCCAGAGAGATTTAATTAAATTGTAAATACAGAGATTGTAAAATCAGATTTATTTTTGTCAACTACCAAACACAAATATATTTTAGAATGATTAAAATATTATTAATTAATTTAATTAATAAATGAACAATATAATCTTAAATATTGATGCAAGATGTAATCACATATTTGTAAACATTGTTCTAGAGTAAAGTAGAGTATACAAAAGACGACTTGATAGATTTAATATTTATCTAGTAAATAAGTATACCCACATGCTATTGTTATGATTTTGGTAACAAAAGATTGATTTGAATTCTTCATCTTTATGGCTGCCAATAATAATTATTATATGATATATCAATATGTGTCATAAAAAATTAAATATGCTTCACCTTGTTATGGTTGTTTTGTTGGAGTGACTTTGATGTCAGAAGTAATATACCACTCACATTTTTTGTATGATTTATCTCGACTCATTGATGATTCAAGATCCAATGCAAATGTCCTTTTGAATGTAACATAATGGCCTAGAAAGATGATTTAAGATACTCACCAGAGTTGGAATCACCTAAATGACAAACTAATGCCGAAAGAGAGTATTCTTTGTCAGCAACCATAAAAGTAGAATCCAAATAAACTGGATGATCCAATTTTACTAATCCGTAATAGGGATGCACGATGAGTCTATTGACAAAGAAGCAGAAGGTTTTCTTAGAATAGATCTATAGAAATACTGGATATTTTGCAATGTGAGTCTGGCGTGTCACTGTTCTTTTAAGACACGCCTTCAATGGGTCCATTTGAAATGGATTGTCTTGGACTGCATTAAGTTACTCTATGATCTTCTTAATGAGGGTTTAAGAATCCTCATCATAAGCGTTGATTGAGAGATATTAATCAATGATCTTCTGCTAATCGTTTAGAGTGTATTTCTTTCTCAGGAATTGCAAAGAACAGTAGAGACAGATATAGTCTGTTATTGTTTCTGGTTACTAGATATAATCGATTGCTTGTTTAACTGTTCTTGCATGGTTGAGTTGGAAATGGAAAGCATAGTTACTTTCTACTTTGAGTGAATTAAACTACATTTACTAGAAGATGCTTACAGAATAATTACAAGTATTGCACTTAATTTGAACCTTAGTGTGATGAAGAAAAGGATTCTTGAATTTCATTTGTTTCGATCTCAACATAGCTAGATCAAATGAATTCACTTGGTTATTCGCTTCTTCAATGTGTTTCATGAGCATGTTGAAGAGTTCATGAGAATCCTATTATTGATAAAAAAAGGAATAATCAGCATCCTCTGAGAGGAGCTCGATCAAGTCGTTAGCATCGATCACTTCCATGTCACTATTGAGGTATTTCATGATTTTGGCCAATTCTAAACAGATCTACTAATCTAAGGTAGTATCCCCATTGATATGCTGCACCAATTCAAACAGATATTCAATGAAATTGGGTTATGAACTTAATGCCACTAATTATGTAATTTATCGTACTTGTAATACTGAATTCAAGAAGCAAGTGTTCCCGATGTTTCTAATTCCTGCTGGTTTCTTATTGTAATCAAGAGTGGCCGAGGACTATAGTAGACTGTATTCTACTTGACCTGTGGGCTTCTATTGTTTGGATTTCATCGTGTATTTGAATGCTCCGAGCAAAGCCAGCATCAGAGCTCCTCCATAGACCCAATGGCCTTTATTTTTAATCATATTTATATTTAAAATTATATATTAATATATTTAAGTAATTTATTCAATAAATCACTTTTGTAATGTAAGCCAACACCAAAGTCCCTGTGGATATCCATAAGACTCTTGAGGACAACTTTAAAGCCATCAAAGAGCAGGGAGTGAACGAGATTTGCAACTTCATGTTATCGAGTTTAAGAGATTAGGTAACTTAAATTTAAATACATATCGAAGGACTTGCCATAACACATCAGACTACAGTATCTGTATAATGTCCATCAGATCAATTAGAAAATGAGTTTGACTGAGTTGTGCAACAATCAATTGGAATTGAACATCGTAAACAATATCAAATATGTATCCTCAATGCAGTAAGATAGAGTATGGGTAAGATTTAGATTAATTGCTGAATTAAATGGACACATCCCTAACTGCCTCATGTGAATATCTGAGACCCATCCCCTAAATATTAACACCACAATGGGAAGACATTTCACCTCAATTTACAATCCAACCAATTTGGGATTATAATATTAATCCATTCCTCTTTCGATTTTTCCTAACACAAGCCCAATCCTCCAAACTCCCCCCCTAGGATCAATAGATGATCTTGACACTATTCAAGCCAGAATACAAAATAGATAACGACCAATTCAACAATCTTGTTGAACACAATCCCTAATTGGTTAGTGATATCATTACTAAACTGCACTAATCTGGAGTGAATGTTCATGAGTAAATCTAACCATTTATTAGTCTCTAGATATCTAAATTATCTCATTAATATTAAGGTCACCATCTAGACTTTAGAGTTAGTGAATCAACTCACCAAGAATATCACTCTTCCTGACGAATTTCTTAATATGTTCATTACCAGATGCATTGAAACTTGTGAAGAAGTCAAATAAGTAACAGATTAAATCAAATATCCAATTAGAATCAATAATAATTAACTAGACAAGTCAGATTGTTATCAGTCTTCATCAAGACGCTGATCAAGCAAAAGACCTTCAATCCAAAGAGGATTTATGTTGAACTCTAGGGATTCTGTTTAGAGTTTTCTTCTATTTAGGAAGCAACGCAGTTATTTAAGGCTGTCAAAAATGCAGTCCAGGAACAATGAGTTTAAATATCAATATAATATTTTATTATTATTTCTTATGAGACATTAACGAGTTGAATCACTAGGTCCAATGGAAGAAGTCAGAAAGAAACACACAAAGAGTGAAATAGTACTGTCTTCCATGTTCAGATTACCTAAGGTACAAGTACCACAAAGTAATCACATCTCTTTAATCACTATAGGTTCAAAAAATGCATTATCGGTCAATCCCAATTGGTCTCATTTAAACTATCAAAACGATAATTCAAAAACCAATAATACCTTTGCAGAAATATAAGAGATTCTATAACAGTAAATCACATTGCAATATCCAAATATTCTACCTTAACTCAAAAAATTCATTTAATAATCCTAAATGGGCATCACTTTAACAGAATTATCTAAAAATAGTTAATTAATTGACAGTTCAGTCAATCTCTTTACCTAATCCATTTAAATTATGCTTTCGATCATTAAGGAAAAAGAACCAAAAAAAATTGAAATTAATCCTTAAGCTGAAACTGAAATTTAAAGAAAGTTTTCGTTGGCCTTAATAAAAGAATCGAATAATAGAGCAGATCGAGAAACTTAAATTATAAACAATGAGCTAAAACTTATCAATCATAAATTGTAGATAGAACTAAATCAGTTAGCCACCAAACTAAGAAATCTAGAGATTAGCATGGATGTTGATCTTTTAAAAGAAAAAATTAGGGATTTAACTGAAGAATTAAAATAGAGGACTTTGGAATTGAAGATTGAAATTTAAAATAGAGATCAATAACTAATCAAACATCTACAAAAAATAGCATAATTGAAATCGATAATCTAATAACACGAAGAGAAAATAGAAGAATTACAAAACTATATCAATAGTAATCAAGAAAGATTCACTCAAATGGAAACTACATTCATGTCAGTCTATAATGATAGATATTATTGGAAAGATATCGCAAAAATGTTGGAGGAGGACTTATTGAGTTAATAGATGAGATATCAGAAATTTTTAGCCGATGAAGCAAAATCTAAAAAGAAACTATAAATGCTCCAAAGAGAATTAGATTAGATCAAAATAGAGAAGAGCAAAAGAGTCGAAATTCCAGAATTTAATAAGGAAGCTGAAGAGAATCTATAAAAACTCTTATATTTATTCACTAAAGAGAAATTCCATATGGTTCAAATGAAAGCCTTTATCTAAGATAAAATGAGTAAATTAAATGAGCAAGAATAACAACAATTTTAGTTTATGAAAAATTTAAAATTAGATCACATTTATATGGATAGACTCAACAAATATACTTATCCCAGATAGTCATTCCTGGTATTTTATGAAAGTCAAATTAAACTTATTGAATCCGAATATAAAAATATTAACAGACATAAAATCTCTCTAAATTACTTTGCAATTATCAGAGCAATTTTAGATGCAAAATTTAATGAATTTCAGTATTTAGAAAATTTACAAATGGCTACTAAATTTGCAGATTTTGTTTTTTCTTGGATAAGCACTTTCTCATTGGATAAAAACACAAAACAAATCATTTAAGTGGGATAAGATTAATTAGACAATGTTCGCTTAGACTTTTTAATGGACACTTTAAACCCAAAACTAGGCTAAATACACGAAGTCATAACGTTTAAGTATTTAAATTAAAATAAATAGTTAATTTTTATTTGAGTAGTCATCACTTGATGAAGTATATTATTATTTGCATTGTAGATATATGCTTTTCAAAGGGTAGGTTAAGAATCTTTCGAGATCAAATTTCGAAACTATTATGTATGTCCGATAGGAATAAGCAGAACAATTAATCTAAGAAATTATGCATAAATACTCTACAGAATAAATTAATTATACAAAAAATGTTATTAAAGAAATGGTTGTTACTAAAAATAAGATTAAATTGGTTGATGGTCATTACGTGCTACGAATTTTGCTTGAACTTTACAGACAAGAAAGACAGACTAGACTAGCAGTTCTAAAGGAAATGTTTCATTCTTGTTTATCCTTATAGAGTTTTGGAAAATACGGAGTAAATTATAAAAATTTTAGAAAAATCTTCTAATTTAATTTCCCAACTTCATCTGAAATTGAAATATGCTCCATTTTCAGAGAAGCGCATATGTGTGGTGACGGTATTGTCACTGCAGAATCATTCTTTACTGCTGCTACTGAACAAAATTTCTTCATAAAATAATTGTAATTAAATTACTTGATGCATCCTCCACAAGTAGAGTTTTATAAGCTTAGTTATTGTGAATTTAATCTGCCCTACTTGGATTTCTATAACCATTACAATCAAATACCGAAAAAGCTTATTCAAAATGTTTGTTTATCGATGGGATTAGAATATGTAAATGCTGAGTTAAATAAATACTATTAAATTATAGATGCTTTGTTTGCTCATCCATATAACATATATTCTTTATTATAGATGATGACTAAATTGATGAATCTTTTTAATAAAATACAAATGATAAAGAACCTCCAGAAAGTACAAGAGGATTGGACTAGTATTGAGTTAGAAGCGATTAGACAATTAGTAAATCAAATTCCTGGAGTGTTTGGGTTGGTTTTAGATTTGGATTAAGAAGAAAGATTGAATTTGATATAAAAAAATTAGAAAATTCGCGCCTTGCAATTGGTAGGCAAAAGAAAAGCTTTAAAGTTTTATTCATTTATTTCAGCAATGTTGAATGCTAAAGTCAAATAGGAAAAATAACCTGATGCATCACCAAAGAGAGGGGTGAGGAAATCAGGTAAATTTTGATTTTATTTATTATATTTTTGAAATTAATTTGATTAACAACGAATTATAATTAATTTTATAATTTGTATAACTTGTTCTCATTTTTATACTAAAACTGCTTTAAGCAATTAGTCAATTTATAATTTATTTTTTATAATTTGAGCTTTGATATTTTGAATTTTAGACTTCTTCTCCTTGATGACTTCTTCAACTTCAGCAATTTTATCAAATAATGGTTGTTATGCCTAGAATGTAAATAAATAATACTTACTTCTTCAGTTGCTCTATTCATATCTACCATCTTTTGTTTAGAAACATTATAGATCTTCCTCCATTATTGCAACTCCCTATTCATGTTCTCAATATCATCTTAGATAAATTCAATTTATTTAGCCAAAGGATTCACATTCTAACTCATAGATTGGATCAGTTTTTGCATCACTATTGTATCAGAGACTTATGAGGTGCCTAAATTTTAAGCAATTTCTTCCTTGATTTTATCTGCTTATAAAATACAAGTGAATACCTTTTTGAACGTTGACCTTTCCTATCCTCTTCATTTTAATTCCTTCTTAAGGTTAATCCTTTTCTTTTTCCTCTTCTTTGGCCTTATCTTAATTTTTCATATTATCTCTTACGAATTTCCCATATTCTTGTGCATTAATATCAGCATTTGGTTTCACATTACTTTAAACTATTACGCCATCGTCGTCATCGTTATTTCCTTTCCCCTCTATAATTACATTAGCTGTCCCTCCCTTCTTCTAATTCTATTCAACTGCAACCTGATTAGTGGGCAATTAAGGTGGTCTCTTTTTGGCTGTTGAAGGTCGAACATTTCCCTCTTGAGTCTACTGCTATTAAGGAGGAGGTTGTTATTATTATTTTTGAGTTTCCTTTGGCTATTAAGGAGGAGGTTATTAGGCTTGTTATTTTGGCTTTTATTCCTCTTTTGGTGGAGCAACTTTCTTCTCTTCCTTGACTTGAGGTGGAGCCTATTCTTTAGGAGGGGGCTGTTGAGGTTTTTATTCTGGCTTAGGCTATTCCTTTTTAGGAGGTTCGGGTTCTTTGGCTCCTGGTCCTCCTAAAATCTAAAATGAGAATTATAAAACAGTAGTACTTTCTTAACAAAAGGGTCGCTATTTTTACCACTTACAGCTGCTCTGTAAATTGCTTATAATAATAAATTAGTATTTTCAGGTTCTAAACCTGCAGCTATTTTACCAGGTTTTGCAGCTATTTCCTCCTTCAGCATCATGGATGTCAAATCAATGATCTTCTATAAAAATGAAAGCTTTTTGTCCTTATTGTCATATGTGTTTCCATCCAATTCATCCCCAGTATAGAGTCCTTTAGCATAGCCTAATGTAAATTTAAATTTGAAACCTGTTTATTTGGTTGTCTCCATTATGATATCAAATATGTATTTGAATGGAGGCTTTTCAAGTAACTTTTATGACATTTTTGGCTTTTCGAATAGAGCACTATACAAATCAGCTGTAGGTTTCCAAAAATCTGCCATATTATTTTATCAAAGAAATAATAATTCAATATTGATGTTTTATTATTTAAATCAGGGAATCTATCATATTACTAATGTGGATTTCACCATGAACCTAAATGATACCCAACCAATTCGACTTAGAATGGTGAGATAAATGATAAAATATTCGAATAGAAATTATATAACAAAAGAAAACACAAGACTTTAAGAAGTGTGAGCACCTTCCATTCTTTAATAGTCTGCTTAGTATAAGCTCTAATTTTAGAAGTCTATTTATAGAATAAAAAGTCTGTTATCTTTGGTCTTGATAATTCAGTTACATAATACCATGGAAAATCAAGTTTAGTGGGAATCGTTAATATGAACTCAAAATATATTTACAGTTTTAATGTCATAAACTAAATCGTTTATTCTGTTCGAAATGAATCGGTTGCTGTTTTCTATTTATTTGAACATTCCAAATCGATCTTCAAATTCTGTCAATTGCTTCATTATTGAGCTCTCCATTACTCGAGTATTCATCTTGTATGAGTCATTCAATATTAATTTAAATTAGTTATAACTCTCTTTTTTACCAAGTTTCGAAAACTATTGCATTACTTCAACTTCTTTATCTTAATAATGATAATCAATAATACTTAGTAATTTTTATTTTTAATTTAATATAGTTTATTCTAACTAACGATAAGAATCGTCGCATAATTTTTTAAAAAGATCTTCTATTTTATCCTAAAAATCATAAAGAACTTGTAAAAAGAATTGATCTGGTTTATTTTTTTTTTAAATTAATTTATTTTCATTATTGATAGTAAAATTCTGAAGTATCCTCAAAAATATGGTATCCACTGATTGCCAATCTCTGAGTTTAAAATTCTTGAAAATCCATTCTATCTCTTAAAATCGAATATGAGATTTAATTAACTTATCTGCTGCCGAAAGAATTGCTTTTTCGCTCTTGTATTCATGCAGTTAATTCATCGTCTAAGTTATTTTAGTAATTATTTAAAATAAAGTAGTATCTTTGAAAGGGGTTTCCTTTATTTAATTGACTACTTCCATGTTTAAATTTATTAAGGAATTGTTTCTAAATTGCATTTTTCTTGAAAAAAACTATGGAGATTAATATTTAGATAATTAAGGAGATTTTCTAGCTGTCGAAACTATAAGTTTGGATTCAATGGCTTAATCTGAACTATCTATTTTTAATTTCCTATGCTATCTTGTCGAATCCGAAGGCGATTGAAAAGGAGCTATTGGAAGTTCTGAGTGCTTAAAGATTCTTTTTAATTGGTTCTTAGACTTAGTACTTGAGACCGCTTCTATTGAGGGTAGACTATCCACTCTTATCTTAATCTCTCTCTGCTAATTTGATTATTTGGACATACTTATTTAGAACAAAAATAGCTATAAATATTAATATGATAGTGTGTCTATAAATACATAATTAAAATTAATCATTTATATCCAATGAACTGATAAGGATATTATTTTTTTCAGGATCAAGGACTAAGAATATAAAGGACTAGCAAACTTATACTGTCTCTAGTATTGTAATAACATAAAATTATAGTCCTTATATTACTTTTATACATGATTAACTTCATTTAAGTGAATTGAAGCTCAAAAATAATAAATTAGTATTATGATTGATAATATACATTTTTGAATACTGAATGTCCATATAAAAATAGGAATGAAAATAATCAAAATACTCCACATTTATTGGTTTCAGAATTTTTAAGTTATTCTAATTATTTTTTAAATAATTATTCAGAGTATTATTTCTAATCGAAACTAGGATCAGCATTCTTTTCTAATTAATCCTCCAATTCTTGAATCTATGCTAATTATTAATCTACTATGCTATTCAATTTTGTCTAGGTTTATTAGAGAGAATCTATGTTTTGTTATTCTATAAGTTGTTTCTTGCCTTTAACTTTCTCCTTCTTTTATACTGCGGAACAAGATGCTATGCCGGCTAGAATCTAGAAATATTGAAATTTTCCTACCTAATTTACATGCTATTCACTACATTTACCACTAACGGCTGCTCTGTAAATTGCTTACAATAATATATTTGTTTGTTAGGGTTCCAAGCCTTCCAGTATATTGTGAGGTTTGGCTTATAGTTCTTCATTTAAAGTTAAGATGTTAAATCAATAATTTTTTACAAAAAGAATATCCTCCTCTCCTTAATATAATAGTAATTGTCATCCCATTCCTCAATTTTGTATAATCCCTTTGCATAACCTAAAGTGAATTTAAGTGAAACCTGTTTTTTTATATGTTTCCAAGATGATATCAAATATATAGTTGAATGGAGGTTTAATAAGATATTATTCTTTCATCATTGGCTTAGTAATTAGAGTACTGAACATATCTGCAGTAGTTTACCAAAAATCTGCCATATTTATTAGAGAAGAAATAATGATTCAATATAGTTAAATCTAAATTATTTATAAGATTATAAACAAAAAATTCCATAAGTTCCAATTTCCAAGCCATCATAGAACATAAATATTCAGATACTAATGTTTTAGTAAATAATCTTGAAATACACTTTTGTTATTCATATCTTCAACTTATTTTTCATATAGCTCTATATATAAAATTTGTAACATATTCCAAATTTTATATATTGAAATTAACAAATATAAGTTTATTAATGAACTAGAAAAAGGATAATACATAGTTTATAAGGGGTTATATTCAAAAAATAATGATATTGATTCAATACCTTTTTAGATGTTATAGATCTTCATAATGTTGTTAAATTAATAAAATATATTTTAATATATTTAGTTTTAGTTAGCAGTCTCCTATATCATTCATATTCTATAACTCTTAATGCGTTTTCTGCTATCCTCTAACATCTAACATTTGACTTCTAATTTCTAATTATTATCAGATCACCTAGTGAAGATGGATATTAAATGGCAATATCAATTCAAATTATTGATAACAAAATATTACTTAAAATCTTCTCCTTTCTGTTTTAAAGTGATTATTTTCTAGTCCCATTTCTACTTGCGAGAATTAGGAGAGAATAATAAGAATAGAGGTTTAAGGGAGTAGAATAATAATTTTTTTTACAAGAGTTTGGACCAGAATCTAAGATGGAAGCAATATTGATATTTGGTGGTCTATGTGTTAGGGTGTGGAGAGGAAGAAAATAGGGTTAATAGGAGAAATGGATGGGGATTGAGAGATCGAGGTTATTTTGATTTTTTTGTGATTGTTGATTGGAATGGTAATATCGGTGTTGCTTTGGTGGAGGAGGGTGGAATTAAATAGTTAATAGATTTAGTTGAGGGTATTATGGAGATTTAAATATGAATGATGTTTAATATTATTATTAAAATAAAATGTCATAAAGTGACCCTGCTTATTTTGAGAAACAAAAAGATGCCTTGAATAACTTTTTACAAAACAAAAGCGAAAGCTTTTCAGAACGCAACATCTATGATATTCGGGATCGGTTAAGCAGGATTTCGGAGGAATAGCATTCTGAGCGCAGTCGTGATCCAAATCATGTATGAGTATTGGTTAAAAGGGAAAGTAGTAAACTTTGCAGAATTACCATAAGTGGTTTATTGAGAATAGCTTAAACTTGATGGTTTTTGTATTGTAAAATGTGGAGCCATAGACTAGTCGCAATGTGAAGTTCAATGTGAGAGCAGCGACAATTGAATTGCTGCAGAAAAAGATTTTATTGCAACACATGACTCAGTCAGTGGTTGATCAACTGACGGTGGTGTTGGAGAAGGACAATGAGAATAATGCAGCCACAGCGATTAGAATAATGAATGATTTGCTGAAGACCAATCAATAGCAATCACATTAGTATCAGAGATTAAACAGCGTATTCACAGATGCACATTTAATGAGACTGTTCAATTTCTTTGAGCAGAGAATTGAATTTCTGGTGAAGTTTAATAATGAGCTCAAGAAATCATAATACAAGAAGGTGATGGGAGACAGCCAAATCAATCCTTTTCATGATCAGTCATATGTGTTACAACACGAGAATGATGATAAACGTGAGAAGGACATTCGATTGAATATTTTTAGTTTGTCCTTTGTGACTAACATTCCCCCTTTCTTTATCCACACCATATTTGCCCTTGATCCAATTGTCAAGGATGAGGTAAAATAGACAATAAAAGTTAGACCAAAACACAAATGAGAGAAATCTTGAAGAAAGCACTCAAAACCATGAATCAAGTTATCAATGAAACCAACTTTCAAGACTTATTACAAAAAGTACCAAGAAACATAGTATAAGAACTCTTCAACGCCTACTCCAAGTTCCTCTAACTCTTTGTACTCACCATCAAAAGAGATGATGGCCAAATTCAATCTTAATCTAGAATCATCAGAGACTTAGCTGATACAGTTAAACTAGATTAAGTAGTGGCCACAATCATAAAAACACTCAAATATTGTCCAGTCGACATCATGCACATCAGAATTGATATCAGCAATAGACTCAAATAAGCTATGATCTAGAAAAGAGATCCAGTATAACAAAATGAAATTTAAGATAAAATACTTGAGATTAATGCCAACGTAGTCGAATTGATTGATGAAGAAACCATTGTTGGTAAGAATCTCAAACTACCACCCTTCCAAAAATCGAACATCTATCTTAATTGGCTAGAAATAGTTAAACATGTTGTACAGAGTTATCTGCCTAAAAGTGACCCACCCATGAACAATCTAGACAAGATGCAATCCGACTTCATCAATAATCAAATCTACATGGAAAAAATCTTTAATACCATATTCAAAGTGTTGTTTGATTCCTCATTGCAATTGTAAATACATGAAAAAGCCTTAGACTTAATCAAAATATTTCTGGAATTGTTTAACAAATCATCAACCACCTACTTTGTTGATAAAAACCTACTCCAATTTTATGTTGATTAAACTCCACAATAACAAAACGACGCAATCTTCAAAAAGGTCACCACTCACAGTCCAAAATATTAATTGCTTGATCGTCTATTCTCAATGATAGCAATGAAATTGAATCAAATTAGGAAGTAGATTCAGCAAATTAAAGAACTGTTGCGAAAAACCTAGAGATGGGGTCTAACAAAGAAGCCCACTCCTCAAACCAATGTGGCTGCTATCCCCAGTAATCCAGATGCTCTTAGCGAGAAGTACATCTCTCAATTGGAGTAATATATACTGGAATCGGAAGTTGACATCGATCAAAATCTAATTACTCAACAAGACTAGGCTGCTACTCAAGTGTATACTTATGATGACGAGGAAGAATATTAAGTCAATTCTTTGAGTATCACCACTTATTCACAATATGTTGAATTTGCTAAGGAATTGAAATCGAAAGTGTTTGATCAATTGAATGACATCTTATCGAAGTTATTGGCATTTGTTACAAGTACAAATAAAGAGATTGTGAATAGACTAAAGACTAAAATCACTTACAATATGCCTTCAAAACTACCTCCATTTTTCTAGGGTACTGGAGATGGCAAACCGTATCTAAGTAATTTATAATGTCATTACATGTCTAAAATAATGAAGAATGGATTGATGATATTTGATGAATTGCATGATCACTAGAGAAATCACTTCGAAATTCTTGATTATAAGAAAAAGACTATCCCTTAATTTATGCAATTCTTTATTTAATTTTAGGATCCAATCAACTTCAAAAATGTTTTCGAACCCAACTCAAAACTACTATTGAAGATCTCTGTTCATTTACTCAAGACTTGTCCTGAAACCAATTGTCTCCCCAGTCTACTACAGGATCATTTGGGTCTCCAAAGTACACAGTAAGATCCTTAAAATGGTTAAAAGCAATCAGTAAAATACTACATAGAGTTTTTATTAAGTCTATATTTAAAAGAACTACAAACGACGCCTGAATTGCCCTCAAAGTTCGGGTATTGCAGAGGAGGACAATTGATGGGCAATGACAGGAATATCAAGTAGAAGGATTAAGATGAATACATCACTTTAATATAAAAGTTGCTCAGAATTCCAATTCGATTATTCCCAAGAGTAAAATGCCAACAGAACGAAGAACCCATAGTGAAACCTATAGTGAAGTAGTTAATCCTCTTTTTTGTGAAAAAGTCGCATGAGACACACTATCCAATTGATTTTTTAGGTTTGTTGTTGTCGCTGGTGAAAAGAATCTAGAATAATGACCAGGGAGAAGGGTTATCGAAATATTTCCAATAGTTGTGTGATAAGTACGACAGAAACGACAAGCAATAGATGATGTAGAGACAGCAAAGTGAATTTTATCATAAGTTGAGTTTGAGCGGTGTGAACATAGTGTTGAACATGTTTGAGTTATTTCAAACGGGGATAGTGGAAATCTAGGATATAGTTGCTGAAGTAATTGCCAATTTCCCCTTATAAAAAACAATATAAATTAATTTAGCAAGGTAGTATCCGGTGTTTGCTCAATGTCTCTTTCGAGCATTGCATAACATATCAACCATAGAGAATCAAGTGATTTAAAAGACTTTGATGATGTTGGAGAACATCGTGAGCAATTTGAGCATGGAGGAAATGAGGGAATTCTTTGGAGATCTCTTGTAGCCATTTATTGAAAAGTTGCTTACTTTCCCATCCGAATACAAGATGGCGGATATCTATTCGAAACAGGTGAATTTATTCTTGGATCCCTCCTTCAAATCTCTGAAGATACTCTCTAAGTTGGGATCCTTGGTTCGCAAATCAGAATGGCCAATCGAAGTTAAGCGGAATCACACCGATAACCCTTACAAAAGGAATCAGTATTTGGAAGTGCAAATAGAAGGACTCTAATCAACACTTAAGATCAATCTCACCGAAACTGTACTATGTGCTGTTGAGATCTTATAGAATGTGTTGGAACAACAATTGGCTACCTATTTGTTCAAACAGTCCTCTATCCAGCATAGTTACTCTATTGTGAAATAGGTTATTCTGGGATACTATCAGATGCCCATTTAATTTGATCATGACTTGTATAATTATTAAATACCTCAAGGGATGGCATTAGAGATGAAACTGCAATCTCGTCAATGCGAACAAGATCAATTGATGTACTAGGATGAAGAATTGATATCTGCAGTAACCAAGGTTTTCATTGGACTCAGCAATTTCCATAACATCATACAAACATTGACTACTGCCACATTCCACAAGATCAAGGAAGATGTAGAAAATGTGGTAACAACCTTTACAGAAATGTTCTTCATTCAACTGGCTGACGATCATTGTGAAATGATTGAAAAGATCAAGTCTCCAAAACCAGACTTCAATTCCCTTTTTACAATGACTGAATCCATAGTGCACAATTATCTCACTGAAAAACCTCAATCTATTAGATGGATATCCTATCTATTTAAGGGATTGAACAAAAGATATATGTTGACGGCTGAAGAAAACATGAATCTCAAGGATTTACACATTTAACAAGAAGAGTTCATTTGGAATAAGTTATTAAAGGCTAATTGTTTAAGGAAATACAAAAAGATATTGGAGAAACATATGGAAAATTATCAGCATTTAAAATGGGCATATGATGTTTACTATTCGGTTGTTATTAGATTGTTTGAAGAGTTTGTTTATGAAAAGTTCGGTAAACAAACGTAATTGTAAAAAGAGGATGATCGTCGTCGTAAAATCTAGATAGTCTAATGTATGATTTAATATTTATTAATTAAGCCTATGGAGGAACTATAATTCCATCAGAAGGGTTGAATTGCAGATCCATCTCTATTGAATTATTGACCGAAATCCAGAATCTACTGCCTAAATTTGAAGATTACTACTCTTCTATTGAGATAGTTGGATTACCTTACATCCCAGATTAGAGAATCGTTGAATGCTCATTCATGTTACTCAGATAACTACCAGAAACGATCAGAATGGCTTCTCAGCAAATTACCAAGACTCTATTGAATTAAACTATAAACCTGCTGATAAAGAATCTCAACTATGATCATTCAATATATGAGCACTCGCATCAAAGTATGCTCCTCTTGTAAGAGAGATTGCGTTGTTTTATTAAGATTGTCGCTTAGAATTGCCATACTTACAAGAGATCCATCTTGTAGATTTGTACAGATCTCTTTGACACTGTGATCACGCACCATTTTAATGAGAATGCAGGATCATTATTCTATATGAACATTGGTTCAGAGATGAAATACAATCACGAAGAGAAGATCGAAGCTATTCCATTAGACAATCTACAATAATTAGGAAATGGACCATGCCAATGGGTTAATATTTAATTTTCTGAAATTCTTATGTCTCCTTACACTCAGAATACTGTATTGAAAGAATTAGTGATCATCATCAAACAATTATGTGAAGAATAGAAGATGTCAGATGTCATCGCATAGAGGTATGCAAATGGGTTTAGGATTTTGACTTATTTGCTAAGAAAATATGGACTCAATAAACAAGGTTAATACCATCTTTTCAAAACTGTAATTCTCAACCCAGAACCTCATTTTGAATTGAGTATTGAAAACTACATGGAAAAATCATATAAAATCCTACAGCAAAACGAGGAACAGTATTATAGACAATCCAAACTAATATAGAATGGGGAAGACTCTTAATCAGCATACATTAATATGTCTCATGCCTTAGACGATTTAGAATTCAAGATTAATATTGAAGACATTGATTTTGAAATCAAATGGCAAAGTCAAATGGTAGTTGCTATCTTCGGATTTCTCAAACAAATGACTTCTATTAATTACATATTTGTAATCTAAAGGTACTTAATGAAGTAGGTTGATAAAAATTCCTTAGTGAAACCTTAAATTTTGGCTATGAAGTATAAGACCGTGGAAATCTTTTATGAAGGATTGCTGAGAGTGGAACACAGCATTAGACAGTCGAGTTATAAATATTTGTAGGAACTCTCCTAATAGGAAGGACTGTAGAATGACAAGAGTTTGTTTGAGAATGATGATAGATTAAAAAGGTTGATGAAGCCATTGTTGACTTGTGTGCAATCGGACATCTTTCATTATGTGCCATCCTTCTTAAAGTCGTTGAAAATGATACTGAAACTATTTAGCAAAGTGTTTCACAGAACACTCTCTGACAAACTATTGGGACATCTTCAAAAAATAATGCAAGATAACACTCTGTAGTATCAGAGCAATATTCAGATGTGTACGGTTATGGAATGGTCAAGCTAACAATAGCAATCTCAAGAATCTTTGAATTTCTAACTGGGTATCATCTCCGGATTATTAAAGTTATTTTAGCATCTTACACCATAATTGACTAATCAAGCGAATGGACCTTTGAATTAAAATATTGTATAGAAGATCATCCAAGACATAAATGCAATAAGAAGAAATTACGTTTTCAGAGCTTCCTAACAACAATTGAATTAATCAATTGATAAACCCTTGAATAAATTCTTGAATACATTGGCAGCCAACAGTTTTGATGTATTTCAATCATCCTTCTCGATTTCCCAAATTCAACAATTCCAAAAGCAGTTAGAAAACGTGAGCTAATTGTTATCTAATCCAACACCAATCAAGAGTCTTCAGGAACAACTCCGAGAGAGATTGCAATACATTAAAACAATCAGGTAAGTCATCTCAGAACCTGCAGCATATCCTTTAAGAGAGAAGATATGTCGAGAGAAGCAATAATTTTCTCAAAAAATGGAACGATTCAATAAGACAATCGAAGAACTTAGCAACTCCTTGGAGAAGGGTCTTTTAGCAAATCAAGTCCAATTGACATAGGAGTAAATCTAAGGTATCCATCAATCGGTTTTGTAGAAAATGATTAATGTGATAAGTGAGATCAAAATAGAAATAGTTCAATTTGAATTTCAATTATGCAAACGCAATCCTTCTTGTCTGATTAGAAATACTCAAATACTTGATAATTTCATACTAAGCAACATCAAAGTTCTTCAAGAACGTCTGTAAAGCAACAACTAAAACAGAATTGTACCAGTGAATCAATTATAGTCTGCATACAATTAATTAATACTCTCTAATCAACAGATCAATAGTCTATTAAATAGACATTGCAGCATGTTAAAAAAATACATCAATTAAAATGAGGACAGCAAACCAGCAATTTAAGGGATGTTGAGATTGATACTCTATGCTACTTGTGACAAAGTCAAAAAGTGGGTTTTGGATGTTGCAATGAATAAATCCATTCAACTAAGACAGAGTATTATAGAGATTTGGATGGACAATTTCAAGTACGTTGATGATGAGTCAGCCAATCAAATTCAGATGACAATAGGCTTTCATGTAATATATCCGATACTGTTTTATTCTAATCAAAGAAATGATCTGGCATAGATCAGCCAATTCAAATTGTTCCAGAGAATCAAAGAGATCAATGAAGAACTAGTTAAATAGTACAGCAAGATCTTAAGTGACATTGAACATCATGCACCAATGAATTTCACCTACAAACTCTTGAGTGGTTTGAGTACCAAACTATCTGATGTCAATCATTATTATAAATCATCTGTTATTGATATGCTGCAAATCAGTTCATATCTCATCTGCTTCCAAGAACAACAATTGCCTTAAGATTTGAAAATGTCCTACCTATCCTTCGGGTATGATATGATCAACAAATCAGATAAGCTAGTAGCCTTCTATGCCAATCTCTACTTTAGTAAATACTTGAAAAAGAATTAATTGATTCAAAATGACCCAATTTCTGTCAATAAACGTATTGTCAGAATCTACACCAGAGCCATCAAACAATTAGATGAAAGTGGATAGTCAGAGTAGGAACTATACAGTCTCTGTAAGAAGATAATAAGTGTTGTTCTACCTTGGTTAGATGAAGTGGATGTACATGATTAAAAGGATTGGATCTAAGCCACCTAATAATTATTGAAGTAAGAATAACCTAATTTGGATTCAGAAACAGCATTGAAGGTTAGCAGATTTTGGTCCATGTTTGTGAAAAATCATAAAATATTCTACAAACATCATCAGGCATTTACTATTCAAATCATAAACTATATGCAACAAATTGGATTTTATGGTCCCAATCAAAATGCTGGATTTCAAATCCCCAACAGCTACCAAAATTATAGACGCATTGCTCTTGACATGGCTTTCCTCTAAGTGGAATGGAAGACTAAATTGATTAAAGGAGAAATCCAAAAGAAGTCCTAAAAATTCAAGGAATCGTTTTATCAATGCGAACCATAACATCATGATGAAGCTCTCTCCAGTGAAATCTATTAATCATTCTTTATCAAACAGTCTTTAAAGGCACACAACATAGAGGATTCAGAGTTGTCTAAAAGGGCCCTATACTTATTGAAGAAGATATTGATAATTGCTCCTTTGACCAATCAGAAGATGAATATGGAGGCTTTAAAAAAGAACGTGTCTAATCTATTGAACTAAGCAATAGAGTCCTAACAAATCAACTAAAATCAAAGAACCGTTTAACAACAACCTATTGCCTAACCCTATTTTCGATACTTTATGATAATTCTGCACATTTTGATGATTATCGCAGAATTCCAATTGCCACAAAGAATCCCTCAACTATATTAACCTTATTTCGACATCATCTTCAATCTATATAAATTGCCTGATCAACTCCCTTAGCAAATGGCTCCTCGACCAAACCCAAGGATGCCTCCCACTCAACCGAGACCAATGAATCCACAGTAGAGATTGCCCTTTCAGTCCCAACCAATCGATAAATTCCAATTACATTACCTTGCGCTGACATTAGATTATACTCCCTTGATCTTTAGTATCTATTGTATTTTCCGCAAATTCCTGAAGGTTGCTAAGGAATAACAGAATGAATAAAGCGAATGGTTGCAAACTAATTTATCTAATTGGGTAAACGATGCCATTCAAGGACATCTTCAATAGAAACGAAATAATTAGCAAGGGATACCTGCAGGACAAAGAATGGGTCCTCAAGTGATAAAGTTGAACATTCTGTCTATCTTCTTATTGAAATTGTTGTTTAATCACGATATTACGAGTGTGCGAATTTTGATGCCAGCATTGAAAAAGATAGTTGAGTTGTTGATTGAGTATTTGAAATCTAAGGATAAAGGAGACCAATATTTAGACAATCTACGCAAATACGTGACTCCTAAAAGACAATTTAACATAAGAGAGAAGGATAACTTGGAATTTGATGCTTAGAAACAATACACAAATGCAAATTTGTCTCAATACATAGCTGATTTCACAGAGATGGCTGATGATTTTCCATTTGGGATAACTAAGAGTGACGAGACACTGTATTTCCCAGAGGATTTTCCAGAAAATTAAAAAATAAAGTTTCATCTACATAGATCCGCTTTGCAAAAGACAATAAAAATGATGGCTTATAATTTTGATGAAATCAAGGATCAGAAAGAACAATTAGAATTCTTGTAATTGTTGATATTGATAATTGAATCAGTTCCTGATTATGAACTTAAATTGGAATGCATAGCGATTATGCGTCTTCTCTTCATAAACGGTATATCAAATAGGGAAGGCTATTTGCAGGCAATTTCAACTCATCTGTCTCCAATCAGAAGTTAGTAGGTGAGATCGGAATTAGAGAGGATGGAAGAGAATTAATAATTCAAACCATCAAAAATGCCATATGAGGTTCAATTGAATTTCTTCTTCGATATCAGTAAGTTATAAAATTGGTTTGATAAAAAGATTGATTAGCGAAGTTCCGATAGTTATGATAACAATCATGGGAAGGTATAGGATTTAAAGGTCTTAAAGGTATACTTTATGTTCCTATGTGAATTGCTTTTGGTCTATCCCTTCAAAAAGCAATAGGGCTCCATCAATAGTGGGTTCTATTTTCTCAAGAGCATCTTCGATAAAAATGGCAGTTCATTAAGGGAATTCAGACGCATTCTGTAAGTGATAAGTAAGCTAAGCACTTGTTTGGACTATTAATAATTTTTTTATAGGATGATCCTGGACATCTACGGATACACCTATGATCGTTTCTTATAATTTTTGCTAGGAGATCAAACCACAAAACAATAGGATCAGCCCTTGCAAACTGAGGGAGAAGAGATCATGTTGATGGCAACTAAGTTTTTAATTCTGGGAAGAGGTCAATTGCAGTAGCCAACACAATTTCAACTCTAGCAACCACACAAGATCACAGTTAGACTAGTTGCTGAGAGTGAGGATTCTAATATGAGGGAGTAAGTGCTCAATAAATACCTGGCCATCTATTATAGAAAGAAACAATGGCCAAAATTATATAATTCTAGTTTGAAATTAGTGACCAGTGAGTATTTACCCTCGATTGTCATTTATAATTTGTCCTACATTCCTCTTTAAGATCAACCCCAATAACCTCTAAGAGAGTGCATTATACCTAGTGCTGCAATTGAGTTGATGGGTACAGCAGCCAATGTCAGCAGTCGATTACTCAGACCTATCTTCAATCAGGTAATCAGAAATGATCTCAAGACAATCACCTAACTCACAGAATACCTCCAATAGTAATCTTTATCATATGGAACAATGACTACAATATCTAATTACTTGGTTCAGGATATTCTGAATCAATTGAAGAATATCCACTAAATTTTGGATCATCAATAAATTCATCACAATTTCAATAACCTAATTACATGTCTTCGTTAAAAGAATCTATTGCCATTATGCCAGCACTTATTGGAATAAATATTTTAATATTTAAGTGAAGATTGTGAATATTATTCTCTCTTAAATGAAGATATTCTGGTGTAATTGCAAGGTGTCTATTAAGACCAATGGAATAAGTAGAGTTTGTTAGGGTGCAAATGTCTATCTGCCACTCAACCTTGGGTCAGACAATTGGTTCTTATGAATCAATTAAGAGAACCAATCTAATAATACTAATTGATACTCAATAATTAAGAGCAAGTCGATCAATTTTGGTTGCAATTGGAATAGGAAACTCACGAAGCTCAAGGGATTTAGAAGGAATATGATCAATAAATAATCCATCAATTGTTTTCTGAATCCTTGCAATAACTCAATTAATGGAATACCTTGAAGGATGTTGAATTGAGTACAGTGTAGACAGTTTAAAATAAGATCATTATGGGATTCAGGGAGAGACAGAAAGAATTAACAGATTCAGGTTGGAAGGAGTTAAATGGTTTATCAGAAGTGAAATAGAATATACTGTAAAATGATCTCTTCTGTTATAATCAGGCATACTTTAAGTTACTTGATTTTGTGAGAGATGATTCTCAATAGAATTAGCATGGCAGAGGTGGAAGTCCTGTATTGTAATCAATTGAACAAAATCTCAAATATGCGCAAATCATTAATTGCTATAACTTCATCAAAACACTGCCTAAATTGACACAATCATATGATTAAATGATGTCATCTCCTTAATTGTGGGGTTATAAATTCCTTAACTTTGTGTCTCAATTCCAACTCTATACTGAACTAGAAGAAAGTCTAAGACAGTTTGCAATAAATATTCCAGGATATCCAAATTAATAATAGGCAGCCCCTCAGGATATGATTTTAGATCAGATATTGAATGGTTATCAATCTAGTTTGTTCTGCAAAAAGTATTTATTTGAACGACAGCCAACCAATGTTGATTAACAAGAATTCACATTCGATTTGATCAGCTAAAGACTCATTCAATTGTAGATGTGTCTACATCGTTTCAATGGCCAATTAAACCACTATATAAATGGATAGCCATAGACAGCCTAAGTCGCATAGTTGGATTTGAAGAGCTTCCAATTATCTATTTTCGATTACAAAACAATATTATATCCCCTTAGATATTACTAAAAGAATGGAATTTTTGAATTGTTTGATGAATAAACTATATTGAAAGAAGTTCCAAAGCACTTACAAAAGTACGCAGAGAAGGTTTATCAATTAGAAAAAATCAAATTCAAAACAATGAAAATTCAGGATGTTGATCAGAATTGTCAATAATTGACAGAACTATTAACTTATTTCGATTGTTTACAAGTGACAACCTATAATTCAGAAGAATTCAAAGGATACATGATTAGTAAAATAAGAAGATACAAAATGATTAATCAATCCTATAAATTGCTGAGATTATATTAACAACAATCTGATAATGCATCCAATATGGCAACAGAAGAACCAAAATTAGAATAGATGGTCAGCCAATCAAATGAATACTTCATACAAAATCAAATTAGTTATCTCAAATTCTGGAGAGAAGTCTAAAAAATCTATCAATTAGCCCATAAGAAGTACAGCAACAACATTAAATTCGCATCAAATTACATTCAAGTCACTTCCATCGGTATTTAATATAAACCCCAAAAGTTCCCCATAAATGGTATGTATATGTTTCATATACTTAATATAACCAATCCAACTGATGCTATTGTTATTGATGCATTTTCATAAAAAATTGGGCTGATCCCCTTACATCTATTATAGAGATTCCTAATTCAATTGATAACAACGTTTTTTAAGAGTCCTTCAGAATAAGTCAGAAAAGATTGCTTGGAGTATATAGATAAATTATGCAAATACAATCCATTAACCAATTTTCAAGTCATTCAATATTTCAAAAGTCTCTGCTTATTGACTGATGACAGATCATAATAATTTGTAGATCACTTTTAATACTCTTCCAAATTGAGTAACTAATTTGCAAACATTTATTCGATACAGTATCTATTTAATAATAGGTATGATTCATCTATTTGGGATATATTAGAAGAATTGATTTATTTATGTGGCAAAGTGTTAGATTAGAAATATTATGAATTGAATTCTGTCAATGTTAATGAGAAATGTTTGTAAATTGTAAATTTAATACAAAAATATCATTAAATAAAGGAGCACTTGAAATAATTCTTCCCAGTTAATGATCTTCAAAAATGGATAAAAAATGATTAATTAAAAGCAATATCATCCATCTATGTTGCTTCATTAAAATTAATCTATGGCAAACTCTTTGGATTCCAAATTAATTAATCTGAAGACTTTTCTCAACAGTTGAGTAGTGCATTGAATACTCTAGTTCCATCATAAATTCAAATAAGTTGGTTGTATGCTTTGAATGATGAATTTTCCATGAACTAAACACTCATGCCAGGGGTTGAAAGACAAATAAGGAGAAATTAAACCCTTGACAATGTCCATATTTCAAGTATGTTCCCAACAGTCAACATAATGTTCTTAAGAAGAAAGAGACTAATCAGATAGATTGCATTTTTGGGAAATGATGAGAAGAAATACTTTTTCCTTTTGAAATCCAAGAAGGTAGAAAACAAGATGTTTATTCAAAACATATTAGATGAGTAGGCAACTGCTTAATTTTTGAAGATAACAAACTTATTGAATCAGAATTACAAAGAAACCAAAATCAGAAATATTAAACATGGTTATATTGATAAGTACCTCTTAGAGAGCGAGAAACAGCTATATTAAATAGAACCATATTAAGAGGAAACATATAACTTAAGCAATATTTCTGATTTAATTGTGTCTCTTAACTATCACAAAAGCGATATCAAAGATAGCACTGTTAGAATCCCATTTTACATGTACATATAATATTATATATCATTTAAGGGAGAGGAGTGAGAAATACATATAAAAATAAGACTTAAGCAATTACATTTTGAAATTTGCAAAGACTTTCGATACGTTTATAGTGTTGAGGAAGACTCTTGTTACGAACATCGGAGTTTAATATGCACTTAGTTTTACTATTGCCAGTAGTTAATCACCAAAACAGTTGGAGAACCTGCATATAAATTTGAGTAACGGCAATTTCTTTTAGAAAAAATACCTATTCAAAGTGAATAACCAGAAATTAGTGCTTTATGATCCATTCGCTATTAGATATTCCAGAAGTTTTGAGCACTTAATTGGGGAAGTCAATTTGTATGGATATTTGATACCTGCATTCACGGCCACAATCATTGGCATAGTGAACCCAGAGTAACTATTTGATTGTATATTGATGTAGTCTCGCTGAATATTTAAACGTTTTGTTCTGGCAACTGGGGTGCAAGGATTCGGTAGAGCCTTTCATTAAGAAATTGAAGGATATTGTTTATGAGAATGGAATGATCGATTCAAAATGTGATAGATTGATTGCAATTTCGAAGAGTTTGTTTGGAGGACAAGAGAAACTCAAATAATGGGTTAAAAGATGGTTTTGATTTATGATTTATGTTTTTATGGAATTATTATAAATAATATATAAATATGTAGAGGTTCGAAAGCGATGTGAATGCAGAAGGGGAATCTTAAGCTGCTTACACGAGATTCGAATCATCTCCATCAGTTGGTCGATTGTCTGACACACATGTGGAAAAATAAACTATTATCAAATCAACTCTAATTGCTTCAATTGGGTCCTTCCTCTTTACTTATGGCATTTTAGCATCAGCAGGGAACAATATGGCAATCTTAGTCATATTCTTCTTAAGCATTCTCATCACTGATCGACTAACCGTATTCAATCCTGCTGTTAGTTTCATTGACTTACTCATGGCTAGAATAGGATTCCAGGAATTTATGTTTAATGTTATTGGCTAAGTCGGAGGCAGTCTCTTGGGTGCAATGGTATGTTTCTTTGTCTTAGAAGACTTCACGAATGCACCCTATTTGAATGCCAAAATCGGTGACAATCTACTTGGAGTATTAGAATATATTGATTAAGCAAATAGTCAGTGTAAGGCGAATCGATTGGCTCTGTTTTATTTATGGTAGTCTTGGCTTTGCAAGAGGATGATTACTTGAAATTCTCAGATGATAAATTGGAACATGCTCTTGTGGTCACTCTAGGATTTGGTGCTGCTCGTGTCTTGTCATCTGAGGGATAGTCACTCTTCAATCCAGCATTCGCTTTTAGGTATTCAAATTGGAATATGGTCAAGTTTGGAATTGTTTGAATGCATTCAGGATGGTTCTTGGGGAAGATTCGGGTTTTTGTGGGTATTCACTTGCACTCCTTTCGTGGCAGCAGTTGTAGCAATAACATTCAATAGTCAAGTGTATAAGAGATTCTACGACAAGAAAATTTAATACGGATTTTGATTTATTAATTATGAATTAAACAATCACAAAAGAGTAATAGCATTGGCAAGGGTTTTAATCAAGAGGATTTTGAAGGCTTTGGTCTACGCAAAGAACCCAACAAAGTTTCAATGTGGATATTATTCTCTTGGTTAGGATCTAACTTAATGGACATATGAAGAAATATTTGGGGATCATCCAACTGTATCAATAAGAGAGGACTGACAATTAATTATTCTCAATAAAAGTGTAACTCTCACTTCATATCAAACTTTTGAACTTGAGTCTCCAGATATTTTTATTGATATAATTCAAATCATAGATAGAGATACTTTTGTCAAGAAATAAAACTTGGAATTCATCAAAATTGTATATCTTTCGAATATCTAGACTGATAAAATCCTTGATTCCATTTGAAAAGACTTTCACTTGCAAATAAATGTATTTTTTCATAGTTGAAGACATCAAACTCTGATTTGACATCAGTCAGTATTTTATTCTCATAACTACAAGTCCCATTCAAGAAGGAGGTGGCATTCTACATTTCTTTTCAAAAACCATTGTTTTCCCAATTCAAATTCTCCAAATGGAGTGGAAGGTAAAAAGAACTCTCCAGGACTTTATCCAACTCAGAAACGTACTTTCAGCTGCATTTCCAGAGTAAATTGTAAAAATTATTCTCTTATTTGGATTTCTTCCTTTCCTTACAATGATATCTATGACTATGATATTCTTATGAAGTTAAATAGCAATGTTTTCAAAATCCTGGATGTAATGCTCCTCTTACCTTATTTAGCTATTCCTCTAATTTACAATAAAAAACCCATTGTGAGAACTATTTTATCAAGTTTACTCTTTATCATACAAAAATACCTAGAATAATTTGCTAAATTTACTTTTAAGGATTAGTAGAATCTAGGCTTATTCGATAGAAATGATCTAAATATTGTGCAATTCTCTTCCATCATATAATGAAGCTGTCTTAAGATCAACAAAATAAATCATGGATGTCCTATTAATAACCTAAGTTAAATACAAGAACTCAATACAACAATTAACTGAATTGAAGGCAAATCTCTTTGAGACATTCTAAAACCATTCAAATGAATTCAACCTTCTCGAAAAAAGAAAGGAAGATTTGTTTATAATAATTATGCTTGATTTATAGTGTATCTAGAGGATCTATAGATGTGGGGTTTGAATTAAGAATAAGAACTTAAGGTTGATTTAAATAAATTTTTTACTGATTTGAAATATGCTAAGGAGATTATGTTGCCAAAGGACACATTTTATGTAGGTGAAAGAAGAGACTAATATTTTTATATGTTAATTAATTTAATGAATAATAAGAATAACAATTCTTAATAGAAACTGATATGCCACTCAATGAAATCCAATACTATTTAGAAAATATGAGAGGTTTCACTGATAATCAAGTAAGAAATCATTTTAACAGTTAGCTCCAAAATTGGGGATACTTATCCAAGAATACTAAGACTATAAAACATCCTATTAAGAACAAATAGCTGTAAAATGAGTTTATTTAACAATCTTTAGTATTAAATATATATTATTTAAGATAATCAATATTATGTATTGGTAGATTCCTTGAGATCCTCAGTGATTGTAGCCAAATCCTTACTTAATTGAACTCGACTTTGTTTGGCGGTGGTGGATCCGTTGCCTTTCCAATCTGAGTTATCCCCATTCCAACTTTTGATTTATAATACAAATACTTATCATCTGATTCAGCCTGTCCAAAGGTTCCTGAAACGACATTGTACACCATCTAAAGTGCAGATGAATCCATAGATTAGGTTGTTTTGATCAGAACCTCTTCAAATTGATTGTCCTCTTGTTGTGGTGGTTATGGTATCTTTTCTGGGTTTTGTACATTGGTACTTTTTTTATTGATCTACATTAAATATAATAAAATTAATATACACTAGCTTCATTCAAAGGAATGACTTCAAATCCTTATTCATTTTTCTTCACTTCTTCAAATCCATCCCCTCTTATAATGATCTCTTCTTCAAATCCATTTTAACTCTCTCCTTCCCAATCGCATGAATCCTTCTGTTTGAATTAATCGATAGATTCATTAAGTGATGGATGATCACCAGATCTATAAGAACTGATATCCTCATCAAGATGAACTAGTGGATTTTCGAACTCTTCTAATTCAATCTATTCATCTATCTTTTAATAAATCAGATCCTTAAATTATGTAGTACCTTAGATCTACTAAATTGTCCAAACCTCTAGAATAGAAACCTTAGCTTATTTCAAGAGCATTAATTCTCCAGGCTCATAGGTTTTATCATGAGTTTTACATTACACATTTAGTATATCTTAATTAAGAAAGAGTCTGAATTCCTTTGCTAATTCTCCTCCAAATCCGATTCCTAATTTTAATTCTTAATTCTTTGAATTTAGATAGGTATACTATGATCTAGTGAATTTGTCGTTTTTTGTTTTGTACACTTTAAATTAAGGGATCATTTGAAAAACACAATCTTCTTTGCTGCCATTGGGCTAAGCATCATCCTTCCATTCAAAATTAGTGTATGCTCCAAAAACATACTTTCGGTTACCTTCTTCACACTAGATTAAGAATAGCACACTTGTTTAACATTCAGTAAGAAGATGAGACAATAACTCAAAGTTCCTCTCGTGGACATTGGTGGAGTATAGAAGTTCCAATTTGTTACTGTCTTTGTGCATGAAACTCAAGTACATAAATGCTATCCATTCTTGATTTAATATGTGAGAGGGATGTTGCAATTAAGGATTACGAAATAATTTCTATTCTCCCAGAAATTTGTTGTAATAATAATCTTCGACAATCTCCTCTAACTGTGTCATGTAATTATCAAAAAATTTGATTAGCTGCAAGATTGGAACGTTGCCATTAACTTTCTAGAAAATTGCATCTACAAATGCTTTGATAGGTTATTCATTGGGATTCTGTTTTCTTAACATCATATTAACAAACACTTGCATACATTTCGCAGTCTATAAATAAGTGATTTCCAAGGAGGCAAATTATTTGATCGCATCCTAGATATTCAAATTACCAAATTGTGAGACTATTAATACAATTAGAGAAACCCTATTTGGTAATCTCAGAACTTCATTTTCTGATTTGCCCAAAATAAAGACTTCGGATATTTAGAGCATGGTTTCATATTCAATGCCCTTCTATTCATTATTTTGTAGACCCAACAAAAACCAATACATGCTCTAACCCAAGATAGGACTTTCATCAAACATGTCGATGAAATTGTCTTCAAATAACAACAGCTGTTTACGAGATCTAACAATTTTCATAATATAGTATACTCTGGGTTTGTTAGTGTTTGTCTCACAAAAGCTTAGTGAATATACAACTTTTGGGGTTTCTCAAGATTGGTTTATATTTTTGTTCTGTTGGTCACACAATTACCCATTTTATTTACAATTTATTTTATATTTAAAATTACAAATGTGAAGAGCAACTGGAAAACAATATGAGAAGAAGGATTAAAATTTATTATTGATTAGAACTAATCTTACTTTACATTTTATCACATATCTCACTTCCTCTTTTTTCTTAAATTTTAATCCTTTAATCCAAGCTCTTCAATCTTGTTACGAGTACTGTAAATTATTAATGCATCACAATTACATTTAAGCTGCTTCATCGTCTCCCTTCAACATCAAGGCTTTGTCCTCTCTAAACAATGAGTCGCTTGGCAGTATGTATGGTGGTTCCTTCCATGGCTGGATGGGATCATCTATTCTCCACAATACTTCGCCATCCATTTCAAAATGAGACAACCACGATCCTGATCCTTTCGCTAAGGTGAACACTTGATCTTCATCATCGTCATCAGTCTTTTTAATAATATTATTACATTAATTAATTTATTTATTTTCACATCCACCAAATCTGAAAGTGGTTTCTATTGTTGCGACCAGAACATCAACTTATTTTTGATCTTCTAAGCACTCCCTTCATACACATAACTGAAATTTATTTAAGCAACCAATTTATCTTGCACACACTTCACTGTGAAACTATCCAACTTATTTAAAATTCGATCTCCTTTCATTAAACCATTGATGATCATCCAAGGCACTTTTATTTCATACAGCTTTCCATCTGCAAATTTTATGTATTTTGGTTTCAGATTCTTACCAATAATCTATGTTATAGTTGGATGTATTTCTGCCAAAACCTCCTCGGAACCATAGATTTGCCACCCATCCCCATAAATTTGATATAACGTTGTTGGAGGATCAGCCTTGATAAACTCGCAATAAAAGGCAGTCCCATCTTCCTTTACTTTTTGGCATGTTTCTCCAATCATAGGATCAATTGGTGCCAATGACCTCAAATAAGTATGTGTTCCATGAAGATAAGCTATTTCATTTGTTACCACCATTATCATTCTTTAAAGAGGATCCTTACATTTTGCTGCCTCCGTAAGATAAAGGTGGGTATAGTCATGATCGCTTTTTGTTTATAATAAACAATATACAATGTTAAGCATTCATTTGCTGTTTTAGGTGCTGTTAAACATATGGGTTTTGGAATAGTAGCCAAATTGAAATCTCCTTTGGCTATTTTTGAACCAATTTATTTTAGCATTGCTCCTGCGATCTAAAAAAGCTTAGTATCGTCTTCTTAATTCATATGAACACCACCTTTAAATATTCAAAAATGCTATACCATTTTTATGAGCCATAGGATGTCTAGGATACTATTTATCTTTCTCAAACTTTTATCTCCAACTTTAATTCATAAAAATAAATTTTCAAAAACCTTTCAGAAGAAAATAATGCATTTTAAGAACAAACTAAAATAAAAAAAATAAAAAATTATTCCGATACCGGGGATTGAACCCGGGTCCCCAGGGTGAGAACCTGATATCCTAACCACTAGACTATACCGGAAATGATAATACAAACAACAAATTTTCCATTATATACGGAATAAATGCTATTATATACTTATAAATCATTTACAACTACTTTTAATCATTTTTTAATGAGAAGTCCTTAATTTACTTTATAATTACTAATTACAATCAAAATCATTTTTCAAAATATTACACAAATACTATTTCTTGTTGCAATTTCATTCAATTCTTATTTTTCTAAATATTCAATCTATAATTTTCTTGGTTAAATATTAAATCTAATTGATACATTTATTGACTACATATCAATTTAATTGTACCTTGAGTTGGAACTAGACCCCATCTAATATTGTATATAAAGCTTAAATAGATATAATTGAAAATTAGTTATATTAAAAATTTGAGATAAGCAAAAAATACTGAGTTTCACATGAAATAGACCACTAATAGGACGTACTTTTATTATTTGTTAATAAATTTCATTTAATTTATAATTTAAATTTGAACATAAAACTTCAATTTACTCAGTTTAACAGAACTTTATAATTTTTATTAAATATATAAATTTTACAGTTCCATGGCATTTTATGATTATAATTGTATTTTAGATATCATGATTGTTTTAGTTATCATCTTAAGTTTAGAAAAGATTAATACAACAAATTTCCTTACATTTTTGTAAATTAGATGCGTATTGTGAAAAAATGGGTAATGCTGAATCATATTATTGATAAACTTCTTTATCTTATTAGTCAAAGAACTTAGAATTGATAAACTCAAATAGCAAGAACTATACTTTTATAAAGCATAAATTATTATATATAATAACATTCAATCAAGCTTTATTAATGAAATTGCGTTATTTTATTTCTATACCATACCGCTGTAGATATCCTAAATTTTTTATTAATTCGAATTTAATTTCTTTATCAATTCTAATTATTCTTTATTTAGTTATTCAAGTTTTTTAGATATGTCTTTATTTTCTTAATTTAATTTTTGAATATCATCTTCGTTCATTTTATTGTTAATTTTTTCCAAATTTTTTAAAAAAACCTTCTATTCTTTCTTCTTTTTTTTAATATCAAAATCTGTATTTACTAGGTTTAAGTATTCTGGCTATGCTCTTATACTATATAAATGATTTTATATTTCTTCGCTTAGTGTACCTGGCTGAAATCTAAGGTTACATATCAAAATCTTATTAGTTTCAAATATTTTCTCAAAATCATTCTATCTGTCTACTACTTCATTTTAATCATCATTAAAAATTATTATTGATATTTTATCTCTAAAAGGATATAAAAATTTAATGCAACCAAACGCACTTTGCTTCATTACTGGAATCCTGTCATATTTAACAACTATGAATATTTAGGATATTTATGTTTATGCTAGAATAGTTGAAAACGTTTATTTAGCGTTTTCACTATTTTCTATTGAATCTCTATTTTCTAATTCAAATGGAGGAGTGTCCTGAATTGTGAGACTACTATTTAGACACCTTTTTATGGTTGATTTTTTGGTTGGATCATTGAGTCTGTTAACTTTTCCATCGCATAATAAATTGAACAAAGTTGTTTTTCCAACTCCAGTTTTACCTATTAGGATAATGTGATTAAAATTATTGGCTACTTTTGATATTGTTGGTCTGTTATCTTAAGCAAAGGAGGGTTAATTCTAGCTCAGATATTTTACACAATGATCAATTGAAAACCCTCTTCTCTATTATTGATAAAGAGTTTTTAAGCTATCAAAAGAGGCTTATTAAAGGTAACAATTTTAACAAGATTTATTTTTGAAATATCCATTAAAAAATGCAGCACTAACAAAACCATCTAAATATTAATATTTATACAGCTTACAATATTAACAAAAATAAAAAGTTTGTTAAAATTTTTGTATCCATTCAAATAATTAATCAAAAAACAAATTTGTATATCTACTAATTTGTTCCATAATTTAATAATTGAATTTTCCCTATATAATATTATTTATTTATTTTGTTTTAGGAATCTATATAAACAATTTTTAAACAAGTTAATTCCTAAAATCAACAAAACTAGTGAAAGCTATTTCTAATTCATTTACGCTTATACATTAATTTATTTTTGACCTTTCAAGCTCGATTTCAATTAGTTTACCAACTTTTTCAATTATTTATTCATCAACTTTAGTACTTTTCAGTTAAAGGGATTTATTAAAATATGGTTGTTAACCCTTGGAGTCTTATAAAAAGTTTAAAAAGCATTGTTATTTATCAGTAAAAATGGTGATGTTTTTCCAATATTTTTAGAGTAAAGGGTAATCATTCTAACTAGCAGTAATCTTATCATCAAATACAACTATTTCAAAGATCTCATTGTAAGTTTCGTTTAAATATATTTTTTAATAGTCATTAATAAATGATTGTTACAAACATCCATCCATAAAAATTACAATTCTTTTCAAATCTCCTTCCAAATTTACACATTAAATATAGTCTAAAAATTCTTTAGAGTTTTAGAAAATTTCTCCATTATTGATAAAAATTTTAAAGGGACTCATTACGATTGAGGGAAATAAATTTAAATTTTATTTGAATTTGTAATATTAGAGTTCCAACTCATCATATTAACTTTGTTTTAGAAAACATAAAACCATTAAACACTGTTATTCTTGTTCTTATCTTCCAAACACTTTTTGAATATCTTAAAGTTGGCCCATTAATTAAAATAACAAAAATAATAATAAATATATTCTTAAGATATTTATAAAATTATATTCTACTTTTTTATGCAAATAAAAATCCTCATCAGCTTATGTTGCAAGTTGAAATAGAGCATGAATCGTTTTAAATTTTAGCATCGTCTTTAAATGAAGTTTAATTATTTTCCTATTAAATATAGGATATCGCAATTTATTAATCTGAATTTTTTCTTTCTTCATTGAATTATTCATTTTAACTTGCTTTTTCCTTTTGCCTATTTATATAATTAATATTTACTGAAATATTTACTCAAAATTATTATTCTCTGCTTCAATTTGTCTGTTTAAAGATTCTCTAACTCTCATTTATTATTCTTCAATTTTTTGTAAATACCTTTTCTCATTTTCTATGTCCTTGCTATCTTTGTCTTAAACCATGCACAACATATCTAAATATCCTGTATCTCTTAAGTCTATTATTTCTTATTCAGTAAGACTATCTGTCTCTTTCCAATTAAATTCAATACCACATCCTAATAAACCATTAGATTAGCCATCTAAAAGACCTTAGTTTTAATCATTATTATTAGATTGTTCATTAATAATAGTTAGATCATTAATTTTAGATTGATTGTTAATTTAAATATTTTCAATGATTTCCAAATCATAACCATTAAAAATTACTTGATATCTTTTTGGCTTAGGTGTGTGTTTTGGCTCGTCTTTTTCTGGTAATATTTTTCCACATGATGTTACACCATCGCAACCTGAAACTTTATACCAAATTAAACCGCAATTAGGGCATTTTTTGATAAAATTATAACAATGGAATTAGTAAGTTTACATCTTTAACATTGCTATTTATTTGACTTATTCTAGAGTCCCCATTATTTCTGCTTTTAATTTAGTGTGGGCTAAATATGTATATTCGCAAATTCCAAATTTTTCAACTAATTCTTCAAACTTATCTCTATTTTAATTGGTAAATTCCATAACAGTCTTGTGGGCTTCTTTTTTAATTAGTAGTATTATCTCATGCATCAAATCAGATGTTTTTTCTGAATTATCTGGTTATTATTGTATAAATTTTAACACTACTTCGCATTTATTCTAAAAGGCTTATTTTAATTTATGTGTTTCCAATTCATCCTATATAGAAAACAATGTATGTTTGGAAAATTAAAACGAAAACTCTTATGGAGTTAATTATACTGATCTTTTTACATTATTTTAAATTAACTAATCTAATTAAGAACAAATGAGATCTCCTGTAGTGCTCTTACTTGTACATATAAATGATTTAAGCTTAAGCGGTTTCATTACTTAATCTTCAATGTCACTTTTCAATTTATCTTAACTTTCTTATGGTTCTTTTTCTACATCATCCCAAAATGTAACAATAACAATAATAATTTCTCTACATTAAGAGAGCATGGATAAGGCTTAATTTATTTCCTCTTTCATAACGCAAGATCGATCAAATTTTGTTAAAATCAAAATTGCGTTCAAGGGTCTTTCGGCGGCTACAAATAAAGCAGATAAATGGGTTATTATGTCTTCATCACATCCAAATCCTGGTGTATCCATTAAGTAGAATCCTTTTCCAAAGGATGAGCATTTTAAAAAGATCTCCCTCGTGCATGAAGAGCCACCAAATTGCGTTTTTTTGGATTGAGTGCATATTTTATTGAAAAAACAAGTTTTTCCCCTGCCAACCTTACTTAATAAAAGAGCAATAGGTTTTTTTGTTTCCATAATAGAATTCAATATAATTATTTACTTTTTTTAATCTTCTATGTAATTTTATTCTATTGAGTCATTTTATCATGAACAGCAAAAAAAAATAGATTAAATGGTTTCTTATTTCTGAAACCAAATAAGTTTAAATATTATCAAAAGATAATCTTAAATTTGAGTATATGAGAATATACATCATAATAATTGAAAAATCGATGATAAAATTTATATTAAATTCTAATTAAATAAACTAAAGAATTGTAATCATTAGATGCTTAATTTATTAATTGCGTCATAGGGTTCAAATAATATGTGATTATTTAAAAGTAAAATAACTAAAGTAGATTTTGCAAAACGAAAACCAAAATCATTAAAATACGAAAATAGATGAGCATAGATTATAAACAAAAGCCCAAAAAATGATTAAAAATGAGTTCATCAATTAAAATAATTTCTAGAATTTATCTAAAGAAAAAAGTGTTTGTGATTCCGAATCTTTAGAAGATAATCTTTATTCTAATCTAAAATAATTGAGAATTGCTATCTTATAGATCATGCTTTTAGTTAGCTCGATATAGTAGGGATAAAAAATCAAAATTCTTAGATGAACTAATGCAGGATATTATTAATGAAACTTTTAATTAACATTTGCAAAACGCAGATCCTCGATTCTGAGATGTAATTATGTAACTTAAAAGAAGATTTTTGTAAAATGTCTAAAATGGATTTCGGATTTGAGAATTTTTAATTCTTTAACGAATAATCAGTTGAATACTTATTGCTGCCACAAAGTAGCACATTTAATAAAATAAAAATTTAATGCTTATTTTATCAAGACTTATTGAATATTAATGAGTATTATTTTATAATTTATTTTTTAATATGGGGAAGAAAAACAAGAGTAGAAATTTCTCAACAAAGAAAAACTAATTCAAATAGATCAGCAGAACCAAGACAGCAGCTGTATTTGATGAAAAAGAAAGGAAGGAGTATCTGAGTGGTATGTTTGGAGCTAAATAAAAACGAAAAGAGGAATACATCAAATTACGAAATGAGAAACACAAGAAATTCAATAAAGAATAGAAAGCATAAATAAGAGAAGTTATATTGAAAAATACATTTTTAGGAAAAAAAGAAATAAATTGAGAGATTGCAAAATCTTATTGACTTTAATAATTCATTAAGCAAAACTTAAAAAACAGAAAGCATTAAAACATCAAACAACAAAGAGGTCGAAGTAACAACTACTTTTTTTTCATGACTAATGATGATATATATTTCATTTTATAAGCATAATTAAGAAGAACTCATAACTTTGTAATTTCTAGAATCTTAAACAAAAAATTTGTTAATTCTATGGTTCTATATTAGTTCTAAGCTGTCCATAACCGTTTGAATAATGATAGAAAAAGTATAAATTCTTGATTTCTGTGAGAATTCATTAAATTAATTTACAAACATAATTGGAAGATGAGCGATTTCTTTGTATAAAATAGAAGTGAAATTTCTTAGCAAAACTAAAGTGGTTTGGGTAGTTTCAATGACAAGTAATGTAATTGATAATTACACCTATTAGTTTGGGCTCTAGTTTTGGCAGATTGCAATAAGACAATCAAAGTTTTGGTCCCAATGGAGGAGGGAGTTTTGCATAGAATTCAGGATTTATAGTGTAAGCTGAATAATATCGTTCTTCTGTTGGATTGGAGGATGTGGTTGCTCCAATTCAAATCTACGAATATTAAGAACCTTAAACACAAAAAGGGGTATTTTTTAGGGGGAGTGGTGATTTCGAGATGCAATTCGAAGAGATTGGAATTGAGAGATTGAACATCCAGCCAATAATTTAGGAAGACTCAAAAGAACATAAGGCACCCTCTCTAGATAGTGGAATGAAAAGCAGCTAATAATCCTCTCATGAATTCGAAATGAAAATAGGTATATAGAAATTGCTATTGAGATTAGAGTCGGGTGAATAGATAAGTTCAAAATTTAAACCTGAAGTCAAACAACTAATAAACTCCAACATCATTTAAGAGAATAAGAATTTGTTTAATGTGAATCAAGCCAAAAGCATATATACAAACAAGATTACTTAGTTAGTTGAATAGACCTAATAGAGACTTGATTTAGCCTCTAAGTCATCGCCCAGATTATCGTAAATACAAAATCTATTCATATAGGAAGAGTCAACAAAAGCTATAAAGAAAGTCCCCAATAATTTCAAGAGATCATTTCGATGCCTCTTCAAATGAATTATAATCTAGTCAAATGACTCCTGATGGTAATATGGATCCTGTTCAATAAAAGTTGGCCAAGAATAGGGAATCTGCAAAAAATTCAAGGGCAAGAAAGAAAATTTATTATGAATTATTGGAAACCAAGGTCAAGGAGCTTTAGGAAGAGTTGGACAAAGTCAAAGAATCCAATAGAACCCAAACAAAATATACTGAAATATGTAACAAATTTTAAGAGAAAGTATTGAATTTAGATCCATCTAGTTTTAAACTTTTTTGGATCAATAACAATAATTATTTGATAAATTGGAGACTTGCATACTCAAAAATAAAGATAACTTTGAAATAGCAATGGTACTAGATGCCTTGAGATATAGAACGAACTCAAATAGTCAAGAAAGAAATGATGCGGCAAGACAATACTTTGATTCCATGGTTGAAGTATGCTTACCAATATAAACCAAATATCTTATTTATGCATTAGAAAAGGATAAAGACTTCTTTGCTCAACAACCTGAGTACTAAAGATCTTATATTAGTGATTATACTGACTGGATGAAGGATGTATTTAAAAAGACTGAGATTAAACCAGAATAGATTGTTAAAGTTAAGAAGATGAAATCTAAATTGTAAAGTGTCAGAAATACAATATCTGAGTAAAATTACATTTCTATACATTCTAGTTCTATCTAAAACATCAAAGTTCAACTAAAAATAATATAGAGTGAAGCCAACAAGGTGGATTAAATGTGGGAATAACTGAAAGAATGCTTAACTCCTGTTTAATTAGCCACATGTCTTTTGGCTATGAAATAAGTAATCACTATTATCACAATTATTAGAATGCTTTTCGTTAAGAACTACAGACATCGTCGCTATTTGTATAGTTAAAGAATTCTTAGATGGTATATTCATCATTTATGAAACTAGTCAGAAGATGACGACAACTTGTTTAGAACAGATTAGTCATCCATTCCCAACAACAGGAAACTTGTCAAAAAATCTATGTAAGAATGAGAATATATATTCAACTAAGTCTTTATTGCATAATTTCTCGATCTTAAACTGTATGTCTTTGCTTTGTTTTCAATTTAAATTATATAGACTAATTATTCAAGCAGTTGCTATAATAATACTAAATTTATAATCAATTAAATACTATATTTAGTTTACATATAAGGGAAATATAATTATATGTATCATTCCTTTCAATATCTACTGATTGATTAATTAATGTAAATTAGATAAACATAAAAATAATAAGTCATTTATCGTCAGTCAAACAAATTACTTTGTCTTTATTTTTCAATATTGATTAAATTGATGAGGAGCTCTTTCTGGTTGGTGAGGGTGAGAAATCTTTTTTACCACTTTTGGGAAAATAACATATTTGATCGGTTCCACTAAAGCTTATATGTTTGAGAGGCTGTGAGGAAGAGGATGGAGTTTCTTTTTAAAAAGGGCTCTACATATTATCCTCCTAATCAGAATCAGGTAACACATTCTCTGAACTATCCCCTTAGGTTTTCAAAACTTTTTCACTTGTAATTGTGATTGGTTGTGCTGATATACTCATTCAAAGAAAATTATCTTAAGTAATATTGATATAATAAAAAATATAATCCAAATATTTATCAGAAATATCAGTGCTTAAATTATGTAAAAATTATATTGGGATTGGCTTTAAGATTTTTAGGAGATCTTATGGATAAAGGAGTGGAGATTTTAGAGGGTATTCTCCCTTAAAAGAATGGATTAGTGAGTTTTTAAATAAAAATGTAAAGAATGAACTCAATAATGCGTAACAATTATTTTTTTGTACAAAATTATTTATGATAATTTAATTTTGCATTCTAAATGAAAGAAGTTTAATTGTTTCAGTTAAAAGAGTAGATTTCTTTTCAATATAGTTTAATATCATAATTTTAGATTCATTTGTTGTATGTAGTGGCATATTAAATAATTTATTTATGATAAATAGATTACTTAGGCTCTGTTTTTGTTCCTCAATTAAAATAGAACCAGTTAATATACACTATCAAGATGGGCTATTTGACACAACCTATGGTTTACTAAAAATGACAAGGAATCCATACCTACATTAGAAACAATTAGAGAGCATTACCAATGCATATTTCTTGGAGGATGGAGTTGGATCGAGCTTCATTAAGAGTCTTTTTAAGAAGGACATGAATTCATTGATTATATTCGATTGTGAAAAGATGCATTTACGGAATGCGATCGAGATTTATTAGGCAACCAAAAAGTAGATAGATTTGCAATTTTTCGGCACGCCCAAGAGACCTCGCAATCCATTCTCAAAATGCAAAGGCCCGAAGGACATATTTAATCTCTATAGACATATTCAGAATCAATAAAAGCTGATGCTTTCAAGGTTGTGTTTGGTTGTGAGCTACAATGGAGAAGTCAGAATACAAGGCACATTGCCTGAATGCGGAGATTTGAAATATCATTTGGAAGAGTAACCCGAAAACGTCAGTCAAATAGGATATCGCAAATACAACTACCTATTGCCTTTTAGTGCTTACTAGGGGATTGCGACAGCCTACAATTACGAAAAAGAAGGGGTGGCAATAGAATTTCTGAACTACAAAAAAATCTATGCTTTATATGGTGTCTTCCCTCCCTCATAAAGATAGTATTAGGTCTTATTCCATTCGTATATGCAGAAATTAGTTAAAATGCATGATGTGTAATATTGATATCCATTATTCCATAGCACTCATTCTTCTCTTTACAACGTAATTGACTTGGGCTGTGCAACTGGAGTACTAGGATTCATAGCAAATGATGTCCTATTGAGAAGCTTTAGGGATAAGGAAATCAATATTTATTCATTGGACAACATTGAAAATGCAGTTAAATCGGCGAAGATCAATTCTTAGTGTTTGGAATATAAGAATTATACAGCAGAACTAGGAGACATCACAGACATTGAGACATTATAGTATCAATTAACTGTTTTTAAGTAAGTTCTCATCATCATTTCCTAGATATCCTGCTAAATTTAATTTGATCATTGCTAATCCACCTCGGATTTAAGCATCCAAATTACGCATAGATGATTCAATTGAAAATACAGTCACGGATCCAGATGGCATAATGTTAAAGTCAGTCTTTGAATTTGCAAACAGGTACTTGTAAATTGAATCATTGGATTCCACAAAAGGAAGATTGATTTTGATTTACAGTGATCTTTCTTAATTATTGGAATTGTAAGAGAAAGAAAAGGTTCAAGAACTGTGTAGAGAATATAAAATGGCCATTACATATTACTCTGAGTTACCATTCCATATTAAAGATCCTTAAAATGTTGATCCTCTCTTACAATACAAACAAAACAGTAAAGTTTAGCTATTTGAGATTCGCAAGATATGATCTATTATAATATATTTAAGGTTGATTGCTTAGCTATCAATAAGTTATAATAATATAATAACATTTATCCACTATTGGGACTTTACAAGAAAGTGAATATTAGATCTCACTTTTAATTCATTATAATTCATACGAGATTGTGATTCTTATTATATATTATAAACTTTAAAAGTTGCTAACTATTAAGATATACTTAAAAAAATTATTTTAAACTTACTGATTCTATATATTTAGAAATTAAGGATATAATGAAGATATTAATCTTAATTAGAGATACTAAAAAGCTACTCTGTTCTTATTCAAATTATTGCATAGAGAAAATCAATCAATATTTATGCAATTGATAAGTTCAATCTGGACAAAAAAACCGAAATATTGATATATAATATATCAAGAGGAGAAACTGGAAGATCACTAAAAGGGCTAGTTATCAAATTAACATGAAGAAGCATTTGTTTAGTTCTTGTTTGAAGGGTAGTAGAATAAGTTGTACATAACATTACTAAAGGTTTAGTTAGTAGAATTGATGGATGAGTATTAATTATAGTGATTTATTTGGATATGTGAATAATAAAAGTAATTAAATAGATGAATCACATAACTTTGAGTTGGTAACAAAATTTGGTTTAAATACTTACATAGTATAACTGCAAGAATGATTAGATCAGCAATTCAAACAAACCATTAGAGGAGATCTTTTAAGAGTTTATCAAGAATTACATTAAAAGAACTTAATAAAGGGAATTTTAGCATAATTTGATTACCTCAAGAATATTGATAATCAGTCAAGAGAGAATGTAATAAGAGTAGTTATTGCAAACTCAGGGTTTTAGAGTGGACTAGATCAAGGAGTAAAGGCAGTAATTGCTTTAGAGACTAGATTAAAGAGAATCGGAGTTGTAAAGAATAGAGAAGGTTTTAGAGAATGGCAATACAAGAAAATTGAGTTAAAATTAATTTGAAGATCTTTAAGATGGAATAGAGATGTGCAAGGAGAAACTCCAACTTTTGTAATAAGAAAACATAGAGTTTACTAAGTTGGCTCATTCTTTAAAATAGCAAAACGATTAATTAAAAAGTCGTTATTCAAATGTAAACACTGTGTTAATACATGTATAGGCTCGAGAGATGTATGATAAAAATTTATCCACTTTGAATGAGTTACAATAACAAGGTTTGAATCTAAATTATCGAATGATGAAATAAATTAAAATAACCAAAGACTTAGGTCAACTAAATCAGATAGGAGCAAGTTAGACCAGGAAATCAAAATTTGAGAACTTCGTTAGTAATTATTCATAATTGGAGGATACATGTATAACATAATTAAATTCTTTTTGAGCACCTTGAAGATTTGTATAAGAATTTTTAAATATAAGGGCAAGATATAGAACTTGAAGTGGCAGACAGCATTTCACAATTAATCTCTATCAAAAGGGAACTGGCATCGATTAATATGAAAGATTCTAGTTTGAATTCACCTCGATAATAGGACACATAAACAATTGACCCTGTATTGACATCAGGATCATTTAGATTTAAGACTCATCACAATTTAGGAGCGAAATTGATTAGATAGAGATAGATCTCATAAAATTAAGAGGATCTGAGGGCTTTTTCTGAATTGAATGATAATGATGTTAACCAATTTTCTTCGGATGAAGATATCAAGCTTCCTGAATAGAACTCTCATAAATAACCATGGTATCTGAGATCAGCAGCTCCAAATACGAGTAGTAAGAACTCAGAAAAGAAATGGGAAGCCTTTAGTGAGAAGAAGAAGCATCTTCAAAATAAACCTTCCTTTGCATCTATCTCATCAGAATCAAGTTTCAATAAAATGGGTGTGATGACATTGAAAGAAGAATTCCAAAGCATCTATTAGAGAGATCAATTAGATGAAGACATCAAAGAGAAGGATACTGAGTTGAATGACAGTGATGAAATTCCTTAATTAATTTAATAAGAATCAATACTTGAAGATTCAACCATTATCATAAACAGAAAATCTCAATAATTAAGTAAATCAAAAGTGCAAATTGAAACAACAGAAGAACCTGTAAAAGCTGACTCCTACAAAAATTTAAAGATAGCAGGTGTTTTACTAGCTACTTGTGGAATAGCAGGATGGCTATACAAAAAGTATTTTTGATTTTCTATATGAATATTAATTAACACAAAAATTCAATCATCCTTGTTTCTATCCAAGAAACTTCTGCTATCATATGATATTTTAGCAAATAGGGATTTCTTAGATGTAAACAAATGAGTCAGTAGTACAATAGCTGCAGTTCTAAAAGATATTGTTCCTATTTCCATTACTTTATGTCTAAGATACCTGGCAACAAACTACATGGTTATTCTAATAATGATACCAAATTGACTGTCTGGAGAACTGGGAAACTGATGAAATAAATTCCTCCATAGAATCCAAGCATCATTATAAATTATTAGACAGCTCCAGTACTCTTTTTATATGTATTAGACAATCCTTTGATAAAGTAGATGAATTCTCCAATAAATATAAAGGATGCTAGCCAGCCAACCCACCCTTCATAAGAGTGATCCTTATAATAAGCATCATAATCGATGAAACCTAATCCTACTATAGTTAATTGAAAGAAAGCTATTAATAGTGATAAGGGTAGAAATATCTCGAAATTGTCGAATTTAGTGAAATTTATTTGCCAACCCCAAGACAACATCACCAATATCATTGTTAAAGAGAATTGAGAAGCAATCTGCATTTATTATTAAGAGTTACCTATACAATAACTGAAAACACATGAAGGACAAATACTCCTTGTCCGTTATAGCTGTATACCCATAAGTGCAACAAATTCTCACTGTAAGAGATGGCTTCAAGGAAAAGAGTAATGACCAACAGAAACAATGCTAAGCTGAATTCCTCATACTTTTCATGTCTTTTTACAATGTAATACCCATTATAAACTAGCATTACAATGTCAACCAAAACAACCGCAAACATGAAATATTAAATTCCAAATTGTTCAACTGAGAATTCAGTCTTACCAACATTCTTTATGTGAACATCCACCTCAAATTTAACCTTTTTATATTGATCTTCCTTGAATTCATCTCTTAATCTTCGATGACAATCAGATATGGCATAATACCACATATGAGCTCTTAATTTGGCCTTAATAGTCCCTGTGTATATTTATGAATACTCTCCATTTCCCGGGACTTAAATAGTCTCTTTTCTCCTAGCTAAGGATGCTCTCTAGATTATTTAGAATTAATTTTACTTACCTCACATTCTTGTCTTTCCAACACTTCAGGCCATTCTTCATCCAAATACAATTCAAAAAGAATCGGGAAATTACGTTCTCTCATTTCCTCCGATTCCAATCCAACAATTCTGAATTTGAGATGATAAGTGACATCTCCAACTTCAGCTCCGAATTTCGTCAAATATTCCCAATCAGAAAGCTGTCTGATACGAAAACTCTTTTGAATCCTCTTGGCTTCACTTATCCACACGAATACTTACAATAGTATTAGAAATTTATACATTTGAATAAATTTTTTATATTAGTCAAGCCAATCTGTTTAAAATTTACACCAATTAATCCTTATTTTCATATAATATAGAGTGCCCACCCTCAATGTATTAGACTGTGCGTTTATTCATTTGTATCTTCTTTGACAAGGCCACATTATTCACATCCAGAGTCTCATCCTACAGGAATGTTTGCAACAAATCAGCCTCAGATATATTGACCAAACAATTCTTTAAGGAATGGTATACCTAAACACTAAGAATCAGTTTTTGGAATCTCTCCATAAATGAAGGACTTTGTAACAAACCTAAAATTAAATTGTAAATTATACCCTCCAAAATGATTTACCTTCCTAATTGATTGATTGGATTCTGCTGCAACACACAAGAAAGCAGATCTTCAGAAATTGGTTGAGTATTCATAATCGTATTAGTGTATTCAATGTCAGGCAAGTTCTGGCATATCGGCAGGTTGAGATTCGAATATTTTGATCGATTGACCAAAGAAGCTTCTTAATTAAGGGTATATGGATGTGTATGAATTTACAAAAGCAATCTGACTGAATTGAATTGTATTTTGGGATTGTACAACTAATTAGATTTGAATAATGTCTTACTGAATGCTTAAGCATGAAATCCTCCTGATCCCACTCCCAAGATCTTTAATGTATCAGTTTGTAAGTCGATTTTGCCCTTGGTAGATAATTCATAGAGTATTTAATCTAAGATGCCTGCTATATAGATGTTTGTGTATGCTTGCTTCTTATTGAATAAGGTGTAGGCTTATCCAGGAGTGTTTAAGAGCAGTACCTTCTTATTTTAGGCTTCATTGATCAAATCCACTATGATTGGATAGTATCTAAGATATAATTGATGTGAATACTCAAAAAAGGATTCGAACATGTCGTGGAGTATGATTATCAAATCTATTCCTGATTGAGAACTCTTCTCCTTCTTCTTGGTTATGTTACTCTCAAATAAAGCATAAGGAACAGCAGTCTGAGAATCAACTACCAAATACTCCAATTGTGTAATATCAAAACAAGGAGGTGGGTATTTCATCATCTCACAGACTTCTTCAATTTATAATGCTCTTAATTGATCATATTTCAAATCATATGATAAAGCTTACATCGGAGTACTTAATTAGAATTGATACAATTTCCTTACTATATCAAAATTAACATGATAATAATAATGAGACGAAGTTGAAAGTAAGATCTATTAAACACCTTCCTATATCTTTTCATTATAGTATTCCTTCTGTATAGCTCTACATTCCTGCTCCTTTTTAGAAGTCTTAACCAGCATCTTCTTAATCTCCTCTGCTCTCCCTTGCAACTCCTTATTCTCCTATTGGCTTGTGTCTATTCTTCTAACATTCGGTGCTTTCTGTTCTGCAAGCAGGTCTATTAAATTATAAGACTCATTTCTAAATTCTTGAGATTGTTCCATCTGACTTGGCTTTTAAAATTACTCCAATTTTTAATAATTCAAATAACCCAATGTTAATCTATTAATTTCTATTTACTTGCAAACATCTCTAAACTTTTAAGGCGATGCTGTTTAAGAGCTTCTACTCTCAGGTATGGAAGTAATTAGAAAATTCTTCTTTTGTGTTGGAGCTCTGAATATTCTAAAAGATTTCGTTGATGTTGATGGCTTCATTTATAGTTTCTCCTGCCTTTTGAGAATGTTTTCATCTCTCTTTCTACGTCTTTCAGCTTCTTCGTCTATTTATAAAGAGGGAGTCTTCTTTTCATTGATAAATTAGACTCCGTTTTTAATGTCTTTTTTGAGTTAAGATTCAAAGTGTCTTTAAATCATCGAATAGATTATGAAGCAGTTCTTACAAATTTTGACTGATTTGTATAGATTAATTAATGCTTGAACGTCTGAATTCTCTTTGCTGAATGGATGCTGTTATTCGTCTTTAATTTCTGGATGCTCTTCTGGATTGTAATTTTCTAAATGAATTTTGTATTTTTTAAAAAGTTCTATGACTTCCTTATGATCATCTCTTGTACGCACTATCAATTACAACGAGATTTCATAAGGTAAATTGGTACTCATATTACTGACTGTCTATTTGGACTCCTTAAACACGTTCTTATATGTTTCCAATAGACCTTTCCTTAATTGCAAAGGTCCTCTTTGATATAAATTTATCGAAATACTTGTTTTTTTCTATTAATTTATAATTGCAAAAATCCCCTTGGCATCTCTCAAGTATTAAGTGCTTGTAGAGAGTTTTGCTCAATTTCTTGTCCTCCTCTACAATCTATTTGGGGTACTTTTTGAATTCATTGTTTGCATTCTTATCCAACCTGAATTATTTGCAGGCCATCATGAAATTATCAAATTAACCATTGCTAGCTATTTCGTCTCTCAAACCCCTCTGATACGGTGCTGCATATGAAACTAAAAGATACCTCCACTTTGGATTTAAATAGAGATCTATTTGATCCCAGCGAAATAGATCTGTTCTCTTTGATCAACAATGAACTTGGGAGTGAATTTGCGTATTTTGACTTTGAACACCTTTTCGATGTAAAATGCTATCTTTTTTGTCTCCTTTTGGAATCAGTAAATGATATAGATACTTCTTGGAAGCGTTGATTCAGAGTAGAATTGCAATATTTGAACATGGTCTGCACTTTCTAAACCTCCTATTGTCTGACTGGAATTTAACCACTACTTTGGACTGGCATCAAGAGTGTTTGGAAAGGATTGCTGGATTTAGCAGTTGTACTTTTGTTCACTCTTTTGATTGTGAGAGTCTTCTTGAAAAACTTGAAAGTGATTGGAATGAAATCAACATCATAATGGTACTCGACATAGTAGACTTCATCTGCAAACTATTAATCTAGCTACTTTGATTTTCAATGTACTATTGCATGTATGCCAAAGATGAGAGATCTTTGCCTTCAACAAAGAATTGCAATAACTCTTATCGATTCATAGGTACACCCTCATTCCTTTTCATTTGCAAAAATGCTATTGGAGTTTCCTTTGACATTATAAAAGAAAATAGTACTTCTTTGAATTGAGCACACTGTCTTGCTTGCTCAACCAATTGAGTCAGCGTGTCTATCTTAATGTCCTTAGGGAATTTCATACCAAGCAAAGCCTTGGCAATTTCGAGGTTAGAGAGTTTGTCAGAATTCTTTTTCATGACCACTTGAGTGTTTTTGGGATTGAAGAGCCAAACCTTAGGCATAAGCTTATCGAAGATGATGGTCTATGGTATAAGACATGGCAACTTGTTGTTCTTTTTGGTGCACATCTCGTAGAAACCCCATTAAGAAGTTAGTTCTAATTGATCTTCCATAATTATATTAATAAATCAATATCCAAGCAACATGATGACCAAGAATATTGAATACATGATGGTCTGGTAAGAAGATGTACCTGGGTTTGAACCAATTCCGATATTCGTTGTGGTATAAACAGACTAAGAAATAGTAATTAATATATAGTACTCCTGCATATGGTTGGACAGATTGGAGACATCTTTTTTCAAAGTTGTAAAATCCATATTTACATATAGCACATCCGTTTTGGGTGGATGGGTACTATTCATTGTTCAATGTTGAAGTAATATATCCTTCAGCACAATTTGCCTAACTTAAAGAAATACAGCCTCCATTTGAGAGTACGTAACCAGAGATACAAGAATTACAAACTTAACCTGGAGCAGAACAAGTTGCACATTCAGCAGGACACTTCAAACAATAAGAAGTGGATCCTGTGCCTGTGTTGATGCTGGATAAGAAATATCCATCTAAACACACTTAGCATGTGTTAGGACTTTGAGCAGTACAAGTGGCACAAATTAGCAACTCCACATTGTGTGCATCCAGCACCAGATACATAGTAGGTTATTGCACACTTGGTACAAGTTGGACCTGATCCACATTAAATACAATTTTAATCACAAGCAGTACATGTTGTGGTAGTACCAGTCGAGTAAAAATAGTTAACTGCACAAGCACTGCAAGTTATTGAATTGCTTGGAGATCCAGAACATGCTGTACATCCTTGAGGTAATGAGGAAGTCAGGGTTGGATTACAAACCAAACAATTTGCGTTGTTATATAATTTACTTTATGAGGTACATGTTGCACAAGTGTATTGAGTGGCACTAGTTGCTACGATGGTTACACATTGTAAGTTTTGAGTAGATGGAACACAAATAGTTTAAGCTGCTGTAGTACCTACGGCAGGTAGAGTATATAAATAATATCCATCTTAGCATTGAGTTGGTACAACACTAGTAAGTGATGAATTTTCAACAGGTCCTTGACATCTCAAGAATGAATCTGATGCTTGTGTGCATGGTTTACAAGTAACTATACCATTTGAATCCTTTACACCATAATATCTAGAGTATATTGATAATATTATACGTGTCCCAGCAAGTAGTACATGATGTTTATAAACCAGCTGTTTATTATCCAGATGGAACTGTGCAACTATCACAATTTCCACATTAATAGCAAATACCTGAACCACTTGGGTCTAAGGCATATCCAGCAATACAAGAAGAACACTTTGGATTTGCTCCAGATGTTGTTAATTAGGTGTTGATTGAAGCACACTTATTGAGAGGATAACATAAGTTATCTGTATATTTGTAGTATGAGGTAACGCAATCAGTGCATTATGTTGATGAAGTACATGATGTACATCCAGTTGGGCATGCATTACAAGATAAAATGATAGTGTTGGTTGTATCTTTAGTTGGGAAATAACCAGTTCTGCATTGAGTACAATTTGAGCCTTGACAAGTAGCACAATATCCACTTGTGAGACAACTGACACAGGCACCTGCAAACTATGCATTGGAGGATGTCAATTAGGTACTGCTTGTTGATTATTACCAATAATAACCATCATTACATTATGAACAAGTATAACTATAAAATATCGATATATATAATTACGCTGAATTACATGACTTGCAATTGGCCATTGTCTATGAACAGACACTGCAAAATGATTCTCCAGGGAATCTATAGTATGTTTACCAGGCTGAGATCCAATCAGTTTAATTGTTAGAGCCTGAGGTTGTTAAAGTGAATTTCAAGTCCCAATTTAAAAAGTATCCAGTCTAGCATGTTGTGCAAACTGCATTTTCATCCCATGATGAACAATATCTATTATTGATACATACACCTCCTTTAAGTGTGTAATCGGAGTTGCAAGCTGTGCACACATAAGCATCTTAGTTTTAGTTTAAACCATAAGTAGTACAACCATAAGGTATAGGAATACAAACACTTAAAATAAATATTGCTGCATTACCCATTTATTAATGTATAACCAGATGTACATGTCAAAGAGGTTGCCTCATAATAAGCACTACAGGTGTAATAACCACCCAATACTGCATCAGCGTTTTTGCATGGCATGCATGCTTGGTTGTTCCAATAATACCCTATAATGATCATAATATAGAATACCATTTCTGCACAATGAATTTGTCCTTGTTGTCTATCTAGCTATATTGGCTCCATATGTGACACAACCATATCCATTTGATGGGCATGTGACTACCACTGCCCCACTTACAACTAAAAGCAATGCTATGCAGAAGAGAACTCTCATTTTAATTTATTAATAATTTAAGATTTTACATTAAGCCAAGTATAAATATCTGTTAATTATAATGAACTCACCCTCTAGCAATTAGTTGCTTCAAAAACTTCAAAATTTGCATTTAACTCAAAAGAAAACCATCCAGCACTCACATTCACCAAAACATTCAGAAATCAACTAATTCCTCCATGCTCCATCGACAATCCCCTACCTTCAAATCAAACAATGTGATGTCGGATAGTTGACTGACCGCATTGTCAGAGAAATGGATAAGCACACCTCATTCGCCCAAATTGAAAACCCCCTAGAAATTCAACACTTTCAACATGCCAACCCGCCTATCTAAATATCATCCTTAACCCACATTGATAAAAAGCTCAAACAACTTAAATATGCCAAAGACCATGATCACAACATATTTGCAGCAGTTTTAACAAAAATGAAACTCTTTTGTCTTGACAATTCAACAATTTGCTTTGATTTTTATAGATGCACCGATCTTATTCTACTCAAATATATGATCTATCTTTTGATATTAGAATTGAACCAAGAAACCCCCAATAATTAGCAAGAACCAGTTCCAGAGTACAAATAACAATTCCAAAGCATGGTCAAGGACATTGTCATAATCATTTATGAAATCATAGAAAAAATCAAATCTAAATAGCACATTAATCCTTAAATGGATATCCTTAATAATTAATTGATCAAAATTTAAAATTCCTTTAAGCCTCAACCCAATAGTCCTGTTAAAACTATCAAGAAACCATCACATCATCGTGAATTCGGTAGCTGTAATTTAGAGAATAACAAAGCAGCATACCATTAAAATATACTTGCTACTGAAATTAGTACTAATTCTAATCATCATTTAAATAATGGATAATAAAAGATAATCAAATACCAAATTGATGAGTTGGAATAGAAATCTAAAATTATTACCTCCTTAAATGACTAAATTTTGAAATTATAAAATAATAATAAATAATAAATTCTTTCAATTTCGGAGTTAAATGCTTAAATTGAATCTATCATTTCTTAATTGCAATCTAAAACTGATGAAGTATACTATAATTAATATTTATTTTATAGTTAGAGCAATTAAAAAAGCAATATGAACTTTTAAAGTCAAGTAACCAGCTTTGTTTAGAAGAAAAAGATCATTATTTTAATCTTTACCATGATTTTGAATTGGAAAATACGACACTCAAATAAAATCTTGAGAAATACCAAGTAGTTATCTTATATCAACTAGGTGGTTCACGATTAAATAAAGTCGCAGTTTGATTAATATTAGAATGAAACTTATTCTTCCTATTAGTAATAATGTAATCAACTACAATAAATTAAAGATAATGAGATTAAACAATTAAAAATAGAATTAAATGAAAAATCCTCTATAATTGTAAAAATATTTGTATATCAATGTAGAACCAATTATTAGAAGATGCCTTATTTTTTGGTAAGTAATACAAGTAAATTGTTGAGAGAATAGTTACTATATCTTAAGATGACAATGGAAAGGAGGTGCAACAAATGTAGAAGGAGATTTTATTTTTGGAAAACACTGTGAATGCTAAGTTAAATGCGATATCGAGTTATTCAGAGAATATGATATATGATTCAGGCCAAGAATTTTTATAGTAGAGTCAATTATCTAATAAGTTGGTAAGTAAGGCCTCATCTCCCAAAAGTGGAAATCAATAATTAAGCAGGACTTCTGAGTTCCTTAATGGGCAAAAAAATTAGTTTGAATTGATGCAAATGCTTTTGGCTTAATGTCAAGTACTAGAGGAGTTTTTATTATGATTATAGAACATGTTGAATGAGATGGGATCTAAGTGATTTAATGATTTTATAAACAATTGTGTTTGTAAATTAAGACTGTTTTTTATTGGCATATGCTGTAATGAGTGCTTCTTTAATTAAATAATAAAATGAAATATTGCATATTATTGTTCTATCTTGTTTTTGTGTCATCATCATTCAGTGTGAACACAAATGATCAATTCATCGTGGATTCCGATGGTTTAAGACGAGTATTTCATGGGTAAACCTTATAATCATAATTAGTGTAAATGTTGTTTACAAATTGCCCCCATTTTATCCACCAGTATCAGAAGGATTTGATCCCAATGATTCACTATCCGATTTCGATTTGGATAATTTGATCTCTTGGGGAATGACATTCATTAGATTGCACGTGGCATGGGAGGGAGTCGAACCAGTTAGGGGATAATACAATTACACCTATTTAGAGGAAATCGACAAAATAGTAAAGAGGTGTGAAGCCAAAGGAATAACAGTGTTGTTGGACTCCCATTAAGATGTATTGAATAGATTCTTTTGTGGAAATGGATTCCCTGATTGGACAATTGCCAGAACTAAGGCAAAGGCATTTAAGTTCCCATATCCTTATGTATTCTCTAAGATACACACCGATGAGGAAGGAGTTCCTATCATTGAGGATTGTTTAAAGAAGAAATTCGCTCTTTATTATGTAACAGCCGAAGCTTCTAAAACATTCTAAAATCTTTTTGACAATAAGGATGGAATAGCAGATTCATTTGCTGAATACTGGGGTGTTGTTGCTAATTACTTTAAAGATCACAAGAATGTCATAGGATATGAAATTATCAATGAGCCAATTCAAGGATCTATATACCATAGCATTAGAGAATTCTTGTTCCCCAATTATGGTAATAATCACAATCTTTTGCCTCTTTACAGAAAAGTGCATAAGGAAATCAGAAAGTTTGATGATAAGAAGATAATCTTCTTTGAACCAGGAACCACTGATCTTATAGGTGCTGGATTTAAAGATACTCCAGGAGGTGAAGAATACAATGATAGAGAAGTGTACAGTTATCACATTTATTGCTTTAATGTTGATGATTACAGTATTCCAAAGAATGAGAAAGTATGCAATTACATGGATTCATTCTTCTTTGCAACCAAAGAGGGTGTTGCCAAGCATTTAGGAGTTGGCAAATTTTTGACTGAATTCGGAGCTATTCTTGATACTCCAAAAGGAAACAAGGAACTAGATTACCTATTAGACTTAATGGAATCCAAATTCACTTCTTGGGCTTATTGGGAATTTAAGTATTATGCTGACGTCACAACTCAAGCTCATCCTGGATAGATAGAGTCCTTCTATGATGAGTTTGGATAACTATACACAAACAAAGTCAAGACTCTTAGTAGACCATACGTGACTAAGATATGTGGTAGTCCCAACAGTTCCACCTTCAATGTAGTTGATGAGAACTCTCATTTCTTGGACTTAGATTGGTCTGTCAGCAAGAAATGCAATGGAAAACAAACAGAGTTGTTCTTGTCCAGAGAGTTTTATTTCGATGAGGTTTACGTCCACTTCGAGTAATGATTATTTCAATTAATAGAAATTGTGCTGGATGCACCTTGGAAGCTATAAGCAAGTCATACTATGTGGTTGTATTGCCTGATAATATCAAAGAAAGAACAACAATCTCTTTGACCGTGACCAATTATGAATGAAACAAATTTAATTATTTCATCAAAATATTTGTCTCTCCGTTTCCAATCACCCTTCAGATTCATTGTTATTTGCTGGAGTAACAGGAGTCTGTTGAGGTATACTGAGATTCTGCAAGGAGATTATTTGATAGGGATGAAGTTATAGTAAAAATATGATATATCTTATTCCGACTTGCGTGAATAATTGTTATTGATAAATAAATAAATAATTATTTAAAACAAATGATGAATCACCAAGATTAAGCATCATTTGATGATAGTCGTTTGTAATAGGAGATGAAGTAAACTGCCTAATTTTTTAATCCCCAATTAAGCTCATTGGGATAATCCATTAAATTTTAATAAAAACAAATATAAAGAGTGCCCTTCAAATCACCAAAAGAATAAGCATTCAAGCTTAGTTCAGAAGGCAAAAAGAATTTGTAACCTCAGATAAACAGTGAAAAGAGACCATCTCAAACTTTGAAAAAAGTCACTCTGACTAAATCTACTAAATAGTTTGCATAAAATAATCACATTACTCCTGTCATGCATAAATTTGGGTATGGAATGATCTCTAATTAGCTCTCCTCCTAAATTAATTAAAGTTCCTTCTGTTAAACCATTTTCACCACCTCAACCCAAAACAAACAATGAATAAATTAATATAGTCTAGAATAATTCTGTTGCACCAGGCTTCCAAAGAAATGCAAATATCAAGTTTGGCCAACCTCTCAAAATTTCAGACAATGAATTTAACATCAGCATGGCTGATCTGTAGCCTGTTCGAAAACACATCCCAACCAAACAAACTGAAGACTTTGTTAAACCCGAATATCCATCTTATCAAAAATCCTTATTAGATAGCAGACAATCTCAATATAATAGTGAATAAATGCAAAAATCCAATTCAACTGCATTTTTACCCCGAATTAATTAAACAAAAAAAATTTACAATAATCAACTTATTGGGTATGGTTCTATCGGACAATAATCCCAATAGGAGACAGCTTTAAGAACAAATTCCTCGAAATAAACCATCACTCCTGTCAATGAATTTATTAATTTCAATCTACCGAATGATGATGTGTCTAGAAAATCAAGAACTGCATAGGAACATTTAAGAGACTCTCAAGAATCTCAAAATTAAATTAAACAAGCATACAAACTCATGAGTATGGATAAGCCAGATCAATTTAATCAATTACCACAAATACAATCCCCTCAAGCAAGCACTAAACAATAATTTGCATTTCAATCAACTGGAGGTTCATAGAAACCAAAGAATTTTCTGCAAAGAACTCCTCAAACTAAGATAATAAGTCGATTATTTTCATCAAAATCAGACAATAACTAAGTTATTTGATAATTTTGCTATATTTAAATATAATAATTATTTATTACCTCGAATTCGACTACCTCAATAATTAAGTGATTTTATAGTATATTTATAATTTTTACAAATTCAAAAAGTAATCTATTGACTCTCAAAACAACCAGAATAATCTAAAATAATCAGAATAATCTAAAATAAATTATAAAGCAATTGAATTTTTCACTTCTTCATCGAAATAATGTGCAAAAATTAGATTAATTCATTACATTTTAATGAGATTTTACTAAAAGAAATTTAGTTTTTTTCTTAAGTCAGTAAGCTTGAATTGATAATTTTGTTTATATTAAAATAATACGATAATTCTTATGCAATGTGGTATGAGACGATATTATACTTAATTGGATAAGTTGTAGCCAACAAATCAATTGAATTAAGATCAAGTTTGGAAAAACAGAGAGATGAGATAAACGTTATTGGTTGTAAGCTTAGAATGATTGTTGAAGTGTAATTTATCCTATATAAAAGGGTTTTAGTAGATGAATTTATAGGGGAAAGTTTGATAATTTTGATTCAGTGGGGGATTTTTGATGATCTTATGAGTTTTAAAAATAATTTTTTATATTAATGAACTCTAATAAAGCAGTTTCGGAGACCACTAGTGATTGTCGGAGTTTAAAATTGAACACCTCGATTTCTAAACATGGGTCGAATTGGTACATTGATTAAATAATATTAGCACGAATATGCCTGGATCAAGCAGCAAAACATCATCAACTACTATTTAAAAGAGAAGCCATAGGTATTTAGAGACTGATAAATTAGTGATTTCTAGCCTATGCAATAAACGTTGGGATAAGGGTCTTTTGGTTGGGTCACTTTAGTAAGGGAGATTTAGACTGGGAAATTATTTGCAATGAAAGCTGTATTGTTGAATGTTTAATGTCGTAGATGAAGAAGGCGGAGCTCTTCAAGTATTGCACAATTGATAATTTGAAGAGGGAGATAAAAATTTAACGTAAATTGAATCACCCTCATATTATTGATCTGGATAGTTATTTCGAGGACAAGGTAAGGTCGATCTATAATTTAAGACCAATGTATATCTCATTCTGGAGTATGCGGAAGGCGGTTCTCTATTTAAAAGGATAAAGAAGCAGCGTCGACTTTCTGAGGATGAGGCCTATCATTATCTCTATTAGACTTGTTTGGGAATCGAGTACTTGCACAAGATGAAGATTATCCATCGTGATATAAAGGTTGCGTGATGTTGATATATTGTAAATAGCCTGAAAACCTTCTGTTGGATGCGAAGGGGAACATAAAGATATGCGATTTCGGATGGTCTACGGAGATGGACAATCTGAAAAAGGCATTTTGTGGGACCATTGAATACATGGCACCGGAAATGATCAAGTCTCAAAGTACGAACTATAAATTGGACATCTGGTGTTTGGGGGTTCTGCTGTATGAGATGGTGCAAGGGAAGCCTCCATTTACAGGGAAAAATGATCAGGAAAAGTGTGTTGCAATTCTATCAGGGTAGCAGTTGAAATACGAGGAATCCGTGAGTGAAGATTGCAAGTCGTTGATTGCGATGATTCTACAGCCGAATCCATTTAACAGACCTTCGATTTAAGGTATTCTCAATCATAAATGGATGTTATCTAAGTAACAATCTAAATCTTACAATGACCAATTGAATTCCAGAAGCATCTCTATGTTGATGATGGAAGAATATAGTCATTCTCCTTTGAAATCTTGTCAAACTGTGGTTTCTGAAAGGAAAACCAACAACAAGGAATGGGAAGAGTCGAAACAAAGATCTCACCATTTTGTTTTCCATCAACCTTAACCAGTAAACGAACAACCAGAACAAACTTTCTTCAGAAGAGTCTTGATTTCTCTTGGTTGTATAAATCGTTGAAAATTATATATTTTAAATTCGTCTAGATTCGATTAATCAAATAATATTAATAATGCAATAAGAGAGATACTTTTTAGAACTAAATTAATAGGGAGAGATTGAAGGTAGTCATGATAAGGCCATCTATGCACGTCAAAATTAGATAGTAAGAATCTTTGTTCGCAATCGCAAATAAGGTTATCATCCGTACTTGATCATGTAAAAAGGGTACAAGCATGTACATGAGATGGAGAATTTAACTCTGAAACAAATACAACTGCATCATGAGGTTAAGGCGTTTACTCTCGATTCGTCTGGGGATTGGAAGGTGGATGTTGAGTTTGCATTGGCTGGGGCAGCTTATTTGAGATTGTGTTGGTTTTTCGCCTAAGACAATTCTGTAGAGTATTGGGAGTGGAGAATCATATAATTGTTTAACCAAATGATGTGGAGAAGCTCTAAGATGTAACTATATAAACATTGCTACCATACTGTTTGGGTAAATTTGAAAAGATTATGAAAAGTAAATTCGTTCTCAAGTCGATTTGGGTTATGAAGCATTTCATTTTCCGCCTATTTAGCAATTGGGTCAATCACCCAGTTTATATGCAATAGCCGATTAACAGAAATTGAATACTGATATTTTTGGGATTCACACTTATGATGATTTAAAATAACTCTTTGATAAATTTCCAAATTCATACTTTTTTATAGATATCTTGTTAAATCATACAGCATTTGATTCGAGTTGGTTAGTGCAATCAGAATTTGAGAATGCGACTTATAATGTGAAGAATTCCCCTCATTTAGAGGCAGCCATAAAATTAGATTGTGCCATAGCTGAATTTAGTAATAAGTTAGGATCTGGATTGTTGACTCAGTATCCAAGGAATACTATTTATAATGAGGAGGATCTTAATCAAATAATGGACATATTGGAACATGAGTACATAAGGAAATTGAATATTCATGGATATTTTTAGTTCAATACGAATGCAGTGATCAATGAAATACAGAGTAGATGCAATAAGATAGTTTAAAGCAAGAGTGAATAATTGGAGGAGAACCAGAACATCTTCATCAAGAGTGCAAGTGAAATTATGTTGCAGTTGGTAGGATAGGAGACAATCCTGAAAGGGTATAAAGAGTATGGAGTGTCTTTAAATTACGATGTGATAGTTGAATTTCTAAAGTAAAGTATTAAATATTAATGGTAGTAAGGATGAGAATTACAAGAAGGTGTCGTTGGAATACATTCAAGAATTGTTGCAATATTACAATCATCAATACTGGAATGAAGCTGAGTCCTACATCAAGGAGGCTGTGAATTCAACAAAAGGGTAGGTCACATGGTGGAAGTTGACACAGAAGAAGCCCTTTGTGGAAGTAAATGACAAGGGAGACTCCTTGGTTCCCAGATACTTCACTAAATTAAGCAATGGGAGTTATGTGGCAAATAATGGATGGATTTAAGGCTTTGATCCTTTGAATAATTTTGCAGAGAATCAGGAACACCATTATTTGAGAAGGACAATTGTGATTTGGGGTGATTTGGTGAAACTCAGATATGGACACAAGAAATAGGATAGCCCAGCATTGTGGAAATACATGAAGAAATATGTTCAATAGATGGCCAAGATATTCTCAGGGTTGAGATTGGATAATGCCCATTCAACACCCATGAATGTAGGGTAATTGATTTAATTGATCTTAAATTAGAGAGTATATGATGAGGAAGGCAAGGAAGGCTAATCCCAATATCTTAGTGTTTGCTGAGTTGTTTACTGGATCATCAGAGAAAGATTCAATCTTTACTAAAACTATGGGAATCAACTGTTTGGTTAGGGAAACTAACAGATGTCATGATGCTGGTCATCTGAATAGAGAATTGCATTACTATAGTGGAGATGGACGAGTATCAATTGGATCTTTACCCAAATTGCAAGAGCAATTCGAATCAATTAATGAAAGCTTCACTATCCTCTAACCTTAGTATAGTCCTGCTCTGATTTATGAGTAATCTCATGATAATTAGTCATTGCTCTAAACTCACGATTACAAACATCAATTGCCAATAGCTGCCTTAATTACTTTTAGTAGTTGTATGGGTGGATCTGTTAGGGGATATGATTGTTTCTTGCCACATAAGTTATCAGTTGTAGGCGAGAGAAGAATCTACAATGTTGTTGCTCCAACAGAACAAGTAAGTGTTGAAAGACAGTCAGAGATAGCATTTCGATATGATGGATTACCAGATTAATAGGTTGAAGTGTTTGGATCATGGGATGACTGGAAAGAAGGCTTACTTTTGATTGCCCATAAGAACACTTACATTCATACTCTAATGTTGAATGAAGGATAATATGAATACAAATATAAAGTCAACTCCAATTGGATTGACCACACTAATAGGAAACTAATAGTAGAACCTAATCCAACCAAATCTCATTCAACAATGGAATTGATTAGACTCAAATTACATTAGATAAAAAAGGAACTGAACCACTAGTTCCCTTTTATCTTCTGTTAACATCAAGGCAACACCATTCAAACCATCACCAGAGAAACTCAAGACAAATGTAGATCCAAGGTTTTGATTACTGTTCCTTCTTTTGGAGTTCCAAATCCATTTAGTACAATCAAATTACCTGGAAAACTCGTCAAAGTAGATGCTATCTTCTATCATGAAGACTTTATACAACATCCTGAATAAAACAATCAATTCATAGAGGGATCGACAGTCAAAATTATTTAACATCGAAATCTGCGAGAGTTTGCTGAAATCCAAGGCAATGAATTAATGTTCATTAAATTGCCTTCTTCATTTACAGCCATCATTGAATGCCAAATTGACTCTGAATAAGAGAAACATTTGTAATCCCTAGACACTCACTTGAATGATGCATCCTAATAAGTACATTTCAATGCATTGAGTTCTTATTAACTAAATTACTTACTCTTTATGTCTGAACCTGAAGAGAGAGACAAAAATAATACAGGATTGTATTTTATTCCTAATTACAGACAACTTATTTATGCTGGCTTTGCTGGTCCTCGTTCTGCCACAAGAGAAGCATAAACAAACAACAATTTGGCACATCCCATCTGTGAAAATCTGAGAAATGGAAATTGGTTATTGGACTATTTAAATGATAGAGTACAACGATAACTTGGATAATTGGAAGTATCTAAATTAGTAAATGTCATCACTCAATAAATCAAAGGTATCCCTCGCCATCATATCCCTTCCTATTTCTGTAAATTTGTTGATTACATCTACAACTATTGTATGCTCTCCATAGCTAATCTCTAAACATCATAATTCAGAAGAGAGTTAAAACTAGCTTCGTATCAATTTATTGCAGAGTTGCCTTCATCTAAATAGATGGCAGCTGGATTACCCCATTTTACTACTGGTTGGGCCAGATCATGGGGCAGAGACACTTTCATATCCTTTAAGGGAATATATCTAGAAAATGGATTACTGGCTGAAGCAAAAGATGCTCTGTTAACTTTTGGTTCTTGTTTAAGACACGGACTCATTCCCAACTTATTAGATTCTTGCAATAATCCAAGGTATAATTGCAGAGATGCTTGTTGGTGGTACATTAAGGCAGTCAAAGATTATGTGTAATATGCTGGAAAGACTGACATCCTTAATGAGGAAGTCTAAATGGTATTTCTAGATGATGAGATAGATAAACATTACTAATTGAAATCATAAGGCATTGTCATAAAGAAAACAATAGCAGAAATTATTCAGAAGATCTTTTAGAGTCATGCCTCTGGAATCAAATTCAGAGAATGGAGAGCAGGAGGCTAAATAGATAATTGTATGTAATCAGAAGGATTCAACATTTAATTGAGTCTAGATGAATAGACTGGTTTTATTGTTGGTGGAAATTGGTTAAATTGTTTGACATGGATGGATAAAATGGGTTCATCAGAAATTAATAGAGGAATTCCTGCTACTAGTAGAGATGGAGCACCTATTGAATTGACTGCTCTTCTCAAAGTTTGCTTAGATTTCGTTAGTCATGCTCATCCTCATTATCCTTTTGATGGTGTTATTTGTCCTAATGGCAAGAAACTACTCTTCAAAGAATGGTCCCATTTCTTAGTCGCCAATTTTGAAAGTTATTACTACATTCCAAAGTAACATGATCCAAATTACCAAGATTATCATATTGTTGAAAAACATGTTAGACATCGACAAATCTATAAGGATCTTGTCAAGTCTTCCAAGCCTAGAAATGAATACTAATTAAGGTGCAATGCCAGCATAGCTATTGGATTAGCTCCTGAACTATTCCACAAAGAAAAGGCCAAGTTCCATCTCGCTGCTGTTGAAGCATGTTTATTAAGAGAGAATTCAATTGGTGTCAAGACTCTTGATCCTGCTGCCTCAGAATATATTCATTTCTACGATAACAGTGATTCATCTCAAATCTTCAATGTATCTCATGGATTCTCTTATCACAATGGACCAGAGTGGGTTTGGGTTTATGGATATTTTTTAAAAGCCTTAGTAGTTATTCATGGCAAAGAGCATATCAATAGAACTCTATTTTATTCTTATTTATCAAACCACAAAATGACTCTGCATCAAAATGAATGGTAATGCTAGTGAAATTATTATTAGGTACTCCTTGCCAGAAATGACCAATGGAAATGGAGAATACAATGTGTTTTCATGTAGAGCTTAGGCTTGGTCAATCGCATGCATCTTAGAAGCTATCAGTGAATATGAATGAATGTAAAATATTCCCAATAATATTATTAAAACAATATATTTTCATATACATTAATCAATTAATACTATAAAAAGATATTTATATTTAAGCATTAAGTTATCATTTATTTTCACTAACTTAATTGTCAGTAAGTTCCAAAATCTTGAATAGATTTTGCACTCTACCCAAAATGTTAGAAAGTTTGAGATTGTCGACTCTTCAATAAACGAATTAATGGAGAATTCATTGGCAGATTGCTATCACTCCAAAAAGGTTCTAATTTCTTGTTACTCTCAAGCCTCTTTGAACTCCAATAGTGTTACTCCTTCTAACCTGGATCTGTTTTAGTCTGAATACCCATCCCATGCAAGTATTTCACAATCCGAATTTCAATTACATTACTCTTCGAATCCATGTACAAATCTATTGAATCATTCAATTCATCCTTTGGACATTCACTCTCCTCTGTGCTTTGGCAATTCAACATCATTAAGCAAGAGTTAACATTATCCATCTATTTTTAATATTATATTTTTAATTCTTTCCAATTACCTATATATGGTGAATTATTTACAACTGTTTGATCATTCGAATAAACAAAATTAATTTTCCACTTCGTTGAACTTATCAACAACTTTTAAATAAATTTTATAATGTATTAAAGTTGAGAGTTAAAGAGATAAGTTCAGTTACAACAAAGGAACAGTAGTATGCTGAACCTTAGTAATTTTGGTTTTTCAGATGGTTAAACCTCTCTATTAACCCTTCTTACATATGTATGTTAGTTTTTTGTAATTTATTTTTTAAAACACCTTTCTCATTACTCAATATAAATTTTATTTTAGATTTAATAAATAATAACATCATGTATTTTAAAGCATATTATTTAATTTTCTACACAGCAAGTTTCCATAATATTTTATTAATTACACCATTCATTATTGTGTTTCCACATTTAATAAAAATTATGTTTACCACGATAATACCGATAATTATTCGATTAAATTGGTCGATAACGAGACACTTAGTAATTAATTTAACATCGAGGATAAGGTACTAGGGGGATTTCATAGAGAAAAGTAATTTTTTTTAGAAATATATTTCCAACTCAATATTATTTGTTTATATTGTTAAATCAACCTTAAGAATTGAACATCTAATAAAGATTTAGTCTAAATTTATTAAATTTTTAATTGATTTCTTTCCTTAATTTTAAGAACAATATCAGCCTTCCTCTTTATAATGTTATTTAGATTAATTAACCTCCATCCATCGGAAATAATTAATTGCAATTTTCTCTCAATTAAGTTCAGCCTCTAGCTACATTTATCAACTAAAATTCCCATTTCCAATTTAATATCAAAGTTACAATTTAATCAAATTTTCAAAGTTACTAACTTAAATGTTTCTGAATTTTAATAAAAATTTCAATTTTTAAATATCCTAATAAGTTATCCATCTTATAATCATAACTCTAATATATTGCAAAAAGAAAAGGATTCTTCTTTTTTTTAATATTCCTACGATAGTATTTTACATGAAACTCTTAAATTATTAAAGATTAGTTACTTGAACTCTTTTGATTTTTTTAAATTATCACTTTTAAGCGATTCAAAAAACTTTAATTATTTAAATTGAATGAAATTAATTAATTATCAAATTTATAAGTATGGGTGTAGCAGTAATTCTTGTATTGCAGCCCTTTAATTAGGATCTTTTTACAAACATTTTTAAATAAAGTCTATGAGATTTAAATCTTAACCCTCTTTGAATTAGATGGGCTCCCTGCAAATCCTATCTTACTGCCTATTTCGATCAATATCTCTAAAAGGAACTGTATCATTGCACAACTCAAATAATAATATTCCTACGGCCCATATATCTACTCTTTCATCATACCCATGATAGTAAGTTTTATTCGCCTGAGAAATCACAATCTCTGGCGGCATATACTCAGGAGTGCCACAGAAAGTCTTTCTTCTGCCTTTATAATTAGAAAAGCCAAAGTCTCCTATCTTAATTTTGTTATCTGATGTCAAGTAGATATTCTCTGGCTTCAAATCTCTATGCATGATCCCCATTGAATGGAGGTATTGGATTCCAAGTAAAATTTGCTTAGTTATTTTTTTTATATCTTCCTCGGAGAATTATTTTTAGAACAAATTTCCTTTTTCACAATACTCAGTTATTAAATAGACATAGTCATTGTCTTGGAAATTGCCGAAAATTTTAACTATGTTTGGGTGCTATATTGATGATTAAATGTCAATTTCTCTTTAGACTTATTAAGCAATATTGTACTTTTGGATCAGCTTTTTGTCAATCATCTTTAAAGCATAAAAAGCGCCAGCATTTCTAGTTGCTCATATTGTTAATTATTACTTGACAAGCATTACTTTGCTGAATTATCCCTTCCCGATTTAATGGCACAACTGAAAATTATACTTCTACTAACTAGTTCTTTATTGGTAACTTGTATTTCTTTTATATTCTTTAACAGTATCCTCTTGGGTTTTGCAATTTACAAGGTTTTCATCATATTTAGGAGTAATCAATAGTTGAGGGGGCAATCTTGATCTTGGTTTGTTCAACATGAAAATAAATAAATTTAATTAATTATAATCAATTATTCATCATTGTTTCAATATTACTTTAGTCCTCATGACTTTTGGAGCCATCAAATTTTGAAAATATATTGCTTGATAAAAATTTTCAGTTTTAGAACAAGGATATTAAATTTATTTTCATTCTACATGATTAAACAACAAGTAAGTGGAAAATTATCGAATAAAATAAAAATTCTTGGAAATATTTTAATAATTAAAATTTATATTCATAACTTAATACCAAACAAACATTTTGGTGAACCTAAAAATAATTAAGAAACAAAGAAATCACTTAGGAAGTGGTTTAAGATCAGGAGGGTTCGTTAAAATTGATATGTTAGAATGCTTCAACAAAACTAACAAATAATAATACATCAAATGTTACATTTTCTCAAAAAAATGAATCATTAAACAACAGATTTGATTATATTTTGATGCAATTATATTTCAATTTTATATCCAGCCTTTAAATTATTGAATATTATCATTAATATATATAAAAGGAAATGCAAAAAATTAAAGACAGGATAGTTTCTGAAAAAAAAGTTAGAACGACTAAGAAGCATTTCTCAATCTCAAAAGAAATCGCTAATAGAAAAGCGAACATTCAAAACTAAATTTCAGATGATAGCAAAAATCGAATGTTGGGAAGCAAACATTCAGTTTCATCTAATAAAAGCAAATAAAAAGTGAATGTCTCCATGAATAAGGGTTTATCTCGAAGCTCTTCTTCCTTCTCAAGTGATTCAGAAAATGACAAAAGATCATTTAATTAATCTATAATTTTGAAGGATAATTTGGGAAGTTTTCAATAGGGACGCTCATCTTTTTTTTAAGTATAAGATAAACTTATCATACCCAATATGTCCTTTGAATAAGATTTGATTAATCCCTTAGATATGTCGGATGGGATGGAAAGATCAGTTTTAAAAATTTAATTTCTAGATTTTGAACATTAATGGGGACTAAAATAGGACATTAGTTTACAAAAACAATGTATCGGAGATAAATAGCTTATTTCACAAAACAGTGAAGTTTTATCATCCCATAAATCATTAAAAAGATCACGCGCAAGTTAAAGAAATATGTTTCAATCAAAGTTATTAATCAATTAAACTAAAAAAAATTAATAAAATCTTTCCGATAGCGAAGATGAAGATTACATTGACCATTAATAGGAAGACAGCAAAATCAAAAGAAAATATAAGAAACTATATGAAAGAAATCCCTTCGAAGATCCTTACTATGTGAAACTAATAGATTTACACGGATTTGAAAGGCTGCATTATGAACTTGATGTAATAATTTCATTAATAACGAGGCTTATCATGACGATTAATAATTTTTAAAATTAAGAAAACGACTCGTATTTTACTCATTATTTATCCCCATTTTATGTAAGAAAATAGTGTAAAGTGTCTTTTTTAAAATTTGTATGTCCTTTTTGATTCTATTTAATGTTACTTTATACATTTACTCGTAGACAAAGTAAGACTCATTAGCCACAAAAGATATGGAGAAGGGAATCATGATTTGTTTTTTAATAGAATTGTGTCTTAGGGTAATTGCATCAGGAATTATAATACCAAAAAGAGCCTTCTTTAGAAATTTTTAGGACATTATGGATTGTATTTTGGTCATCATATATGTGTTAAATTTAACATATCCAGATACATTTAAAGTTGATGTGTCACCGCTTAGAGTGATCACATTGTTACTCTATTTGGGAGACATTTTTGCTGGATTAGGTGTAATGTTAAAGGCTTTAAAGTAATCCTTCAGATTTTTACTGGAAGCTTTAATGATTGTCGGTCTTTTTTCAGTGTTCTTTGCAATTTGTGGAGTCTTTTTGTTCTAAGGCTTATTTAACTATAGATGCCAATATGATAATGGTGATGAAACAGACGGGTGGATTTAATGTAATCAGAACTCATGTTTTGAGGATGGAATGTCATGTTAATATTCTTCATTCACTCCTAAACTACCCACTTCGTTTAATACTGTAATTTATTCTTATGGCTAAGTCTTAAGGACTATTACAATGGATGATTGGAGTTGGGTTATGTTTTTTACTATGAGAATATATCACCCTTGGACTTGGCTTTATTATTTATTAATTATTTTTGTCTGTGGTTTTTTTGGGTTTAATTTGGTGATAGCAGTTATTAAGATTCATTATGCTGAGGCGACTGAGGAGAATGCTTAAGAGGAGGAGAGGAGGAAAATTGAATAAAAGATCAAGGAAAACAGAGAAATACCTGAAAGAGATATTGTAAATGTCTTTGATGTTGCATTCTTACGTTATAGGAATTTCTTTCAAGTGATAAAGAAGTACAGATAGGCTTTGCGAAATACATATCGTAATTTCCCATTGGAAGAAATGACCATTGATTAGGGGGAGAACAAATAAACAAGAATTTTGTCTGCAAAATAAAAGAAAAACGAAGAGTAGATTGAGGATGTAATGAATATTACAATTATGTTAGATCAATTGGATAAAAAGAATTTGGATTTATTTATAGAATTTGACAATCAAGAATTTATTGTTACCAAAGTTTTTGATTTTATAGGAGAAATAGAAAAGAATTCGTATAAAAAAGTATACGGAAGATGAAATTGAGTTGTAAATTTTAGAAAGGCTAAAATCCTTTTCATTTTCCCAAATGCAATCTTGTCTTAATAAATAAATATAATAAACATTTTCAAGCGAAGGAGATGTTTTACCTACTTTGAAGTATTTGATTATGTAATTAATAGTTTACCTGATTGTGAGAAGAAAGAAATAGAAAAAGAAATCCTCAACATGAGATATGTTAAAATTCCAATAATGTATCCAGATATCAAGCAAACTAAAATTCAACAAATTTTCAAAGACCATAAGCAAACTTCTTAGTTCCCTGTTAATAAAGTGAAACGAATCATACTCAATGTTACAGAGAATAATGAAAATGAAACTAACAATTCAATAGAGCAACGTCATATAACTCAAAAGATGACTATGAAGTATTCTTCCAAGCAAAAAGCCACCTAAAATGATTAACAAGTTCCATTTTTCATAAAAAGGCAGGATCAATACTTTGTTTATATATAGGGATATTATCTAAATTATGATGGAGTTTGTTAGAAGATAAAAGCAAAAATATAGAAAAATAGAATTGATCAATCATCAAATGAATTTTAATATAGATTGTTGAGAAAAAAGGATTTTCAGTAGACTCTAATTAGTAAGAAAACATGGTCTGGGAATGATGTATTGAAGTTGAATGAAAAGAGATTATTTAATTTTAGAGATGTGCTTAAGAGATTAAATGTAATTGATATCTAGATTTGGATGTTGGGTTTGTATGGAAAGATTGATACAATAAAGAAGTATTCATATCTACTCATTACATCTCAAGTTTGCCAATTGTTTTTTGATTTCGTAATATTGATCAATTTTACATTTCTCTCTTTGTAAGGAATAGCAGATTCAGTTACAATATCAAATGAGGAGGACGTGTCAACTATATTTTTATGTATTGAGTTGATTCTGAGATTTATTGCGTTTTCCTGGAAAGATATTGCAAATAGTCCAGATTAAGTACTTTAATCTTGCATAGTCATCTTAAATTTCATAGAATTAACAATGAGTTCATTAATGACTAGTTTAAGTGAATAAAACTTGCGTTTGATTAGAGGAACAAAATGCTTACTATTCTACAGAGTGTTAAAATATAATAAGATGGCAGTAGCTATTGGTCATATAGCTTAAAAAACATTCAAATAATACATCTACTTAACATTTCTGATGTTTCTAGTTATATTTATTTATGCAATGATTGGAATGGAGATGTATGCAGGTGTGTTTGATTAAACGGATGCTCTAGGTCAATTGCATTCATACGATAATATTTTAAAAGCATTTATGACTATATTCAATATTATGACCAATGATGACTGGTATGGCGTATATGTGATGGGAGGAAATATCAATTATGTGTTTGCTGTAATCTACTCGTATTCCATGGTTATAGTATTGAATTACATTACATATGGATTAGTATTGGCTATATTATTGGATGGATTTGGAGCCATTAATAAAGAAATGAATGAATAGGAAGAATCTGTAGAAAAGGACAATGAGGATAAGAATAATGAATAGCCAGAAGATCAAAATTCACAAATTACTGAAGAATAGGAAATGTAGGAATTTCAGTTAAATTTGTAACCCTTGATTTCCTAAGCGAATTTGATTGATAGTCAACCAAAGAAAACAAAGTAGACACCAATTACAAATTTGATGAAGTCAATAAGTATTTATTGCTTAATATATAATTAGAATAAGTGCATAAGGATATTTTAAATTAATATCCCTAATTGTATGAAGGTATTTAATGTTAGTAATCATTATATATATTCTCCAAAGAGAATTATATGAGAATATTCTGTTGTCAAATAGTCACATCTTAATTTTTTAATTACTTTATGGACATAGTATTGTACTTCTCCACAATTGTATTTGCCTTGAAGACCTACAATGATTACGAAGAGAATTCAGAATACTACCCCGAGGTTTTGCAATTTGTGGCTAACATCGTTTTCCTCTTTGAAGTAGTCATTGGTAGCATAGCAAAAGGGATGTGGATGAATAAAGGATCGTATATTACATACACATGGTAGATAATTGATGTAATCTACATTATATCATTCTGCTTTCACTTTTTATCTAATGATGAAAAGAAGCCTATTGTCAAATTCTTATTGTATTTTGGTTACTTTAGAGTGATGAAACTAATGTATAGATTGTCATGGTTAGATAAATTGAGATTGGCATTAGGAAGATCATTAGCTGATATTTGGAATGTTTTGATAACAATGCTTTCAGTTTGGATAATATTTGGAGTGTATGGAATTATATTGTATGAACAGTAATTTGGATATTGTGATGATAAAGTGCAATTCAATGTGAACAAGAATGATTGTTTAGAATAGAATAGAACTTGGATTAATTACAAGCATAATTTCGATAATATTACAATTGCTATTCCAACACTTTTTGTGGTTTCAACCTTTGATGGATGGGGTGAAATCTTATAAATTGCAGAGAACAGTTAGAGTTCTGACATTGGGCCAGTTGCATTTAATAGTTATATCCCCACATACTTCTTTTTCTTGGTGTTTTGTTTCATAGGATCAATGTTCTTCCTGAGTTTATTCACAGGTGTGTTGTATTCGAATTTGAAAGACAATCAGAGTAAAATTGAAAGATCGGACATCACTAAAGCTCAGGTTGAATTCATGGAGATTTCATAAATCATTATTAAGGATTTCCCCATTTATTCCTCCCCTCCTACTTCAACGATAAGAAGATTTGCATCTGATCTAACCAATAATTCTACATGTCAAAAGATAATGTTTTGTCTTCTGCTGATAGATTTATTTGTCCTATTATTATTTTATTCAGAAATGGACGAAGACTTTTTCAATGCTCTTAATAATACTCATAATACGTTGATGTACTTGTACATAATGTGGAACATACTCCTCTTTTTGGCTCTAGGAGTCAATCGTTATTTTGATAATCATTGGAGAAGATTCTACTTCTTCTTAATCACTATTGCAATTATTGATATTATTGCAGATTACCAAGCAGATTGGGCATTAGTATACTTCAAATCCACTCCAGCTGATGATGGATATCAGTTTTTGCGATTGTTCTTTGCTCTTCGATGTTTAAGAATTATCTTGATATTCCAGGGCTTAATCAATCTGTAGAGACTAATGAGAGTGATGGTCTTTGCTATGCCATTCTTAGGTAAAATATTTGCTATACTCATCATTACCATGTTCATTTTCGCTCTTTTTGGTTGTCAAATGTATGGGCATCTTGAAAAGGGCCAAGTGATGGATGATCAAATCAATTTCCAGAATGTTGCATAAGCTATGTTGGCTCTATTCAAATGCGCATCAGGTGATGATTGGAGAACCATTATGACAGACACTATGTTTTATAATCCTTTTTGCGTAGAAGATGACCAATATTGTGGAAGCATCTATAACCAAATCTACTTCTTCTTGTTTATGTTACTGTCTAATTACGTTCTCTTGAATTTATTTGTCCTCGGCTTGGTGGAACAATTCGAACAGTTCTTTATGTTACAAAACTCTATGATCCAGACTTACGTGGAAAATGTTGACAAGATCAAGACTATTTGGTGCAAATATTCATCGGAGACTCAAGGGTAAGCCATGCATTACAAATTTCTTTGTCGCTTCCTTTTAGATATAGGCAAACCATTGGGAGGCGGAATTGATGAAAATCTTTGGGATGTTGGCAAATTGGCATCGTCCTTCAAAATCTAATGGTATTTCTTATTAGGTATATTGTAGTGATCATTATGGATACATTCAATACAATTAACTAATGTATGAACTATTTCGAGTTTGCTATCATGAGGAGGTATTTAAGAATGGGCCTCACTCTTCGATTAAAAAAATCAAGCAGTTCAATAAAGAAATGTAGTTGAGATTGATGTATTACAGAAGGAATCGGTTCTTGTAAAGAAGCAATATTTCTCCTATTTTACACCTCAAGGCAAACTTCAACATTTTACATGACTATTTAACTGTTCTCATTCTTTATAAGGCTTGGGAAGCCTACTCTAAAAAGCTTATTAAGAAAGTCTGTGTCAAGCAGTAGCATTTCACAGATGCAGATCTCGATGAAAAAGATTCATCGGAAGATTAAAAAGCTAACAACAACAATTAGTATATTCTTCCTCTAATCATTTAGTTTAGATTAAGATTGCAACGAATTTCTGGATGAGGAAATTGATCAATAAATTGTTTCCAATGACAATCCTAAATAAGAAATTAAAAAGCATCAAATAACCGATTGTTCGGAAGATTTAGAATCTGATAATATTCCAACCTACAGGTGGTAGGGAGATCAATAGTTTGATCAAGTTTTCGAGAGTGCTATCATATCCCCAAATCAGTCTTATAGAAAAATGAATTTATGAGTAAAATATAAATTACTGTAATATTTATTACTTAATAAATCACTTGAAATGATTAATAAGATAAATAGCATATCTATATTAATTGAAATTCATAGAAATTTTATATAATGTTTTAGTATAACTTATTGATTAAAATAAGAGATATATTATATTTATAAATAGAATTTTCTTTATTTATTATTTACTATAAAAAATCTTAATCTTTTTAATACAATTAATCTAATATACTGTTATATACAACATACAAATGAAAATAGCAATATCATTAAACAAGTTTGGCAAATTATAAGAATTATAAACGATCTTCATGAGTTACGTTGGGTTTTACTTTTGACAATGCCATCTCGAAGTCTTTAAGTTCAATGAATTCATTATCAATGCTTCTATTTAATGCATTTAAACCTATAAATTATTGTTTTATTTTTACCTGCCTCTCTACATATTTAACAAATCTCTGCACCAGTATATCCCATGGTTTTATCAATTAGAGTCTATAGTCCCTATGTCACATCATCATTAACTTTCATTTTTTTAAGGTTTACTTCAAAGATTGCTTTTCTTCCTTCCCTATCTGGAACGTCAACAAAAACTAAATGATCAAATCTTCCAGGTCTAAGCAATGCTTTGTCAATTGAAGCTGGTCTGTTTGTTGCAGCAATAATTATTACATTCTTTAGAGACTCAAATCCATCAATTTCAGTAAGTAATTATATTAGGACTCTGTCTGAAACATCAGTACTCCCTTATCTTTATGGTGCAATGGCATCAATTTCATCAAAAAATAATACTGAAGGTGCACAGATTCTGGCTTTTTTGAATATTTCTCTGACTGTTTTTTCACTATCTCCCACATACTTACTAAAAATCTCAGGCCCTTTTACTGCTATAAATGCGAGGTTGCATTAGGTGCACAAAGCTCTGGCCAATAGAGTTTTTGAACAACCAGGAGGACCATAAAGTAGAATTCCTTTAGAAGGGGTAATTCCTAATTTTTTAAATTATTCTGGATATTTTAAGGGCCATTCAACAACTTTTTTAATTTCCTATTTGATATCCTCATATCCACCAATGTCATTCCAATCTACTTTTGGAACATCAGCCAACAAATCTCTGATTCCACTTGGATTCAGCTTTTGTAATGATTATCTTAATTTAATTTTATTATCTCCTTGTATGTTTTTTAACAAATAGAATTCCCTTACTAAACATCTAATATCATTAACTGTAAACCCACTCATTTAATAGGATATTTCTTTTAAGACTTCTTTTTCAATCTCAATATTTTATTTCGTGAATTCATTTATCATAATATCCACTCTTATTTCATGATTAGGTTACTCAATAATGATTTCTTTTTCAAATCTTCCTGATCTTCTCAGATTATCAGGAATGTCTTTAATACTTGTAATAGTAGCAATGATAAGGGATTTCTTATTTTGGACATTGTCAAATATTTTAAATAAAGATGGTTTTACAGTTTGCATATTTTCATCAGTCAAACTGGATAAGTCATCAATCAAAATCAGATTATTTCTTTGTTATGAGATCTCTAATAATTGCTATAATTCTTTATTGTTTGCATCTAAATGATTAATGGATATCAAGACTGGCTTATATTCCACATATTTATCTCTGAGCATTTAGAGGATCGTGGTCTTACCTGTGCCAGTTTGTCCACTGATCAAAACTCCTTTAATTAATGGTAAATTCATAAGGCTAATTTCATTTGATTATTCACCTATATTCTATTCGATAATAGCTTGCAGTTCATTAAAAAGATTATCATAATACATGAATTGTTATGATTACTCTACTTATGCCAATTATTATGAATTTTGCAATTGTAATTTATCCTGTAATTTAAATTAAGTATTTTGATCAACACAAACTAATTCTGCTATTGGTGTCACATCCACAATATTGATTGTCCATTTCTTTCCGCATAACACATATGTCAAAGATTCCCCTTTTTTGATTGTTTAACCTAAGGTTAGTTCTTTCAAGTAATTCAATATCATCTCAATCTTAATCTGCTAAATTATGTAAACTTTATACTGTATTATTGTCTTTTAGAGCATCAATTTTATCAAAAATGATTAGAGTGGCAGGAATGACATTTCCTTGATTTTTGTTTTCCAATTTATCTTTGGGGTTGGATTTCTTCATGAATTAAAATTTCTTATAACAAAATTATATAAAATTTTATATATATCAACCATCAAATACTTCCCCAACATCTATTGACAGAGTATTCAGCAAAAAACTCGTTTCCTCATCTTGATTGTTCTTTATTTATTTTCTCAGTCCATCAATTGCGGGTATACAATTGCCTTTTCTATCGTAAGCAGTTGCCTTGGCCTTTGTCAATCTCCCGTTCACAAAAGGAACATTAAAAATTAAAAATGGGAAACTCAACATTCCATAGCAAATTTCAGTAAAGTAAATCTATTGTTATCATATTTGTAATATACAAAATCTCCTGAATTATCAAAATTAGGACGAGTATCCTAAGTCAAATACACCAACCAAAACAGTCCAATGCTGCCTCCCAAAGCAAAGATATCCCAAAACATAAAGTACTTCAGTCGACCTCCCCTTTCAAAACATCCCTCCTTCAATTAAGGAGTATCATCATATTGAAAAACTGGCTTCCCCTTTTATTTTGAGCATGACAAAAGGAAGAAGGCCACCCAAATAAGAACTACTTGTATGCCTTGTCCAATAACCTCAGAAAAGACTTCAATGCTGGCTCCTGGACCCTTCCTTGTGCAATCAGATTAGTAAGCACTATCAATGTAGTTCATTGTCGTGCAGGCATATAGCATAAAATATCCTATCAAAGCCTTCATTACTCCTTAGGTTATGAAGAACATTCTATATTAAAGTATTGTTTTACGTTTTAAAACTCAAAATAAATTTGACCAACTGATATTCATCCCCTTTATCCATCATAATGAAATCCAAGACATAGAAATACTATGAGACACCATAAAATGGAATCAATGATACGAAATACCAAAACCAATAAGATCTATGTTGTTCTAGCCTCATATATATACATGGTTTTATATTGTCTCCAAACACTTCTGTCATAAGGATAATTTGAATAGAGATACCAGTTCCTTATCCAAACAATTGGGTATAAACAAGCAAGAGTTTGCTTCTTCTCCTCTATTTCTGTGTAAGGATCAGCTATTTACAACATCAATTGATATTTAACTTCATCCACTATCTCTGGCCAAGTTGCATCTACAGTATCATCAACCTAATATATTGTTTCTCCAAAATACTAAATTCTTCACACACTAACACATATCAGGATCTTTGAGCCCTTCTTTAACCGTGGGTCGAAATTTCTCGATCACTATGATTACCGATGATAACACCTTTGATCTTGCCCATATGTTGATTTAACGAGTGTACTGCTTCAACATCAGCTTCAATCTATTCTTCTACAAATTTCAATTACTTATCATCCAATTAAGTGAAACCCTATTTGACATCGGCCTTTGCATTGTCCACTGATTGTATGAGCTTTTGCATCCCTTTGCTAGCTGCCATCTGCAATTCATTAGCCATACTTCATTAACAAATTATAACTACCTACCCAAAGGATTTTTTATGGATAGTGGTTCTTTATCTTTATCCTCCAATGGCACAATTTTACCATTGGTATTATTGCTCTGATCTCTATTTGTAAGGTTATTGGCAAAGTTTTTAATAGCATCCATTAATAAGTTATATTTAAGTAATTAATATATATTATATTATCTAAAATTTATGAATTTTTGCATTTCAATATAATAATACATAGCAGTAGATAGGGAGCTATTTTTATCTTTTTAGTATTGGTTTAATTTTAATAATTCAAACAGCAATTTATAATATTATATTTTATTTTATATATCAACTTCAATTTGATTGAAATGATTAAGAAGATCCTAAAAATCCAAAGTATTTAGCTACATTTGCTCCAACATTTTTAAATATATTTAGGTCAATTTGAGATGAATATTTGAAATTTGTTAATATTTCAAATACCATATGTTCGCAATTGTATTTTGTTAAATCGAATTCTATTTTTTCATTCGACTTCAATAAAGCTTTTTCTAATAATTCTTATTTGTCTCTTAATAAAAAGACTAATTATAACTCTGTTAAGACTGATGCACCTTTCATAAATACTACAAACCTTTCTGGTTTGAAAAAATGCCCAATCCGAGTTTAATTCACATTATCAAATTGTTCATTTGTGTAATGAAAAACTAAATCACAACCCAAGTAGAGTGCTGCATGCTAATAAATTGATCGGTCTGATAGAATTATGGACCCTACCTTAATTTTATTACTAAGGATTTAAGGATCACTCTCAGGGTTTAAATTGTGATAGATCTTTCTCATGAAGTATTTATAGATCAGATCAGGTTCGTTAAATATTATTGACATATCCTATTTAGGAAACCCTTTGAGTCTCAATTCAAGTAATTGAATATTGTCAGTGTCAATTACTGAATAAAACCTATTTTCTATCCCCAAAATTTCTATTGAGTAAATCAATTGATTAAACTCATCGTTCAATTTTTACACTATTCTGAAAGTGCAATCTTTGAACTAATAATATTAAACTTTCATTGTTGAATCATCTAGATATTGATCTTCTAAATTTAAGGGTTCAAAGTAATCCAAATTTTTCATTTTTAATTCTATAAATTCTTCAAACTAATTGCTATTCAACAAACAAATAAAGAGTTCTAATTATTGTTGGGTTACTTCAATTTTGTATTTTTATTAATTCAAAATTAAAAAGTAATATAAACTCTTATATTTTTAAGTTACTAATTCTGTTTCACTTTTCTCACCTTTCTCCTTTGATTCATATATTGAAGTATTCAATAACCAATATTATATTATTATTAATTCATGTAACTAAGTTTTAACAGTAAGTTGTTGTGTTTAAATAGCTATAAAAGAGTCAAGTTTATTTTCATAATTTGAATACCATTCATGCATGGCCTTCTTAAAAAGTGCATTATTTTGCAAGTCCTCTTCCACACAACTAAAATCCAGTTTATGTTAGTCTTTGATGTTTATATTAGATAAGTTAAATTGATATTATCCTTGAAGACCCTTAATTTCATTGGAAATGTTTAATAGTGGAATATTCTACTCAGAATATTTTTCAATTATCTTCTATTTCATTTCTTCGTAAGTTTAAAGAACTTTCTTTTCCGAATAATAGTAATCATCCAACAAGGTTTGAATCAATTAAGTTCGATAATGGACATTTATATATTGACTCTGCAACAAACTCATGTTCTCATATGTATAGGTCTTATCAATGATAAAGATTTTTAGTTTATGTACCAAACAAAATAGATACTGTAAACCTACATAATAATGATTGAATTCCAAGATTTCACTCTTTTTGCATTATGTAAGTAAATTGATATTTTCTTTCATCGCTTCCTTTAACATTTCCAATTAAGAATTTTAGTTTACAATCATTCCGAGTTAGATCAGATTATTTAAATTATTATTATAATGAATAGATTACATATAATTATCCATATAAATATATTTATTGTAAAGATCGATATAGATCATATAGAATTAAATTATAATTGAGGTTGATTATATAAATAAATGCATTATTCCTAATGAATCCTCAACAGAGTAACCTTGTTGATGAACTACATAAATTAAAAGATACATAATCTTATATTCTTTTGAAATTATGTTTCAATTGAATATTGATGATCATTTTGAAAAGATGAAAGAACCATATCTATTCATTTTAATAACAAACAAATATATAGATTATGATCCTTGATACAACTCTTATTGATTACGATATATATTTATTTATCTCTAGATTTCTAGTCTTTAATTCTTTTCTCTTAATCTTTAAATTACAATAATCTCAATTATCATTTTTATTTCTTAATCTAACTGATTTGAATTATTTAATTTCAATAAATTAATAAATATGCTATTCAATAATCCAAATTTTTAAGAAGTTAACATAACAAGTGATAGCAATCCAAGACCTTCAATTTAAGAAATTGTTGATAAATATTCATTTAGGTAATCGGAGAAGAAAACAGATGATAAAGAGAGAATCACATTTGGTTAATCTTATAAAATGTAAAGAAAAACAGAAAATGAGAAAGATGAAAAACTAGTAATTAATGAATAGAATTTATCTAATGTATCAAAAATTCATTAATATTATTGAGGTTCTCAGCGATTTTTCCATTATTAGTGATGATCCATCAGTTTTTATTGGCATCACCAATCTTAAGGACAAAGTCTTAAACCTCATTCAAAATAATAGAGAAAGTGTGAGCTAAAACGAGAAGAAAATACAAGAAGAAGTTTCATAAATTGCCCTTGAATATTCAATGTATTCTTAAATAGGAAAATCAAAGCATGAACCAGAATTATAACAAATGTGTGCATTAGTTGAGGATTTTCTTTACTAGTTCAAAAAGTCAAAAAATTTAGAGTTATCTGTCATCCAAAATTTCTAATCTGATGATTCATTTTATTAGATAAAGCAAAATGATATTGAAAAATTGAATACTAAATTGAATACTTTGAAAGATGTGCTTAGTTATCAATTAACGTATTTATTTAGTTGAATGTAGTGTACTAAAATTGCCCGAAACTAAGTAAATCTTATAGAAAACAATAGACAACTTAAATGAGATCATTAATGCCAATGATATCTCTACAGTTAAAACTGTTATTTACAAAATTGAGTAGAAGATTGAATAAATCAAGGTTAATGAGTATGCCCTACTGGAGTTATACGATTATATTAATAAGGCTGTTAAGGTTTCAAGAGCAAAACTCACAGACTAGGATAGATTATAGATTTCTAAAATATATTAAGCCATTTAAAAATTTGGCTACTAAAATACTTATCAATAAGCTTTAGTATTGTATGAATAGTATCTATAATTACCAACAAAGCCTAATATTGATTAATATATCAATAAAATTTAATAATAATTATTATGAAGAAAAATTTTTGATTTTTAATACGATGCGAATTATCTAATATATAAATGAGTTATTTTGAGGAGATAAAGTTTTTAGTTATTTATTATTAAATGGATTTCGAAATCATCTGAAATAATTAAAAATATAAAAAAATATTTATGCAATCACCTTAATTCTAGAAATCAAATGAAAACTCAACTAAAAGCGATCAATTTACTCAAGGTTGGCTCCCAATTACAAATGATGTTGAACAATCGATTGTGTCATATTTAGATTAACTAGGGATTAATTAATTGATCTAAGTTGAAAAGCATTCTAATTAAAGAAACTCATTGTATTCCTTAGATTAAGCTATAACTCCTCCAAAATCTTAAAGAAGAATATCTTTAACTATGGATTCAGAATTATTTTCGAGGAGAAGTTTTAGGATGTGCTCTGAGTAGATATGAACATAAAAAAAGAAAATACAGAGACTAATTAGATTTTATATTATTTATTAAAATTTTCCTCTGCTTTTTCATATATTTGCCATTTTTACAATATTTCTTCATTGTTTCTTGATTTTTACAAATTGACAATTTTATCGATTCAATAAAAATCAAATGCAAACTCGCAATAAAGGGAAAATTGACCAATAATTGAGACAACAATTCCTTTAATGGAAACAAATTTATAGGAATTGAATTTTGCAATTTTGGCAAATTTAATATAATTTCACGGGTTAATGTTCTCTTTTAGGAAAATGTACATACAATTCTAGAATAAAATAATCTATATAGTTAGATTGTAAGACAATTATTATTGCGATATAATAGTAAGGGATTAGAAAATATAAGGAAGGATATTTCTTTTAATATCAATCTTTATTTGGATCATGTACTATTAATTTAGTAATGAAGTTAAATTTCAAAAATGTACATATGATAATGATAATAAATTAGGAAGGAGAGAGATAAAATAAAATTAAAAAGATTTATTCTTCAAGTAGTTTAACGAAGAAATTAATTTAACAAAAAATTTTAGTTAAATATCAAATTGTTGCAAAATGCCACAATTTATATTTTATATTACTTATGAGTATTACATTTTTTCAAGCGTTGAGCAACCAAAAAGTGTAAGAATAAATCAATAAATTAGAGAAGATATTAATTATTTTATTTGAATATTTTGAACAAAATAAAAATAGAAGATTCTTTCTTTCATTTACATTGAATGGATTCTAAATTTGGCATTGTTGAACTTCTATTTTGATCATCAATAAAGAAAGTGATTTTCCCTGATTCTTTCTTCCAGAACGAAGAATATTTTGACTTTTTACTTTATTTACTAGAACCATCCTCTTTATCCAATTCATTAAGTGATTAATCAACTAATTTGTCTATTTTTTCTTTTTAACCCTCTAAGTCTTTAGAGGATTGTACAATCAAGAAAAATCCTTATGTGCAACCAATAGTTCTTTGCTCAAAAATAATATGTGATTCTTGAGATTTCAATTAAACAAACTCTTGTATTCTATTGAGTAATTTTTATTGACTTTAATTTAATTAGGAAAATTAATAATAGTTTATCAATAAATGCCATTTATCCTTTGCTTTTAATTGATAATCAATTTCTTGATTTTTGAGGCTATAAATCTTTATTGGATCCTATTTCAATTTTTATTTAAAACTTAATGCTTTATGGAGCATCTAATCTAATTCTTCAGCTTGATCCTTCTCAATGTTTCCTGTAAGTTTTATTTTATAATTTTGTCCAATAACTCCAAATTAAGGTTTTTTATAATTAGCAATAAGAATTGATTCGATTTTGGAATTTATCAGTTTTAAGTGTTCTGGTAACATATCAAATTTATATTGCAATTAGCCTTTTAATTCTTCATCGGGCTTCTCCTTAACAATTTCCATGATTCCTTTGAATACGTTTGTATAATGATCAGACCAACCTTATAGTTGAATTTAGAAATATTGATTTTAATTCACATCAACCCCATATCCAACATTAATTGCATCTTAATAATCCATAATGATTCGTTCGTATAAATATTATGCATATACAAATTGTCCATAAGTGAAAATAGTTATGTCAGCATTGATTTTTGGTAATTTCTTAGAGACATCAACAACTACCTCAACATGATCATTAACTTCGAATGGTTCAGTTTATTCAACTAAATCTAAATTTTATGGTATAAATTTGTTAACTTGAGGGAAAACAAAATTGATTTCTTCTTCAGTTTTTTCAATGAATTGTTTAGTTTAATCAGTGATTTCTTTCAAGGAATAGGAAATACCATTCTAATTAATATCTAATTCATCTTAAGTTAAAAACAGTAGATCCTAAGTAGCCGAACCTTTTTAGATTTAGATGAAACTATATTCAGTGTGGTACTAGGAATCACTCACAACAATCATCAGATTTTTAGTAGATTGCAAATTATCTAATGTTTTCTTCAAGGCCTCAGGGACTATTTAAACCAAATACTTATAATGAAGTACTTCTTCTATTAAATCTAACTTAAGGTTTTTAGCTATTTCCATGTAATCTTACTCTTGATTATCGTAATCGAATTGCAAGTTGTTAATTTATTACAATTGATCAATCATTTGTTTGCAATAGTCAGTTAATTCATTATCGTTATTGATTAGTTATGCTTCTAAGGAATTGGCAAAATTAATGACAATCTTACTTAGTCTATAGGCTAATTCTCGTTGATCATAATCCATTTAATCTTAAAATGGTAATGCTATTTAAATTTGATATAGTTGCCTATTATTTTAATCCAATATCACACTTGATTTGACATCCAGACCTAATCTCTTGTTGATGATATAATTTTGTAGAGAGGACTGTATAAAATAATCAATGAAATTCAATTCTTTGCTATCCTCTAATTCATAAATTATTTTAACTGAATTTAGATCCTTTTAATTATTCCATTTAATGATGCTTCCAGGTTAATTAATAATTTGAATATTTTCACTCTCCTAAATGTCTTTATCTCTTAATAGTACTATGTCACTTTAGATTATTCCATTCATCAATTCATCTGAATTAAATTTTCCTTTGATTATCAATACCATTTGATTTGGGGATAATTAGAATGTGGATGCCTTTTAATATTTAGAGGAAAGTGGATGTTTTTCATTCGATATTTATGTTAATAATTCTTCCCAAGAGGATTTTTGATAGTTTGTCTATTTTAATTGCGGAGTTTCAGATGCAAAAGCTTTACTTAATTCTTCAAAGGAATTCAAGATTTAATCTGATTTTGTTTAAATGAAGTATTGAGTTTGTTACTCTTTGACAGTGATCTGACATTGGTCACATTTCACAAAGTAATTAGTTTACCAATATCCTTTAAAATCATTCAAATATATTTCTGCGTTGTCTTCATCGTTTTGGATCAACAAAATTTTCATTTTATTTGGGAGTTCAACGTAATTATATTTCGAATCATCTATCTTTGGTGTTATTATGCTTGATCCTGATTACAATAGGGAATATTATTCCAGTTGTTAGTCATCATTCAATATTTACACTTAATCTTGAATCTCTGATTAATCACCAATTTCCAAGGTGGCACTCTAAAATGTTTAAACTTCACTATTTTGGTTTTCAATCTATGGTTCTTCTGTTTAAGTGATTTCATCCTAAGTTGAGAAATTCTCATCAAGAAACTCTTCAGTTTGAACTTCTTGATTCTCTTTATCGTTATTAGTATCATCCCATAATAAATTATCCAATTAAGACGTGTAATCCATAGTATCAATTTGTGATTAGTCTTCATTTTAGATTGGTATTTAATCGGTTATATTTTATTGCTTAGTGGTTGATTTGAAGGAAAGATGCATGATTTCATAACCAGTTATATCTATTACAATGTATGACATAAGTCCAAGAATTATTAATGCTAAAATTGCAATCAAATAATTGAAGAAGCCTGACTTTGTGTATCTAACCTTACGAACTTATTTGTGTGGTTTGGCAGGTGTTATATTCGGAATAAGACCTTACTATTCTTCCAGATCCATAAAAATAAGGGATAAAACGAATAAAACTTTAATTTATATTCATAATAATTAATTAATACTATTTTCTAAATTATCACCATTTACTTCCTCATATGCATCTTTTATTGTGTTATGAATAGATGATAAGGTATTTAAACTACTTAAGACTCAAGAACTGATTCAATTGTATTATTAGGTTCTTACACAATCATAGTTTTAATGTCTTGTAATTCTCAACGTGGATTCAATTAACTATGAAACAAAAATATTGCCTAAATTATTATAGCTTAAATTTGAATAATACTTACATACAGATCTTTACTTCTGTTAAGCTTTTTAACTTTGGTAATACTATTGTTGAGTGAATTCCAGAGTTTAGAAAATAATGAAAATAGTGTAGTTGTTTAAGAATTTAAATAGTATTAAAAATTTCATTGCTTATTAAAGGGATATTTTTAACATGAGTTGAGTTCTACTTTATCTCTTTATTTTATAAAACACAGTCATTCTAAAAGATCGTTCAAAAACATAAAAAATATATATAACTAACATCAACAGATTAATATATATTGTTGTTTGTCTTGTTTAAAATGCATAACAAATAAAAGCTTTTGTGATAATTAAGAAGATTTTTGAATCTTCATATATTATTAAAATATTCCGTTTTTTTCGAAAATTTAGTTAATTTTTTAATTATCATTCTAGAAGTGCCAAATTGATAGAAGTAAGAAATTGCAAAATGATTTTAAAATTAATTGATATAGTGAAAGCTTATGCAAAGTAATCTGGAAATAATTATATTGAGTAAAATATTAATCCAATATTGCATCATTGTTAGATAATACACATCATTTATTAATTATCATTATGCTATTCAGAGGAACAAGATATGCTAAGAGTTACTTTCATGGTGCCTCAAATATTCCGTTAACTTATAAGACTGTAGGATAACAGCTACATGATATAAGTGAGAAATATCCTGACAATTTAGCAGTAACTAAGCTATATTAGGATTTCAGGTGGTTTCCTAATTGCAAGACATCCAGTTGACTTATGGTGAATTCTTCAAGAGATCAAAAGAGTTGGCTGCTGCCTTTGTTGCTTTAGGACTCGAGAAGGGCGATCGTATAGGAATCTTTTCGCCCAATAATGTGGAATGGGCTTTAACCTAATTCGCAGCAGCTATGGCTGATTTGATATTAGTGAATATTAATCCAGCCTATTAAACTAATGAATTAGAATATACGTTGAATAAGGTTGGATGTAAAGCCTTGGTGTTGAGATCTACATTCAAACACTCAAATTACGTTTCTATGATCAAAGAATTAGCACCAGAATTGGATTAACCAGGCAATCTAAATTCAAACAGAATTCCAGCATTGAGAAGTATTGATATAGATTAGAATTAGGTCTGATTTTGATTGACGATGTTCATAAAAAGGGGTTTTTTAATTTTAAAGAACTCTTTTCTATTTTTGGAACTTCCCATTTGAATGAAGTTGATTCAAGAATGTCTCAATAAGATCCAGATGATATTACCAATATTTAATTTACATCTGGGACAACAGGAGCCCCAAAAGGAGCTTGTTTAAGTCACTTAAATATTTTGAATAACGGTAAATATGTGGGGGAAAGAGTACGTTATACAGAGAAGGATAAGGTAGTTATAGCAGTGCCATTATATCATTGCTTTGGAATGGTGATGGGTAATTTGGCATGTATCAATTATGGATCCACTATGGTCTACCCAAGTGATGGCTTTAGTGCAGGAGCTACTTTAGAAGCAGTAACAAATTATAAATGTACTTCTCTCTATGGAGTTCCAACAATGGTAACATATGTCATGTCTATAAATATAGTTTATCGAGTATCTTAATGAATATGAGAGACATACATAAAAATATGATGTATCATCTTTAAGAACTGGTTTAATAGCTGGATCTTTGGCATCCGAAGCTTTGATGAAATAAATTATCAATGTTTTAGGAGTTAGGGATATCTCAAATTGTTATGGATAAACTGAAACTAGTCCAATTACATCTTAGAATAAAACCACAGATTCCTTTGAGATAAAAACTAGTAAAGTTGGATAACCATTGAATATGGAGGTGAAAATCATTGATTCAGATGGAATGGTTGTACCTTATGATACACCTGGAGAATATTGTTCAAGAGGATATGGAATTATGAAAGGATACTGGGGAGATGAAAAGGCTACTAAAAATACTATAGATGTAAATGGATTTCTACATAGTGGTGACGTGGCTACAATGGATAAAAATGGTTATGTGGCAATTGTTGGGAGAATCAAAGATATGATTATAAGAGGTGGCGAGAATATCTATCCTAAAGAGATTGAAGATTACTTATCTCATATGAAAGGAGTTGAATAGGTTCAAGTAGTGGGTTGTTTTGATGAAAAATATGGAGAGGAGGTTGTTGCATTGATTAAAATGAAAAAGGATGCTGAAGAATTGACTGGGTTGGATGTTTATTAGTTTTGTCATAAAAAAATTGCTCATTATAAAGTTCCCAAATATGTTAAGTTTGTCAATGATTTCCCATATACTATAACAGGCAAACCATAAAAGTTTAAAATGAGAGATGAAATAAACAAAGAACTTTAAGATCCAAAACTTAAGGAGTTGTATCAAATAAGATGAAAATATTAAATATTATATAAAATTTATGGAAATAATATCTCAAAAAATATGATAACTTTTTCAATAGCTTCAGAAGAACTAATAATTAATCAATGAATGGACAATCTATATTAAAGATAGAGAATTTAAATTTGAATATAGAAATCTTACCAATTTAAAGGATAAATATTGCTCCTTAGATTAAATTTATGAAAGAGATTTAGTCAGACAATATTTTATTGTTATTTAAAGTAACTCAAACGATAATATAGTTATACATCTAAGGATATTTGAAACTGAATTTTAAATAAAAGAAGAGTTTCATAAATATTGCTGAATTTAGATGATATTTTTATAATTCATGGGGTCATATGATTAGATTTAAAAAACAATTTTTTATAAGAAGACAAAAATTAGAAGATTTACTTAAAATTAATAATAAAATATTTTAGTTCCTATTCTTAAAATTAAACTAATATGTTAGTTTTTCATTCATAAATAAATAATTTGAGAAAAAAGAGTTAAATGGTTAACTAGTTAATAGCTACATTATTGTATTTTATATAAATAAAGATTAATCATTTTTTCTTTTTAAATTATTACTATTTCCTTTCTTGTTAAATTTGAAGTAGGTAATCTACTTTTTACATATAGGATTTAATGAACTTAGATTCTTTTAAAAAGCTTAGAATATCCTCCAATTTCAATAAACCTGGGAAATCTATTGCTCTGTAGTCATCTGAATCGCATGTAAGACTCTTCTCAATGTTTTCAAGCATGTCATTTATATAATTATTAATTGAAGTTTAGTTCATACCTTATCTCAATTGAAAATAAGGTGATCCTACCTCTGATTCTTGGATATTCTTTTCCAAGAACTCTAAAAGGGCAATGAATATTTCTAGATTTTCCAAATCCACATATTCACTTTTAAGGGCAATCAAGTCATCCGTCAAACTATTTAAACTTTCCTCCCAATTTTTTTTCTTCAAATCCAGTCTTGTAAATTGTTCGAAGCAAAAAAACCCTTCAGTTTCAATGTATGAATCAACATTATGATAAGTCAAGCCAGAATTTTAGTGCATAATTAATAATACTATTTTAAATAAGAAAAGAGTTGTTATTTTTATAGTTTGAACTAAATATTATAGACTAATTTTTAGAGAAAGAGAGTGCCAAATCAGTAAGTCTGATCTGAGAGTAATAAAAATATTTATTAATACATAACTATTAAAATATATTACACATGGAATACTTTCATGCATTTTTAAAATAGACTTAATTTTAGATATAAATTTCAATTTTTCTTCTCCATTTAATCAGGTATTTTGAGCATTTCTTAATTATATTTGCAATAATTATTACCTTTAATTTTCTCATCAAAAGATGTGTCATCTAAACTACTTAAATTGATTGAGGGAAAATAAGCCTTGGGGTCAAAGTAACCTTACTATAGAAAAACGTATAAACCTTTTGCAATAAGGAAATTTTGTCTCAAAACTATTTCTTTAACCTTATTATCATCGAAATATATCATGTCATCGTATGGGTCGAAGTCCTGAGCACCAGGTTTACCAAGTCTCAAGAATTCCCTTATTTTCTCAGGGTCTAACGATTAACCCTTTGGTATATTTTGAGTTGGCTTGTAATTAATGACCTTGTAGATTTGAGACCAAGCTTCAGGATCATTTCTATCTTTGAAATTAATAGCATCAATACATTTATCCAACAAATTAGCGAAATCTTGCATGACTTATTCTGGTTTTTGCATTATTATTTTTAATTTAAATTATATATTATTGAATAAATTTCATTTTCCAATGCACAATATTTATTAAACAAATTTTGGAGCAACAATTATTAATATTCTTGCAATAGACAATCCATAATGATATTGGTAGTTTGATGAGATTAAATTTATTCTTTTATTCTTTTTTATAAATATTTATATAAAAACAACCAGAATGAAAAACAGACCAAATTTAAAAGAGGGGAATGAAGCATTGAAGAGCAAAAGGAAGTCGGAGTTAATAGTGAATTCTTTAGTTTGGATCAATAAAAACCTGTTGCAGAAATATTGTCAATCTCAGAATTATTATTACACGAGAGATGTCAACGAAATACTTGGAGATGCTTCATCAAAGGCAGTGGTGCGGTATAAGGATTGGGTTGGGTATGACGATGATGTAAGTGTGTGGTTTGATTTAAGGACGAATATTTGAAGAGGTACTATTATGGAGATGAGTATCCCCAGAAAATCCAGTTGTTGACTGAATACTATAAAGTAAATTGAACCATTTAACAGAGTTTCATACTGATATAGCACGAATCTTTATGGAACCAATAGCATCCGTGTTGAATAAATACTATGATAAGAAGCGCAAATATGAATATTACAGGATAGCTCACCTGATTGAGGAGGAGAACAAGAAGAATCCCTCAAGACCTCCCAAAGGCATAGTAGGAGAAAGACCCTCGCCTGCAAATTCTTAAGACAGTCAAAGACAATCAGAGTCACCAAACACTGCAAAAAGGATTAGGAACATCCAAATTTTGAAGGACTTGAGTTGGCTTAACAAGTCCTCTTAAATCCCTAAAAAGAAGAGTGATGTATCCTGTACTCTCTAAGAAATTTGCAAGCAATTGGGAAATGTTGGTTTGGAACAATCTTCGCTGTTGATATCCTCTGGGAAGGGCGATGAAGTGAAGTTGGATAAGTTTTTGGCCTATCTTAATCAATAAACGTAGAAGACGCAAAGAGATAAGGCATCAGAGATTCAAAAGCAAACTAAAAAACTAAGTCAACCTCATGAATAATTAATTTAGACCCTTATTCAAAAGTAACATGATGAAATTTAACAAAGGATGGGTTCACAACATTCTAAACAGAACACAGAACTCATATAATAAATGAATAAGATATCGAGAGACATCAATGTAAATTTTATAAAGAATTAAGTTGATTCGCTTATGAAGCACAAGTAAAGTAATGAAAATTTGTAAAGCAGGACGAGAGTGGATTAGAATGATCAGATAAAACAATCAATAAACCCTAAATCCAAAACAATAGTGTAACAACAACCTAAGATATCAACTCAATTATTTTTAAAGGATCTCAGAAAGAATGTTCAATAAGTCCCATTGCATCTGAATCGCCAACTTTAGAATCCTGTTCTATCTCCTACATCCAATCAGAACAACACTTAAAAAACACAAGCAACTAATCAAATATCTATTGGTATTATGATTATAATGTTTAGGCAAGTTGAATCTTAAATAGATTTCGAAAATCTTCATTGAGGAAGATCCCACTGAATAAGAATTAAAATGGAAGAATGGATCCTAAACTCATAGACCTATGTCTGGAACCAAAAACTTCTTTTCTAATAGGAATAGTCCCACGGCATCAAGAGGAGCTCAATTTGAATTCAAAACCAATCTGGTGAAGTAGACTTCCGGTTAGATCTCAACCCATTCATAGATGTCATAGTAATAGCAGAGCCAAAAAAGTATCAAGGCACCTGGGTCTTAAACAACCAGGAAGGCAACACAACCAAATATTCACATTCGATACACATCCAATTAAGACAAGATCATCAACATTAATATTAATATTAATGAAAATCTATAGAATTAAAAATGTAATAATGTTATAATATATTTCAGTAAAGTAAACAAAACACAAAAAGAATCAATCTGAAGGAAAACCACTGAATACCCATTTATTGGATACTCAATAAGAATTCGTGTGTTTAACTGACAGAGCAGGTTAAGGTGAATTTCTGTTTAAGAACAGTATAGCTGCATCATGTTAAAATTCACCAAAAACATAGAAATTAAAAAGAGTTGGAAGTGGCAGTGGGATGAGTACCTTAAAAAATTCAGGAAGTACAAGAAATTCATTCATACAATAAATGCTCACTTAGGTTTCTAAATAATAATAACCAAGATAGGACCTCTTTTCATCGTAATTCAGAAAACCTAATTGAAAATTGCAATTTATAATAAAATTAAAATGTAAAATAATGCAATCTCGAATTCCCTTTATTTTTCCAAACACACTCATTTCAAATAAAACATTTATCGAGGATACTTTGTCTTTAAGAATGCCAACTTTAGCATTTTAGAAACTAGAAACAAATCGAGATATGATAGCAAACATTCTGAACCTGAAGATCAAGTATTTGTTTCAAGTTCAGTTTAATAAATACCTAGTTAACGAAGAATTACGTATGATAACTCCAACATTGAAGACTCATAAATCCAATAAGTAGATAAAAAAGGAGTCAATAAGCGATGCACAACAAATCTTAGGATTATGCAAAAAGAATAACAAATATTGCCATAATTATCATCCAGCTAATAAGTTGTCAGAATGAAATTGCAAAGTCGCCAATTGAAAGCAAAACCGATTGTCAAGAAACAAAAGAGTTTAGAACATGCAATTCACCTTCGTTATTTGAATAAATAATATGAAGAATTACAAAAAGGCATTATGATCAAATGTCTCTTTCTTAATATCAATAACAGAGAGGAATACTTGGATAAAGTTATTATTTTGAATTTTGAAAGTATATTACAAATTCGATTGATTAGATTTATTATTGTAATCAAAAAGGAACTTTTGGGATCATAAAACTGATCTAAAAATATGCCATTCATTTTCAATAGGTAGTCTAATTGAACAATGTGATAGTCCTTATTGTCCATGCACTCTAAGAAGTGATCTCAAAAACACTCTGAGAATGTATAAAATCTCCTTATTTTTAGACTTTCCAAAGCTTATCTAATAGTCCTCCTATTTACTAGTCAAACCTTCGCATAAGTGTGGTCAAAATACTTATCAGATAATGGCTACACTTATGATGCCATATATTTATCTAAATAGTAATCTCAAACAATAGAATGTGGAGGTATTAAACTAAATAGATTGCTAAGAGATTTTAGCAAATTTAAAATACTTAAAATCCTCATTTTTGATTCAATTGACATCTCAAATACATTCCCTAAAATACCTCCTGAATAGTTCCAATATCGACTGCCTATACATGGAACAGACGTTGAAACAATACTATTCATCTTTTAGCAAATTTAAAACCCCAAATAATTCGATTCCAAAGTTATTTTTGATATTTGCACTTCTTTCTAAAATGATTAAAATATTGTCATAAGCAGGAAACCAGTAACCATTTTATCCGTAGATCTTACCTAAGCGTACAATTATTTCAATCAAAAGGAAGAATTACTATAAGATAAATAATACATTTTATCTAAATTATCTGCAATACAAGAAGAATTCAATAAAAATATTAGTCAATTTGATCCCAGTTTACTATAAGAATAAGAGGATTAAGTGTATAAATGGGTTGATACTACTCGAAATCGAATTCTAGATTAGATTAAGTCAAAATTTTAAGAGAAAATACCTTTATTACACTTTACAGTTGGAGACTTGATTGTTAGAAATCATAAGTTCAAAGCATTATACTTTAATTATCCTCAATCGTAATTAGTTAAAAAAGAAACATAATTGAATAAAAAAATCAATAAAATAGACTCAGAAACATAAGTTTATCAGAATAAATAAAAAAATCACTTATTAATAAACTGCTTTCTATGTGTAGAATGATATTTATATTGTTTTCTTCTCATACTTTTATCAATTATACTATCAAAATTTTTATTCATTTCTAATTATTGCTATAGCAATTTAATTTATACTTATAATTAATTTAATTATTGATGTATTTACCTACGTTTTATAAACTTGGTTACGAGGCTTGGACTGCCAAAAGCAAGAGATTCTTAGGAATACTACCCGCAGTTGGATGTTGGGGTAAGCAAAATAAATGATTCTTCTAGCTGTTTGGGCTCTCTATCCCAATTTGTATAATACAATCTACACTGATTTTATCCCACCTCCTAAAGGTTATAATATTTTTTATCTTAGGTGTCTAAAGAAGAGTACAAGAATGAATATTATGAGAATGAATACTAATATAAAATTAATTATATTTATTCTTCTTCTTAAATAAATACCATTTACAATATCGTTAATCATTAATTGCATCTAAATTTATTATCATACTTCTTGATGATCCAATACATTCAGAGGATAAATTGGCTATTTTAATACTGCTAATGATATTCGTTGTGATAACCTTAATTAATAAAGGAGAATCATTTTTGCAGGAATCTTTAAAATATTAATTATTCTTATTAAATTAGTTTTCTATTTATTATTGTTATTTAACTTCTTTTTTATATAAAATAAATGATAAATGATAGTTAAATATAAATTTATTTGTGATTCTAATAATAAATTTATTTTTTATTAAATTTTATAATTCTCAAATCGAATACCTAAAAGCAATAATTTAAAGATATTATAGGCAAAAAATCATCATCTTTTATCCTAATTCAACACTTTTATTTTCAAATGCAATTCTGTATGACTAAAATAGAAATTCATCAGCTTCTTAAAATTTGTTTTGACCAATTAAACAATAGGCTTAAAATACAAATAAATTTATACTTTTTCCAAATATAGATAATGTTTAGATATATTCAAAAGAAAGAATCTCCTAGCCATGTTCTAATTACAACTAACACTAAAGAGAGCATATTTCAAGAGCTTTTTCATAGTATTATTAAGCTTCTGTAAAATTCTGCTAAAATCTTAAACATTCTCCTAAAAATCTTTTGAATTATAACCTTTTCCCCACAGTGCATCTGTTCCTAATTCCTCTATACTTAAAGCCTTGTTATAATGATCCTTAGCTTCTTAATAAAAACCTGTTATAGCTAGCCAGAAACCTAAATTATTTTCTGCTTATATTTATACCCAATCTTATTTGTTCGGTATAACTCCTTGTATCCCTTGATGTAACTAGAGCATGAAATATTTCCGCTCCTTCATAATAATTTAATAATACTAAGCATATAGCCTAATTATTAGTTATATTCTTTTGTAAAAATTAAGTGTAAATTTTGAGGATTTATCTAGAGGTTTTCTTAAGGTGGTTTAAATTATTTTATCAATTTTTCAAGCACATCTAATGATTAAGCTATACATTAATCTTACGTTTCCAATAAATTGCCTCTCCCTAACATTTGTCATATATTAAAGCATGTTGATATTATTGAATTGCATCTTTCCATTTTCCCTATTTCTTGTAGCAATCGGCTATTATGAAGAAATTTATAACCTTTCCCCCGATAAGAAATAGAAGAACAAGAATCAAATTCTAGCGCCTTATCAAAAGTAGCAACTGCCTCATCGTATCGACCTAAATATTTTAAACTAGATCCTATAAGTTAATTATCTAAGTAACCTAATCCTTTCAATGCTTCTGCTAAACTAGGATCATATTCTAAAGCCAATTAATAAAATTCAACCGCTTCTATATTATTGGCACAATATTTTAAACACGAAGCTAATTGATTAAAGAAGAGTAACCTTTTCCTTCCAATAATCCTGAATGTTGAAGATTAATTTCCAAAGCCTTGTCATAAAAAGGAATAGCTTCGTAATACTTTTTCAATCTTTTTAAGCAATCCGCTAATGAAATGATTCAATATTCTACCTAAACCAAATAATGAATCAAAGTGATTCTCCACAATTTGTAAAGCTCTCCTATACATAATCTATGATTTATTCAAATCATTCAACAACTTTAAGCATTCAGCTCAAAATTTTATTTAAGTAATATACCTTGTCCACAAAATGCAGCATAACCCTACTAGTTAACTCTAATTGCTTTCTCATACTAGTTAATAGCTTCTTATAATTTGTTCATTTTTCTTAAACAGTCAGCTATAATATAGATCAGATTTACCATGGCCCAGAAGAGCCATATAGGAATTGCTTTTCGTTTTTAGGCACATTTAGAATTGAATAAGAGCCTCATCATATTTGTTGCATTTAAATAAACAATTTCCTATGATATTAGTAAAAAATGATTTACCAATTTCGCACATGGCTTCTAGGTTATGAGGATCAAAGTAAAGTATTTCTTCAAATTGATGCTATGCCTCATAATAAAAATTCTATTTCATTAAGCATTCTCCTATCAATAGAAATTTTTTATACCTTTTTTAAGCAAAGCTTCGATGTCATATGGATTTTTTTCTAGAACTTTATCGAATAATGTAATGGCCTAACCATATTGATTTGAATTCATTAATTGAAAGCCTAATATAATATTGAGATTTATCACCATATTTTTTAAAATTTATCAAATTTTGAGCTAGTTATTTTGATAACCTTTTTGTTATTTGATGTAAAGGTAGAGTCTATAAAATTTGACTTTATATTTCATTCATTTTCTATAATTTATCCACTACTTAAGTTCCTAAGAATTAATTGAATGAATCATAAGTTATTAATTGATTAAGCAATAAAATTATTTGGCTTTGATCCATTTATTACAATTAATTTGAGCAATTCGCAAAAGTATATTGCAATGCTTTTATAGTTCTATTAAACATTTATTAAAGTTGTTTAAATTAGTTGAAATAATTTTTTAAGAACTCCTCAGCCTATTGGGACTTTCCTTCTAAAAACAAAGTCAACTGAACTATGGGTCTAGTTAAATCCTAATGACTGGAATGATAATCATCGAAACAATTTTAGCAAGCCAGTCGATTCTCCTTACATTAATCGGATAAACAAAAATAGTTTGCTTGTACCTCTAAGTGATTCAAACAGCTTGGATTTAGATTGTTTGGAAAACCTATGTTGTTGTTATTCATATAATTTCAATAATAAAATTATTGTATCATATTATATAATTAATTTGTTAATAGAAACACAAATCAATTATTGTTAGATAAAATAACAATTAAATGGTATAATAATATATATAAATGTGAAAAACACTGAAAATTACAAAGATATGGTTTCAATAAAATATGATTGTTTCAAATAATTTGTTAGGATGAACGAGGCGATAGTATTTTTAGATTAAATTGTTTTTATAACCTAATTGATTTTAATTTTTCATGAAATTATCGTTTTTTTCTAAAACTCAAATTTCTTATTCTCTATTTGTTATAGATCTCAATAACTTTAAATACATTGAATTCCGGATAAAAGTCATTATCTTCTTGCATCATAAGATCCATCTCATCGCAATTTTGAGGTCCCTTTTTAATTTAATATAATCTTAAGGTATCCTTATTGGTTTCAACTTCATTGGCTCCAACAGGTATTTCCACCTTAGACATTACTTTGATGTTGGAAATGGAAGACTTTTTTTTGTAAAAGAAAGGAAACAATTTGATGTTAGGAGCTGAATTTTAATTGGCCTAATCTTCATGTTGTTATTAACCGATGGAATTCATTTTCTATAAAATTGGTTTGAGTAGATTATTGTGAGCACTATCCTTCATATTTACAGTGGTTCTAAGACGCTCAAATTTATCGGGTTTGTCATTTTGCGACTCTTGGGAGGTTCTCTTATTTTTCACGGACGTATTGTTATTAACATCGTCAGATTGTGATTCACTGCTACTTGAAGTATTGGAGGAGCCTGAACTAATTTCGTGAATCTCTTTCTAACTAATTCTGTGGTTGTTATTGAAACCCAATCTTTATAAGGTCTTACTACAGAGGAGACTTAACTTAAGGCAATAAGTTTACTCTTCTTGTATAAAATTATGGATCAACATGAAATCCAGGATTGTAGCGATGGTAACCTAAGAGTTTGAAATCGCTTTGTATCTTTGACGAGACTTACGTTCGAAAGGGAAGCGTTTGATGTTCACAGAGGCAGAAGCTTATCGAACTACTTTCCAAATATTTGGCTAATAGAATGTAAATGGACAACTAAAATTTATAGAAAATAAAACAATTCTATAATTACTTCTAATATAAGTGAGTCCACTTGCAGATTTCGCAAGTTCTTCCTAGTTTCTGAGAGTATGTGAGAGAATCAATGAGCTTTTGGAATTTGTATAGATGTTCCTTATCCTGAGTGATGATCTCTAATAAATCTTATCTGCTGATGAAGGCAACCTGTGTAAATTTGACAGCCCTATATTGAAGAGAATAATCATTATTAGTGATGAATTCAAATTCCCCAATAATATCTCCTTTCTTATACGTATGAGATAATCTGCCTTGAGAAGCAAGATGTTGTATCTCTTTCTGAGTTCCTTGGATGTGAATGTAACTATCCACCTGTCCATTTAAGATAAAGATGAGTTTTTTCTCGCTTTTATTCTTAAGATCAATGATGTCATCTCCAGGTCCAAAGTTTTCTTACTAGACCTTCTGACAGAGTTAATTGATCAGAGTTTCATTGAAGGTATCATTTATGAATTTGGATTGAATGAGAATCTTCTTGTAAAGATCAATCATAATCTCCTATTTCAATTGTTCATTCAGATTATTGAGTAGAGTTTGATAGGAGCGTTTCTGCGACTGTTAGGTTTGATAGTAGAATTCAAAGTACTTTCTGACTTTTAAGGAGAGTTGTAAATTGAGTTCCTTCTCCTTGATGTAAGAATTGACCTCTTTCATCAATTACTTGAATTGGCCTTTCTTCTCTTCCAAATTCTTAAGGATCTCTCCGATTGTTGATATGGAATAACCAAATACGCCACAAATAATCATAGCAATAATAACTACGAACAATTATTCAATGGAAGTCTAAGGAACAATATCACCATAACCAACTGTCAATGTTGTTATCACACTCCAATAGATACTGACTATATATCGAGTGTGCCCAAGGCTCATCATAATAACCATAATGGATCAACCAAGAATTATTATCTCCGTAAACATCAACCTCGATTTTACCCAATAGATGCCAAGCACAACTACACATATGTGCAACGAAGATAATAAAATAAATGAGTTTAGATAATTCCACTGCTGCCTAAACGGATTCCTTGGCATTCAACATATCTTCCACATTTTAAACCATCGACTTAACTCTTGTTATTCTTAATAGCAATACAAATTGAATATAGGGGATGTCCAATTAGGAGAGTACATAGGGGATGGATATCATCAAATCCCACCAAAAATTTTCAGAAACGTAATGATGAAATATCTCCTTTCTAGTTGAATGAATTACTCCATGACCATAGTATGCAGTATTAAAGTTGAGAATTATTTCAACTATGAAAATGTAACTTGGAATCGTTTCGAAGAACAGCCAAACCAAAGTACTTGACTTATCCAACTCAAAACTCAACGACATTGGGATGAAGAATATGTTGATTACTATAAAACATACGACGATCGAATCCCATATAATTTTGAATGTACTCTCCGGATAAATAACTCCTATTTTATTAAATAAGTATTCCAAAATAACTCTAAGGATTGTAAATGCTCCTTCCATCTTCTTCAGATTCCTGCACATTATATTCTTAAAGGAATGATCGTCTATGGTCTTCCCAGATTTGAATTCATTAAAATCACTTGCCTTATCATCTATGTATTTAAATATGTGATGATTCATCAATTTTAACTTCAATGTTTCAGCTTTGGTTTTCAGTTAATATATAAATCTAGCAACCAATCTGATGATCTTCAAGCTCCCATGCTTCCAAACGGGACTAAATCTATGCAATTTTTATCAACTCATACCCTGGCTCCTTTTAATCCAAATTCAGATTCTCAAAAATAAAAGTTTCCCTTTTATTTGTTATGATATTTTGAATACTTATGGTTGGAGGCTTATAATTGCTTTTCGTCTTACGCAAATGAGAAGACGAAGGCCTATTGCTTTTATGTAAACAGTACTTAGCACTATTTCCGTAATCGTCAATCATCTAATCAATCTCCTCTATCGACCGGCTTCTTTGAAAATATTGCTACATCTTAATATCCTAATCCCCACTAAATATTTGTCTCTTAGTATTTATCAGTGAGAATGGCTCACTATCATAATTCGTAGTTATTTGCATATTAGTTATTAATAATTAAGACCAAATTAACTTAGCACGCTATTTATAACGACATTATTCTTAGAACTTCTTGTCCAATAAATTAGATAACTATTTCACTCCATTTGATCAATAAGATCTTTGAATTTCCTTATCAATTAAAATATGCTTAGAATCGATTTTGTTGTTAAAATAATGCGATTAAAATTACCATATTCAAGATTCTATTCTTCTTAAGAATGGTCACTTTTTAATTTATTATTTTAATGCAATTTCATATTTCTCCATCCCTATATAATCAAAGAATATAAAGATATCAAAAAAGACTTTTAAAAATTTTAATATTAATTTTCAATCATCATCATGGATATAGGATTGAATTTGAATATGTTTTTTTATTAAGGTTATATATAATATTTGATTCCTTGCCAAATACTTAAACAAGGCTATTCAATTTAATGAATTACTAAAATAGTTGATTTGATTTTATTAATTTTCTTGTAAATTCTATTATTTTAAATCCTCTATTTAACATGATTTCTAAGAAATTAAGTTGATTTATTTCAATTCTAAATCAAAAAGTATTATTGGTTTTTAAATTTTATAGTTCAATTCTGACAAAGACAAGACTAACTTCAATTAAATATTAATAAATACACAAAAAAGCATAAGTTGAATTAATATTAATTTATTATCTTAAATTTTTATAAAAAAGTGAATAAAATAAAAATTAAATCTAATGTTAATACGTTTTGCTGATTTGAAAAAAGAATTTTATAAAATATTTTTAAATTCTTAATCAAGAAATGCTTTCCTAAAATAATAATGGAGAATTTGAATCAATTTAGAAGTGGAGTTGATACATAATTAGACCACAGATTAATTAAATCCCATAAATCATTTAATGATTAAAATATAATTAAAATGGCCTAATTATAATTTTTATATCAATCCTAAAAAATAATAAACTTCATTATATCATATGAAAACAATACCTTCACCCATATTTAACACTCATGATCTGGATTTTTACGACAGAAGTTAAGGCGTTTAAAAGATACAATCTTAAGCTTATTCAAGTAATCAAATTCAAAAAACCTCTGAAAGAAATTTAAAACCGAAAGACCACTTTTCTAAAAACCATTCAACTATATTGATTATCTTCGACATTTGAATAGATAAAAGATGAGCCTAATATGACTTTAGAACATATAGGTTAATTTGAGACAAAAAAGTAATCCAAATCTATAATAACTTTATAAGAATAAAAATAAAAAATTCCAGTTTTTTTAAATAAAAGAGTGAGTTATATTCCAATACATTGAAGCCAGTTGAGTAAAACTAAAAATATTAATGTCTTTTTGATAAGGAATGTTAAATAATGTATTCAGTAAAATAAGCGAATTTAAGGGATAATACAAATTTTGCTATGATAATAAATATAAGCTGTAGAGTTGTAGATCTAATGAGGGAGATGTCATAAGTCATAAGGAAGATATTTAATAGAGACAAGCATTTTAGAGTGATGTTAAATAATATCATACAAATTTTGTTTAAGAATAAATGAATTAGTTATGCATACCTCATTCAAGTATCAAGATATAATAAATAATTTGAAAGCAGTTTTATATCCAATCGGATTTAAATTAAAAGTATATATCAAATAAATATCTGATCTAAATATAGATGAAGTATTCTCACTGGATCAAAAAGGCAAGAAAAACTAAGGACAGATTGAAAAAGGAATCACCGGAGAGTTCTACAATCACAAAGAAACAAATCTCGAAGGATTCTTCGATTAGTATTAGAGAATTGTACAAGGCCTAAAAATGGGAAAACCTTATCAAGATAGCTAAATAAAGTAAAGGATTATTTGAAGAGTACGATTGTATGAAGGTTCAGAAGAAAGTTATCAAGTTGGGAGAGAGTGTGCTGATTAATAGTGGAGATGCTCATGATGAAGATTATATAGGGACCATAAAATAAATTATATCAATAAAAGAACCCACGACACTCAAACTGATTTGTTTATGTCGTGTGTAATGGTACATGAGGAAAAGTGAAGTGATAAAATCACATCCAAAAAGTAATGAATGGGTTTCGGAACAGGAGTTGTTTAAAACTAAACACGAAGATTACATTTTGGCCTAGACTGTGATCCACTCATGCTAGATTTTCTCATGTAAAGAATACGTGGATCTGGATGAAATTGAATCCACTGTTTATTTTAACAGATTAAGATGGGATATGGAAAAGAAATAAATTTAGGGTTTTGAAACACTTTAAAAATTCTGTTCATGTCAATAACCGGTTAATCCCGATAGGAAATATGTATAGGTATATGAATACACTAAAACTAGTGCGATTCTTGTCATTAATGGTACCATCTGGAGTGCGTGGGTTTGCAAGAGGGAGAATTGAATGATTCCGAATTCTTTTGTAAACTTTGTTTATGAGACATACTATTTAATTTATCGATATTTTTATTATTAAGAAAATACAATTTAAAATTCAATATGCAACCATTATTCAAACAAAGGAAACCAGCCAATCTGATTATCCAGTCCTCTGAGGAAGACAAATTTGTCTAATAATAAGTAAACTATTCGTCTATTATGCAGATCCCAGAATTGGACACTTTCGAAGAATTTTGTAGCAATATTCCCGATGTTGAAAATTAAGAACTCAATTTTACTAAAGAATCCAAATCCTTTAGTTCTCACAATCTTAATTTGTAAGAGTCCTAAGAATTTCAAACCAATGCAAAATATAGTGATCAAAAGTAAGAAGAAATCTAAGAGTCTCTCCCCATACAATATATTGAATTTGTAGAGTTTCATCCTCAGAGCATTAATTCTGGCCAATCTGAATCCAATCTTTAGAGAATTGATTCTCAACAAAGTCCCAAAGATATCATGTAAGAGCCCCCTGCTCCTCAAAATAAGAACTTGACTAAATTCAGCTTCCCCTAAAAGGGTGGTTGTTTCAGCAGTTGTAACAAATTCAAAATTATATTCTTTAGTAAAGAAGTAACTCTGTGTCGATTAACCTGTGATAACTAATCATGGAAATTAGAGCGCCTCCGAAGAAACTCTAGTTAAGCAACATAATACCCAAAATATCCCAAAAAGCATATAGGATGATTTGACTAAACAAATTAAGGAATTAACTGATTAGAAAAATGCAATTGAAGCCTCTTTCTAAACTCAAATTTTGTAACTGTAAACTCAAAATCAAAAATTGGAGTAGGAATTGGCTCAATAGAAATAGAAGAATTTAACTTTGGTCCAAGAAAATATGTTATTGCAATCCAAAATTGAAATTTTAGAATAAAAAAAAAGCGCTGATTTAAACAATATAACTGATTTTTCTAATGACTTGTTACCTCACAAATTGTCCATGAATGAGAAATTAGTGTATTTGATGCAAAAATTGAATATCAAAGCCTAAGAAAATGCAAAACTTCAATATGAAATTTTGAAATTGCAAAATAACGTATGTATCTATGACATCTATTCAATTAATAGATTGAAATCTTGGAAACCTAAAAGTACTTACAAATCAATACAAATTTACTATTGGACACCCATAAACTGCAGTCAAGTCATTCCCCCCTGATCTAACCCTAATCTTAAAACAGAGGACAATCCCTAAGTAAAGATAGCAGAACCAGTCTCTTGAATTCATAAAAATATCCTCTCAATCTATCCCTCAATTATGTCCAATAAGGAGAAAGAAGACAGGATGTCTTCCTCAATAAAAAGAATAGAATTATATCTCCTTTGGCTCATTATAGTTCAGTGGGGGAATAATAGCAACTTTAGTTAACAAATCTTTAAAAGAATAAAGTTTACAAGGAGGATGTCAATTATAATAATAAGATGCAGTAAACTATAATTAAATGAATTAGTACAAAAAATAGTACTTCAGTTGGGGAATTGATATCGTTTAAATAGGATTTGACTAATTGTTCCAATATGATCAACAAAGCCTTAAGAAAGGAGTCCTATTCGACATAGTCTCCAGATGCCAAAGTAACATAGAAATTCAAATAAACTTTAAATGCAAAAATTGGGACTTAATAAGAAAACTCAAAGTCTTATGCTAGTCTCCTATTTTCTCTTGGAGAGAAGCAAAAAGATGTGAGACAGATGTCTCCAAAGGGAGGCAATAAGAAATCAAAATAGTACTATCTAAATTAAGCTATTGTAGGTTATTTGGATTTATTATGCAACCACATCCAAATTCAAGAAAACAATCAGAAATCTTGAAATCAGAGGAATCTCATAAAATGAGTTAAGAATAGCTTAAGATGTCAGATAAGTATTGATATTTGTAAAATAGAAAAAATACATTATAAACTAGTATTGACATATTTTAAATAATGAAGGATATGAGAAATAAAAAAAACGGGAGTATAAGAATTAATAATATATTATATTAGTCTCGACAAAATTAAGTTAAAAGAAAGGGCAAGCTGCAACAAGTAGATAAATGATCACTGAAATCAAAAGCAGTAGAACCAATAAACCAAGTTTTGACTGATAAGAAATAAATATTAATAAATTTTGTAATTCAACATAAACAAATAAGCAAGAATGATTCACAAAAATCATTTAATTTTAAATTAAGGTTATTTTTTCGGATTAATCCATCTTGTATTTTGATTTTCGAATAAAAAAAAGGATTATTTATTTCGAGTTGGAGTTTTATTGGGAGTTGTATTCTATTAAGAAATTGCCCTTATTCTTTCTCTCATAGGAGTGTGAATGGCTCGACCTCTCAATAACGATATATTATTTAATTATGCGTTCAAATAAGTGTCCAGAATCTATTTAGTGTTATGCAGAATCCTTTGCTTTTCTGGAGTGAAATACTATGGCCTTCTAGAGACAGGCCTTTGTTAAGATATGCCAAAAAGTTTTAATTCATTTTTGCTCGCTTTGCTTTCCAAACTTAAACTATTAATTTTAGGTGTCTGTAACTTTTTTTTGATAAACATATTTTATAGAATGCTCTCATCAAAATATATGTTTGAATTATCAATTACTGAAACACATCTTACTTACTTATCTTTCTAAGAATTTGAAATAGACCCTTTTAAAATAGATTTTAATTCTTTATTTTATTGTATTTCTTCCTTAATCTAGATTGTTTATATTTATTATATCAAGTTAATAGACCAGGATACATTTTATTTTTATCCACTTGGAATAGTATAAGATCCAAGAGTTTTAGTAATTAATGGTGGTTATTATTGGGAATTCAAATAGGTATTTTAAATAACCAAAATTTCTTGATTTTCTGTATAATGATCCCAATTCTTGCTTTCTTAATTGGTTTTGAAGTATTCAATGCTAAAGTCCAATAATTATTTTAAGAATGCTGGTCTGATTTCAAAGTCCTTCCTTCTTGAGTTTAAGAATTGGAGTGTTTTGATTAGGCCCCAACGATATCTAAAGAAATTCAGTAAGAAAGTTACTTGTAAATTAAATAAGCTGATAATGCTGTTAAGGCTCTGCTTTATCCTTTAAGCGAGAAAAACAAGACTCCCTCTCCATTGTTTGTGGCTGTTTCAATAAATTCACTTATTTTTTCGAGATTTTCAGTTGTAACAATACTCTAAATTTGAATGCAGAATTTACTTGTTCGTCAGCGTCTCTCCAATTGAAACAGAGAACGTTTCCGTTGCCATTAAATGTAAGTTCAGCCGCAGCACAATTAATGATATTATTTATTTTGTTCATTAACAAAAAGTCTCTTTCCTCATCAATTTAAAATATAAATAAATACTAAAGGAGCACGGCTGTTTCCAATAAAGAGACCATCCCATATTTTGAATGCGTAGTAAACGATGACTCTCTACATATGTAAAAAAATTAATTTATTGAGTATTACATCATAAAATTATTTTACCATAGAAAATAAATTTAATGATGTTAACAAATTATAATAATAAGCAAAAGTCTCAATTTTTATGATTAGATCTTGTAATTATTAAAACTTATTAAACTAAAACAATCAATTTAAAGTTTAATAATTAACAATGATAATTATAAAATTTAGTTATACAATTTATCAATCCTTCTCCTCCTCCTCTTCTTCTTCTTCAATATCAAAACATTCTTATTCAATTTTATTGTCGCGAAACAAATTAAGCATGCTCTTCTTCTCTATTAATTCGTCAAAAATAAGTTCGAATTTATTATTTTCAATAACATTATCTGGAATAAACAGTTTTTTATTTTAAGGCCATTCCTCAAAAAATGGTGGAGGGAAAATTGGATCGACAGCAATCCTAAATAGATTTTCTACCATCGTCGGTATGATTCTACTAAGAAGAGGACAAGATTATTCAAGACAGGGATTGGTATTGGCTTCAATTAACCACAATTTGAAATTGTCGTCAATCATAAAATCCAACCCATATAACTACTATAAGCTAACAATGCAATACCTCAAAGCTATTAATCCTTCTGTGAGGATCAATTTTACCATAGGTTGCCTTCATCATATCCAAGGCTGCAGCTCTCATTTTGGGATAGATGTCAATGAAAAAGTTGAATTTAGAATTGGGGTAATTACATTCAACATATCTCTAGAATTCTAAATAAGAAATCTTATTGCCTGGCTCATGCTTACCATAATCTTAATCTTTCGATTGGACTGCGTCATTTGTCAGATGTACAAATCTGTCTAAGCATTTTGTGGTGAATTCTTTGGATGATGTTCGTATGTACCCTTCCTAATACCAATAACCTTTAAATATTCCATTTTAAGAAGTGAGCAGCATATAACATCGGATGTCGAATTTTCTTTTATTATACAAAAAAGGATTATCGATATACTATTGGACAATATAGGTTCTTTATCTGCAATCTTGAATTTCTTCACTTATTATTTTATTGATTTCATTGAGATCATTGCAAACAGTGATCCCATTTCCTCTATTAGTCAGTTCTCCTGGTTTGATTATCCAAAGATTTAGGGGTAGTTTCTTCTTGTCTTTCCTGTCTCTATTTTTTTCAAGTTCTCGAACGTCCTCATTTCTTTTGTTGTAATAATCCAAGAATCTTGAGTATTCTATATCGTTTAACCCCTTTTGAACATGAAATGTTACAGGGAGCAATTTGTTATAATCTTCTCTGATGATTTGAAAATAATGTCTCATGTTATAAAACAAAGCCTTTTTATTACCTAAGTGCCAATTATCTTCCATATGGTTGTGCATCTTTTGGGTTCTACTGTCCAATCTTTGAATAGTATTATACTATTTGATTTCCTTTAGTAATTTTTCAGAGCAATCACTGAAAATCAATTAGCTATCAAAACAATTAGTTTCATCCATATAATTTACTAACTTTTATAGATCTTAAGCATTGAATATTCTTTTCATAGAGTAGTAATTTGGAGGTTTCTTTTATTGATGCTAAGAAGAGCTCTGCTATTTTTGTATTCCTCCAGTAATGCTCACTTATTTGGGTCTTACATCAATGTCTGAATCACTGGTATCCCCAATGGTTTCTTCATGACTCAAAATAAAGGACTCGGAACTCTAAGCTCCTGAATCCATATTGTAGGGATGCAATTATTCAATGCAAATATTTTATTTTAATTATGTCCATGACATATTTACTTTTGCGGTATCTAAAGTTTCCACTTCAGACCACCACCATCTTTAACGAAATATATTTTTCACTAAACTTCCATTGTTCCCAAGACCCACGTAGTAATAATAGGCAGGGACTTCCAATTTGTTGGGACAGGAAATGCATTGGTTATTTGAAAAATTGATCTTATTCAAAAAGCAACGATACGAAGTGTGACGTAGAGTCAGTTTCTCTTTTTATATATTTTACTGCTGGATGATATTTACTTAATTTTATTTCTTTTTTTTCCTTGGAATTACTTTTTTATCAATTTGGATAGGATATTATTATTGTTATTGTTGTTGTTATTATGGTTATGATAAATGCAAGGCACTCTGTAATTTCTTTTCCTTAATTGTTTTTTATTAAGGAGTGTAAATACTCAATTACTTTGTTAGAGTCTTTTGGGGATTCTTAATTGGACTCACATTTGAGGTTTCCTTTTAAGGAGTTCCAGATCTACTAGTTGCTTGTTCTTCCTTTTCCTCTTTTGACTTCTGCATCAAAGGCGTTGACGAGGTTCTTCCCATCTTCTGGATACTCTGTTCATTTTCATAAGTTGATTTCTATTCGCCTTGCATGAATCCTCGATTTTTCCTCACCACTGTCCTTTGCAAGGTGGGACTAGTCATACTTGTATTAAGCTTACGTTTCAATGAGGGAACTTTTGAAGGTTTCCACTTTTTCTTTGGATTGGTTCTGTCTCTCCTTGAGTTTTAATTTATCAGCATACAATCTCAATGGTGGAAGTATTTTCTTATCTAAACAATTCATTATGATTTATTACTCTTTTCCAAATCCTCTATGGTTTATAGAGCCTGTTACGCCAGTAAATCATCTCTGGTGATTTTTTCATCATAACTCTACTTTATCAGAATGCTTGATGAATTCTCATAAGGCCTTGAGATTGACACCTTTTATTGTGTCGAAAGCATCCCTCTGTTGATAAAAGCCGTCAGTATTTCGGAACTTGTCCTGTCCTTGCTTGATTGAATTTTAGTTCTTTGAGAGATTGACAAATGTTCCAAACGTTGTGCTTGGGGTTTTTAAGCAATGAATTATTTTTGATGAAATGAGTAAAAGTCCTTACTATTAGAGAAAGTGTCAGCCATCTTCTACGAGTATCTGGGTTGTATTATCATATTGTAACAAAAAAAACAATATAACTTTAAAATAAATTTATAAGATGTAAAGTGAGCAAAAGGGGTAGAATAATAGTTTACACTAAAATTCCATTTAAATATCCCAAATATTTTATTAAATTTATGGACAAGGCAAAAATCAACTTTCTTTTGGAAGGAGAAGTCCTAGTCAAAGGAAAGACTTTTGGTCTTTGGTAACCTAAAAAATACATCATTGACCAAGAACTTAGAATATTTTCGATCAAAAGTTCAAAATAAAATAAAAATTACCATCTTGCTAATTATCAAGTAAAGAGGATTCTCATTCTTGATAGATAGCAAATGTAGAAAGAAAAAATAATAGATTCTAATTTGAATTGGCTTCTACGATTGGCGAAAAGAACATACTTATGGGATCCGATAATGAAAAATTTGCCAATGAACTTATGTTGTTCCTGAAAAAAATGTGTGGATAGTAACTGCGAACTCAAAGTTTATTCGAACCCAGTTTATCTTCTAAACCAACATGTATTATATATTTAATTTAATCCACAGCCTCACTTCGAGAATACGATTATGAAATGCCACAATTCTTTGAAATGCCAGAAATTAGAGATGCGTATGTTTTATACTCTAATATTTTAAATTAGGATTCAAACTATCAGATCAAAATCCTACCAATTGGAATAGTACGAACTCATCCAAAATCAAGTAGTGAAGATTTATCGCAATAAGAACAATTAACTCAATTTCAAAGTCTTCCTCACTTTCCCAGGAAATTGTATTATTACTAATTCATTTTAGGCTTAACCAAATGCTAAACGCAATTGTTTCAGACTCAATACGATTGGAATATCCATAATCTTAAAGAATACACTTAAATTAAAGAATTCAAATCTGATAAATCCTAAATGATAACTGAAATAAGATTAATCAAAAACTGGTTTTAGTTTAAAAGAGAATTCACATACTTAAGATATGCGGTGGAATTTAAAAAAAAAGAAAACACTAAAATTGTTATTGAAAAAAAACTAGATTAAAAAATACATTCAGGCACTGTTTCAGGACTATTGAAATTTGCTGTTTGGGGTCTATTCTACGAAAACAATCAAACCAACGTAGTCCTCTTCACCGAATAGAGCTACAATGGTTTAGCCTTTATCGAAGAAGATTCAATACTCTCACAACAATATTTCCTGCAATATGAAAACATAATTAAACCCCAAAGACTAGACTTTGATAAATAATCGATGCAAGATCAAGGCCAAGCCATCATTCCTAACAATAGTCCTCAAAATGAATCCGCCCCTTCAAAGTTGAAAGCCCTACAGAGAAAAGACACTAAATAAAATTCCTTCAAAATGGAATAGCCTATCGATATCCCCAAATCAACAGTGCAAAATCAAAACACTCAATAACCCATTCTTGGATCCTCCCCATAGTTGGGTCCAAATTAGTAAATACAAGTTACCTCACCCTAATAATTGCCACTGCCTTCTAAAGACAAAAACATTCCCTAGATTGCAAACTAAAAAGAAGAGGATAAACAAGCATAACAATAGTAAATCAATATGAAAAAATCAGATAAGTCAACTGAGTTGAATTAAGTTCAAGCAAAAACTGACCAAAGCAATCTTTCTTAAGGGGCATTGGAATAACTGAAACTAAAAAAAACATCCAGTTCTTAAGAGTCATCCTAAATAATATCATAAAATATCATATTTCAATAACCAAAAATAGAAGATGACTGTGAAAATGATGATATCCAACCTGAAAATGAGGGATCTGATGGAAATATTACTTAATTTTATGATTGCGAAGATGATATTGATGCTATGAATGATAAGTTATTTATTGGACAATCAGATCAATAAGCTAATACATCTGATTAAAGTGTGATAGAGGTCAGAAATTCTATCACTTAAAGGTAACCTCAGAGTTAGAGTAATTAAACTTAAAGTTAGAGCGATACTATTGAAAATCTTGAAGATTGGGTAGAAAAAAAGATGTAGGCGTATTTTAGTGGGAAATTTTGTCAAATCGCCATAGACATTGAACATATATTGAATCCATTAGTACAAGACATTAATGTATTTTTATATTCAAATATAATAAGAAAAGAAAGTATATGAAAGAATAGGAGGGAGGCCACTATATATTTCGAAAGGATTTCATTAGAGACGAAAAGAATGGTGGTCTGAAATGTATAAATGAGGTTAAAGTGAATGCATAGAAGAGTGTGGTCAAATTTTTATTAGCTAGAATAGGTAAGAAATGATTTAAATTGAAGGAACTTCACTTTTGATGGGAAGATCTCTAACTAGTATATCTATGCCAGTAACTATTTTCGAATCCAGATCTAATACTGAGAGAGCTTGTAGTTCTTTGGCCTTTGCACCAGTGTTTTTGGATGAAGCTGCTATTTCGAAAGATAAATTCTTCAGGATTAAATAGTGTGCAGCATTTTCTTTTGGATTTATCTTTTCATATTTATCCATGGAAAAAGTAAAATCAATTTCTAATATTTCACAAGCCCTTCAATCCAATTTTAGGAGAAACCTTCTAAGGCTACTTTGATAATTGTCCTATATATTGTGAATAAATCAGTCATCATCCTCCAATTTGCATTATTTAGTATTATGGCAGAAAATACAAGTAAGAATAATCAAAACATGAATAGAATTGATGCTCGTCTAGAATTAGTTGCTAATTTTCATTCGAATTCTGTTGTTGGAAGAAATGTTGGCGAAGTTAAAGTGATATTCGAAAACCCTCCCTAGGAAATTATTATCTTATTAGCACCTGGTTGTATTTATGGGACAACCTTTGGTGATAAATCAATGGACTTTTTAGAGAAATAGTTTCTATTTGATTTGAGTAATAAATTAATTATGGAATGTGCATTCAAACCGGATAAGAAGTACTGTCAATATTTCAATATTGAATACCTTCCTTACTCAGATTATGTAGCTGGGGGAGTCTGCGAAGTTACTGATGCGGCTATTGGAAGATATTTAAGGGAAGGCTATAGAAAATACAAGGGTCTTGATTTGAAGACGGAAGTGAAATCAATCAAAAGCATAATTAAGGGAGTTTGGAACCAAGAATTAAAGGTAAAAAATCATTAATATTTAAGTTTGATAATCAAAAACTGATATCTATCATGAGTGATTTTCCAATCCAATTAGAATTGGCTTAATATCCGTTGCCATCAGACGCCAATTTCAGAATGGATGTTCTGATGTGGAAATTGAGAGATTTTGATTAAGCACAATAATGGAAAGAGAGACTTGAAATATTTCAAAGATAAGATAGAAAATTGAGAGAAGCTCTAGGTCCAAAAAAGAAAAGAAAATGAGTTTATAAATAGAATTAATTCTACTCTTCAATAAAATTGATCTTAAAGTTATCAATATATTGTATGGTAAATTAGAGATTTCATATTATTAACTCAATCAAATTATAAATGAAATCTAATAAAACAATTACTGTAAAAATATTAATAATTATATCCTAATAATTGATTTTTTCGTTTTTTATCTTTAATTTGTTTTTCTATTAGAAATCTATAGAAAGGGACCCTTGATTTTTATTGCAGAAAATATGCAATTTTAATTGTTGAAAATAGCATTTCAATGTAATCTGTTAGTAATTAGGGATAAATATTTCTGTAGGAATGCCGGAATATTTTATGTTGTATTTATTTTGGAATAGTGAATAATTTCATATTTGTTAATAAAAAATATGTCTATAAAAAAGTAAAAATTGTGTTTTAATTAGACACTTGATATAATTAGGAAACTTGGTTATTGAAGAAGAAGAGGAACCATAGTTTGATTGCATTATTCCATCAGCAATCAAATTAATATAAATTGAAATCTCTCCAAATAAATAACAACTTTCAGAATTGCAACAGCTGAAATATTTGCTGGATGACAAATAATACTTTTCTGCCTATTCGATGAAGTAAGAACTTCTCCATAGCTATGCCAATGACAATGAGTACATCAATTACACCAAGGAAATTTTTGAATTAATTGATGATGACATAGAAGAAATCAAGGAACTCACCAAATGGTTTGATCTATAGGGTATTTATTACACTAATTCAATCAGATGGTTGGTCAATTTAACAATAGGATAGCCGAATGTAGATTAGATATTAATAATTGCCCAATTCACCAAGAGTCGTTGCTAGAATTGACACGGAAATCAAAATTCCTCTTGACATCTTTATCAGCCTTATATATGAGACAGAACTATACCCCTAATGGTTTCCATTCTGCAAGGACTCAAAGACTATTTTGCAGCCGGACAAAGCCACGAAGATTCTACATATGCATTCGTCACCCCCTGTTATATCCGATAGAGAATTGTGTGTAAAGGGATGGGGAGTGAACAACCTTGAATACGATGGAAGTGTTCTTATTTTGAGTCACTCGATCGATAAGAGAGCAAAATTACTGAAAAGATATGGGTACACTTATTCAATTTATTTCTTTTGAGTTTCTTTTCCAGATGAACCGAAACATGTGAGAGCTGACTTAAACGTATTTTGCACAAAGGTTAAACCGATATCATTTGATCATCACATTGTCAGTTTGGTAATTTGTATTGATTTAAAATTAAAATACATACCAGATTTCTTGCCAAATTATATGCTTCGAAAATTTGCAGTAAATCAATATTTGAATGTTAGGGTGTGATGTTTGATAAATTGGTATCTAATTCAAAAAAATACAAAGGATCACTTTGGGAAAAGAAAAAGAATGAAAGTACAGAATTCTACGATTGGTTGAATTAGAAATTCAAATAATATGAAGACAAGTTGAAAAGATGATTTCTTAGCAAACATATATTGATAATTATTTATTTAAATATAAACAATTACAACATAGAATATTGAATCAAAATCATAAATCATCTTTAGACTTTTTATTCTTTTTCTTTCCTTTCTTCAATTCCTTTTCCAACTCCTTCTTCTTTAATCTCTCTTCTTCCAATATCTCCTTCAAAATTTCTTCATCAAAATCGGATAATCCCGATGATTGACTAGCCTCTTTCCTTTTTTGAAATATCTCCTCGCAATTCTTCTCTACAATTTAAATAGAATTAATATTGATGTTGCTAGACTGCCCCTTGTATTATTTGTCAATGAATTTACTAATAGCATCATAATCGAATCTTCCAATTAATTTAGAATAACTAAAATGATAAATAATAATTACGTCTTTTTGCTACTAGAGTAAGCAACAAAATTGGGCAACGAATCATCTGAAATATCGAATTTCAATAATAACTCATCATGGCAAGATGCATCAATGAAAACAAAAGATGCTGACTTAGATCCATGGATATTCTTGATTTTGTCCAATACTTCCAATTAGTGTTCCCACTTTGTCAAAATATCATCATGCTTCACTGATTTATGTTCACCATTTAATAATGCAATGTAACATAATGTCTACTTCTTTTCACAATATTCTTCTAATTACTCTTGATTTTGAATTTCTTAAACCTTTTTGCTAGACGTCTTTTTGGATTCATCAAACTAGATATTAAATAATATTATACTGAGTCTAAGAATGATTTGATTTCATCATAACCGTGTTTCCCTGTAAATAGTGCTTGTTTTACTTAGTCATGTTTTAGTTCTTCTTCTAATTCCTTTTTATCCTTGACATCTCTAAAGATAATAGTAATTGCTGGTTGATGGGGAATCTAAAATTGGTCTATAACCTTTTGAGATGCGTTTTTGAAGGATAGGAATTTATACTTACCATAATATTCTTGCAATTAACTCAAGACTCTATAAGTTAATCCAACTTATGGAGTCTAATAGAAATATAGTACAACAATATTGTTATCAGCAATATATTGACTCAATTACATCTACAATGATTGTTCATTAATATTAATAGTCTTATCATCGATTAATTCTTATATGTCTTTATTTATTTCCTCTAATGAATATTCTTTAGTAAATGATATTTTGGAGGCTCTTTTTTTTTATGTATTTCCTACTTGATAAAATCTAATGCTAGGATAGCTTTTAATTTGCAATTCTTTGACTAATTCTTCATCCTCTTGAGTGTTAACTTGGAATTCATAATAATCAAATAAAGATTTATATTTTTTAATAGTCTCCTCCCATGCCTTATGAGGTGTCTCCTTATAAACATGCACAAATGCTGGTTTATCATTTCTTAATAACTGTTTATTCAAAACACCTTGGTCTAATTTAGTAGGAGTGATCACATTTTATTTTTCATTATTGTTATTATCATTATTATTATTATCTTAATCATCTTGTTTTTGTCTTCTGTTTTTTCTTTCCTCTTATTTCTTTGATTGCTCATTTACTTATTCATATGGAATTCTATCTTTTGCAGCCAATCCCCTAACGAATTTCTTAATTGGTTTGAATAATAAATCTCCATCAAATAGATCTCTATTATATGTATTATCTCCATTATTTTCTAATCCAACTATTTGTGGAAATTCCTTGATATCAAATTCGTCTAATAGAGATTATGTTTCTGGAGTCGCTACAACTTCTCCAAATTTGACTCTTTCCAAATAATGTATATTCATAGCTTTGAGTAAAGGAGAGGTTTCCTTCCTTTTAGTAAATAGTATGACTTTATTCAACTTTGGATCAGACGTCTCGAATTTTTTGAGTTCCTCCAATGTATTTATTCTAATGACATGATTTGGAATGAATTTGTATCCATATTATCCCAAACTCTAAGGAGAGGCTTCTCCTTAAAATCTATGTTCTGTAGCTATCATTTTTTCTTTTGTATATGGGTTAATTGGCTGATTGGGAGGCTCAAAGAAAGTAATCTATGGCAAATGTTACATCACATCAGAACTGCAATATGGTATTTAATTGCTAGATTTAGATTGCATATATACGCCAAGATTTTGGATCCTTATTGATTTCATCACAATTAGTTCCATATACATTTATTATGCCTTCTTACTCTTCAGCTACTTTTTCTATGAGTGAAGCAGCTCTTTGGCAATTTTCACAATTTTCCGAATAAAAATACACAAATGAAACAAATTCAGATCCTAAAATGTCTTTGAAATCCTGTAAGTTATTGGCATGCTTAATGAGATAAGAATTCTCAAATAAAGCTACACTTAATGTGCACATGACACCTAATAAGATGAATTTCAACATATTTATTAAAAATATTCTAGAATAAATAATTTACGTGTGAAGTATTTTATAAGATCATTTTTATCAATATTAAAATGCTCTTAAGAAATTCTGCATTATAAATGTATATGTAAAAGGTTAAATAAATCCAAATTATAAGTAAACCAAGAAGAAGTGTTATTTGCTATAACATAATATTAAAGAACATCAATTTTTATAATATTATTATATTATAAAAAAAGATAATGAATTTTTGATTTCCAAAATATCATAAAATTACAATTAATAATTCTTATTAGGTAAAATCTCATAAATTAAGAGTATCAAAAATCGTAATATACACACATTAACCTAACATTTCAATAGTTAACTTATCTATGATTTTGCATATACATAATCTTATAAATACATATACCTTATTAGTGAAATCAATTAACTTTACGTGTTTTGTTAGATCAGAATAAAACATTAGATGGGCATTTATTACAATGAATCAATATATGGAAGTATTATAATATAAGACAATTAAGATATCAGATCTAATAAGAAAATTGCTAAAAAGTGGATGAACCCGAGAATGTATGAAGATTAAATGAAAATTGTAATTGGTTGTCAATAAGTTTCATAATTTCTAAAATCTATTGAATAAATAACATAAATATATAAATAATAATTATAGAAATTACAATAAAAAAACAAAAAATTCTCTAAAGAAACTGTTATAAAAAGTGAATTTCAATTTCCTTCTTCGATTGGTTGACCTCCTCTTCGAATCCACCTAACTCTTTTACCATCTTACCATTCTCCTTCTTTTTCAACTTTAGATGAACCTATGTAGATTCCTCTGCCATGTTACTTTCCATTTGACCAATCACCTTTATAAACCTAAAAGTCGTTAAAAATTCATACTCTACCATCAGGCCATTTAAATTCTCCATAACCGTGTTTTTTATCATCCTTATATTAACCTTCATATCTTCTGCCATCCAACCAAGTAAACACCTTTGATTTATATAAATAACCATACCCCTTTGCCATCCATTTTATTATTTTTCCATTCTCCAACGTATTTTCTTCCGTCTTCCCAACTATATTCTCCTTATCCTTAAATATTGTTTTAGTAAAAGTCTCCCACATAAACAGAGCCATCAGCCCATTTGAATGTACCCCTGCCATCCTTCTTTCCATTTTTATACTGCCCTTAGTAACTAGCACCATCAGGCCAGATTTCTTAACCTTCCCCATTCTATCTATCATCTTCCCATTACCCAATATATTGAGCTCCATCCATATGAACATATTTTCCCTAAAATGACATCAAAATCATACTTATCCATGAGCCTTGTCATTTCTCCACTCTCCCTCATAAATATCACCATCAGAATGAATTAATCTTCCTTTTCCACATGCCACATTTTAGTACCAATAGCCTTCATACAAGGAGCCATCCTACCATATTTATTTTCCTCTGCCATGTCTCTATCTAGATACAATAAATGCTAAAACATACCCATTCTTCCATTAGCCTATATAAACACTTCCGTTCTCAAATTCGTAAGGGCCCAAATGTGGTAAGTCTTTGTACTCCTCTTAATCTTGGTCGTAAACAAAATCTTCTAATTTCTCCAAAACCTTTGTATAATTACACTATACTTGTCTAGTTCGATCTGTCAAAAAATCAGGTACCCTTTCAATTTTTCTAACTCTGTCATTTGGAGCATGCTAATTTGCTCCAGCACTTTAGTCTGGACCCTTTGTGTATAAAGCTTCTTTTGCTGTCACAGAGGCCTTCTCTTCCTATTATTGATGACTTTCCATTTTTTTAGGTTCACTGCTTTATTTAATACAATTATCCGAGATTTGTTCTGAGCCTTTTTGACTTTCCTTGATCTTCTTGACCTCTTCCCTTGCCTTGTGTCCTCTTATATGAGCTATTATGATTCCAACCGAATTTACCTTGTATTTTTGTGGCCTTCTCCTTAACTAAATTTTCATCCAACTAATCATCCATTTTTTTATCTAGTTCTTACTATTAACCCTCTCCTACGTTAGTATGTACTTTTTGTTCTCCACACCATCCTTATTATCCACCACAACAACTTCCCATAATCTGTTATGCCGTAATTAATATAAAAATTATCTTAAATTATATAAATTTTGCAACTAAATCATTCTTACTCCACAACTATTTTATCGACTAATTTCAAGATAAAATAAATAAATTTAAACTTGATTTAAAATTAATCAAACTTTTAAAAAATAATTAACATAAAATCCCAAAGAAAAAAAAATAATTAATCAAGATTCAATTATCGCCACTTCGCCTCCCTTCCTTATCCACCTAACACGCTTCCCGTCTATCCACTCTCCTTCCTTTTCAACCTTTGATTTCCCAATATAGATACCGATCCCATGCTGCTTTCCATTCTACCAATATCCTTTGAAGATCTCATATTTATTTCATAAATACTCTCCCATCTGGGTAATACAACACTCCATATCCCTATTTCACACCATTGACATAGTCCCCCTCATACCTTTTGCCGTCACTCCAATAAAAAGTCTATAAAGATAAACAAGGCTACTCACCCCCTTTCCATGCATCTTATTGTTCTTGTACTGCCCGATGTATCTCTTCCCACCTACAATCTTATAGTCTCCCTGACCTTCGAACCTATTCTCCTAAAACTCTCCTTCATAAACCGACCCATCGGCCTCTCTCAAAATCCCCACACCGTTCTTCTATCCATTCTTGTAATCTCCCTCAAAAGTAGCTCCATCTGGCCAGAACTCCTTACCCTTGCCGTGCTATTTGTCATTCTCCCAATGTCCTTGATACTTAGCTCCATTCTGATGAATGTAAGTACCCTACTATTAATACTTAACAATATTACAAAACCATGAACTTTATCATTCTTCCACTCTCCCTCATAAATATCTCCTTGTGCCAACAGCAATCTTCCCTTGCCATGTTAACAATTATTGAACCAATACCCCTCATAATATGAGCCATCAATCCAAAATTGCCTTCCTCTCCCATGTTTTTGACTTGCATAATTCAAAAGCTGATACCAATTATTCCACTGACCTTCGTATATGACATCGCCAATCAACAAGGGTTTGGAGAATGGACACTCAACAAATAAATGATCCTGATCGAAAATGAATGGATCCAACTTATCAAGAACCTTTGATCTAAAGAGCATTAATTACACTTTTTATTTTGTCGGTGAACCTCGAGCTGATATTAACTTCTTTTACATTGAACACTGGTATATGCTGTTAGCCGTCCATATTAAATTTCAAAACATTTTGTTAGTTCTTCACATTTTCCTTTTGATTCGATCTGTATTAATAAATGAAGGTTTCGTCGCATGTCTAGGCCAAGGCCTTGGTCTGCTGTTTCTTCATCTTCTTCCTCACCACATAGCCTCGATAAGATTCTGAATTGATTATTTTGAATACATACTTTAAATTTGTAAAGCCTTGCGATTCAAGAGACCCAAATCAATTTTCGATGGATCCGAGTATGACAAATCGTAGGTTGCTATCTAAAAATTGGCAGTAGTCAAATTATGGCCTCCACAACAATTGCCCATCAATGTATTAAATTTATGTGAATTAAATTATAGTAAATTAATTAAGATGATAAATAATCAATAAGCACACCCCTTAATTGAAAGCCATGATATTTCCTTGCCAATTTGATAGAATACAAAGTAAAAGGGAAAGACTAGTATTACTATTAACAAGATCAGCAATTCCGCAAATAGAATATATATGCATTTGAATAGACTAATATGGAGCAATTCAATACCAAAACTTGGTTTTCAATGATCTGCACAACCTCTTGTTCATCGCACAGAAAGGCTTCGCTATTGACTTACCGGCTGCTTGCATAATCAACTTAACAATCAGCAGAGGACCCCGGAGAATATAAAGAACCAAACGAGGGGCAAAGTAGATCTTCCTCATTTTATCAGGGTTGCTGATCTCCTTTTAAGTTTTGAAACGACCATCAGACCAAACTACTATCAATAAGACAATTTACTGGCGCATCCCTTGAGGGACCAGTACCTGTAATGATACTGGTGATACGGTTATAAGCAAGCCCAGCAGAATTGAAATGAACAATTGCAAGTCATATGGTTACACCCAGCATTTTTTTGAATGTGCGATTTGCACTTGGGACAATACTTAATTAGATATTTTACTAAGGCCTATTTAAAATCGCCTTAAATTGCATCCTAATTGTCTTAAACCAATGATAACTACCTCACACAACATTCCTTGATGGGCAAGTTGTCCGCAATTAAAACAGACCAATGAACCACATTGACATTACACTATTTTGGTTCTTGGATCTTTTTCGATGAAACGATCACAACCTTAAGCTGGACACCATTTTTTAGTAGGATCATTCTCAATTTCATACTTTCTCTTGAAAACCAAATATTATTGGAATTTCTGTTCGTTCACAAGTTATTCAATAATATCTTCTGAGAATATTGTTGTACAACCTTCTTAGAGACAGGTTACGTTATTAATTTTGGCAATCTTGATTTTATTTTCTAAATATTCTTTGTAACAACTCCTTCAAATAAGATAAGTTAATACGTGCAGAACTTATGTTCACATTCTAAGAGCCTGACGATTTTCTCAAAGGATGAACTGCAAATGGGACATGTGTTTTCTTGATCAAATGATTGAATTTATATCTCCTCAGATTGATTATTGTAATCGATGTTCTATTCCGACGACAACTCTGAAGGAGCAACTAAGATGGCTACAGATAATTCTTGATATACAGTGTATTTTTACTTTATCCCTCGTTATTATTATCCTCATTGGAATTCTTTTCAAAGTCTATAAGAGTTACTTATCTCTTGTCATTCTCTTATGCGCCAACAACTGGTGGACTTTCTATCTGAATATAGACATCATCGTTATTGACCGCCTCCTATGTCTTCAATCCTCCTTGTACATCGGAGATCTATAATTAAAAAATCTTCGCTAAATCTAATTTCTTATTAAAGTTCTCGATCAGCCTATCTTTTATGGCTTACTTGTTTTGAGTTTCTTCCAAGTGAGTGTGATATTTTATTGTCTCTCCTAATTCATCCGATTTAGACATTTAAATGACAAAATGATCCCTGGGTTTGAGATTCCGAAAGACCTTCTCAGCATTGTTAGTCATTATTTTCTGGTTTTGCAATTGTTGTTCACTTTTACATCTAGTCAATTTAACATTTCCCATAAATATTTCATTTTTTGGTAACATCTAAAACACTAAATACACTTTAATATTAAATTTGTATTGAAAAATAATATGATCATCTAATTTATCACACAAATATTCTTTTTTCTGATCTTCCTAAACCAAATATTTAGGTCACAATTTCTATCAATTTCTGTTCTTTTCATCATGCATCCACGATAGCTAATAACTAGAATATCTATTTTTATGAATTCATATCTAAAGAACGATTTTAAATGCACTTCTCTAAAATATTTATAACTTTTGTTTAATTTAATATAACAAATATAAAGGGAGTTTTATTACAATAGATTTACGTTTTTGTATCTTCACTAATATTCTAAACACAATTGTGAATTCTAAAGTTTAAATCTAAATAGGACATTAAAAACCTGGTATTCAATTATTAGCATCTCTGCCAATAATGATCTAATAGATATTTGAACTTCTTTTGGTTTTATATTCCTATATCGAATTATCATAGAATTTAATTTCTACTTGTACTCTCCTATTTAAATTTAAGGTATATTTATAGATGCATGGAATCATCATTTATAGTCTACAATTATTTCCAGTGTCTGAATGGTTCAAACTGCTTTTTATTAATTAATCTATAAGTAATAGTGACTATCAGACAGTGTTCATCCCAAATGCCTTTAACTGAATTGCTCTATTGTCCTTCTTTAGAAAATCTAGTAATGCTCCAGCTGACACAAACAATAAATAATATTTTTGGATTTCAAACAGCAGATTACTAATGAATTGAATGTTATTTAATCACATACTTAAGGATTGTAGACTTTCAATCAAAGAGTTCTTGCGCATTTACTAGATGAGACTGTATGAATTTAAAAAATATATTAAAGATTTTAATTTATGGGCAAAAAGGAAAAGGGAAAGCCAAATCCATTGGGGGAAGTGAGCAGAGATTATACTATTAATCTTCATAAGGCTGTTCACAAGGAAACATTCAAGAGAAAGGCTCCTCGTGCAGTCAGTCACATTATTAGATTTGGTATGTGAGTGAAGATTAATAGAACAGCTCAAAAGAATATGTTGACAGAGGATGTTAGAGTTGATCCACAATTGAATGAAGCAGTTTGGAAGACTGGTATCCGCAATTTGCCAAGAAGAATCAGAGTCAGGTATATTCAATTGACTTATCCTATGCAGACTATAGAGAAAGAAGAAGGAAGAAGACGACGGAAAAGGCAAATATTACACTCTTGCTCAGTATGTTCCAGTTGACACATTCGCAAACCTCAAGACAGAGATCACAAAAGTTTAATGATTTACATAATTGTACAATACAATATATTAAATATGTTTCTTAAATAATATATGCAGATTAATAAAATTGTGACTGATTTCATATTAGTTTACTATTATTTATATTGTAAATGAATTAAAATAAGAAAAACAGAGTCTTTTCATTTCAAATCAAAAACACTTCAGGAGTGCTATCTGAAGTGTTCGATAGCTAGTTATCGACAGCCAGATTCCAAGCTTTTGAATAACCTCAAAGTCCATTCAAACCGAACTTCTTTTTCTTGGAGAACGAACAAATCTAATCCCCCAGAATGTCAACCCAAAGATCTCTCTCCAGACTTCACATAAATTCGTTAAGTCCAAAGAACAGCTACATTTATTCAAGGAAGTCAATACTAACACCCCAGTCTATTACTTCTCAGTTAGGAATGTTGTATCATTTTGAAAAGCAATTGGCTGATTGTCTAAAATCCAACTACCAAATAGGTGTCATTGAAAGTAAAATAACCATGTTTCATAAGGTCTGTTTAATTTGATGGTGATTGCAGTTGAACAAGATAACATTGATTTACTGATCACTTTTATGCGTTTATGTGCATTAACCTTTATTTCATTTCAAGAATGGACAAAAGCACTTCTATTTTTCCAGCATTGTAAATTTCTAAGCGAATTCACTCGCCAACTAGATGTGATCTAATGGACTTTCCTCCAAATAGGAATTCTATGCAAATACATCAAAAAATACGATATCGGAAAAATATTCATCAAAAAAGTAATTATAAATATGATAATGCTAAGTCCTTGGAATATTCTTGGCTAGTAAAGGATTTGGATTAGGAGATTATTTGCTATGAAGAGTTAGGCAAATTGTGTTTTCTTAATTATGAATTATAGACAGCCAAGTCATTGCATGAGAAGAGCATGAAGGGAAACTACGAGAAGGAACAGTCCTCTTTAAGATAGGTATCCAAAAAAGGAATGGAACAGATCTTAAACATGTTTCCACAACAAGAAAAGAAACTAGGCCTACATATATTCTCCAAGGCTGTTAATTTTCCATTGAAATTTGTCTAATGTTAAAATTAGTAATATTTCTCAAAAAGATCAGTAAAAAATTAGTATTTGATATCCAATGATTTTGAGTGTGTACCCAATCAAAGGATCATTGAAATTGATCTTACTCTCGAAGACATGTTACAATCGTTTTTGAAGGGTGTTAACTTTTCATTTGAAATTCCAACTCCAATATCAGTAACTGAAGAGTATGAAAGCATCGCTGAATACAATTAAATGCCTTCAATATAGAAAATGAAATAAACACAATTGGCCACCATAATTAAATTGCACTCCCAAAAAGCAAGTACCACTCAGAGAAGAGCTCCTATTGTCAGATTGGATTAATTTCAATAGAAGCTTCCACTTGAACAAATTATTAAATAACGATTGGAAATGAAATTTGACAACTCTTATACGAACAGAGAAAAAATTAGAAATCGAAAATTCGCCAACAACTTAGAGTAAATCAGGTTGACTCATGAGAAGAATGGGATCGCTCTCAGCTTGGAGTACTAAAAGAGGGAACTAATCAGATATGCTAAAAAATTACTAAATTAATAATAAATTACTTTCATATGATTTTTTATAATTAATATGTTCAGAAATCTTCGACATTAGTACCAAAATGATCTGGATTAACACTTTCTGAAACAATTTAATAAGTCCACTATCAATCTAAGATGCGAAAACCAGAAATCTCCTTTTGCAATCAGAAAACACTTGTCCAAAGTTAATATAGCATTTTAATCCAAATTAAACGAGTTCTCTCAATTCAACGATAAGATATCCAAATTCTCAAAGTACTCATCCCATCAATAATATAGAATTAAATATTATGTAAGATCGAGAAGTTCCTAAAACACCCAGGAAGGCCATCTCAATCAAAGGGATTAGCAAATTCTCCTATCCCTGCCTTTTCATTCTATCAAAATGCATCAGAGAGAAGGCATTACAAAACTATGGAGAAAACACATATTCCTCGTCATATTCCTATTGAGGTACAAAAAGGATCAATCAGAACAATTCAAATTAAATCTATAGACTCGCCATCTCTAATTAGGAACTCCTAAGATTCCCATAGATACTACGAGGAAAAGAAGGAGAAATGCTGGCAGTTAATTCAAATTATCTACTTTTGCTGAATACATAGATGCACAAGACAATAAGCAAGAATCCAAAACAAAAAGATCGGAAGATGAAAAATTTAAAAAAAGCCCAGTCTATTAATCGTTTAAATACAATGATATAAGAATTTGCAGATTGCTCAGATTACGTAATAATAGTGTTCGAACATCAAATGCAGAATCCCCGTTGAAAATCAACTAATAAGTAGCTAAGAGCAATAAATTGCCTCCTTTATTGTAAATCGACAGAAGAATGTAAAGAGTTTATTCGAATTTCGCTAAGTGAACAAATCATATTTTTATATTGTTTACATATTTTATTTATTCAATTAAAATAAATGAATATTTGAAAATTTAATCTCAATAATTATCGCACATATATTCTGAATCATAAAATATATCATAAAATAGTTCTATCCATTAGATGTACATCTCCAACTCTCAAAATCATTCAAATAACTTGGAAATCAATAAATCAATATTAATTCTCCTTTAAAAATTTAAAATTAATAACACAGAACGAGTTAAGATTTCTAATATTGAATAATTTCATATTTAAACTTGATCCCATGTTATATTACTAACTTAAATTATTTTTGCAATAAATTTATTTATTATTTCAAGATGCTTTATGATAACGATTTAAGAAAATCTCTTATTAATAAGGTTGTCGATTAACTTCATAATGCTTAAATTGAAGCCGAAAAGGTAAACTTAATGAAAGAACTATATAGTTAGCAGACTTTAAAATCGATTTCAATCAACTAAATAAGAGATTAATAGAATTTTCACAAGAAGTAATTGAACTTTGGAGAAAGAATTATTCTTAACGAGAGTACGGGTTGTACAAAGAGAGGTTGCAGTAATTGATTGGAATGCATAAACATTAAGTATCGAAAGCGGCTGATTAGTCGAGATCAAGAAATACAACTAAGAAATTAAGCAAACCTTCTAGTGAAAATGAAATCAGTAGTTAAACTAAAGTTAAATATCAAAGTGGACAGGAATAAATTTCTACTCCATAATAAATGCAAATATTAAAAGAGGATGACTTTTCTGATATTTCATTCGCCTCTTTGACAAGCAGTAATTCGGAGACAATACAAGAAATCATAGAACATTCAGAAAAAAATGTTCAAGGTTTCTGTTAGGTTCATAATTGTAGAGAATTAAAGATCATAAGGGAAATCTTCAGATAAAAAATAGATATCAATGAATTATAGATGGCATTAGAAGAGATCACCTCATTAAAGTCATAAATTAGAATGAAATTGCAGAAGGAAAATCAAAAGATTTAGGTTATGCATGAGAGACTGATTGAGGGATAAAATAAACTCAAACGAATGGAAGAATATGAAAAAGACTAATCAAAAATGATAATGTTGAAAAAAATTGCATTAAACCTAGAGTGATGATTTTGTTATTTCTATAGTTTTATCTTATAATTCAATTTAATTCAAATGTGTAAACATAACAGTAGAGGCAAATCCAAATTGTATAAAATGAAGAAATATAAATCTGGTAAATAAAAGTCAAAAAATAGATGATGAGTATAATGAAAGCTTCCTTGAGTATTTATGAAGAAGCATCAAGATCATTTGAAGAATCATAGAGAAAGAAAAACAACATTTTATTGTTAAATCAGTGAATAGTTCTTTACTAAGTAATCTAAAGGTAGTTTATTTAAGGAACATATAACTTAAGAAGATTACAAAATAAAGCATTAAATTTGCTTGTAAATATTTTGAATTCTATTTCATTTAATTAAACTCTAATATTAGAATCTAGGTAATTCGAATGATTGGTCGTACTTTATTCTATAATCAAAGGACTAGATTTTTTTAGGATTGCTTTTTCATTGAGAATCAATTTTAACCAATTAAAGTAGATACATATTATTTCATTATTTAATTAATAAACAGATAAATTCATGCATAACAATGCAAAAATGCTTTGACATGTCCTTCTCCAATCCCAGATCCATATGAATTGGGATATATTCCTGCAATTTCTAGAAATGAATGATCTTTTGTTTACCCATTCATGATTTCCAGCATTTATTTCTTGGAAAGCCATTTATAATCATCGACTTCATTTTCTTCCATTTTAATGGTAACATTTTGATAAGATTGATTGATTTTCACTTCGTAAAACATACACAATGTTTATTTGATGGGATATTAATTATCTTCTAGTTTGGTTGGATAAATGGATTCATACATTACTTTTAATTCCATTTTACTAAGAATTGGCAATACATCCAATCCAGTTTCTTCTTGGACTTCTCTGAGACATTCACTTTCTAAGTTTTATTGCCCTTCTACCATTCCTCCAGGAAAGACCCAGCTCTTTGGGAATGTCTTCATCTAAGAATGTCTTCTTGTTAATAAAAAATTATAATCTCTATCACATAACATAGCTACTGTAGCTAATTTTATTTTAGAGTAATTTTAATCCAAGGGTTTGAGATCTTTGTTTTGACAGGGACAACAATTAGAGTGAAGCAGATGTATTTGAGACCAGCCCTGTTCTTATAAACTGAGATTCAATTATGCTTCATGTTATCTGTATTGATAACTAATTAGATTATTGTCAAAGAGATCCAGCATACATTTCCCTGCATAGAGAGTCTTACCTCTGAGAATATCAACACCATAAGACATTTATAATTTAAGAAGCTACCTCATCCAATGTTTAAAATTAAAATATAGAAAACTAAATTATAAAGCAACTATTTTAAATGAAAAACTCACAGTAAATGAAGATTGATGAATAAAAGATACAAATCGATGGCATTTGTGAATTAACGAATTTATGTGTTATAAAAGAATGAATGGAAAATATCCATTCTGAGTTTTTAATTTACTAGATTAAATGTACATGATTTTATAATATGTGTTTTTCAATAACCCAACTTCTCCAACTCCTAATTGATTGAAGTAAGTTCCTTAGCTCCGATGGCTTTTCTTCTGAGATTTTCTCTGGCAACCTTTCTCTTATAATAGGCAGCACCTCTAAATGAAGTGTTAAAATGCACGATACCTTTGCTTTCTCTTCTCTTCAAGTCTGTTAACAACAGATTATGAATTCCATCCAACTGATGCACATAAGTCACCCAAAGTGCAAAAAGGTCTGTGATTCTTGAGTCTGATCAATTTGATAGCATCTGGAATGACTTGTCTCTTTCTGGTATCATAGGGAGGTGGCACTCCTTCAAAGATCTTTAATCTCTCCAATGCAGCTGCTCCTCTCTTTGATTTATATTGAAGCATGCCTCTGACAACTTTCCAAAAACATCTGGAAGGTGTTCTGTAATGTTTGTATCCTCTTCTTGGATTGAATGCCATTCTCTTATTAAGGTATTCCTCAAAAATGACTCTGTTTCTGAAAAGAGAACCTACAATGATGATAAGTGGATACCAGATTATTAAATCAACTCAGTTCTGACGACAACGATTCTTTAACCTCTTTACAACTCCTTAGCAATGTATGAGGCTAAACGGCCAAGTAAATGTCCTTTGCCATCGATTACGATTTCTTTTTCGAACATTAAATTTTAAATAAATTTTCAAATCATTTCATCCACACATTACTTTATTTGTTTAGTACACCAATCCTAATTTGTCTGATCTCAAAATGTGGGTTATCCCTCATCTAGTTAATCAGAAACCATTTGCCAATTTTATATTACTAAATCATCGGATAACCATTCCTATGAGTACATATAAATTTATCCGAAATTATTCCCCTTCTATTCTGAATAATGATTAGGCTGCTTTGTTTAAAAATTAATGAATTTATTATCTTATCAATCCAATTAATGTAAGTTCCTAAAAATATAAATATCTATGTATTGTATCTAAACACATTATTGTAACCCTATTAAATTCAAATACCTTTAGCTCTAATCAAGGTTAACCTAATTAACTCTTTTGTCTATACCTCATACCTGATTTAATCCTTGCATAAGGTTAGGTTTATTTTATATCTCAACGTCTCACCTGAACACTTTTCTTGTTCCTAAAAAATAATCTTAAAGAGTTTGACAATCATTAGTCATAGTTTTAATGTAATAATTAATTCTAGAGATAATTTTAGAAGATTCTCATCATTTTGATATCAATGTAATCATTTGGTTAGACCCTTTAGATATAAATTAGTGAATTGAATGAGAAATAATAAATTAAATAATAGATAGATTTCTAATTCAAATAATAGATAGAAGTAATAAGAAAATATAGAAATTGCAATAACTACTTATTCTATTATTTGATAAATAAATCTTACAAAAAGGAGAAAGTCAACAATAGTCCTTAATATACAGGTTATTTTATATAGAATGGTCTTAGAATTTGTTGTAATTTGAAAAGAGAAGTTTTATACAACCTAAAAATGATTTACTGTTTGATCTTAAGTAGTCTATCAAAACCTAAGGAGTATGGATAAACAAAAGAAAACGAAGGAGTCTTTATACTAATTTCACTAATTATTAATAATTGATATAAATAACATTATATCTTTATGGACAGATCTTCTGTTAATCGTTCTCCATTGAACACTAGCAAGAGCAAGTAAATGTACACCTTCTCAAAAGCCAAACGTTGGGTGGATGTGAAGGACAGTGTGTAAATGATAATCTGTATAAAATCCTTTAGTTGTACTCCTATATATTAGTTGCCAACTACTTTAAGTAAAAGAGCTGCAGGCATTGGGTATGGCAAGAAAATGAATATCACTCAAGATAACAATACTCCTGCTCCTAACTTTTACACTGTTCAAAGAAGCTAAGAACATGGAAGGACGATGGCTTTAGGCAGAGATGTATATATGCACTTCTTATTTAAATAGCATGCAAATAAATATGAGAGCATCTTTTTAGGACTAATCTAAAATACTCCAGGACCTGGAACTTACAAATTCAGAGATTCAATATCTTCTGTACGTTACAGTATGAGATAGAGAGTGTCAAGTCGGAAAGACATAGAAAGAAAACCTGGACCGTATGGGTAATCATATATTTTAGAGGCCACTACAATCTACCAAGCAGCATTAATAGCACTGGGGTTTATGCTCTTAGTTAATACAGAAAGTATTATGAGAATTATATTTATTACAAAGTTCTGGGGCTATTGTTTTGTCACCTCCAAAATCGCATTCGGAAAGAAAAGCGAGAGAAACAACGCCAGGCCCTGGAGCTTATAGAGAGATTGGCAATTTTGATCCTATGGGAACATACTTCTGCTCTAAGTTTAGTGCAAGTAAATGCAACAAATTTCCAAGAGCGCAACGCACTATGTCTGAATATCGGGATCGTTCCCCAGGGCCTGGATCATATAAATTACCCTCTGAATTTGGGTTTTGATTAATTTTTATTATACAAATTTAATTTATCCCTTGTGAATTCAGATTCACTATGCATACAACTTAGATCCTCAGATTCTATTTCAATAATGCTGTTTATTTATTTATGAAAAACGAAACATATACCAAATCAATATGTGAAGATATTTATAATAAGATTTTATGTATATAAATTTGTATAAACAATAATGAACAATGTTAATATATTGTTTTTCGAAGGATTAAATACTCTAATCTATCTAATTTTTACTTATTCATTCTTAAACTCTGGTTCAGATCAAGAAAAATATTAAAATCATTTTTGCCATAAATTTGATTGGCCACATTAAATTCGATTTTTATCAATTAATTTATTAACCCAACTCTTCCCTCAACTCTTTATGTAAAAATAAGCAATATATAATGCGATAGTAACACTAATTTTATTTAAACTTTCTACATTTGTTTTAAGTAATAGATTCTCTACTATAACAATATTAATAATTTTGAATAGCCATCTTATTGAGTGACATTGATAAAGCCTGTATTCTAGAGTATTATGAATTGTATTAGTCAAGTATTTTTAAATAGAATTATTTTCATCTCTAAAAAAAAGAGTTTAAATCATGATTTTCCATTCACTAAGTTTCAATTAAATTTGAGCTCTTGATTAGACTCTGATAAGTTTAGCAATAAGAAAGTAGAAATTTCGATGCTTTGAAATTTAAGAAATTTGAAGAAACAACCTTATACTTTAAATATTGAATGGATTATATAAAAAAATAAAATTCTCTTATACCAAAACAGGCCTCAATCTATTTACTTATTGAACACTCATTATAATATACAATTACTTTAACAAGGCTACAAACTACATCAAAAAATAAATTTATCCAAGATGCATCATAACAAAAACAATTTAAATTGTTATTACATTAACTCTACTAATCTGGGAATGATTTGAAATTAGAATACTACTGATTTACAAATGGCAGATTATTGCTTGTAGCATATTGAGATAAATGCTCTGTTTCTCAAATATACTTAAACGAAGTACAATTAATGCAGGTTAGTAAAAATACCAATTAGAAAAACCTATTGAAAATATATTTTGAGTATCTGCAGATTCAATTAGTTGATTATGCGAATGATTTCCAAAAAAATGAATCTAAAAGAATAGCAGTAATTTAATTAAGAGCGATTATTGATTATTGATCACAAAATTATATAAATATTGTTATATATAAAAATTATCAATTAAAAAAAATTTGAATTTGAGTTGTTTAATAATTAATTTGAAATGTAGTTCTAGACAATTAAAAAGGAATCTTAAGGAGGTCCGAGATCATCTCCTAAGCATGAAAGTTACATTGCAAAAATATTCAACTATAATACAATTCAAAAATCAGGAATTTTAAAGAAGGAATTGCCAATATAAGACCATTAATTATGTAATTAGGTATTTATAGGTTAGTTATTTTATGATTACAAAATCCCTTTAGTCTTTGAAATTATAGGAATCTCCAATTCAGAAAAGCTAGGGTGATCAAACCAAAAAAAAGAAGGTCAATCGTGTTGTTTTTAAAACTGAAATAGACGAGAATAATAACCTTTAAGTTGGTTTTCAAACATAACGAAAGAGTTACGATTGCGTTACTGTAGAGAACTAAATCAATAGTTACAATTTGATTTCTAGCATGTTCGAATTAGAATCCAAAAACATGGATCTTTATATGGATCTTAAGGATAAAACTACTCAAATTAAATTAATGCAAACATAAATTGAATAATAAAAAATTCACCATTAATCATAAATTAGAGAATTTAGCTTAGAAAAGTAGGAACTTCTCTTAAAGTAAATTGTGTTACAATATCTAGAATTTAGAATCTTGAAAAATAATCTGAATTGCAACAGAGATATATTTAATAACTACCTCAATTTGAAGTTGAAGCTCAAGAATGGAAAATTAGATTCCTCAAATTGAATAAATAATTCCATCTATAGTAGGAGACTTTGGTCAGATTAGAAGCTGAATAGTAGAGCAGTCAAAGAAGACGTATTGATGGATTCAATTATTTTAATTAAATTATATGAAAGAATTAGTTCTCAGATTTTAACAGTAACCTCACACTATTTAAACCCTAAAGCTAACAATTATTGTAATTTATTTTATCAAACATTCATTATTTTTTCTTTCCAACTAATTATATGAGATGTAAAAAGACTTAGATCCTTATAAGAGTCGCCCATCATCCCCTTTTAACTACTCACCATTAGCAGTGATCAAAAGAGATTCATATTTCTAAGACTACAATGAAAGTGCTGAGATGAGAGAAATTTGGGAAGATTAGGAAAAATTTTAACATGAATACGACGATATGGTAGACATAATTGGAAATGGTTAAGAAGAGTACAAGAAAAAATTTTTAAATGAAATTGATGTTCCTTATGATCCAGTTGGACCATCAGAATAAAAGGAAAATACTAAAATTCCTCCTGAAAAACCAGAACTTAAGCCTATAAAATTTAAGGACAAAAGTTATTGCAGATATATCCTCTTATATATGTTTCGAACAATAGAAAATAAATAATTTGCTGGAATCATTAGAGATATATGTAGTGATTTTTCGGTTAACTACGATACCTTCGTAGAATACTATAGATAGTAGAGAATATTGATAATGGGTTACAAAGCATTAAAAACAGAATTAATCTACGAAAACCAACCTCTAACTATTTAAAACCGCAAAAAGGCATTTAAGTAGGTTCTCGTTTGGTACTTGGATAGATTAGCTACTAAACATATCTTATCAAGTAAAAAGTAAAACTTCAAGGAGTATCTCAAGTTTAAAAATTATGTCATGAGTTATTATATACACAATCCAAAAAGTTGGACAGGAAATAAGCCATTATGGAAAGCTAATGAAAATTGAGTTATAGAACATTAGAAGTGTACAAATGTAGAAGAGTAAAAATGTAGAATAATTTTATGATGTATTAATTCAAATCAAAACTATATTTAAAAATAATATATTAAACTTATGCCATCCTATAAATTAATCTCATGTATACATACACAATGAATGAAATAATAATAATGAAAAATCATCAGTTTTAATTGGAATTTGTGTGAGATGACTTTCATAATTTTAATAAATCTTTAAAAATGAAGCTCCAAACAAATTAAATTTGCATCCTCCTCCTTATTTTCATGTTGCAAAAGGAAATAATAGGTCAAGTTTTAGTGGATATGAAGAATGGACATTGTGATTGTGAGGAGTTGGAAAATGAATTAGAATGCGTAATTATATAGAAATGCAAATTTGAGAATGGGAAATGCAAATCTCTTTCTTGTGATAGTTTATAAGGGAGTTTATTAGCGGGTTGTTATCTAGCAAAAGGATAGGGATGCATACTTAACTTTTTAGAAGGAAAATGCACTTAATTTAAAGGCTGTTCCTCTTACGAATACAAAACTCAAAATGAATGCAACTTGCTTCCTACTAAATGTTATTATGATTCAGAACTCAAAAGGTGTGAAGATTAAACTTAGCTTCCCAGCTGCTCTGAGCAACTATAATCGGAGTGTTTTCATGGAAAGGAAGGAATTTGTGTTTTTAAAGATGGAAAATGCTAAGAGTTTACTAAATGTGAAGATGTAGAAAAGTCAGATAAAAGATGCTAAGAAGCATATCCATCATGCAATTATATTAGTTTCAATCTTTGTAGAAATTAGATTGGAGGTTGTAATTAAGGCTCATAAAGTAGTTGCCCTAATATGAGAGAAACAATTAATGGTGAGAATTTCTTTCTTTGCGAAAGAAAAATTGTAGATGGATAATAAGCATGCGTCGATTGGGATCCATAAGAGCAAACTATGGATTCCTGCCTTTTTGAATCTTAATTTACACATCATTGGAAGGACGATCAATGCGTGAAATGTTAACCATCTAATCATAATTCCAGCTTACGACTAGAAATAGTGATTATGCTTTTGACGCTAGCATTTTGAAATTAATATTATTAATTGAAATAACATATTACTTATTTCTTCAATAGTGGTTGGTACCACTACTTAATACTTCTACTAAGTGGTAGTAGATTGAGATCAATACAACTTGTCGGAAAAAGGTAGACTAATTTTATATATTTATATTATTTTCTCACAGTTCCAAAACTCTAATAAATAATTTATATCCTTTAAATTAGTATAAGATATTTTTCAACTAGATAAATCAATTTAGATGAAGATAATTTAAATGTATTATATTTCGATAATTGCATTTGAACTTGATTATTCATTTTAATTTATTCACTTAGATTAGTTGGTTTCTGAATTGCAAGCATGATTGTTTGACACACCACAAAATCATGAATTTTTCTTTTGAAATAGTGTTTTATATTGATTCAAAATCTTTACCTTTTAGCGTTAATTTGAATTTAAACCAAAAAATTTTGCTTAAATGCATATTGAACACATTTAATAAATTTATTCAAATACTAGATTTTACCTGCTATCAAAAAAGGTTAAATATAGTAGATGTAAAGTGTTTACTCTGAAAAATAGTTTGATACCAATTTTTAATCTTTTAAAAGTAGAATGCAGATAATGGACCTCATATATCAAGAAAATAAATATCCATTAAGATCTTTTACTTTAGCTACTTTAGATTGTTTTCTTATTATGATGATTAATAGGAACTACTCTCAGTTTTGGTTTAAAATAGATATATGAATTACTATTATTATAAAAATAAATTACTATACAATTGATATTTTTAATAAATACCCAAAATTGTATGATATAAATCAATCGTATTAAAATCTTAAAACGAACCCCTACCCTGTGTTTGAAAGTGGAAGTAAATATATTTTATTCTGCTGAAAAAACTGAATCAACCATAAAATATTAGGACTTAGACATAAATATTAAAAATAAAGTAGACAAAAGAACCACTTTATAATAAATATTTCTTTTGTATATATTCTTTAATCTAACAGTTTTATCGATATTCAACTTACAGACAGATTAATGTAAAGTCCTATTTTTGGAATCTAGTTATATTGGTCTCGATTTTCCATTTAACTATCAGCTTTATAAGCTTTTCTGTGATTTTAAGGGATAAAAATATCTTTGAATGATTAAATCAATTATGGTATCATAGAATTTAAAAATAATTTTATATCTATTTTCATAATTATGGTTACTAGACTCCAAGCGTCATTGAGTATTCCAAAGCAAATCGATATGATCACAACATAATTAGATTGAAGAAGGAAGAAAATTAAAATTATTTATGATAATGAAATATTATTAAAATGAACTAAGAGCTTCTTCTTAAATTTTTTAATGACGAACCATTTAAATCTGAACGTATGTGTGGATTAACAAATTTCGTCTATAAGGTTTCCACAGCCAAGGAATCGGTAATTTATAGACGTTATACTTCTACGTTTCGACTGTTCTAAAATCGAGAAAGAGAGGTGAGGTTTTAACAAGAACTTGCATAATTGGAATTGGCACCAAAAGTGTTATATTCTGATAAATTCTAAAGGATAGAGGAATATTGGCCCTACTCTCCTGTGACACTATCCGAAATAAAAGAGGATTACATAGAGGTGGCAAGGATGCTTGGTTCATTCCACAAATTGAGAAATAGAAATTCGTTTGTCGAAATATTTGATACTCCTTCTATTCATTAGTGGTTGCACAATGTTAATTTAAGAGATGAGATTTTCGACGTAATTGCAGATTGCAATTGTTAAAAATTATATTCAACATTTGAGTAAGTTTTCTCAGATCAAAACTAAACTTTTATTTTGGGATTGTTCAAGGATCCCTCCTTCAGCGAATTGCCATTGGTGATTGCACATAACGATTTGAATGCAACTAATTTCCTAAAGGACAAAAGATTGATGAAATACCACCTGATTGATTTTGAATTTGCAGGGCTGAATTATCCAGGCTATGAATTGGCTAACTTTTTTAATGAGATGGAATGGGACTACACATTTTCAGAGCCTCCCTATTTTAAAATTAAGGAGGGATGGCAAGAGGATCTAAAATTAAATTTTATATAGGAGTATTGGAAAGAATATGCAAATTCTAATGAGATCCCCAAGGCATTATTGAGACAAATAGAAATAGGAGGAATATTGTAAAATTATTTTTGGATGTTGATTGGTGGTCTTTCTATGAAACAGGAATAACAGGGAATAGATTTGGTCTATTATGTAAACAGAAGGATGACTAATTTTAATAAGGTTTTGAATTTAACGCAATGATTATTATGCTCTAAAATATTTTAGCAATATTGTTATTGTAAAAAAAAAGTTTTATTATAAGTGACAATTATAGAGGATTTTATTAATTTAAATTATTTGAATCGTCTTATAATTATTTTATTAAACTATTATTGCTTAAAGGTTGTCAACAGGTTTATTGAGATAAATTCCTATAAATAGTAGCCTACCCATTAGAGATTACGAGTCGACTCATATAGATATTTGGAGATTCTATTTTTTGGGATACCAAATTGGTTAGGTTAATCAAAATACGCTGCTATATATAATTGATGATTTCTATGTTAGATATACTAAATAAATTTAAATTTTTTATTAATGATAAGTGACGATTTAACTCTAGAAAAAATAGATTTCGAATGGGTAAATAGTCAAACAAAAGTTGCTCCACTTAAAAAGGCTTTAAAACTCTTGGAATTAGATGGGAATTATTACACTGATTTGATCAAAGCTGTGGAGGAAAAATTGGTTTCCATCGATCCAAAATATACTAAGAGTATATTTGATTCCTATTTTAGCATCCGAAGTTGTAATTGACCCAGTGGTAAAGAAGCAAGCCTAAATAGATGTTGAGAAATGGGCTGAGAATCCCACTTTGGAAAAAAATAAGCGATTGGCTGAGTAGGAGAAAAACAAGGGGAATGAAGCCTTGAAATCAAATGATTTTAAAGAAGCTATCAATTATTATACTTAGTCAATTCAATTTGATAGACAAATGGCTCCTTCATATTGTAATAGAGCACTCGTTTATTTGAAACTTAAGGATTATTAGAATGTGATCACTGATTGTGACTATGCTATTGCACTACAACCTGATTACACTAAGGCTTATCACAGAAGAGGGAAGGCCTACTTTGCCCTTAAGCAATACGACAAGGCATACCTAGATTTTAAATTTATTCTTCAAGTAGAACCAGACAACAACGAAGTAAATGGAGAATTGAGAGAATGCAGAAAGTTTTTAACAGAACAATAAATCAATTCAGCAGAAAGTAAAAGTGTGTATCTACTTTAGACAAATAGTTTATAGAAAAATAGGGCGGATTCAAGAAGGTGCAAATAGTAGAAGAAGATGAGGAAGAGGAAGAAATTCCAATTTCTAAACAAAAACAACCTGACTTCAGTAAGGAATACGATGAGATTATGAGCAAAAAGAATGAAATCACAAATAGAATACAAAAAGGAGCTTATTCATAATCAATTGTTGAATTGATAGAATTATTAAAGGAAAATCAAAAGTATATTGACTAACACAGATTTGTTGAATTAAGAGCAGTCTTATTAAGTAACTTAGCTTATTGTCACTTACAATTATAAGAGTATCAAAAAGTGATTGAATATTGTGGAAACATTTTAGAAGATAATATTGCATGGGATATAAAGACAAAGGCATACCTGAGAAGAGGAATGGCATATGAAAGATTGGATAAGGTTGTTTTGAGCAAGTTGGATTTCCTAAGAGTCAAAGATCTTGATCCTGGAAATCAATAAGCCTCATAAGCACTCCATAGACTGTCAAAGATTATGAGTTAAGAAGAAAATAACAAAGCAGCTAAAATCAGAGAAGAAGAACAAAATAAACAAGAAATTGGTTAGTAATCTAGAAAGGTTGAATAGCCAATTCAAAAAAAGAAAGAAGAACCTCAGAGTAATTAATAATAACCAGTCACAACAAAGAAACCAATTCAAGAAGTTGATGAGGGATAAAAATTATAATTATCTGATGCTGAAATCTCAATCTAACTTGGAAAATTGAAGGAGTAAGGAAACGGTCACTATAAGGCTTAAGAAATAGAGAAGGCTATATAAGTGTGGGGTGAAGGAATCAAGTTTTACGAAGCAAATCCAGCTCCTTCTTAGATTCACCTTTATTACTAATTATTAACAAATTCTTGCTTATGTTTGAGTCAATTAAATTCTAATAACCAAGTAATTGAATTAGCAAGTAAGGTACTTGTTAAAGATTAAAACAATCAAAAAGCTTTGTATAGGAGAGGTGTTGCTTATGCAACATTAGCTTAAGCTTCCCAGAAGTTGGAAGAATAAAACGAGTTATTTGAAAATGGAAGAAAGGATTTAGAGAGACTTGTTTATTTGGATTCAGAAAATAAGCAGGCAAAAGAAAAATTATTGGAGGTTTAAAAATAACATGCAGAATGCAGAGTAAAATTAAAAAAGAATCAAGAATCATAACCAAGATAAGATAAGAAAGATGAATAAAACAATTCATAATAAGAGAAAACAGAATAATAATAAGCGAAAGGCTAGTAACCTAAATAGAAGAGTGTTAATTAATAATAGATAGATTAAATCGGATAAAATTTAACAGTTAATGTGATTTAAGATTTATTGAATAAGAAACAATTGCCAGAAACTGCAACCATATTTGAGAAGAACATGAATACATTCAAGAAGGCAACTCCTTCTTAAATCATTGACTATGTATTTTAAGTTGATAATCTTTAATAATTGTATTCCAAAAAAGATTTGCCTACAGACATCTTATTCTTAATCATAAATGCAGGATTAGCATTAAAATAAGATAATAGTTACAATGAAAAATTGACAAGTATTTTTTTATCTTAAATTTAGCTATTCTAAGAGATCGTCTACCAAAAACTCACAAATTTGATTTATGTGTAAATATGTTTACAAAAAAAGAGAAAGCATTAATAAAAGAATTATTAGAGTGTCATTCACTTAATGACTTGTTTAGTATATATTAAATAAAGTGATAAATGATATATGGTTTATTTGCAATAATATTCATTTAGTTCAAACTTATTCCAAGTATTCAATTACTTATACAATACTGATTCTAGCATTCTCTGTTTTAGCAAGCATCATCGTAATCAATTTCTTCATGTTCTCTGATATTTAAACATCATTTGGGAACTGAACATTCTCATTTTAGATCATTAATTGTAAGTATTGCACTTTTTCATGATAATAAGGAGTTCTCCCGCAAAGCATTTCATAAAATATGCATCCAAGCGACCAAACATCAGACTTTATTGAATACTACTCTTGTCCTATGACCTAAAGATACTGTGCATATTGTACCTGAGGACTCATATACAAAGGTGTTCCGATCCAAGGAGTGTTATCGTTTGCGATTTCCTTGATCTATTCCTCCATGGCTTTAGATAAACCAAAATCAGCAATTTTAATGACATTGTCTTGGAGCAGGACATTTGATGGTTTTAAGTCTCTGTGAATGACGTTTTTTTCGTAAAGATATCCACAACCTAATTTATAACATATCTATTATACCTAAAGCCAATTATTTAAAATAAGGCAAGGCATCGGCCTGGCTTAGTCTTTTTCTATTTTGAATCAGCTTTTCCAAGGTTCCACCTGAGCAGTATTCCATAAAAAAGTAGATATTGTTCGGACTTTCGACTAAATCTTCAAATTTGACTATATGAGGATGTGCTATATAAAATAATAAATATCAATTTACACATTTTGCTTGTATTATCAACTTCATTCTATAACCTTTCTGTTATTTTTTGTTTTTTTCTTTCTGCCACCTCCCTATTCTCAATTTGATTGAGTTGATGAACAATTTATTCCTTGGAAATAACCTAATTGTTTGGAAATGATAATAACTTTGCAAGCCAGGTATTGCTGAGTTTGTATGTTCCTCGCCAAATAAGTCTTAGCATATTGACCTTATCCCAAGACCCTCACAAGAATTTCATACTTTTTCTTTCCAACAATTTTATGGACCTCGTAATTCTGATTTTGAATCATTTTATTAAATATATCTATTATGAAATTAATTAGCAATTATTCTGATGCTTTATTTGTCAGATATTCTAAGAGGATATACGTAAATGTTTAATAAAAAATGAACATGTGTCTAATTTTTCGTTTTTAAACATGTTTAAATTTGTAGAATTAACATCGAATGAAAAATAATTAAAATAATTTACACAACCTCCATCAATACTTACTATTTTTACTTTTTGAATTCATAATTAATTATTGCATGAATCCTATAAGATTGTGATCTAACGGATGTAAACATACTTTAAATTAAATTATAAAGAATGATTGATTTCTTCTATTATCATATAGCAATAATAGAAGGAAAATCATCTCATAAACTTCTAAATATTATATTAATTAGAACAAATCTTCATTATTAAGCTTCAGATCCAAGCGTTCTTTTTGTACTTAAGATATAATGAGTATTTGTTAATATATTTATATTTTATTGAATTCAAAAGTAAATGAGCACAGATAAACTTATAAATTAGCAATGTTATTTCACTAGAAGACTGAAAATGATAAAGAAAAATAATGGATAAAAGACATCTGAATATTATGTCTCTAAATCAGTAAAATTAATTTGCAGATTGATTAAGAAAAAGAATATATTAATCTAATAAGTGATGTCAAAGTTCCTCTTATGATTCCTGATAATATGCTTCAGAATTTCAAATTCAATTTTTTTAATGAAGAAAAACGCTATTAGGGGTAATAATTCGATATTAAATTAAAAATTACAGAGAATTATAAATTTTAGAATTAATTTTTTCATAATATTACCCATTCAATAATACAAAATGGTTTTCCTTATTATCTCTATTGATGTATGATATTGGATACCCATTTAAACTTACTATTCCTACTATTTATCATTCTTAACAGAAATTAATATAATACACAGCATTAAGTTGTAAAATAAATAATTCTTATTTAATCTACTCGAGTTGATAAATTTTATTAATTTTCCTCAATTAATACTGTTATTTTATCTGAATTTAATTAGAGGATAAACAGAAAAATAATTTGAATAAATAAGTTCAGTATTGACTTAACTTGAAATTTAACTGAATTCAGAAATTGCTTAGTAGATGAAAGATGACTTTGGTTAGAATAGAATATTGATAAAATATACGATAGAGAATAAAGAATATCAACTATAGTGCTGTCATTTTGAAAAACAAATCTTAAGTTTAGAGGTAGGGGATAAAATACTTATTACATTATCAGAATCCTATTATAGTGGTAATTATTTAAATGGCTGAATAACATAATATGAAACAAGAGGATATTAGTGTATGCAAGAAAAGATCAAAAAAGTAAATTTAGATAGATAAGAGCATCATTTCCCAACTAAAATAGAATTGATTGAAAATTATTATTTATTCTTCAATTAAAAAATATATTGATATTTAAATGATCGGTATTTGTTTAACACATTTTGTAAATTCAGATAGTTTTAAGGTAATCATTCAATGATCAATGCCTATCCTGATTGAATTGATATTTCTGTAGAGTTTTCATCGATTTGCACCCATTATTATCCTTCATTATTTAGGACTTTGTTAATTTTGTAATTCAATTTAATTACTCTATTCTATAATATTGAGATTGAGATTTTACTTAATCAGTAGGATTTAACAAAAAGGTGTATTTTGATCTCTTGACTTCAATTACGAAATCAATGTCATTCACTTCAGCAAATTCGTTTTCCAGCCATCCAAGCTAGGACTCCACTTATAACAAATGGGAATCTCTAATATCTGAAATCACTCCCTAAATAATGTGTATTGATGCTTACTTATCCTAAGACCAAAGCATTCAGTTATTGAGATTGAGTTGCATCTGCATTAATGTGGAATAATGTTTTGGGCAAGTATTACTTTGATTGCAATTAGGAGAGTTTATAATCAAATCCTAATCCGCCCTCCTTAATGGTTCTACATAAGGCAGGATAATCAAAATTTTGAATGATACTGATTCCATTTGGCAAGATGTCATGTATCAAATCATTAGCCAACATTAAATAGACAGCAATATCGATGTTATCGGTTATATCAATATTTGAAAACTTGAATCCATCTATCTAATACTCTGAGATCCAGAAGGACAGATTCGAGAGTAGCAATCTCAACACCTCCCATTTTCCATAATCTAAGGAATCTGTGCCTTCTCTATGATATTAGTATTCACTTCCATCCCAACTCTTTAGATGCTAAGATATAAGTTAATGATCTATATCCATGAGAATTGAAAGTCCTTATTGATGGAGATTTTCAATGGTCTTTTTCAATTCGTCAGGATTGATTTAGTGTGTATCGACAGTCATCAAGACTTGTTGGGTTATCAATATTGCATTGAATCCAGGGATGTTCTGGAGTTCATTGATGTTTTGTTTGATTATTTTCAATCCTCTACTTTATTGCTTTTATTATAATTAGTTTTATTGGAATTCGTATTTGTTTTCAGGATTCCAAAATATAGCTTATTCTCCGTTTTTTACTTAAGTCCAAACTGATGCTCTCTATAAATCATTGCAATATGTAGTTAATGTGCTTCCATGCACTATTTAATGATTGTCGTCGTCATCCTTTGGTATAAAAACTTCCCAGTTGCCACCGTTGTCTGTTGTACAGCTGTACTCATTCAATTTCAACTCTTGAGCATTTGGAGCCCATTCTCTATAAGTGATTCCATTGTCTGACACGATAAACCCAAACTTTTGATATCTATGTAATTCCAACTCATTTACCCTTTAGCAAAGTCCTTGATTGATGATTCAACCTTAATGATCTATTCTAAAAGCTAAAAGAACTTCTCATTTCTGCTCTGTATTACTTCTTTCAATTCAGGCTCTTCAATTACAGTCTGCAATTAATCAACATTCTTCTCGTACTTTTGCAGAAACTCTTCATTCTCCAATACCGATTACTAATGGTGTAAAATGCTATGTTCATACCTAATAAAATAAAGAATTCTTTTTTGATAATTTTCTATTAGGCACTTTTCTAGACAGTGCAGAACCTTAATCAATATAATTCATAATAATATATTAAAATGACATTTCTAAAATGCAAATTTAAATATGCGTTAAATCATAATCTTCAAGTCTTCTTGTATCAAACTAAAGCCAAATTCTTAAAACAACCTGCTGGATCAACTTAAAACAACTAAACCATTTCAATCAAAATGAATACTAATCATTTTGGTAGTTGATGGTATTCAAAAATGACTTACTCTCTGACTCCATTACTATTGTGTTGTCCCTATTAATATGGTCTTATATAATAATGTGAGACTATTTTCATCCTCTTAATTTTGACTCTTAATTTTATCATTCCAAATTCAAAGATTTTGATAAATTTATTGAGCCATATCTATTGTAATAGATGTGTCTAGAATGTTAGAATGTGATTCTTTCATTTCAGTGATATAAATTAATCATTAAACTATATATTAGTAAATAGATATAAAAAAATATATCACATGAAATAAGGTTAACTTTGAATAAATTGCAAGTCAACCGCTTTTTTGCTCTTGTTATACTTTCCAAAATATTCCAGTATCAGAAATGAAAATCTAATGATATTTCCATGTTTAGCAGTCCTTAAAAAATCTTTGGTCATTCCTGCTTTGGTGAGATCGTCACAATGAACAAACAAATCACTGCCATCCAAATCCATGATAATAAACCCATATGCTCTGGCCTCGTCATAAAACTTAAGAGTACCGAAATACCTGATCTAAAATTGAATCACATAGACTTACATTCGAGAGAATATTGGTGCCTTCCTATAAATTTAAGTTCAGAGATTGCAACAGATCATTCTGAGAAGTGGATGAATTGATGAGTGAATTGCATTCTTTCATAAGGAGATCCCCGTCTTGGTTGATTTCATCTAGGAGTTGCATTTGCAAACTGGTTCGCGATATATTGGATGGAGAGAGGGGTACATTCTTAACATTCACCTTATTGATTCGATTGTCCTTCTGATCAGATAGGTATTTGAAGGGATCGGAGTATGATCGCTTGTGTCTTCTTATAGGTAAACCTATAATGTCATTAATTACATCCAGAAGAATATCTTTGATCAATTTATGCTTTTCCCCACTGCCCTTCTTGCCGACGACATAAAAATAGTTGAGATAACGTGCCAAATAGATGCGTTTTTTGTACCCAAAATTGATGATCTGACATCTGAGATCCTCATTCTCGCACATATCATAAATGACTATTTTCCTCTGCAACAGTTGACTCACAGTGTTGAGGTCTTCTTCTTTGCATTTCTCGCTTAATGATTTCCAATAGACCACTGTCCCGTAGAGAGCGTGTGATATGGCCTTCATTAAGTCCTAGGGGGATGGTGAATATTAAATGTACCAGTGCTGGAGTCAAGACCTCTTTGTCGTCTTCCATTAGGAGTTTTTTGAATGATTCCATCAATTTGGCACTCTCCAAATCGCAGTTTAGAGAGTTCAAAGAGGGGGTCAATTGTAGATCATACAATTTACTTGGAAACATTAATTATTTGGGTATTATATTTGTATTTAATTCCTAGCCAAAAATTAAAATTTTGAACTAATTCAATCTTTAGATTCTTGACGAATGGAGTGAGGAAATGCAATAAAATTAATATATTAAACAGAGATTTATATATATTTTTAACATATAACTTATTTTAATTAATATATAATGTCAAAGTGGGCTGAAAGCAAATACGAGGGAGAGCAACTCGAAGGTTGGTTTCATGGAAAAGGCAAATATTACTTTAGCAATGGAGTCATCTACGAGGGTGATTTTTTCAAGGGAGAATTTCACGGAGATGGAACTCTCATATTTCCAAATGGGGTACATTGAGATGCATGCTAATATTACTCTAGGGATAATACAAAGCCAAATGGGAGAGAGGGAAGATGTTGGATGGAACCTATTTTTTTGAAGATCATCTGAAATACGAACCTATGGATTGGAAATATTGCATTGGGGATGACCGAAGATTTCATTAGGAAATCAAACAAAGTATCAAACCAGCAGGAATTACTCAAATGACCAAGGACGACATACTGATTGAAATCCCTGAGGGCACTTATGGTATGAATTTTTGAAATTGAATTTCAGATGTTGGTGAAGGTTATTATGAGCCTGTAAAATCCATCATTTACAGATATGATGGCTCAATCTTAAGAACACCTAGTGAACCTGAAGTCGAGAACATCTTGAAGAAATGCAGATACAATCCTAAGAAGGACTTTATCATTGATGGCAAGGATGATAAAGTAATTCAGAAAATGACTCAGAAGTCTTAGTGATTTTATATATATTTTAATTATCATAAATTCAAAATGAAATGTGATTTTTGTGAAGAGAATACTCCAATCATAGGTAGATTCAATATGTTATTTGCAAGATATCATGCGTCATTCATTGTTCTTGAAATACTCTCAGTCTCAAAACTACCACTACACTAAAGGCATCAGTGAAATATTGCACAATTATCGCACATCTAATAATATTCTCTATAAGGATGTACTGCTCTACTACTCACCAGAAGAACTGCTTTGTAAAGTGTATAACTCCACTATTTTATCTGATAAATTGCAAATGCTGGGTGAGTACTACAAAGTATCGATCAATCCTATCCCTAGTTTCACAACGACATTCCACGTTTGTTTATGGTGCCAGCCATCATCCCACTCAATTATTACCATGATAAAAAGAGGAGATTAGAGTATTATCGAATTGCCAAACTCATTGCAAACGAGAACAAGAACAATCCTGATAAACCTCCAAAGGGCATCGTGGGTGACTCGCCATTGCCTTAGTCCAGCCAATAAATGACGGCTCAAGAGGCGAGTTCCTCTGATGAAGTAAAACAGCTCCTCAATCTAGCCGATATCTAAATGTGACAAGATCCTTGAAGGCATCAGTTTCATTGAGACCAAACCATAATTTGTCAATTTCAAATAGTAACTCTAACAATACCAAATATTGCAGTAAGCAATTCCAAATTTCAAATATGAAAGTTATAAACCCCAATTAAAATAACAAGCTATGTTATTTCAAAAACCGAACAATCCAGATAAATAACAACGCAAATCTAGCATTACCAATATACTCAATATGCTCAAGAACAAAGTTCCTAAAAAAACGATTAAAAAGAAAAATTAATCAATCAAATCAGATCAATTACACATCGTATTTATTCTAATCTCATCAATTAGACACCAAGAGACATCGATATTAAGTCCCCAACCAATCGCACTCTACTCCCAAATTAATAAAGAATTGCAACTCTTTTGAAATCCCCAAAATGTGTTACTCCAAGAGCACCTCAATAAAGTCCCCATCTCCCAAAAAAGGTGCAACAATTAGAAATCAAAGTTATGACTGACCTACAAACTCTGCTTGCCAAAAAATAAACCAGAGATTCCAAATAATATTGCACTGTCCATTTCGATAGTATTACCGGAGCCCAAGATCTTAGGAGTCTTACATAAAGATTTGAATCTGCCAATAATTCTAAAACGCAACTTGCAAAGAAGAAACTCAGCATTAAAGACCTTAATCAATTCAGAAGAGTCAAAATCTAAGAACCCTTGTCCAATAGAGATCCACCAAGGAAATTAAATTTTAAATCTAAGTCCAATGATAAACATTTAAGCATCAACATCAGCAGTGATCATAAAATTAATTTCTATCAATAAGTCCAATCAGCTAGATAAGCTATAAATTCATAATAAATAACCACCACATTCAAATAAGTTAATGCTTAATCTGTATCTTAACAAATTCACCATTAAAAATCAGCCACCGCCAAAACATTAGGAAAATCGATGAAATTAACTAATACCTTTGACTCTTAAATTTATAAGGTAGCACTCAATTAAGCTGTCAAGAATATCAGAAATAGAAAGACATGAATTATTTATAAATATGTTACTTAGATAATTAAAATCTTAGATCATTGAATTAATTTCTTACCAATTCTATCAACAAATTAGAACTGATCTACTGAATACAAAACAAAATTATTCTCTTAAGAAATTGGGTATTCTTAAAGCACACACGAGAAGACGAAAGGTTTTAAAGAATGAATAATTAACAATTAATCTAAAATACCAATTGATTTGAGGTAAGAACAAATGAGTACCAAAATACTTTGAAATGGAATTATTAAAAAATTGCAAATTTGGAATACAGAAGGCTAACATTTTGAAATTTCAATGTTTTTTCCTTTTTTGAGTAGGTATATTATTCATAATAACTTTATAATTTTTTTTTAATAATTTTATCAGTTGTTTCCATGTCTTAACTTTTCTCTCAATACTTCTAAATTTATTTCTTTTAATTTAGGGAGGGGTTATTCAAATGCTTTCTGCAAATTTAAGAAAAATTATCGTTTTTCATCATTAAGAGTCCTCTCAGATTTTTCAGCTAATAATTATATTTTACCTTTGAACTTCACGGAATTTTGAGTTTTTACATTGTCTTTAAGTTTTTAACTCTTATCTTCCAATTATTTATTTAACTCTTACAATTCCTTCAAAAGATCCATTTCATATGATATTTCTAATTATGATTATTAATTAGATGAATCATTTGTGATAAGATACTTTTTAATAGATTTAACTAAAAGCTAATCTTAAGATGAATTCTATGAAAAATACTATTTAAAGCATGTTTCTAATATTCCAAATTTCAATCTATGTTATTTGAGATCTTCTTGCTTTGTCTTTGACTTTAAATTCTAAGATTTCTACCTTTATCGCATTTCCCTCTTATGGATGCAAAATAACTAAAAAAGAAATTCAAAAGATTTGATTATTTCAATTTTTATATCGTAAAATTAAAGTTTTTTAAAGTAAACAGTATTTTCTTACTTCTATTTTTGCAATTCCTTGATCTCTTCCCTATAAATTTATATTTATTTATTAAACTCATTTATGTTAGCTTTGAGGTATTACTCGTTTTAGTTTATACTTTATTGTTACAGAGAACTAATATTTTAAGTAATTTTGTTGAGTTTATCTAAGTAATTTCTAACACTTACCACAATTTCATCATGTTTGAACTCATTAACTTAATTTTTTTCAATTGAAGAAATCCTTTCTTTTTAATCTTCAATCAATTCCTTATAAATTGTTTCCTTCTTCTGTAACTGAGTTATTTATTCCTATATATTTTATTATAAAATTGTTAATTTATTTTTAGAATTATTCATAAGCGAGCCTAAATGAACGTTTATTTCATCTTCCGCTAATTTTTATTGATACTCTTTGATTAATTTTTTAAGTAAGGATTACTATTTGTCTATACAATCATAGCATTGCTATTCTGTTTGAGATAGTAATAGGCTATTCGATATTGTATTCAATTCCTCTAAAGATGTTAAAAAAAATTAAAAATTTTATGCTAAATAGCCTTCTTTTTATTCTGTTGCTTGTTATTTAATTACAATAAGTTTCTATAATTCATCTCTAAGATGGTTAGATATAAACTCCAATTTAAAGGATATTTGACTTTCTGCTAATTCAACATCTACTAAGTTCTGAAAGATTTTCTTTTCAAAATCAGCAATCTCCACATAAATTGAAGTGGTTCTCTCTTTAAATCCATTTTTAAGAATCTTTTCTTATCTTTATATTTCAAACCATAAATGCTATAATTTTTCTTCATTTTTACATACATCCTATATAACTTTGTATTCATCTACTAACTGATCATAATTCAACTATAAACTTTGTTAGTGTTTTCTTAATTTTTCATTAAGCTTTTTTTGCTCCGTTTTTACTTAATTTTATTATAAATCTTAGGCTTAAATTCTATTTAACATATTTATATAGTTATTATATATCTACTCTATTTTAAAGGCAGAAATTTCAAATTCTGTTTTGATTGTAATAAAAATCCTGTTTGAATACTAAATTTGATTTGATTTTAATTATTATGTTAATAATTATATTTTAATCTTGATTTGGTTAAAACTTTATAACTACTATGTTAACTATTGAAGTACTTCTTTCTGTTCATTTGAGATCTGCATTTATTATTCATTATTATTGTAATCTATTTTTTCTTCCCATTCGTTGATTTACAAAACGAGTCTCTCTAAATCATTCAGAATCATCTATAGTTCTTTAATTTTTTATTAAGAGACTTTTTCTTTGGCTTTTTCTAAATGTGTTTCAAATTTAGTAAGTTGATCTTTTATATTTAAAAAAGATTGATTTAACTTTTCAGTTTGAGATTATTCTACGTTAGAAGTATCCATCATTGAATGAAGTAATTTGAATTCTATACTAATCTAATTAAACTATTGATTTATGCTTTGGATTTATTCTTATTATTGTTTATCTTTTTAAATTAACAAGTCAGCATCTTCATTAAATTACTATAAATGTAACTATTTCTCTGAAATCATTTTTTTGATTTCATCAATATAATTTTTAGATTATTCTAATAAGACTGTTAATCGTTATTGTTCATGTTCTACGGACAACCTGGTATATTCTTCAGCGATATTTGTGAGTTATAGATTTAATTTCTGAATAAAGCTAACAACATTCACAGGATTTAACAATTGTTATTAAGAATTTACGATTCCTGTCAACTTTTTAAGATTTTAATCAATTTAATTTTAGTTTTAATTTTTTTGTAAAGAAAAATTGAAATGAAATTGAGAAAGTTCATCACTTAATGACTACAATTACTATAACTTCTCTTCTAATTATTTTTAAAAGTCTTAATTATAATGAGAATATGTTTGGGATGGTATTTGTTATTGTTAAAGTTATAATTTTAATTCCTTTAATTAATTTTCAATGAGATTTGTACTCTTCAAGATATTTTATTGAGTAACAATAAGCATATTTTAAAATTTTGTTAAATCCTTTACTTTCTATTCAAAGTCTTACTAATAATGTTTTGACAATTTTTCCTAAAGCTGTATTTTAAGAAATTGCTCCTTATCCTGTTATTCATTTTTAATCCTCTCTTCCGCTTCTTTTAAGAGACGCTACTGCTATATTGATATTTGCTCATCAACTTTTTATTAAAATTATTATTCCATTTGTTTTTTTTGATTCAACAAATCATCATCGTATTTATTTGTAAGTTCCTGCTTTTACTTCTCATTTACCTAAGTCAACTAAAATTGATATTCCTATTATAATTATTCTTCCTTGAATTTTAGTTCTTTTTCAAATTTAACTTTCTATTCCTCCTCTATTTATTTTCGAATTTTATTAATTTCATCTCTCATTTATTTTTGATTATACTCTTCAGATTGCTCTTTAATTTACTACAAATCCTTTCGATGTTATTCTTCTAATTTTAAGAACTCTTAATTTTTCTATTCTTCAAATTCTTTTTAAATCTCCTATTTTATTTGTTCTTTAAAAAAAGACGTATTAAATTGAAATTACTGAAATTAAGCCTATTATAATCCATTACCACTCGACTGAATCCCATCAATTTTCAAGATTTGTTTCAGTTTCGTTACTACCGCACTTGCTTTAAGCCTTTCACTACTCCTTACATTTATCATCTATTTTAATAACAATTTAATATCCTGTGAATATTCAAAATTGCTAATAAATAATTAATCGATCTGTTAATTGATTTAATCCTACCTTAGATTTAAGATTGATTGCAATATCGATTGTATTGAATTTCCTTGTAAAATAATTATAATTTTTACCATCCACCATATTTTTTTTGCCAATCATTTCGTACAGTATCATACCCAATGACCAAATATCGACCTTCTCATCATAGATATTTTAATTGATTTACTCAGGAGCCATGTAATATGGTGTTCCTACTGTAATTGTTTTTCTGCCACTTTTCTCTCTCATTAGTCCAGTATCGCATAATTTTAGATGCTTTTGGTTATTTACTTCCATGTAAACTACATTATCTAATTTCAAATCTCTATGAATTAAAGATAAATTATGTAATTCCTCTGTCCCCTAAACTATCTTAAATTATTGATTCTATATTTACTTAAAGGAAATAGTGTAGAATTACTTTTATATCAAATATTTTCTCATTCCTCCAATATTCTTGAAAAGAACCTGTAGCTAAATCCATTATGATTATAATATAATTATTATAGGAATCTAAGTCCAATATATTAACGATGTGATTCAACTTATATTCGCTAAGTGTTTTTAAAGTTTAATGTTCTTAAAATTCTAAATTACCCTAAATTTTTAGAGCCACATATTCTTAAACTTAATTCTATTCATCTCTGTATGCTTTGTAAACCTATCCTCCAGTCCCACTACCGAGCATACTCTCTATTACATAGGTAATCCCTTTATCTGTTATTATGAAGTTTTTCTATTAGCTCATTATAAATTAAATCAATAATAGTAATAGAAATATTAATGAATTGAAACACCTACTAATATACCCATTGAATTTAATTAAGATATAAAATTAAACAAGTAGAATTTCATAATCCTTCTAATACCGAATTTAAAATGATACTTATTTTCTTAATCATTTTATTTAAAATAAGCTGGAGATCTATGAGATTTTTATTTTTACACATTTTTTATGTTATTAAAATTATGAATTAATCAATTTCAGATCATAATTAACTGAAATCATTCTACTTTACTTGAAATTGATATCACATATTCTTATGAACCAGGATCAGTTTAAATTTCTGACTCTTAAATTGCGTAAATTGTAATAAATTATAATCATTAGTACCATGATGGCTAGCCTCATCTAATCTTTTTGATTTTCTCCTTGTAAACAATAGAAATACGAAATTAATAATAAGGAAAATAGAATTTAAGTAGATAATATTTTTATTTAATTAGAAGAATGCAACTTATGGATTAATCAGCATAAAGAAAGACGCAAGTATTTCAAAACAAGCTTTTGGATCTATAGATTTCACTATTTATTATTGATGTTATTTCCTTTAAATGTTTGTGGGTTAATAATATCCCTGAAGACATCTTATAAACCATTAAAATTTCTTTAATCAATATTTATCAGCATTTATCCTCACAATTTTTTAATTGAATTCATTAAATTTAATATTTTGATATTTTGTAGATCAATAAATGTATAATATTAATAAATATAATTGTTAAATTTTATAAATTTTTAATAATGTTTTTGTCACTAGTTTCGCTCTTAATTAGTTGAGTTAATAAATTATTAGAATGTTATGATAAATTAAAGGATTACAATAATGTTTCTGAGTGCTATAATTTTTTGTGTTATATTTAATGAGATTCGTTTTAACAATATTTATAATATAAAATGAATAATGATTTTCGTGAAGTGAATCTAAATTAACAGGAAGAATAATAAATGTATATAGAAACCCCTATTTATAAAGAGGCAGTGTGTCATTTTAGGACCACTTAATATTATTATATCTCATACAACGCTTTGAAAATTGGATGTGGATTTGCATTACTGTATATGAATCACGAATAAAACCAAATGAATTATTGGATTCTTGCGATAATGTTCCATGCATTTCTTATGATCATTGTCCAGAGGAATCACTTAAAATATTTGAATGTGAATAAGAGAATATTGGCATTCAAACTAGATCAAATTGTACCTGCTGAAAATGTAGAGTAAGTAATTGAATAAAGGAAATTAAATATATTATCGAGATAAATAAAACTAGAAGTAGCGAAGTTGACAATCTTTGGCAAGTGGTGTTGCCGAATAATAGCAATCATATACTAACTTATATTTGGTTATGGTGTATACTTATTTTGTATATATTACAGTATGAAGTCAGAGGAGTTAATGTATTAATATTGCTTTTTATGTGCAATCCTTGTAATCTCACTCTATCAATATATTGATCTTTACTTGATATTGGTCTTGGCAATCCTAGGTTCCCCATTCCTCATTATCCTCAGTTGTTATTACTGTGCCAATTTGTAATCACACTTATTTAAATTGTAGATTTAGCAAGGAGCAACAAAGAAACGAAATCAGAACTCGACTGTAACCAATCAAATACAAACCAAATCTAATCGAAGGAGAACAAGAATGCTGTATTTGCAGATGTCCATATGAATTAAACGAGGAGGTGGTTGTTCTGAAATGTTCCCAACTGCATCATTACCATGAAGGCTGCATTATGGTATTTCAGTTATTTTCAATTTTCAGTCTTGGATCAACATCAACAATACATGTCCATTCTGTCGGAAGTCTATCTGATTAATTCATTTTTTATAAATAGAACATTATTTTACTTTAATTCTCATATGAGCACATTTAAATTTAAAAAGTTCATTATTTTTTATATTAAATATCCTTTAGGACTTATTGTGACTATGGATTATAAAGAATGCAACTCAAACTAATACGATAGAAAGAACAGATTCCATAATAAAATCAAAAAAGAGGCTAATCAGTTGCTGATTTAACTGGATTGTTCCTCTATAAGGTATGTGATTCAGAGGACACAGGAGGCAAAGAGGAGGGGGATTTCATTGGAATCGTTGGGAAGAGTGTTTAAAGGAAATTCAAATAAGTATTGCAAACATAAGACAGATTGTAGAATAATAAATAAAGTGTAAAGAAGGAATGATCTAAAGAAATGTAATAAGGATCAATAGATTTGAACTTTGTATTTAAATGGTGTGTTTTTTTATTTTGCTTAAAATAATTTATGTTGAATAAATTTGCTAAGATGTAATTATAAATAGAAATGAGTTTCTGGATGAATTATGTTCATTTTTTCAAGTATGTTAAGTAATCTATTTGGATCCATTTTCCTCCTCCTCCGACATGCCATTGAATTCCGTTGCTACCGAAATATTTCTTATTCATTGATTTTAGATATTTTTGTAAGGGCATTAGTTTTCCATAATCCAACATCATTTCAATCCCAAGCCTTATTCCCTTGTACCAAATCAAGTACAGCACCAAATAACTATAGAGAGTCATAATGATGGGGTCTGCCAAAACCACGATAAACAAGCCAATCCATAAATAGATGAAGAGCAGAAGAATCAAGAAACTCAAGACTTGTAATAGAATTTTCAAGGCAATCTAAAATAATAGAATAGATTGAAACTTTTTTGAAGGAGCTTTTGTAAGGGTTCAAACTCTTAGATTGGGAGAGATCCTTGCGCATTTGTTTCAATATTGCTAATCTTTAATAGGGTGTATAGTGATTACTCTTTGAAATACTTGAACAGTATTTTGATATCATTATCCGTGAGATCGTATTTTTGCATTTTGCAATCATATGGAACTATAATTTGATTTTTTTTTGGGACAGGAATGAAATCAATTTTTTTATCATCTTATTACATTGTAAAAATTAATGAATAACTATTGATCGTGATTTCTCTTTTGTTTTTGGACGAAAATCTCAATATGAGAAATAAAGAGAGAGTAGTAGTATTATATTGTGTATATTTATCATTTTAAGTAATAAATTAATAACTGCTTGATGTACATTGATCCAGCTGACACTAAGGCATGGGCGGAGGAATTGAAAGAGTAAGATTCCACATTAATCCTAGTTATCAAGGGAACAGGAAACAAAAGGTGGATTTTTAGAAACCCAAGATCTATACACAAAAGGAGATGAAATTGAAACAGACAGAATTCAATCCTGTTTTGCAGACTTTTCAAAATCCAGAAAGGGATGTTAAGGAGAAGGAGAAAGATTTTCAGAAAACATCCACATTGGCATAAAAGAAAATGGTATTGTGAGTTTAGATTTGATAGGAAATGGTTAAGAAATACTTGCACGAATATGATTTAGTTAATTTGGAGCAAGTTTAAGGAATAGAGAGACCAGACGAGAGAGAGAAGACCAAATAATGTTTAGTATACAATTTGATTTTTATGTTAGTTACCACCCAATTTTAATGATTATAATATAATTACAAATGAGAAGAAGAGTGAAGAATATTACAAAAACATGAAGGTAGTAGTTCAGAAAAGAGTTCATGAGAAGCCTGTGATTAATAGGAACAAGAGAGATTTTAATATTATTACAAACAAGTTAGAAATTATTAGTATTCTTCAGGTTTCTGGAAAATCACGAATCAAAAGCTTAAGAATAGGAGACCGCAGTCATGTCTGATATCAATGATAAATGTAAAAGAGTTAGGAACTATGATATTGTTGCAGGAACTTTTTATAATGATGAAAAGGAATAAGAATTTTAATAGTACTTTTTCCAATAAAAATGAGGAAATTAAAATAGGACTAATTCAATCATGGCAAACACTTCAACGATAGATTTCCACCCTCTTGGAAGTTTAGAGAATCTGTTTATTTAGATTAAACGAAGGAGATCCCAGAGGAAATCAAAATGATTGATGAGATCAATAGAAATCACAAGAAACGTTATGAAATAAGGCATGTCTTGGAAAACGAATACAGAGAAAGGGATCTCTAGGATCAACTCAGAACTCAAGACAGATTGATAAAGAGACATAAATATGATGATTTGATCAAGAAATATGATAAAGGTAATAATTATTAACAAATTTACAAATAGAATTCGATATCATTACTTTGGAGAAACCAGAAATTGATCACATTGTTAAGGCATTGCCTCCTAAACCTCCTCTGAATTCTTGGGATAAGGTGCAGATGACAAAGTCAGGCTCTGATGCTCCTATTCATGAGGTGAGCATACCTGAAGGGGTTGACTTTAAGGAGAATGGTTAAAATCGGAATGATTCTTAAGGGAAAGTGAGGTTTCCATAAGTATATAGACAAGGAAGTGAGAAATCATAAAAGTCTGTCTCTAAATCTAATAAATCTGGACCTAAATCAATAGCTCAATCACAGAAATCGAATCCTGGGGGAACTGAAATAAAGTCTGGGGGATTTTTTTGATGATGGTGACAATTAATTATAACAAGAAATTTATTAGATTTTATAATATTTTTTATCGAATTAGAATATACATATGTTGAACAATATGAAATTTGGTAAATAATCACTTTCTGATTTTACTTAATTGTTAAAATATTGAGTTATAATTAGTTGCTGACATTTTGGTTGAGGATGTCTTCTAAATGTTACCTTATGAACCTTTTCTTGAGAGTTGATGTTGAGAGACCTACAAAGCACTTTGACTTTATAAGTTTTATTAGGTTGTATTTTATAAAACTGTCGAGACACTATTTTAAATGTTTTGCATTGACGATTTCCTGGGGATTTATTTTAAGGGACTACCATTATCAACATTTGGGAAGATGGATTAAGATTGTTTTTTCTGCATCATCATGCTAGGACTTTGATAGTTGAATTAAGTTTAAGGTTAATTTTGATAGATGTGTTCTTGAGAGGCTGTATTTTTTCGTACTTAATGTTGATTGGATGGAGTTTTTTGATGATATGGTTTATTAACTTGTTGGGGTTCAGTCTGTTTGTTGTCACTAATGTCAGTTTTAGATGGATCTGACTCCTAACTTTTTTTGATGGTGGATTCCTTCTTCTTAGTGGGTGATTTAGATTTCTCAGAACTTATATTGACTGGAGCATTTTAAAATTCACGAAGATTAATTCTATGTTCCAACTTCTTCTTTTGATTAATGTGAGCGTACAGGTTGTCTCTATACTCCTTAACCGAATATTTATGATTATCATCCATAAAGGTTTCAATAGGACTATCTACGAATGTCAATATGAGTACCTCTTGAAATTTCATCTTCAGTTCCTTTGAAATCTTTCACATATGGATGATTCAATGCCTATTCAACTGTCATTCTTTTATATGGATTATAAAGCAGTGTTTTTCTACTGTTAAATTCACTTAATTACCTTATAAAATCTATGGCGTCGTCTGAGCCTGAAGCAAATAGTTATTTAATACTCTTCCTTTTTTAATTCGCAATATTTTAAATTACTTCCTCAGCTTGAGATGCTTGAATAGCATCCAATTCATCCTGCTTTGGTTTACCAATCAATTCAATGATTCTCTCTATTTAGTTTGTTGTTGAAGTTCCAGGGAATACAGCCTTCCCTATTATCATTTCCCCCAAGATACAACCAAGACTCCACATGTCAACTGCTTTAGAATAATGTTAGGAACCCAGCAAAATTTCTGGAGCCCTATACCATCGAGTAGCAACATATTCAGTAAGTATTGGATGGCCTAAGTAATGTTATCGTATTAACACTTACTATTGTTATCAGGTTTAGCCACACTCCTTGCCAGACCGAAGTCAGCAACTTTGACCTTACATTCTGAATTGATTAACAAGTTGGAGGGTTTCAAGTCTCGATGTATGAGTTGACCAGAATGCAGGTATTTGAGACCTTTGAGTATTTGGTATATTATATATTTTTTATGGATGGGCTCCAAAATGCTTGCTCTTATCACCTAGAGTCACTATTAAATGTACATACTTTATGAAGATCTGTTTCCATAAATTCAAAGACCATATATAGATCTTTATTATTTTCTGCTTTTATAACAGAGTTTAATTTGATGATGTTTTCATGGTTTGTCAATTACTCTAAGAAAATAACTTCGCGAAATGTCCTTTGTGAATCAGTCGGATTGTGAAATGCATCAAAGATCTATGACATTACAACTTAAATTACTTTTTTCAATGCAACAACCTATTTTGTTTTACGATCAACTGCCTTCCAAACAACTCCGTATGCTCCTTTTCCTTTGAGTTCAAGAAGCTCGAATTTCCTCAAGATGTGATCCTCAACTTAACTGTGCTCATCTTCCTTATTTGATTATGGTTGCATTTATAATAATATTAATAATCCTCCAAACAAAATCAATTGGTAATAAGCCTCATTCTTTATGTAATTAAATACGATACGATTAATAATAATCAAATCAACTTTTCTCTTTTTATAACACAATTAATCTTGTCGATAAAATTGAAATAACTATCAAACTTTGAAGAAATTTCTAAGCTTAAATACAACTATTAAATACAGTAATCGATATATTAGCATTACCTAAAATTATATTCTCTTAAAACAAGGAATTAGTTAAACCTTCAGATATTGATCACTTGCATAGCATAGATATGTAGTATACGTAGATCTATTTATCAATTCAAATTCTTAGCTATTAAAAGGAATTCTTAAAATAAAATAATAGGAATTATTTATTGTTTCTTTTGTTAATATATATTAATATGAAACTAATTAAAAACATAAAGAATTTTATCATTCCTACTACCTTTTCTATTTGAGAACAAAGGAACTGTCATTCATGGGCTACAAGTTGTCTGAGTGTTGTTATTCAAACTCTTTCGCCTAACCAGGAGAATGAGAGGTTTCTTATTCTGGATATTTGAATGACCGCTGTTGTTGCTTCGATTTACTTCCAGGGGTATTACGTAATGAAGTTTTTCCCTAAGGAATTTCGAGCTTATTCTATTGGATCAGAAACGGATGCTTTAATAATTTAGTAGCATTCCAACGCTTCCTTTCATCAACCCTAACAATATATTTTCACCCTTAAATACTCTAAACAATGCGAAACAAAGCTTTTGGCTTCTTCCGAAAACCCTTCTGGAATTTGTGGTATCTCGCCTTTTCCTATCCTGATCATAACCGCAAATTAGTTTGTTATCTCATGCCATGGAGGCTTACCTGTTGCCAATTCAATCATGGTACATCCCAGACTCCAAATATCTGCTTTCCTCCCAGACTTCTATTATTGTACAACCTCGGGAGCCATAAAATTAGGAGTTCCAAATATAGTGCTATCGCTATTTAATGCAATCTTCTTACTACTCCCAAAGTCGGCCAATTTGCAAACTCCCTGATTGTCAACTAGCACATTTGCACCCTTAATATCCCTATGCATAATGCCATTTTGATGCAAATATTCCAACCCTTACAAAATTTGACGCATATAAACTTTAATTAGGGATTCCTAAAATGAACCGAATTTCTGGAGCATTGAACTCAGGGATCCTCCTGCCACTCTCTCCAGAAAGATATTCAGGGTCTTCTCTGTTCGTTCCATTCCATAATAAGAAACTATGTTCTTGTGCTTGATCAAAGAAAGTAAATCGATTTCGATCTCAAGTGCCATAATGCGATCCTCATTTCGAATACCTACCATCACTTATTTGACGGCCATCAATTTTCCAGTATCTAAATTCATAGCCTCTATTACTCTTCCAAAAGAGCCTTACCCAATTACTTAGCCAGGAGTCCAACGAATCTTTTTTGGCTCACTTTTAATAAGACTTAATAGTTAATTGCGATCAATGCAAGTTAATTCATCTGAATCATAATAATTATCCTCGTTTCCATACATAGTTTTCTCAAACACCTCAAACTTCATTTCATCCACTCGAGAACGTTGAGTATCGAATTTCTTAGTCTGTCTCTGACTTGCATTTATGGAACTCGCTGCCACATGAGCCTTCCCTTTCATGCAACAGCCCATTAATAATATTTTAAAATTAATATATATCACAAATATCTAAGATGCTCATAAATGAATATCTTATTATCAAACTTTATGTGTAATAACATATCACTTTCAACAATAAGAAAACAAGTTGAATTATTTTTATTAAAGAATAGAATACAGGCTGACAAAATTAAATTGAAAATTTTTAACAAACAATACTAATTCAATATATTATTATTCTAAGGATAAACTCAATGAATAAATTGTTTTATTCAATGGATCTTCTGCAATATTGGTGTAGTGTTTGTAAAATGTATTAAATAATATAAATTCATTGAAAGTTTTTTAGATCTTTATTATCAAATATCATAAGACAGTTTTAACAACTTGAAATTAATTTACTATTTAAATTATATTACTTTGATTTGCAGGATTGTTTAATAAATATCCCTCTTAATGAAATTCTCAATTTCTATCCTACGGTTACCATTAAAATTAAAGGTTAGGTGATATATGAAGAAGATTAATAATCAGTTGGACGTAGGTTGTTTTTAATAATTTGTTAATTATTTAAATTCCTGTTAATATCTTTTTCTATTTGACTTTTGTTATTATAACAATTCTTCACAATGTTCTTTATTCTTTTCTTTTTTCCTCACATCTAATAAATTAGTATTTGTAAGTAAATACACTTAACTAAATTTGATACTAGAATTGATCTATAATCATATATATAAATATTTAATTATTTTCCAATCTTATGTTTGATAGTGATTAGCATAATTAATAGACAAGTTATTGTCAATCTTAGGGGTTTTAGCAAACAATCAAACCGGTACATGTGGAATTGTCGGTTGGAAATAAATAAATAGAAGAAAATGCTGAATATCCTAAAGTACCGCAATCAAGAAGTAAGGAACAATTATTGTGTACGAAATGCAATTAATTGGTAGAAACTGATGTTCTATTCGAAATGGGTAAGTGTAGTTACATAGTTATGTTCATATTGTTAGCATTCATCATAACAGCTGTTTTTGCAATTTTGCCTTGCGTTTGGGATAGGTGCAAAGATGCACAACACAGATGTTCAAAATGCACAAAACTTATTGGAACAAAGCAATTTTTATGCGGATGAATTAAATATTATATACTGTAATATATATATAACTATATTTAATTTATCAAGATCTCAACCTATCATAATTTTCAAAAATAATGTGAATTCGCTTTTTCAAACACTTGAAACCAAAACAACATCAATGGGTGATTGTGATGTTTCATATTCAAAGTAAAAATTATGCCTTATATCTCATTTACAAAAATTAGGATCCTCATTAATCAAAACTACAACCCTACTGATTATGATGACTCTAAATCATATTATTGTTAACAATAATATAATGAGTGTAGAATGTATAGGTTAATAATATTCGACCCAAAAGTTAAAATATATTATTACTTTTTGACCTTTCTTAGTAAAATCGAAGAATAAATTTATAAAAATTAGCAGTCAATTTTTCGGTTTTTTAGATCTAAAAAAAAAAATAAAAAATCTGCACTTCCTTTAGTAATTTATTCTATTGAAATTAATACTAATAATAATCTATATCAAATATTAATCTCAGATTGATCATACCCTTGACTTTCTAATATAATTGCTACTAATCTCATGAATGTTTCCAACTCTATTTCAAATTCGTTGTACTTATCCTATTGCAAATGCTTTAAATAGCTTTGAAGTATTTTTTCTAAGATAAAACCAATTAATTACCTTCAATATCAAAACCCATGCTCTAAAAAATGGCTTTGCTATTAATTAAAGTAATTTTATGTTCCTAATTAGAAGCAGACTCAAATTGCAAAGCCAAGTCTTCCATCTCCTACTTAGAATACATTTCATCCAATGGAATGTGAATGGCTCTGTAAATGATTCGCTCCTTTCTAGCCAACTCCATAGACTCCTTAAGAACATTGGTAGGATCATGCAATTCAACTTTAGGAATATCTGGCAACACATAAGGATCCATGAAATGCTTCTCCCTCTCCTCCTTGACTGTGTAGGGATCCTCTACTTCAGAATACACTCCAGTTTTGGGCATATCGTCGACCCATTCTCCAACAAATACTTGATTCTTGGTAGCAAAGAAGTAGGATCCTTGACCTTCCTGAATAATAATAATGTATATTTATTACTCTCTTATCGTTTACCCAATAGCCCTCAAAATGATCTCCATTTCTTTTTGTTAAGACTCCATAACCGCTTCTTAAGCCTTTAAACCATGAGCCTTCGTAAACATCGCCATTGGCATAAATCATACGTCCTTCTCCATGTGATTTATCATCCTACCATACACCATCATATCTATTTCCATTCTAATAAAACATGGTTCCCTTGCCTGTTTTCTTGTCATTCACCCAATCTCCTGTATATTCTCTTCTCATTCTAGAATCATAAATTTGAATGTCTATACTTATTCTTCCCTTCACTCACCCAATATGTACCCTATCCATTTCTTTGATTGTCAAACCATCCACCTTCATATTTATCACCATTCCCATAGTATTATACACCAAAGCCACACTTTTTGTTTTGATTCCAATCACCAACATATTTTTAGTCAGCCACCCATCTCTCTTATTTTTAAGTTCCATCTTCGTTCTTTGTTTAACTCTTTACCCAATAAATAGCTTTGTGTAATCCATTTTTTTCTGCTTTTTAATCATTTATCTACCATTATCGTGCGACTTTCATTGAATTATTCTTGACTGATTATTTCTACTAAGATTATGAGTAGTAACTGGCGTCTTAATACATTATTTATATAATTATAATAACAAAATTAAAATAATCCTCAAAAACATTATCATCTAAATCTGATACAATAAAATTAAAAAAGTCTCTCTCATCCATCATCGATTGAGTGTTAAAACCCCAAATGGTGAAAAATATTCATTTCAACAATTTCATTACACAGTTTTCTTACACCCCTACGATGTCTTATTCATTTTTATTGTGTACCATTAATTTTCTAAGCAATTTTCTGTTCAACATCGAAGGTGATGTTTTTAATTAATGTAGATCTGAGGTTCTTCTTATTGCTATTGAGATTATAAAAATTTAGAAATAAATTCAAATATTCATTCAAAGAACCAGCTTGTTAGGTTGGTTCCATTTAAAAAAAAGAGATTTCTTAATTTGAAGCATATTTGAATACATTGGAAGAGGCAATATTTAAAGGTTTATGATAATTTGGATATAAATAAAAAGATTTTTAAACCAAATAAAATCTTGTGCATAAAATGAACACCCAAAAAGTGTTAAGTGATATAGTAATCGAGAAGGATGAGAAATTAGAAATAGAGAAGGACAACTCCTTTACTTATAGCGAACCTCATTATATGGCAGATGATGAATAAGTAAAACAATTTGTTTATCATTGTATTAGTAGGAAGAGTTGTAAGAGGAGATTCAATTCCCTGTTTTTTCCCCTCAGTAGTTATCACATTTCAAAAGACCAAAGGCAATTACTTTTGAGGAATTCAATCTCGATGAAGATCCCAAAAAAAAGGTTTGTCTCTAATTGGAATGCACCACAGCAGAACAATCAGAAGTACAACCAATGGGAGATTTGGAGAGATTGGCTGATATGCTCTAACGTGAAAATTAAAAGAAATATTCATACCCCAAGAATTTGCCTGCTCCTTCTAACGTCGATAATCATTTGGATGAATTGAATATGCGCTTCACACCGTCCCAAAAATAGGATGAATTTGTTTCAAACTATGTGAAGGGAGATGATCTATTGAGAATCAAAGTGGGATTGTGTGATGATATCCTAAATGATGAAGAAACTTTGAAGTTTGAAGATTGGGTCGAACAATTGTGTACTTCAACAAATCATGAATCACTCAAGGAAATGGCGAGAAAATAAAAAGTCAAGCGATATCTAGAAAAGAAACACAATCGAACTTACGAGAAGAAAGTTCACTATCACATCAGATAAAAGGTTGCTGAAGAGAGATTACGAGTCAAGGGTAGATTTGTCACATGGGGATAAGTATTACTATTTTGTTGATATCCATCTAGGCTCTTAAGATGTTGAATGAAAAGGACACAAAGAAATCATGGAGTTACAATGACTATACTAAAATTAAGAGCTTACTAAATGAGAAGTTTGGAGCTGTGAAGAGTGAGAAGTCATTGAGATTCTGATTGTTTACAACACTTGTGTATGTTAATATATTAAATTTCCAAATTGTTTTATATTTTATAATTTATATTTTATAGTATTACAACACCTCTACATAATAAATAAACTGCAACAAATACCTATCAATTGCAATTAGATCCAATTAATTTTAAATTTTTAAATCATCATTAATAATAATATTTTATAAATTTATATGAATTATTGCATAACTTTTTTAATAAGAAATACTTTCCTATTTGTCAATTACAAAACATATATTGGTTCCTAATTTCTATATGAGTAATGCATACTAATGAGGAATTAGGAATTGATAATAATTATGGAAAGGATGATTTTTATATTCATAAATTTGAAATTATTCCTATATTTACTCATGATATTACAGTATATTATTAAATCTAATCTGACTTGATCTAAATTAATATCTTGTTTAAATATAATCAATAGAAGTTTAATGATTAAAAGGAATTGTTTTTGAGACTAGTCAAGAGTTGAATGAATACTATAGAATAATTCACAATGAATTAGCATATGTATGATCTTATTTAATCCGTAAGAATTTTAATTTTTGGTATTGCTTCAATGTATTGGATTTGATGGGTAGAATTCTGTAACCAACTTGAGTATGAAGGAGAATTGGGTGACTAAAAATGAAATATTCTATTAGAATATTAGAAAACTTGAAGGGTGATATAAAATAATATAAAAATAATTGTAAATTATTAAATATAAAAAGTGAGGATGTAGGGGGGTAGATGAAAATATTATAGCGAATTTGGACTTATGAGTGTGATATGTAGATGGGAATATAATAATTATTTTAATACCTTAAATGAAAGACAGCTGTGTCTTAAGCTTACCTTCATATTCATCTCATCCTTTGGAAAATCAAGATGGCTAACACAATGAAGTTAGTGAGACCCACAGCAGTCAAAGGACCAACAGTCAGAGTGGCGCTGATTTTAGTTAAAAAGTAAGGGGATTGTGATGATTTATAGGAAGGGAGCAAGAAGACAGAGGGGGCGAAAAAGAAAATCAATAAGGAGCAAGGGTAAATTGGGATGAAGAATCAAGGTCATTGGACTAGTCAGGAACATCAAATATACGTAGAGTTCTTGGAGTAGCACCACAGCACGTCGATGTAGAGTCAATAAAATCGAAAGAATAACAAAATCTTCAAACTGATGTCACTAACAATAGGAACCAGATCTCCGTCGTAGTGTAGGTAAAATAAAGTATTAAGTAGATCTCACCACCAGAAATTCAATCCTTATACAGCAGCAGGGCAAAAGAGGAACAAGAGAAACAGAAGGAGAATGGGCAATTAAAATGCAGACGGGGAGATACTGTTAAACATGACAGCCAAACCAGTGGTGCAATACAATACTCCAACGGTAAAACCCATTTTAGGTATGATTGATGAAAATACTCATAAGATCAATGCTATGATGAGTGTGATGATTACATTTCAAACTATGAGGATTCGCGTCCTTAGTTAAAAAACTTTTGCTGCAACTCCAACATCGATAACGAATACGGGAACAGATGGGATCGTGATTAGTACCTTTATTGAATGGAGTCAGCATAACATATTCGATTTGTTTATAAAATTATAATAAAACAAACAATATAATCATTCATCTGTAGTATCAGTGTAATCATTGTAACAACAATACTCTGAAATCACATCTCCGCATGCAGATTCTGCCTCTTGAAGTTCCAACTCATCAAGGCCATCCTGTAAGAACAAGTGCAAATACGCTTTCTTTTGAAAAAGAGTCCTGTATTGTTGTTGCAATAAATTAAGTTTGTTTCCTATAGCCGTATGATGATTGATAGAGAAGGCCATCAAATCACATTGTTTCTGCTTCACTGGACAAACAGTGTAGGTGATTGGATCTGCAATCCATCTGACAAATTGGACTTCATCTGAAGTTAAAGTCTACTTGAATTCCTACTAGACTGAAAACACATCAGTATCCCCATAGACCATTATTTGCTAGGCTAGAAACAAGCCTTGGGATAAGGACATTGAGAAGGTTTGATTTCGCTTAGAGTAGATTTCTTTACTCACTTGTAATAGACTTGGAGAATTGATGTATGAAAATAGAGGAGCTAGTGACACAGTGTAACAATGCAATTTCGGAAAGGGAGTGATGTTAGTTTAGATCTTATAAAAGTTCGTATTGGAGTAGGAATTGTGACGGAAGGATTTGTAGATCCCATCCATTGCAAAAGCCAATAATTGGTTGTAAGTTTCGTAATTTTGATCATAAATAAACATATTCTCTGTCATTTGTTGTAAGGCATCATTATCAAAGTAGAATCCCATATTGTAATTGTAATTTAGATGCATCAAACCAAGTAGACAATTATATGGATAAATCACACTATTTTCATATTTTGATGGATAAATAGAAATGTTGATTTTGGAGCAATCACAAAAATTATCACTTGTATAATATACTAATTTGGCTCCTATTCCAGATCCTGTTCCACCATTTATTGAATGAATCAATTACACTGCTTATATTCCATCACATTGCTCTTATTCTTTTCTTACCCTTTCCACGATCTCATCAAATAAATCATTCTAACCATAGTAACCACTCGCAAATGTCAAACACTTAGCACTCTTTCCACACACAAAATTATTTGGATCATAATAAGATAAATTCTTATTTCCCCTAATCTTATCCAATGTGTTCTCCTCATTATCTACTAGGATTGTTCGAGGAATCCCTTTACGAAAAAACTTTTCATCCAATTTCTCTCCACAATCGTCCATCATCTAATTCCATATTGCATTTCCAATCTGATTTCCACTCTACCCCACTTAAATTGTTATTATTTATTTCATTAATTCATTTATTAATTAAACTCATGCACTCATTATCATTTTACTAGCACAAACAACACAATCAATTCTAAATGCCTCATTAATATGAACAATCCTTTAAAGCAGAGGAATTATCAAAAAGTCAATCACTCTTGAAATCATGCAAGGGGTTGCGAATGTTATCATATAGATAAATGTCAAAAAATGAGATTTCGACGAATTTCTTTGTTGAACATATGTAGAATCATCAAATATTCAAATCTTAAGGGAGTAAATCTATAAATACTCAGTATATCAATTTATGAAGCATCAAGTCATAAATTGGAATAGATAAAGATGATGCTTAAATAATAAATGAATATTGATGTAAATTAATCAAGTTATTATCATAAAATGAGTTTCAAATTAAAAGTTGAAAAATATTAATCAAACAATTCAAAAGGTGTATAATGCTGATAGTTGAAGTACTGTTAAGTAAAAAGAAATGGGAAAAAAACCTAATTTATTAAAGAAACTAATCTCAAGGATCCAACATAAATTATAAGATTTTATAATGGTGAAGGAGATCGAAAAAAAGTATATGCTAAATTACAACTTATATGATTATAATTTATTATTTATTATAATTGTTCGTGAATAATGTCAAAAATTGATCCGCTTTTAAAGCTAAGATAAAAATAATAAAGAGAGATGTAACATCTCATGGAATATGAGAAATAATTAAGAGATAAGGAAATTAGAAATTCGCAACTGTTGATGAAAAAAAAAGAAAAATTCTAAGACATATCCATGAAATAATTGAAATTCAAGGAAGATTTAAAGCAGAAAGCTGAACAAAAGAGGATTGAATTCGAGAAAAATTTAAGTCAAGCTAAAATGATCGAATTAGAGTAATTAAAAGTAAAGATATATTTTATAATTATAGCAATCACAACTTCAAGTTAGTAAAACTATTGAAACTGTTGTAAAATTTGAAAATGAATATTAAAAAGAATAATTGGATGTCTTACTGAAAAAGAAATCAGAACACAATCATTAGATTGAACAAGTATTGGAAAATAAAAAAAAAATAGAAAACAAGAAGTTAAAAGAGTTAAGTCAATCTTTAGATGCAAAATTTAAATCCTCACAAGAAGTAAATATTTCTCTAATTCTAACGTAGTTATAAGAGAATTTGAACAAGCAACTGAGTGACAGATAGAAGTAAGAATAATAAAAATTATAAACTTATTTCAAGTAAATTGAAGAATAATAATAAAACTTATAAAAAGAGAGAATGAAAAAGGGAGAAATGTTTGATGAAAAACTTGATAAAGTTGAAAAATTGAAATAAGAAAAAGAAAAAGAATTGAAAGAAAGGCAAAGGCTGAGATTAGAAGCTGATAAATAAAAAGAATTGTTATCTAAAGAATTTTAAGAGGAAATTGTGGTAATTAATTAACAATATCTTTAAGAAAATGCAGAAGTCAAATTTTCGCAAGTAGATTTCAACCTGAACAACCAATTTCATAAATATATATACTCACAATAAATATATTTTATATTAATATGTAAATTAGAAGATCAATAATTTCGAAAAAGGACCTAAGAAAAGACATCAAAAAATAAGAATAAATTCTGCCTGACCAATCTGAAAAATTTAGGAAGGTTTTTGAAATCTGTGGAGATGAAATCATCTCTTATCTTAATAAAAAGGAGTAGATGCAATTGCGATCAGGTTGAATATCATTCTATTTTTAGTTTGTAGAATTTCATTTTACATGGTACAAACGTATCAAGTCTGGAATATGATGATTTTTGATAGTGATCAAATTAGTCAAGCTACTACTAATGATTCAAATATGAAAGAAAGCTTTTTGAAAAACTCGTTTTATTCAAAAGTTGGAAAATCACGCCCATCCACTTAAGAACAAATGTAAAAAGAATAATGGCTCATTAAACCTGCTAATTATAATCCACCCTAAAAAAAATTAGTATTTTTAAAAAACAAAAACAAAATTGAAGACAACATCCTTGTATATTGTTATATTTAACCTAGTCCGATGAAGATCTTAAATAAACAATCACAGTTTGGACACTTAATTTAAATAGTCTCGAAAAATAAATAAATATTGCAAAAATACAAACAGACAGTTTTATTCAGGAAATTACATTATGGATAGATCATGTCAATTTATTACAAGAATTTTAAAATGAATATTAGCTTGAACATGTGGGTAAGATACTCTAGTTATTGAAATAAAAATCTATTTTAGATGTAAGTTTGGATAGAAAAAGAAAAATATTGCAGGATATCCTTAATTCATTGTTAAATGATTTTGAATTAAAAAAGAAATATTCAAATGACATCCAAATACTAAAACCTATTTGCCAAAGATTGTTGCAAATCAAATTGGCAGATTTCTAATCGGAAATTCCAAACCAATTATGGCCTAAAATAGATTAAATTTAAAATCAATTTGATAAGATTTTCAATATAAGGAAAGAATTCTTTTTCATGAAACTATTTTAGATAACTTAAAAGATCTTTTCTATTAATTTAGGTTGGATTGTTGATTTTTCAAACTATGAATTAACTCTAAATTTATTAGAGTAATTTTAACAGTTTCTAATTTAATTAGTAAGATACAATTTTCTATCATTAGATACAAAGACATTCTTTTGGGGAAAAGAAATTTAATTAAAATTAACTGCACCATTCCTAAAATGAACTTTTCTTCTAAACCTATAAAAAATCTATTGATGATATAATTAAAATGCTCAAGCTCAATAAGAAACTGTATGACGGTCAAAAGGAAAACCTGTAGGTTTAAGCTATGCTTTAGAGTTATAAACAATAAACATTTGATTAGTTTTAAGAAAAATAATAATGGGCATAAATTTATGTAAGAAATGATATTGATTATTAGAATACTTGGAAGGAAAAATATTAAAATATAAAAAAATAAACATAAGAAGTGCCAGAATCATAAGAAGGAATTAGCTTTGGCTTTTTTTAAACTAAAATGAGTTGGAGTATTTAATGATAAGATTTTTACATTAAAAATTATTCAAGTCACTATTTCCTTGAAACTGAACTAAGTGGTCTAACCTTTTACAAAATTCTATTTTATGATTCTATCACGACCCTTGTTTAATTGTATTTTCTGCTTTCCATATTATATTTCTATTAAGCATCATCACGTTCTTTAGGTAATCTAAAAACTTGAATTTATACCTCTCTAAAGTTGTGCAATTTATTATTTAAATTTATCTGAATTTATAGTAATTTAATCTTGAAGTTCTTTAATCATCTCCCTTAATTTGTTTGCATATGCTCTCACAGTACTGAAATCCATGGACATAAAATTAATAGAATCCAATTAATTATAATCGATTTCTAAAATAATTTAGCTTTATGATTATCTTAATTATTTCGTAGCTGTTTTAATTGTTTTTTCAATAGTTGACGCCTTTTTGGTTAAGGTAGCAGTCACACTATTAGTATCAAGAAAATGGAATAAGCTAAATTGATATGAAAGAGCATACTGTTTATGTTTAACTTTGTTTGGCAAATTAGGTTTGTCTTGCTTGGGAATACTGAAAGATTTTAATCCACCACTATATCCTCCTGTTTCAATTTTATCAATTACTTTGCCTTGCTTTGTTATAATATCATATAAATCCAATAATTCTTCAACAATTTCATTTATTTAAGATCTATATAATATTAAAGATCATACTTCTTTTTCTCTCTATATTTCTTGAATTAATTTAGGAAATTTTCAATTTCTTCGACTTTAGCATTTAACTTTTACTCGTACTAAAATTTATAATGTTCTAATGACTTATTATATTCAGCTTTAATAATCTCTAGGCTTTTATTAAAATCCTTTTCAATTTCAGTTTTGATTTACTTTTTTAATTCTTGAAGCTTTTGATTTTCAACATTTTTTGTTTAAGCTGTTTAAGGAAGATTGAGAATAGAAGCGACTTTGTCTTCTAGTAAATTTTTTGATTCATCCTACAATTTTTTAATAAATTGATCTCTATCTGAGGATAATAATCTAAGTGCATCATCTCCACTCATTTTAGATAATTGTAATTGATCTTTCAATTTTTTATTGATTTCCTTTTATTCTAAGACTTGCTATTAGTATCTCTCCAACTTAGAATGAGTATCCCTTTTCATATCTTCCAGTTGTTTTTTTAATTGTGCATTTTCATAATGATATTCATCGATTTATTGGGATAAACTTACATTTTTTAATAAGGCTTCCTATTAATTCTTGAATATGGTAATATCCTTTGCATTTTTTGCAGATAGTCTTTCTAAATCTATATCCAACCCTAAAAGTCGTTAGAGTTCAAGAAATCTCTTCTTCCTATCAGCATTTAATTGTTCTATTTTAATTTTAAATTCCTCTATCTCATCCTTTAATTTCTTGATTTCCTTTTCTTATTGAACGTTAATCTAAGAATCTAAACCTAACATTGATTGTTATTTTTTAATTGAAACTTAAATATTTTTGGTTCTATCTAAATATTGCAATGTCAATAAGCATTCTTCATAGTTTGATTGACTAGGGTTGATTGCTCCTATTAAAAAGACTTGAGTATTATTTTCAATGATTAATGCTGATGTTAATTTGGATTCCTTTTTTGGTAATATTTTGCTTGGATTTTGGTTGAAAGAATTTAAGCAACGATTAAGTACTTGATGACTGGCAGTTATAAGGATGGCCTCTTGAAATTTCTCCCCTTCAGTTATATTTTTTGCCACTCTCTCAGATCCTGCCAAATCTACAAATTGCAACTTAGTATTGGAGTTTATCTCTAATGTGAGTATAATGTGAGTTCTCATTTATCTTTTGATGTCGGTGTTTCTAACAATTTTGATCATGTCCCAAAAGTCATTGATTAACAATATTTATCGCTTAGTAAACTCCTCAGTTATGAGATTCGTATTTAAATCTCTTATTTAATCCACATAAATCTCTTGAAATGAAACTTAAACATTTGACCCTTTTTGAAGAATCTGTTAAATCAATAAAGGAACGATTCCTGGATTTTAAACATTACCAAATAAGGAGTAACTTTTACCACTGCCTGATTGTCCATAGGATATTATACACCCATTCTTATTCTCATAATCAAAATTAAACACACTTTCAAATAGTTCCTATTATGATGAGGATGCTGGGAAAATCTTATCATACCGATATTGTTGCCATTCTGCTTATTTATTTGTTGGATCCTGCCATTATTTTCATTACAAATACCTTAATAGAGATAACATTCTAATCTATACTTAGCATAGATTGATCATATTCAATTGGTCTTACTCTTAAATAAACTTTATAATTATTCATATAAATCAGTATATAAAGAACTCTCCTGATATTTAATATGTACAAAATCCAATTATACAACTTAATTGAATTTTTCAAACAGGTTCTTTATGTGGATATCTGAAGTCATCCTTATAAAATATATCTTAATTTGAACATGAGATAATTCTCATTGAAATTAGGTTTATCTTTTCATTTTAAATTAGTCGTTTAAACAGTTTACTTATTTCACTCAATAAAGGGTATTTCAAATAAGAATCAATCTACTTTTTATTATCAAGCTCTAAATCAAACTTGTATCTTAAAATAAATTAGAATAAAACACTGTAAAACTTATTCTAGTTGATTATATTTTTACTTTAACCATCAAATCATCTATTGTTTTATCAAATGATTATAGCAGTTAATGACTCTGTAAGTGTTAGATTACTCATAATTTAATTCATTAAATACACGAGATTAGCGAGAAACGTTTAATTGATTTTCGTGGAATATGCATGTTTGGATTAGTATGTGTTATGAAAGGTCGCTTATGAAGAATTAATGAAGTGGAAGTAGATAAATTATTGATAAATTGGATAATCTGCTAATACAAATTATAAATTATTCGTTTTTACAGAGAATTGATAAGCATTAATATAAATATATTATGAAGACAATTCTGCTTATTTTATTGGGCATGCAGATCTTGCTGGCTCAGGACCCTTGGGTAACTCATTATACAGCATTTACATCAGCAGAAATAACTGATTTGGATGGTAAAGAATGATCATTATTCTAAGGCTGGGTTGTAAAGAAGGCATTTAAAGGAAACACTTTTAGTAAGTGTGATAAAGTGAGTTTGGTTGGTGGTTATGGAGCATTTGGAAAAGGAGCAACAGCATTAAAATAATTGAATCTTCCTCCACATTATAAATTAAAGATTAATGTGCAGTTATGGAAGTACAAATTAATTTCTATAATAAACCTTTAGAATAGATAGTTGGGATAATGAAATTATGTTTGTTTTGGTTGATGGATTCATATGGCAAGCAAAATGGCATTATTCAGAGGGAGCAAATTTATGTGGAGCAGCAAATGACTGGAAAGAAGCCTTTTATAATATTGAATTTGAAGTCCCACACAATTCACCAACAGTAAGTATAGTTTTGACATCTAATTTGGATGAAGATGCTTTGAATGTAAAATTCACTATGTATCATAGGAATCTTGGGCATTCAGAGATTTCAAATTGTCATTCCAAAGATGTCATTCAGAATGTGCAGTTTGTGGAGATAATAAACCAGATAATTGTTTCTTTTGGACAAATGTAGCTACTAATTGGAATAAATAAATTTCATTAGAAGGATGGACATTGGATGGAGAAGGAAAAGCTGAATCAAATGAATGTGCAGGAGTACAACTCTTTGGTGGTTTTGGAAAATTAGGAAGAAAGGCCAATTTGTGGAAGAGATTCACAAATTTACCACCCCACTATTAAGTCAAGGTGAAAGTTTAAATGTGGAAGATTGATTCTTGGGATAACGAGTTGTTCTTAATGGAAATTGATGACTAAGAGAAATTCAGACAAGCATTTGCTTATAATGAAGGAGTAGATCTCTGTGGTGTTGATACAGGTGCTAAATAAGGAGAAGGATGGGCTGAAAAGATAGTTAATATTGAAATTAATGTCCCTCACAAATTCCCTGAAGTCAAAGTTTTAATGAAATCTACATTGGATGAACCACCTGAGAATGAATCATGGGGAGTCAGAGACTTCTAATTATTTGCTGCCCAATGTTTCAAAGGATGTACCGGTTGTACTGGACCAGCTAAATCTGATTGTACTTCATGTGGATAAGGTTTCGATCTCGTCAATGGTGAATGCAAAGAAGGAAGTAATTAAATAGATATATAAATTGATTAGTTAAATGGATGACATTGAACAGATTCTTCTTTAATGATGAATAAGATTTCTAAGGATTGTATGATTGGGTTCCATCAAATGTATTCTAAAATTAAAATCCATTTTCAACATGTGGATAAAAGAAATTGTTTGGTGGTTATTAAAGATTTGGTGCCAAGGGTAAGGCCGAGAGAAACTTCAATCTTCCCAAACATTCAAGACTCAGAATATAGTTCTAATTCTGGAAGATAGATTCATGGGATGATGAGAAATTCTAACTCTTCGTTGATGGCAAGGTAGTCTTTGAAAGATCCTTTGGATTCAGTACTCCAGGATAAGCCAAAATCTGTGGAGCTCCTTAAAGCACTTGGATGACTTACTTTTTCAACGTTGATGTCATTCTTGAACACACTAACCCCACTGCCAACGTTGTCTTAAGTTCTACATTAGATTAAGCTGCTGATGATGAATCATGGGGTTTCAGAGAATTCCAAATCCTTTATGAATTAAAAGAAGATTGCGTTGAATTATATACTGAATGTGGATTCAAGGGAACAAAATTTGAAATCTGTAGAGATACTCCATCCCTTGCGAGAGTAAATATTAATATATAATCTCTAGGAAAAAATAAGTTAAGTCAAATCAATAAAGATTCCCCCTGGAGTTGTTGTCTAAGGATTTGATGAAGAAGTTTACAAAGGAAAAACTGTCAAGTTTTCATAAAGTTAAGATTGTCTAGAAGAAATCTAATTTTCATTCATCCAAAAAAAATTTGAAATCATCCAAGCCGATGATTCTGTCCTTGCTGCAAATTTAAGACGTATCAGATTTGATTGATTTATAATCATAAGACATAATTATTTCTATCAATCACTTTTTTTTGATTTGATGTTTAATGTTTAAACTATTACAAATCTTCATGAATCTCTAAACAAATCAACATTAATCTTATTATTGTAAATCAAAATATTTAATAACTTTAATGAATTATAAGAATTTGGAATCTCCAATATAGCTTTTAAACACATACTTTTTGACTCATTAATTTTTACAATTAATATTAAATAAAATCGAATAATCTAAAAGATAAAATATATTTCAGCAAATGACAATTACATAATTTCCTAACAATAAATGCAAAAGATATAATAAATACTAAACTTAATAATCAATTATTTTTAAAATTTCATGAATAGATTAAAACGATCAAGTTGAATGTCATACAGGAAAAATTGCTAAAATTTCAATTTAAAAGGAATTATTATTCAATGCAATTCCATTAACTCTAGTCTTATTTTTAAATTACAAAGTAACACTTTTCAATATTGCCCATCCTAAATATGTTTCAAAACTAAAAGATATCAAGCCAATTCTTAAAATTTGCAAGTAATTTTAATAAAGGTTTGAAGATAAATCTTAATATGTCAAGAATTTAGACTTACATCAAATTTACTATAAAGGATAAAAATTGAACATTAAATACTTCCTAATTCTTTATAAAATTACAGTATATTAAAACATTATTTTTCTTACTTATTCAAAGTTTAATATGCAGTCAATACTAAAATAATATATCCCTAACACTCTTTTCAATTTTTGAAGATATGAAGACTTTTTAAATGCTTAAAAATTAAAAACATAATGAATTATTTTTAAATTATTATAAGTATTTGATTGTCCATATTTCGTAAAATAATGATACAATAATCAGAGAAGAATTATAGATTCTAGTATTTTTCTTTTATCTACGTTTAATGGTTCACCTAGTTATATTCGAAAGTTAATTTTATAGAATTAAAATTATAATTCAATCAGTAAAAAATAAAGGTTCTTGTATGAAAAATAAGTATTCTGTGAATAATAATCATGAATTTAGTAGCTATTTATCTCCTTATTATTAAATTTCTTCTTCTTCTTGATTTAATTTGACTTTTTTTTCTACTGGAGAGACTTCGACTTCTTTTTATTCATTTTGTATCTGTGGCTGTCTATAGAGTTCTTTATGATAAGCATCAAGCTATTTCATAAAGCCCATATTAGGTTGGGCTATTCTTCGCTTTGATTGAAGGAGTTTGAGGGCTTATAGTGGAGTCATTTGTTGATATTTAATTAAATAAGCTATAACGAAGGAAGCAGATCTAGATTTACCAGCAAAACTTTAATTAATATGTAAAAATACCAATGAATTAGTACGTTTGAATTTTTTTGGATAGCTGAATGAATGAAATCATTAGCCATTTCGAACTTTGACTTGATTTCCTAATCTACGCTATCGTTGATATTAATGAGAAGAGATTTAAAATCTTCTGTTTAGTACGGAAATATCGGCATCTCACACACACTAAGTATGTGGGTTATTTAAACTTTAATTTATACATCTAAATACATTCACATAGTTTTTTTTTATTTAATACTGTTCCTAAACACCCTATATATAGATTTGGTATGACCAAATTTGGCGAACTATCTTCTTTTAGCTGTTTCACGACTAAAAATGCCTTAACCTTCTATAAAATAGCTTTGACATTTAATTCTTCTGGAAAATCTGCTAATTCATCTAGAGCATCGAATTGTTCCATAGAGCTTTTCATCGAATAAAGTTTTAGATTTTACTTAATTTATGAAATTTAATTAATTGTTAGAAAAAAAATATATATTTCATATTTGAATCCATTATGCTTTCTTCTCTCATATAAATCATGTTTTACATATCTCCTTTATCCTTGAATAAAATTGTTCTGAATGATTTATTGCTCAATCAGAAATTATGATCTAAAAATACATCCTCTTTAATTTCAACAATGAAGTATGAAGCAAATCTTTAACACACTAAGTTTAGAGATGTTTTGTAATTCTAATAAGCTATAAAAGCTATTTAATATTTCAAATAGAGAACTTTTCCTAGAATTTCTAATAAAAATGGTGTATTGAGACACAGAAATCTTATTACTATTATTCATCCAGGAGTATTAAAAATACTCTTTGAAATATGAAACAACAATTATCCTTATGGTTAAACTCTTATTTCATCATATTTGGAAATATCATGTCACTTATCATTAATTAGTTTAAGAGATAAAATTGGAGTTTGATCTAACTTAGATTGAATTTTTTCATACATTTAATTAAAATAATTGAAAGGTGATTATTAATTTCTAAAGCTTTTGATGATTGTTATTCTCTAATTGAAATAATATATTTTATTTTTATATATGAATTTATAAACCTATTATAGATTCAATAATCATTATATTAGTCAATAGATTTTAAAAAGCAATCTAAATACATTAATAATATTCATCTGTTATTTCGGAAAAATAAGACGAAATAATATTTATTTGTATCTTAGACTTCCATAGCCTGCTTGTTGGGGGAAATTTTATGCTTTGTCGAATTTTTAGATATCTCTTAATCAAAAAGTGAATTAAGAACAATGAATACTGACTTAATTGTTTAATTTTCAATAAGAACTCTGATATTTGTATGGTGAATGATTTGTCTCATTTAATGAGAAATGCTAAAATCTAAATGCCCTATTCAAACATTTATTTTTTACTAGTGACAAAACTTTGTGTCAGTGTTTTCTATCTATATTCATTTTTTTACATAGTTATAGAAATAACAATTCTCTTTTACAATAAATTTTAACTCTATTTACGAATTCGAAAGTACTTTAGCAATAATCATTGATTTTAATCATACTAGTGACTTCAAAACTCTAAAAAGAGCAAAATAAATCAATATTTAACACTTGAATATAGATATAATCTAAAGTTGCCCTTTTTCACATATAAATAGTTTAAGGCTCAAATGATTTTAGTTGAATTTGATAGGGCAAAATATTTTCAAGAATGAAAATATTTAAATTAGTACAAATTTATGATGCTAAAGATAGAGATTGTATTAGTGCAAATATCAATAATTTGTTTTGAATATAATCATAATAAATATAGACATAATAATATTATGTCTATATTTACTTTTTTTATTAAATTTATTGTTAAATCTGCTCTATCACAAGATTGATATTTCACTTGCCAAACTCAGATCAAATGACTTAAATTGTAAAAATTGCAAAGAGAAAAACTTTATAATAGTCAGTTTATCTAAAAGACAAATTTTAAGGTTATGATGATCAGTGTTTGTATGAAAAATATCATGAAATTCAACAGACTTGCTAATAAAAAAACCTAGTTGATAGGACGTAGCTCGAAAAAGAAAGAAGATGCACAAGAATAGACTGTTTAAATGATTTTATTTTTTCTTTTGATTCAACTTTGGATAGAAAAGTATGAACTCGAAATTTGAAGGCTCATACAATTATATTAATTTAAGTTGATGACGCTTATAAAATCTTGTTATTTTTTTGCTTAGATTTTGAGAGATTTCAAGGAATGATTTTAATATTGTGGCAGTTTCAAAAGTTCAAAGAAGTCTTATTAGAAAATGTTTGTCTAATGAAAGATTTCTGCATTTGGTTTATATGAAAAGTGATATATATTTTAAATTAATTTAACTTATTAATTAGTGTATAGAGGTGTTGTAATACAAAATTTGAATTGATAAGAGCATAAATAAGATGCTTGAGTGTGTTTAAATAATCCAAATAAGAATTTTCCCATTTTCACATAATATTAAGATCTATCATTTTATATTGGTTTGGACTCTTCTCTTGAAGAATACTAAATTATTATCTTCAGAATGATTGAGATCTTCAATATACATTCATTATGTATCAAAAGAGTGAAACATGGCGTATTCACTTTGAAGTGAGTTGATGAACTGATTTTGCTGTTTTATGGTTTTGGAAAGGTGAGACAGACTTAAGGGTGTTGTTCACAAGAAGTCAACAGTTAATGAAATTGATTGGGATCGATGAAAAGGGATTGATATGAAATTACTCACAATGATGGTTTGGAAAATTAAAAAGATAAATAAATGCATATATGAATTAAAGTATGAGAATTGGCTCAAGAAATAAGTGGAGAATGAATAAGATTTGGATGGATTGATTGTTTTTAGGCTTATCAATATAAGGGCAAAGAATTATTTATGAAACAAATAATTATTTTCAATAAGCATTTCTTCATCGAATAAATAGGTTCTGGATTTGATAATATTAAGTTAGTAGCTAACAATGAAGAATTAACATGATGAATAGTAGGAAAATTAAAATAATAGCGCATATTTCGAAGACAATAATGGAATTGATTTGGGCATACGCAAAGTGATAAAATTAGGAGAGAATGGAGATAAGACTTGTAACAGAATCAGCATTAATTTAGCCACCAAATTGCAATACAAATAGCAAATAGTCACAGAATAACAAAAATAAGTGATATAACAAATTAAGCATCTTGCTCGATAAGGCTCACATATGTATGTAACTATCTTTATATTTTATTTTGATTGCTGTGAATACAGTTTCCCTTATTCTTTATATTAGATTATTGCATATTTATTATTATTTTAGCACCGGATATTTGGAGCTTCCAACAGAGACAATAAAGTAATATAAAAAGAAAGCCAATTCGGATGCCTTGATAGACGAAGTTTTATTAGAGTAAGTACTTTTTCATCACTCTCCAAAACACTATTTCCTTATATTCATCATTTATTTTTTCATAATATTTTACTTAGTAAGTTTTTACCACCAAACTCAATCACTCCACTTATTTTCACCAAGAAATTACCACAAGGAGGACAGTATCGCCAAAAAGGAACTTAACCATTGTGGGTAAATGCGTTTGAAAGTCTCCTAAGTGTTGTGGTCTAATTGTATTACAAGAGTGATCAGAAATTAGCTGAATTTATGAAAGAAAAGGTTTTGATTGATAGCAAAAGGGACATTAAGCAAGTATTTTTTATAAGTATAAAAGGAAAAGAAACCAGGCAGAAAGAAGAAAATTCTTGATAACGATTCTCCTAATCAAGAACAAATAGAATAATAGTAGCCAAACAGCTAGAATGTTTACTCTCTTTTACAGCAAGATGTCCTAGATATACTTATTTCTCCCTTAAGGAACGATTTTCCATTCGGTATTCTATCCATTTTATCTCATAGAAACGTGGACCACAAAAGAAATTGCCATTTTTGAATGTGGATTATGTAGATATGGCAAATAATACGAATTCTTATCACATCTAGTAATATTTCTCTTTTATTGACATAGATTAAAACAAAAAATGCATAAGACATTATCTAATTTTATTACAATTGGAAATTCACTAGCCACTATAAGTTATGGAAAATAAATAAAGCATATTATCATCGTAGCAACCTCAACAACTATGTTTGAAATGATTTTATTTGCAATCCCCTGTTTTATTTTATTAATAATACACTATCAAAAATTGAAATTCTATCCATAAATTCATTTCTATATCACTTTAGAATAATAATCTAAAAAAACATATAGATTAATGTTGTTGTTCATATTTCACTTAATAATAATTTCTATATTAAAATTTCGGTTCTTATTGTTTAGCATTTATGATTAGTTTATAAATACAAATTATCAAAATGAAAACAACATAATCTCAAATAACAATACAATAAGTATATATTAAACGTTATCATTATTAGATATTTCTAATTTCTTCAATAATAAACATCTCCCATCCAACCTTTGGTACTTTTAAATTTACAGCCTTCTCATAGGCATCCTAAAGTAATAAGTTTTTTCCTGGATGATTATGAGGTAGATTTAATTTTATCTAGACGGCTAACTAATAAAATGCTTTTTTTTAATCCTAAATAATATTCAATTGTGTAACCTCATTTTAAATTATTGTTGGACTGCTTCCCTCTTTTCGAACTGCCATCCCATCAAAATCCCTTTAGTATTAAATATCCGATACAATACTATTAGAGATTCTGTTGGTTTTTGTCTCAGGATTCCTTACATCCCATTCCGAGTTTATTTAAGAAAGCACTTCATTATCTACGTTTTATTCCAAATATTATGCTCTCAAATACTTCATATTTTCAAGGTCTTCCTTTTAAATTTTCTTAAACAATTCTTATTCTAATTTGGCTTGTTCTAAATTACTAAATAATATTATTTATGTTACGCTTTTTCTATTTCGACCTATTTATTTAATCTATTAAGTTCATTATATAAAAAACTTTCATCTTCCATTTAATTATTTTAGCTTTCTTCAACGAATTATAATTTTAACTGTTTCTCTTATGACACTGCTAAGACCCTTTACAATGTAAGGATCATAATAAATCGTTTTTGATCGAAGTTTTATTAGTACTTTTGATATTGTTAACCCAATAATTCATTATATTACTTGAGTTTCTTATAATTATAAGAACATTAGATGATTTTTGTAATGCAACCAATTATCTCCTCGCTATTCACCAAATCATCTCCTAACTACTTAGATTATATAATGATATTCTATTTTAATTGTTCCAATTTGTGATTCAAATTCAGAATTAAAGTATGAGCAGTTTGAGTTTTTGCTTATTGCTTAGATTTTGCTAAGCATCTAATAGAATGGGAATCTACATCCTCAAAAGGGATAAGATCTTCACATATTACGCATAATACTTGTAAATCATCTTATTTATTGCCATTATTCTTTGAGAATGTTTGATTTGTTTGTTGTGTTTGTTTAGTATCCTTTTAATTTGATTATTTTTACCATTCAGGTAGAATAGCTTTAGGTTGAGTTCTTTAAAATTTTATTGCTTTCTCTGCTTATAAAAACAATTCCTTTTGATCCAACCTTTCTTGTTGTTTCGTTATTAATTTTGGTGATTGAGGTAATTAAGTAGGAGATTAAACTGAATAGATTTATTTTTGAGGTTAAGGAATAATAATCTGTTGTTAAGAAGTACGATTACTTTATAATTCAGATTATTAGTCTAAAATAATGTTATTTTTGTGCGGAGACTGAATTTTTCTAGAGTATTATTATAATTGAGCATCTAATACATATTCATTATTATCTTAACCTTTATTTACAATAGTTCTTTGTAATACTTTTTGATTTGTCATAGGTTAGACCATTTAGGAGTAATAAACATCTGAATTTTTTTTATTGGCTAAAGGTTCAGAATTTTTATTAATAAAGCTTGAATGCCTTAGTGGCAAGACTGGTGCAGAAGGCGAGGGTGATGTTAGAGATTAATTTTATGAGTTTTCAACGTTGACAATTTCAGTAATTTTTATGGTTTCAAATTAGTCAGGACTGTTAATTCTTAATTTTTCTGTTTTGGAATTGTTATAAGTGTTTTATTTAATTTCAGAATACTATTTTTATTCTATTTATTTCTATAAGGTTGGGGATACGAACCTACTTCTTGGAGGTGTATTTTAAATGATCATATTAGTTTCAACAGATGTTGGATAATTATTGTTATATGAGGTTGAATTGTACTTTATTTGTTCGTTACCCTGTAAAGTATACTAACTTGGCTACTGTAAATTGGATTATTATCTTAAATTTTAATCATATGGTTTGTATGCATCAATAGGTTTATTTTCATAAGTTTGTATGGTTGAGTACTTGTTGGTATTGTTGAAATTATTAATTCTATTGGAACTATCTTGTATCGGTTAACTAAATGGTTAATAAAGTGTAGGAGAAATAAATTTATTATTAATGTGGAGATCTTAAACTTGATCTTACAATTCGGCTCTTAATTCTTCATCACAAAGTGTTTGGGCATTTTTGGTATTATGATTAAATTAACTTGGTTCTTCAAGTTTTCTGTAAATTGAATCCATCTGTTATAATGGTTTTTAGAAAGCATCCTAATTTAGGACACCAAAAAACGAAGAATTAATTAAACTATCATCATCAGAATACTTGATGATTTCTTAATTATATTTTTTCTAGTCAACTACTTGTGTTAGAGTGAGCGTATTATTGTGGAATTAGCTCTCTGTGGTTCCTCTGTAAGCAGGAGATTAATCAATGTAGAAATTCCTATTATCAAATGGTTATATCATGCTATCATTCAGCCGAGATGAAATGTCTGTTTCTGATGAAAATATTTTTTCAAAATCACATGGCAACTCCTGTCCAATTGTTGGTTGAGGAATCTTGGGTATGTATTCAGTTCTACGATGACTCATTGATATGGAATGATCTAGAGGTTGAAAAACTGGGTTAACAAATTATTTCATTTATATTAATATTTAAAACTATCCAAGGCAATCAAAGCAAGTTCCTTAACTTCCTTGGGAGATTTTAAAATTTGCAGTATAATTTTTAATATCCCATCCTTGATAGCCAATCTAAAAGCTGGCTCGTAACTCTTAATATTCACATCCATAACAAATTAGAGTATGGCCACTCGAAGTTGAATATTTTGAGTTTTGCAAATTACAGAAAGAATTGTCAAAGTATGTTTCACAAACATCATCTAAATGGTGACATTCCAATAAGGAAGGGATTACCTCAGAATTTCAATCATTAATTCATCCGAATCTATCTAAGTCAAGTTTTTCATTATTGATAATATAAATTCTTCATTATACACAACTCCTCTGAACTCCTTTTCTACATTCTCAATTAGTAAAAGCAATTCTAACATATGAAATCGACATCTCTCTTTTGATTTGAAATTTTGGATGACTGATCTTCGAATCTAAATAAGATGTTTTAGAATTGGCACTTAAGTTGAATTTTAATTCATTTTATTTAAAAAATGTAAAATTAAATTATTCTTCCTTGGTAGGAATTTGACTGACTATTTACTAATGCAGACAATTTGAATGAAAAAATTTGATCCTCAAATATTGAATTTACTTCAACTATACAAATTATTTTCTATTGATCTGATTTTGTTATCCAAGTTAATTTCTTAAATGGTTAGAATAATAAATAATAGTAGATTATTAATAATGGAATTATTTTTGAATTGGGTATTTATCTAACATATCAGAGATAGATTTAGTTCTTAGAGATTTTATCAAAAATCAATTACTAATAAAAATATTAATTGAAGCTAAAATTGGATGAAACTTCTTAATTGCAGAAACTAGGAATTAATTCCAAAATTTCTAAGTTAATCATGTTTGCCAATTATTTATTTTTGTTTTATTTAGGTACATTCTTTTAATTAATTGTAAATAAAAATGAAGTTCTAATCAACTTTTAAAAATAAGCACAATCAATATTTATTGTGGTAGTACTGAAATCAGGATAAATTCTTTGAATGATAAAATGTTCAAACAGAGTTAACCAATAATTTATTATTGAGCTTCCTGCAATAGCTATATTCATTTGACTTAAGAACTAATACTATTCATCAATTTCTTGATAGTAAGATGAATTGCCATGGCCTAAGGCTTAGAAATTTATTTATTTTATCATTTTTATAGTGGTCTTTTACATTTTTATTATTATGAATATTTTAAATAAATTATCACCACAGTTTAGGGAATTTCTTTAAGAGGAAGGAATCGACGAAGAAATCTTTTTGTTTGAGTAAACCCTTCGTTATATTCGAATAAAGCCTGATTATTAGATTACTTTTGAATAACTTTAACAACAAGTGTCAAATTAAATACTACCTATTTATGAAATCCCAACATTATACTCTCTTCCCGCAGATGAAAAAATCAGTAATCTCTAATTGTATAAGGATGGAAACTTATATGGAATTGATAAATCAAGTGCTGCAGTGGTTTATTCATTGGACATCAATAAAAATGACACTAATTTATTGGAGATTTGTTGTGCGCCAGGAGCTAAATTAACTTTTATAGCAGATTTATTGAGACTCTAAACGAAAGAAGATGGAATTTAAAGAAAGGTATTTGGAGTTGACATCTCATAAAATAGATTAAATATTACTCAATCAATAGTTAATAAATATAAATTAGAAAAATTTGTTGAATTGATATTAGAAGATGGAACAAAATATAAAAGCGAAATACTATTTGATAAAGTTTTGATTGACGCTGAATGCACACATGAGGGTAGTATAAAACATTTAAAAAAATACATAAATAAACCCATTCAAGAAAAAAATACGAAAAAGCAATAGAAAAATAACAAGGCCTCTAAAAAACAATTGTAAAAAAATTACACTAACACCTACACAACTGAACAAACAAAAGCAAATGAATGGACTGAGGAGGATTTTAACAGCAGATTTTTGGATTAAAAGAAATTATAATAAATCTATGACTTATAATTTTCTTTATTAGAGAATGGATATAGACTTCTTAAATAAAATGGAATGTTAATTTATAGCACATGCTCCTTTTCTTAAAAGCAAAATGAAGATTAAATAATCAAGTTTTTAGAATTAAATAATGACGCCATTTTAGTTAATCCATTTTATAGTATGAACTAATAATAATGTAAATCGGGCAAAATTTTTAACACGATTAGATTCGATCCAAAAGTATCAAATACAGGTGGTATGTTTATTGCAAAAATTAAGAAATTATGATATCAGAAAAATATAATTTAAATCATTTTTTACTTCAAATAATATTGCGTTTTTTTGCTTTTTAGGTGATACTATCAATCACAATCTTGCTTTAAATTATTTTATAAAATTTTTACTTCTCACTTCTTCTATAAATTTAAAAATTCGACTAAAATGATTAAATTAACTCTTATAAAGCCAACCATTGATTCAAAATTTTTTGGATTTTCATAAGTCTTTTCTTAAAAAAACTAAGAAAGTTTAATTTCAATGAAAATTGAATTGTTTCTTTTGAAATTCCTAGTGCAAAAAATTATAAATAAGTATTATTTTAAAATGATAGAAGTCGAAATCCCAGATATTAAATGTTTAATTGAAAACCATACTCAATTCATCTAATAGGTTTGTTTGAATAAATAGTGCACAGACTTAAGATTGATTTGCAATTAATGTCTTAAAAAAGGACTCCATTAACAACACATGAAAGATGTTCAAGGATTGAACTAATTAGTCAATTTTATTGATAATAATAATAAGTAATGTGATAGTCTATGTGAATCGATCAGCAAATAAGGTGATCTTGTTTTGGACTCATACTTAAAATTGAAAAATGAAATTAAAAACAAATATCACATCTCAAAGGAAAGACTTTTGAAGATAGATTCTAATTAACTGAATTAAGCAATTGGTTAAATGATTTCTCTTGCTGATTATAAAATATCTATCTCAAAGATTATCACGGATTTATCAAATGAATACAAGTTGAAAATCGACAAATTAAAATAGGAATTATTAATAAAGACTGTGAATTTTTCTGAAGTCAGCAAAGATGACGAGAAGTCATCTACGAATTTATTCAATAAGGGTAGGTTGTTGAATTAATTTAGGTTTTGCCTTATTTAATAATCAAAAATTCGATGATGCCATTTAAGTAATTGATTAGACATTGAAATTGAATCCAAACAATAGAGATTCATTATGGTGTAAAGGTAATTCATAGTTTAAAAATAGGTGAATGTTTAATAATGAAAAACAATTTAAAGGAAGCTTTGAATTTTTATAATTAAGCCATATCAGTGGATTCAAAGCATTTGAACTCACTCTCATCTAAAGGTAAATAAATCCTTAAAATTATAAGGTGATTGCTTAAGAGGACTTGGATAATTCAATGAAGCCATAATCCTGTATGATTAAGCATTATCCATTAATCCAAAACATTTGGACTCTTTATATGGTAAAGGTAACAGCAGTTTCCTTATCAATTAGGTGATTGTCTAAGAGAGCTTGGTAAATATGATGAATCTTTAAAATGGTTGAATCAAGCTCTTTAAATCTAGCCAAAGGATTACTTTTCACTTTAATCCAAAGGTAATTTAAAGTTATATAATCAACTTATAAAGGTGTGTGCTTACAAGAAAAATAGAACTTTGTTGAGGCTTTAAATTGCTTTGAGTAAGCTTTAAAAATCTCTCCAGTTGATCAATTTATTAAAATGAGAAAAAGTACATATATTAATTCATTGCAGATAAATGTGAGTAAGCCTTAAAGAAGAGTTGAGTATATTAAATTAAAAAAATAAAACAAATAGTATTTACATTTATTTACATTTATTAGTTAAAATAAATGATTTCCTATTAATATAAATTTAAAAATCTCTACTTAACAGAATAAAATAATATTTTTAACTCCGCTGAATTAAGTGAAATAAAATTTTGAGCCATCTTTAATCTATTCGGTTCTCAAAGCTGATTGATTGTAACTCTGTTAAAGAGATCGCATTAAATAATAATCATATACATTGATTACAATAAGGTTCCCTATTTTTGATACTTTACTTCAAAGTGAGCACCCTTACTTTTTTGTTACAAATAATGCCTTAGATTTTAGAAATTCAACTTTTCGATAGTTTAAATATCTAATCGAGACACTTTAATAAATCGTCAATCCTCTTAAGTGGAAATATATTTGAAGTGATAATTCTATAGAATATTATAAAATTCATGACTAAGTATTTAATTAATATATATAGCTTAAATCAAAAAGAATTTTAATTTAGCTCATGATAGGGGATAAATTTTTATATTTATTCTGTTTTATTGAATAAATATATATTTCATTTTGATATAGTCAATTTTTAATATTGAAGAAAAGAAAATGTCTAACCAAATTAATTGATTTAGTTAACAATCCAAAATCTATTCCATCTAGTCAAAGCAAGATATATTTACACATTGCATTAATTTATGTGAAGAAAATTGAGAAATTTGGCTGCAATGGTATCCATTTAATTTATGATGTTAATTGATCTTTATTCTTAATGTATTCGTAATGGTAGTATTTAATGAAAAGGTTACTTTCAATATATTTGCAATTATTTATTAGTTAGTAAGTTTAAATAAAATATACACCTATAAATTTCTATAGACAATTGCTATATAAATGTAAAAATGATAATTCAATAGAAATATCTATTATTTTATATATAATAATTCTAATCATGTCGATTTATTTCATCATTAGTGTTCCATAGATGCGTATTCCAATTCCAACATATATAGACCTTTCACTAAAGATGATATTCATAATTACAATAATTCTATTAATACTCCTCGTTACTAGGATCTAGACTTACAGCTTTTTATGAAAATAATATCGCTTCTTTAAATTTCCCAATTTTTATTAAGGTTTTTGCTATAATTATAAGATTAAAATATAGACCCATTAAATCTAATGCATAATGAGTGTCTGGACTAATCTTTAGACCTTTATTAATCCAAAAAATGGCGGCATCATTTTTATTTAGACGTTCTAATGAAAGACCTAAAGTTTGAGAATAAAAATTTACCTATGTTAAAAATAACTACTTCATCCTATGGGTTTAATTCGTGTGCTTTCAACAAATATATAATCGATTAGTCAAAGAGATGCAAGTTTAGTAATGATCTTCCTTATTTGTTAGTCAAATTATAATATACCCATTAGATTCCATATTCCAAATTCTGTTTAATGGAGTTTAAGGGCTTCACTTAAAGTTAAAACTGCACCTTTAAATCTACCTGAATTAAATAAAGACTTTCCTAAATTTATTAGTTTTAACACATTTACCTTTGTAAAAAAATGCATAAAGATTATTTGAATTTAAAGCAATTGATAAGTCAAAAATCTCAATTGACTCTTCATATCTCCCTAAGCTAAATAATGCTATTCCTAAAGCAATTATGCTAAATTAAATTCAACCTTTTTTCAAATGGTTTTCAGAATTTTTTGGATTACTTTTTATAGCCCTATCTAAATATTCAATAGATTCTTCTTCTCTATCTAGATTTATTAATGTAGATCCTAAAATAATTATTCAAAATTAACCATACCCATTAAATAATTTAGAATAGGATGATCTTTTGTTATTGAAAGGGCTTAACCAAAACACTCAACAGCTTCTTCTAGTCTATCTAAATTAGTTAATGCCATTCCTTAATTATTAATTTGTAAAAATACCTTTGTTGCCGAGAGCTATATCTCCCCTTGGGTTTAACTTAAGTGAAATATCAGCAAATTCAATCGCCTCTTCATAACGTTTTAATTAAACTAATGCTCCAGCTGAAGTAAACTTTCAATATTATTTTTACCTATGGTAGCATAAGGTATATATTTCTTCTAATCTAATCGAATAGCTTTTAGACATTGTTAGATTGCTTCTTGAGGTCGCTGTAATGAGGCTAAGGTCCTTCCTAAAAAAGATATAAAACTTTACTAGACTTACCCTTGATATCATAAGCCAATTAAAAATTTTCATCCATTTAAATTAACCTATCACAAATTTCAAGAGCTTCTTCATATCTAAGTGATACATATAATGCCCTTGCTTTTATTAATTTAATTATATAATACCCTTAGTAGCATAAGCACGTTTATGACAAGTAGCATTTGAAAGTTCTTTATCACACAATTCAATGGCTTCTTCACATCTCTTTAAATTAATTAATGCAGAGGCTAAAATTAAATCCTATTGAAAATTACCTTTATTAATATTTAACATCTCTACATTGTCACCAAGTTTCTGAGCTTCATTATAAAATTTATAAGCTCCATCAAATTCATCAAAGTCCTCTAGTGATTACGCTAAATTGAAAATAAAAACAAATAATACCTAACTGAATTAGAAATTCTTGATTTGTAGGATCTATTTTTTTTGCTTCATTGAAACATTCAAAAGCCTATTCATATTTTTTTAACTGAGCTAATGCAATCCCTTAAATAGTTTGTAGATAAATTTTACCTTTGTGAAGAATCAGTAGTTAGTTTTTTGGATTTACTGCAATTGCTTAATCAATATATTCCCAATATTCGTCATATTTACCTAATTTTATTAAGAGGTTTCCTTAAGAGTTAAAAATAATTCTACCTTTGCGCCTTTATAATTCATCATTCTTTTAATTGTCTTTGAGAAGTTCGTTCTCTTTGATTTTTTCTTCTGTCTCTAATAAAACTAATTCATAATATATCTCATCAAACTGATATTAATTATTAATTATTTCTTTAAATTGATATACTCATGAGATTACATTTTAATGATTCTTCGTCAATCGCCTCGTTTTATTCTTATTTGGCTTAATTTGTTATTGTAATATTTTATTATTATGATGTCTCTTCTTGCTAATCATACTAAATCATTTTCTTTTAGTTAGAAAGATATTTTTGTATTTCTATTATTTTTATTTATATTAATAAGATATTTCTTCTTCTTTTTTAATTAAATTCAAGAGATTTTCTGATCAATTCTGACAATTTTTCATAATGAAACTACTAAAATTGATTTGCTTGTTAATAATTTTAAGTTAATAGAAGACTGCTTTTCGAGATACCTAAGGTGGTTGTGAATTATAACTGCCCTAAAACATAATATAGTAAATTAACTATATTCATGATTCCTTAACTTTTAGTTGAATGTATCTCGAATAATTTATATCAAAAATTTATACATTAGATGTCATCAAGAGCATTCAAAAATGAATTATATTTCAAAATATATCACTCCGCTTTTTTCAATTGGACTAACTATCGACTATTTAGTTAGGTAATTCTTAATTAGTGAGACGACATTCGTCATCTGAAGTTTATTCTAACCATTTAAGAATCTATGAATTGATCTCTATTTTATGGTTATAATTATAATTAAATAATTAATTAGAGAATAATTGTACTATTTATTTAATTCATACTTAAGCAAATTGAGGAGACAGAGATTTGATAAGAGTAAGACTTCTCCTTTAAATAATACACAGCAAGAAGAAATTTTGTAATATGACATTCATTTACATTGAAAACTAAAGCTAGTAATGAATTATGAATAAATTTTTCATAGATTTCATAAATGTAATAAGTGCATATAAACGAATGTTTATATAATTATATCTTATCATAATATGTTTTTAAAATATTTGAATTACTATGTAAATCATTTCGAATACGTCAGCTGAAAAGCTAGACATTTGTTGAAATTATCTGACGGAACCATGTTTATCGCTAAAGCTACATTTGATAAGCTTTAAATTAGGTCTGAATGTAATTCTAGAAGAACCGATGGAATTCGAACTCATATTCGCAATAAAACGGAAAAGGAAAAATTGATAGTTCTTATAAGCTCTAAATTAAATAAAAGAACACATAATTCAAGAAAATTCACCTTAGTTAATTTGGAAATATTAAAAATGATAAGCAGAAGATAAAATATTTAATAATATTTTATAAACATTAAACTATAAATTTAATTATAATCCAATCTACCTTTCTCATTTAAGGATTAAATATGTTTAGGATCAATAGATAACGCTTTATCCACCCAAATTATGCATCTTCATTTTTTATTTAACAAGCATATATATAAATTAAAAGACTTAAATAAAAACATAGTATTTAATTAATAATATATGTAATAGATTTATACTAATATATTTAATTTACCCTAAGAAAATTATCTCGGGCAGGTATTGATACTATATACTATCCTAATTAAAATATTGTACCGTTTGCTATCTTTAGAATGTCTCGACAACAGAATAAATATGGGCTATTTGTTCATTAATTAATTTTTAACTTTTCAATTCCTGATTGTATCAGCTACTGGAACTCATTTGAAATTTGCGAACTTAATTGATAAACATAGGTCTTGTTTCCCGGTGTCAATTAGTGTGTTACATAAAAGTCAGCTAAGCATCTTATACTTGTGCGCTAACTATTTTGAAACATGTACACATATTTAATATCAGCATTCTAGTAATCTTTAAGAAGTTTATCAAAAATTTTCTAACTCTAACCTCACAGGTTAATATATATAGTCCTGCTGACTTAGATCATGTCTTTATAACTACTCCTTCTCTACAATCAAGAAATGTTCTGAGGATCCAAATTTAATCATACTTGCTGACAAAGGCAAACATATACTTTAATTCTATTAATCTTCTGACTTACATTAAAATAAAAAAAGTAATTCTGGACCAAGAACTCGACTATATGTACTTTATGTATCATAAGTTACCTCTGATGTAAGCCTTCAGATCTTTTATTGTTGATTACTGATATCCGAAACAAGTTCTGCAAATTTTCTTAGAATTTTAACTGTTGTCCAATCAAAATCATATTCAATCTAAATGAGATACTTAATTAAATACACATAATTTAATTAGTACCTGTTAAGATGACGGTGGCTGCTTAGTTAAATGCACTTTGCAATTTGGAAAGTTTCCAGTTTCCAGTTCCTTACTAAATTTACTCAATAAATATTCTCAGATGATGTATCTGATATTTACCTATTGGAATAACTATAAATGTGATTCATATCATGATGGCACTTATAATTATGAAGGTGCTTTTCTACATAAGATCATAATGCTAAATAGTGTAGGTAAAATCTCCTATATCATTATGAAAAATTTTTCAAGGCATTAATTGTTTTAGAATTCAAAATGGTGTCATTTTATGTACGTGAGTTGTTATATGGAAATGAATTTAGTGTACTGAATCTCCAACTTTATTCCTCATTAAACATTTTATATTTGGAACAGGCCAATTAAAATGCAGCATTTTTCTTTTGGGATTGATAATTGCAATTAATTAAGTTATCGTTCTAATGATCATATCCTTAACCTGAACAACAGCTCTGCTCTTCTTTTACCAATAAAGTCAGGCAGTGCTGAAACAGATCTTGTATTAGCGCTTCCTAAGTTAAATATTGGATCTTTATTGAGGTGGCAGCTATTCTTAATATAATAAAGAGTGGGCTCCATGTTTATCTACAAATGATTCTTAATAATATTGTACAAAACTATATCACTTATGAAATAAAATACTAAAAAAGCATGATTTATCGTATATGAGATTTACTAGCACCGCATTGTGTATCTTCTTATTTTCCACCATTTTTAATAATAGAATCATCGTGTCTGATTCTTATGCTCAAACTATCACTTAAAATATTATGATATTGGTGCTTATTTCTGATTACATTTAGGCATCTATTTAGCTTATTCTTCGTGCAACTTATGTGTAATTTCTTGCTTCACTCTTGTTAGTGACACTTTCCAGATTTTTATTAATTTCTGTTCCTCTCTAAAATTTAAATCTTGTTTAAATATAATTGTCATGACCTCCAAGATGTATCTATAATTAAAGGATTACTGCATACCTTTTAATTACTAATCTGTAAGATGGAGCCAGCTATCTATACATAATGTCACCATTAATACTTGTTGTTATCAGCTATAAACTCTATGCTCTAGCATTCAAAACTTTTTTCTGTTTTTGTGTTTCCTATTCAATTATGTAACATTTGTACTGCTAGTTTATGGTTATGATCAGATATGCATTAATAGTTTTGGTTATAGACAGTTCCAAAAAATATGATTTTTTTGCGCTTGACTCAACCAATTATGTTTTACTACAATGTAGTTAAATTACCATAAACTTTAATCATTGTGCTGCATTTTGAAATTACTAAATATTTAGATCAAAATAACTATCTCCAATTTAGATTTTTATGGATAAGATTTTCTACAGTTAACGATGCTTTATTTTGCATCAATATCGTTGTCACATATTGATGCTACAGATAAATTTAGGAGGTTATCGAAATTATGCTACCAATTTTAGATGATCTGCAAATAAGGTGGTTATAAAAATATAAGTATGATTGCTATGTTAACCTAATTTTCTCAATTACCAATCTAGCTATAATGGAAGTTCCGTATGATCACTCTCTGTTAGAAAAAGGCTTTGCAATGAAATAGTATTCAGTCTTTAAGTGGATAGTATACATAATTACAAATAAGGTAGTGCAATTCTGAGATCAGCTACTACATGTTTAACATGCAAGATATAGAATAATACTAGTTACTATGTTGGCAATTATGAATGGTATCAAGTTATATTAAGTGTTCAAATCATTTTCATATTTTAACTAGTGAACTCAGAATTTCAGTGCCCATTACCTTGAATTATTTTCAACTCATCTGAGCCGAATAATATTGTGGAGCTCCTTCTAAATACAACTTAGATTTTATAATGGCTGCCCGACTAGATTCTTTTTGTATTATTATAATCATTCTTGTAGGACTGTAATTGAAACTCAAATTCAGTACATTATGCTCTGATGATTAGAAAATTCTGTTCATCACCCTGTCTTTTAGCCTATAAGTTATACTGGGTACTGCTTTCCTGAATTTAGTTAAAACGGAGCATCACATGTTTTATTGCATTTATATGCTCAAACATTGACACAACATATTATTACTTGTTACATATCTTGTATTTTCAGGTTATAACCAATCATCTCCTTCTTGCAAAATACAATAGCCATATCCTAACTTTATTTCTTATCCTCAACGATTAATTAATCTTGAGCATCGATTTATATACTCACTATAATTTGAATGAATGATTATGATGTAAATTTCAATAAATGAACCACTTCTTCATGCAAGAAAAGTTGTAGGGTGAGTAGTTACAAGCTACCCTATTCCTTAGGGTAATTAACAAATTTCTCCTATAAAATGTTGTCTTTCTTGCTTATTAGTGTTATTTTGTTTTATCGCACTTATTAAATACAATTTTGCTTGTACATCTTTGTCTATTAGATGTGCAATTTTTTTTAATTCTAGCATTGGTTGTGTCATGATAATGTTACATCTAACATTTGCACCTGCTATAACATATGGATACTATTAAAATATTTATTAGAATTCTAGGTGCATTATTCATATGTAACCAATCTTTGATTAAGGGGAGGGTATTTGAATAATAGAAGTAATTTAAAATATAATTCGCAAATGGTTTAGCCATGAGACTACCATCAATTATTTGATGTGGAGGGAAATAAGCTTAACAATTACTAGCAAACTATATTTCATTTTATAAAAGTAAGACAAAAGTCATGTGCCGATGACTAGACTGGAGATGTGATAGTTTGTATTTACTGGATTTTCAGATTTGTGATATCATCCTTGCACTAATCTTTATAGCACTATTAGGCTAAACTTATAAAAATGATTAGTAAATATATTAAGCCAACTTAAAATGTCGAATCTTTGTCGTTTTCTTTAGTCTTAGTCATTTCGCTGCATTTAAGAACAATGTAGGCGGTTTCCGTCTCAATGTCAATTAATACATGATGAGCTTGCCTTCGTGTATCTTCCTTTTAACAATTAGAGCTTGCTTAAATTTTCATAGTCATGGAGATACTTAATTCTGATAAGAGGACGACATGTATTACATATTTGCAGACCCGAGTGATTATTATTTCTTTATACCTTTCTACAAGAGTTAACTGTAGTTATTCCAAGTTGTACATAATATATTCTCTTAATGCATCAGAACTTTAATCAATATAAAACATTGTGGAAGGATTAGACACAAGGGCAGTATTTATACTGGTCAAAACATAAAATCCAAAGAGTAAAAAATAGTTTGATATTCTGATTTGTTGTAAAATTATAAGTAAGTAGGAGTTTCAAGCTAATAATATTATATTGAAATTGAGGCTGTTAACTTCATAGTTCATTTTCTATAATTATTTAAAATGTTCTGACATTATATTTATTTTTATGTATCTTATAGATGTTGAGGATTAAACTGGCATTTTTTTCAAAGTCCTCTTGCAAGACATAGACTATAAAAACTTGTAAACCTTTGATATGTTGTTAAGTCAGTTACTGAAAAGATGATGATTACAATTAATCTTGCTCAAATTCAATAGTGGAACAGGAAGACTTTATTCTCAATTTCTTAGATCAATTAATCCACAATTTACTTGACTCTTAATATAAATGCTTATTCATTTATGAAACATATATTTGAAGCTGTACCAATAAGATTAAATATCATATGATTTACTTCATGTTATTTTCAGTTGTCACTCACAATAACAGTTCAGAATATCATTTGGTGAATCTGTAGAAACCTGGTTTAAAATATTATCTCCTTAATTCACCAACAATTAAAGCACAATTTTCCTTAGAACATTCTGCTAAATTAATTACTTATTGAAGCGCTAAACTTCTATACCACCATTCAAGTTGATATTAACCATTCAGGAAATATGTGTTTTATTAATGAAAATAGACAACCTTAAACATTGCAAAAAAAAGTGATGGGTCCAAAAGTTGATATCAAGCCAATCATACTCACAGAAAGATAACCCAATAAATAAGGTTCAAAATCGAAACTCTCGCTCAGCGAAGTAGAATTACAAGAATGATCTTATTAAACCTTTATATTATAATACTACTTGTAAATTATAAAATAGTGAGGCTATACAAGTTATGACGATCATTCGACTAGATGAGACAGTTTATTCAGTCGTTATCTATCCTTAAAATGATGAACTGCATATTCGAAAATGATCCTCCCCTGTGAGCCGATGTTCATATGGCTGATTAGCATATCTATGTATTTCAGGCTTGGAATTATGCTTAACTCAATGGCTACAATATCTATAAATTGTAATTTTATAAAAAATCTCCCTTCTTTGTATGCCTCTTGCAATAAGCAACGATGTGCTTTATGAATGTCATTTAACATTTCATTATCTAAATCATACATTTCATAGTAATTATAATCCTGTCTTGGCACATTTAATTTAACTGCATAGGTTTTATGTAGAAATTAACTCTAAAGCTGAGCAAAAATAGCAAAGGATTTTATTATAGCTCTCTCATATTATCTGTTCTCTTGGAGTCAATGATAAAATTATTGCTTTGATCTTTATATGGCTTGGAACAATTGTGACCTGTTGCATCACATTTTTATTTTAATAGTAAACATATTTCATGAAAGGCTAGTAGGCATATTTGCAGTTTTTTTCTTCTTTTAATACACTAAAAGAGTGTTCCGATTCATAATATTAATATCCATGAATATATGCCATCATAAATCAATGAGTGCATTGAAATTATACATTAAAGAATGCTCCACATTAGGCTATTGAATGATCAACATGTTAAGCCTTAATTATAATTCTGCGTAAAACAATGCATTTTCTTTCAATGAGATTGCTATATTTAGGTCTAGTATCGCTTGAATAATAAAGTAAGAAGGCTTATGGTTTTGTGTTAACCTTCTTAAGCAAATTACTCTAATTGTATCAGTAGATTCTTAAAAAACAGTTACGATTAATAATAATGTATATCAACTCTAATTTAAATATGTTTTTTATGAAAGACATTATCTTCTGGTAAATCCTTTTATTTTCATTTAATATCTGGTATCAATATTACAAAATTTTGTTGCTCAATCATTACCATTAAAGTGCAAGATATATATTTAAACTAATAAAACTTGAACACTACATATATTGGTTTCTTATTAATGAAACCATTATCAATAACGTAATGGTTGTAATTTTATATAAGGGCTTAGAAGAGAGCAACTAGCTTTAGCACAGCCCTAAATTCATTTCTTGTTCAAGAAGTCCCGGTATCAAGCACACCATCAATATCTAGAGATGGAAGCGGTACTAATTTGATCCTCACTAAAACAGATTTAGCAATATTTAATGCTTCTGATGATTATCTTGCTAATCGTAATTTAAGGCTGCAACTGTTATTACTGATTCATTATGTGATGATGTCTTGTGTTCTGCATACAAACTTGATAATGGAGATTGCATCTTTGCAGTTTAGTCTCACTTCTATGAAGAGCTTTTATTCCATTGATCCTTGGAATGCAAATAAGCATCTACTCTTGTACCACCAAATGAACTGATTGTTGTTTTGCTTCCTTGTTTTTTTTTACAGGAATCTTCGTCAAGTTCAACTCATAATGCTCGTTATCTTGTGGTGCATCATCACAACCAAATATAAGTGTAATTGCATCTTACATTTTCGCAATAAATGCACTTTCGATTCTACTGAAGGGCTTCTTCTATTCTCAAAAGCTCAGAATTCCTAGCAGCGGTTATCTCTTTTATGAAAGTACAATAACGCTAAGCATATTTTGTAGGATTAAAAAGAATGCTCTCAAAAATATTCTTAGCTCGATCGATAATTTCGGTTATGCATAAGACATTGATCATCATTTGTTAAAATTTAGGCTTTTTTCATTTCTTTCAAAAATATTAAATTGACAAACGAGGTCAAAGTTATTTCTTTATATTTAACTGTAAGAAATAATGATTAAATAATTGAAAACAACCTTATTGATCAGTTTCGGTCTCCTTTTTACAATAAATGTTGTCAGCATAATTTCCTTGGACTGGATCTAATAAAGGATGCACAAAATGAGCTCAGTTTATTCAATTTTGCAAAACAACTTGTTATTTCTGTTAAGGATATATCGCACCAACCGTTGCTTATTGTGTTTAGAGCTTCGCCGTAATGTATTCTTGTGGTTAATTGTTATCATCCTCATCATGATATAAATTTGTACCGATAGTCTCTTGAGGACTAGAGCTCATCTGTCTACCATCTTATGCTTTGTTCTTGATTACAAT